TCATACTCGGCCAGTACCGCTGTTCATCCAGCCCTTGCCGCTATCGCGGCGCGGGCTGGATTCCGCGGTACTGCCCTCGTACTCGTGCAGGAACCTGTACATCACCAGGAGAACGAAACAAAAATGGAGGAAAAACGATTCTGAGGAGAAGCCAGAGACTAGCGGGGACACGACTGAGAAAAATCGAGAAGGAGGAACCAGTAGCGGCAGGTGAAAGTACGGGCGCGGCAGTGAACACGTCAAGGAGAAAGAAGCGATGGCATGAGGAGATGGAGATGGAGGATGATGATGGGGATGAACAGGATGGTCAGGAGGAAAGCAAGGGTGAGCAGGAACAGGAAGTGGAGGATGAGAGTGATACTGACGAGGAGGAGTTCGACATCGACATCGACAAGAGCAAGTCTGCCATCTACAAGCATTTGGTGTCCAGTCCGGATTGTCGTAAGTTGTTTGACGATTCCTGGTTTAGTGTTTATTTGTTGCGCACGTTTCCCTTTATCGTTTTAGGTATTTGTACAGCAAAAACCGACCGTCATTGATCATGCCGTAACTTTTTTATTTTTCACTTTTATTATGTACAAAATGGGGTGATTCTGAAAGTAAAAACCCTCCGGAATGCGATGCAACAACTTTCATGTCCAGAAAACAAACACAGATTTCACTATTTAGCACTAATAATTATTTGTATTTATTGCCGATCGGGCAAACTGTTGCAATATGCAATAAATCAGATCCTTGCACTGGAGTGGCTCCCTCAGGTAAGTGGATACCAGGTTCGTTCTCTGGGTGGAATGCAGGAGTGTTACCAGTCACAGCGGTGTCAGCATTGTCCCAAGTATTGCAAATATCGACTAGTGCAGGTTGCACCGCTGGCTGTACATAGTACCTGTGCACCACGACCTCTACCGTGACGACGGCCTATTCCACGGCCGAATCCTCTCTCTCTCTCTCTCTCTCTCTCTCTCTCTCTCTCTCTCTCTCTGCCATGTCCCCTTCCACCATTAGTGGCATTCATCTCAGCGACACTGTCGTCGTCTGTGACATCCATGTCACTCTCACTGGCGCTGCTTTCACTCGCCATGTCATCGTCGCGGTCGTCGTCAGAATAAATATTTTCAACAGGATTGTCTGGCTCCACAAACTCATCTTCGCTGGATGAGGCAGCGACAGAGTCATCAGGAAGGGTCTCCAGAAGCGAAAGAGCTTGCTCCGCGTCCATGGCTTGCACAGCAGGGCAGACAGTCGTGAGGCCAGCTCCAGCAAAAGTCGAAATAATCTGCAGGCAATACCAAAAGTCGCAGGGTACGCACTTTTCCAAAGCGCATTTTTCAAGTTGCGATTTTCGCGATTTTTTATATTGCATCACACAAAAAAATTGTCGGCACCCTCTATGCGCGTACATCTTGGCTACCAGTAGGGAAAACCCCAGCTCTCTGCGGTGAACCAGTCCAGCGCTGTGCGCATAGATAGAAGTCATCGACCGCGAGCGGTCGAAATTTGTACGTACAAACGTACAAACGTACAAATTTGTAATTGTAACGTACAAACGGTAAAGGGTTAAAATTAAGTTAAGGCAAAAATTAAAATTTCACCAGTTGTAGTCTTCGGGGTGCTGAGTCGAATGGTCTTGGTCCGAGAAAGCTGAGACGCTCCCTTCCTACTTGAATCCCAATCGAACTCGCGCACTTCCACTGAAACTGGGTGACTGCGCCCTACTAGATGGGGATTTGTATGCAAAATGTCACTAAAAGCGCCATTTCGTTCTTATAAAAGCACGGATGACCGCGATTGGCCCATATTTTGTAGTCTTTTGGACGCTGAGTCGACTGGTTTTGGTCCGAAAAGGCTGCGATGCAGCGTTCCTCCTTTATTCCCAATCGAACATGGTTGAACAAGTGGTCACGTGCTCCTGGATGCCCAAATCACCTGGACACCACGCCAGCAGGCGACAACTTTCACACCAAGGTTCAACTCGAGTTCAACTCGAGTGACAGGACTGCACCCAAAAAAGGTCAAACAGGCTAGTAAGTTGTACCCTGCAGGCACGGTGACCAGCTGACTGGTGCCTGCAGGGTGCCTGCAGGGTACAACTTACTAGCCTGTTTGACCATTTTTGGGTGCAGTCCTGTCACTCGAGTTGAACTCGAGTTGAACCTTGGTGTGAAAGTTGTATTTTTAATTTTTGCCTTAAAGGGGAAGTATACCCTAAAATCAAATTTTCACCAGTTGTAGTCTTCGTGGTGCTGAGTCGAATGGTCTTGGTCCGAGGAAGCTGAGACGCTCCCTTCCTCCTTTATTCCCAATCGAACTCGCGCACTTCCACCGAAACTGGGTGACTGCGCCCGGGATTTGTATACAAAATGTCACTAAAAGCGCCATTTCGTTCTTATAAAAGCACGGATGACCGCGATTGGCCCATATGTTGTAGTCTTTTGGACGCTGGGTCGACTGGTTTTGGTCCGAAAAGGCTGCGATGCAGCGTTCCTCCTTTATTCCCAATCGAACATGGTTGAACAAGCGGTCACGTGTTCCTGCGAGCTGCGTACACCAGTCACCTGGTCACCGTGCCTGCAGGGTACAACTTACTAGCCTGTTTGACCTTTTTTGGGTGCAGTCCTGTAGTAGTAGTAGTAGTAGTAGAATTTATTATTTTGATAGGGAAGGCCCTACAGACGTTGCCGTCTTCTGTCACTCGAGTTGAACTCGAGTTGAACCTTGGTGTGAAAGTTGTCGCCTGCTGGCGTGGTGACCAGGTGATTTGGGCACCCAGGAGCACGTGGCCGCTTGTTCAACCATGTTCGATTGGGAATAAAGGAGGAACGCTGCATCGCAGCCTTTTCGGACCAAAACCAGTCGACTCAGCGTCCAAAAGACTACAACATATGGGCCAATCGCGGTCATCCGTGCTTTTATAAGAACGAAATGGCGCTTTTAGTGACATTTTGCATACAAATCCCCATCTAGTAGGGCGCAGTCAACCAATTTCGGTGGAAGTGCGCGGGTTCGATTGAGAAAAATGAAGGAAGGGAGCGTCGCAGCTTCCTCGGACCAAGACCATTCGACTCAGCACCCAGAAGACTACAACTGGTGAAAATTTGATTTTAGGGTATACTTCCCCTTTAACTTCCCCTATAAACTAATACTTCGTACAAAACTGACAGACTACTGAGACAGCCTACAGTCTCATTTGATTCAACTACACGTACCGACACCTAGCTCTAGTAACACATCTCCAGTGTGCTAACCAACCGCCTTCCAGCTTGATATACGTAGTCGCGAGCTGAAGAATGTCCAGCACGAAATATACAGATTGTTTCTATAAGGACTACCGTAGAATCCCGCGGATAAGCCCATGGGCTTATCTGTTTCACAAGGACATTTCGGTGGGCTTATACGAGAACATGGGCTTATACGCGGGCATGGGCTTATACGCCGACACCAAGTTGTGCTATTGAAAAGTATCAAGGAAGTGTGAAGGACATTGCTGAAAACCACTGTGCATACAAAAACAACCGATGATTGTGCTGAAATGTACGAAACAAACTATAATGTGCATGTACTACGTACATGTACATGGTATGGCCAAGAGTCCATAATTTATGGACTCCCGGTATGACCTACAGTCCATTCAGAAAAATATGGACTTCTAGCTTTTGGCCATAAATGGGTCAAACTTTGAGTTTTTTTAGAATTTTTTTCTGCAATCCCCTATGGAATCCTCTTCCAATTATGTTTCTGAAGTTTTTTTGTCCAAAAAGCAAGCCATAACAAGAATAGAATTTCGGCCAGGTTTTGCCCCAACAGCACTGAATTGGGAAAAACCATAAAAATCCAGGCCGTTTGACCCCGCCTGCAAACGTGCATTGTGCGGTTCGAACCCCAGTTCAGGTACCCTTTTTGGACCCTTTTTCAAATTTCAAATTTCGCAGCACTGCACTGTGTACGATGAAATCACGAAAAATCGCCAAATACGGGAGCTCGCCAGAGCCAGAGCCCATCTTTTTATGAATGGACTGAAGGCCCATGGGCTTGTACGATGAAGCTGTGTGATGTTCGAACCAGGTCCAGGGAGTACTGTATATCACCTTATTTTCGGTGTTGTAAAATTTCGGTAAAAGCCAGCCCCTGACCTTTCGGTGTAAGGATAAATTCGGTATGCATGGCACCAAAAAAAAAAAAAAAAAAAAAAAAAAAAAAAAAAAAAAAACGCTCTTGCACTACCGGTAATATCTCCGGCTAGGCTCCACATATCATTTTGTTACAGTATGTAGTATACCGGTACATGTACTATACCAGTATACAAGTTGATTTTTTTTAATTTGACAATGATTTTCATGATTTTTACATATTTTGGTATTTCGGAAAATTTAGGTGTAATGTTAAATTAGGTGATCTAGGACCAGTACCGAAGTTACCGAAATTTAAATTACACCGAAATAAAGGTGTTATACAGTAGTAAAATACAGGGAGGTGACACGAGCATGTACGGCCAGTTTGACGATTGCCTCAGCACCGTTTTCACCCGGCGGGTGAGATTGGGGTACTATGGGTACCGAAGTGTGCAGACACGCGCGCGGATCAGGATTCTCTCGATCAGGGAGTAGTAAAATACCTACCGCCAAAGAGACTCCTACTGCAGCCCGTAGAAACTCAGCGCTGAGAATTTCCAGCAATTGTCTGCCTTCACAAAGTTTGGTAGTCGACCAAACTACCACTATGTCAGGATAGAAGTCCAGCAAGAGTGGTATCACTTTGGGAGATATCCCTGCGTGCCGTAGATTTTTCCTGTGTCGATACAAGCTGTTTACGACGACGTAGCCCGCATTTCAATCCTTGACAAACTTAGGAACATTTCATTCCGAAAAGTGAACTCCCGAATCTCTAGCATACCATAATATGAAATGCTCATCATCGTACACGTATTGTTCTCAAGGAAATCACCTTCGTTCGATTGCTCCATGCCGTCGATCGGGACGAATTTCGGAAGGGTGGTACCCAGGGAGTCGTCAAATACCGGGAGTGGAAACGAGATGCGCGAGCGTGATCCATGCTCGCCTCGCGCTGGAGCACGCCGATTTTTTTCAAATAATCTTTTTTGTGCCACATTCACCAATTCCGCGGGATTTTCAAAATGTCAAAATTTATTTTGGTTCTTCCTGCAAGCGGAGCAGTTCAGACGTCTCCATACATAAACCTTCTCGTCAGATTTCCGCTTCCCTTTTGTAGTATTATCAATCTTCGTCGGCAGTGCATGGGCATGCTGGACAGGGAGATATCGGTAGCCATTTTACGGCTGATGTTTTAGGAACTTGGGCGAGAGGTGAGTAAAACCAAGCTTTATCGAGTGAATACTTCTATCACTGAATAGCTTTGTTTTGGTTTGTTACACATGCATGCTGCATGTACAGAGCATTCCATTTATCAACCTGCAGTCAAGTACAGACCCAGGGAAGCTTTTCTTTTACTTGCCCAATGATCGTGCATAAAATTTTATGTGAAACTCGTAAAAAGAAATGCAATGGTAGATTTAAGAAACTATGTGATGGTCAGGAATCAGGATACACATGGCATTCTCTACCTGGATGAATACTTGTGACAATTTTAATATAGAATTACTGCGCTGTTTTCCGTGTGCGTTTTGTCCAGACCTGGAGACCACATCAGCTGTGTTTTCAAGTTTAATTTGCGGTACAGTAGTGGCAAGAAAGCCGTCCATCATGCCAGCATCATCCGCAGCAGCAACAGCAGCAGCACCCCAGCCCACCGCCATAGTCAACTGCACTGCAGAGACACCTAAAAGATACCATGGTGGTTGGTGTGTTGTTGCGGTGAGAAGAGAACTGGAAGCTAGCAGAAAGCCTGAGTTAACTAGCCTCAAGCCGGTGTTGGCGACTTTCGGCCATGAAATTCTGGCCAACATGTCTCCGAATCTACCAAACTTTGAAAAGATAATTGAATCTGAGACACATGAGCATCCACCGTGTGTGTGCATGCACAGTGTGGGCATGTCAGTATGTGTGTGTGCTGCCAAAGATGGCTCTCTCGTCGTGCCGATTGAATATGGTCCCTGATCTCTTGGCAGACTGCCGACTTTCTGCCGTCGCTTCCATGTTGTCGGCCCCGCAAGGGGACAGGTGACCGTAATGGCAGTGTTTACCAGGACCAGGTGTGTGTGTGTGCATGCATGCATGCATTCCAGTGTGTGTGTATGTGTGTGAATGTGCGTGCATGCGCAGTTCGTGCATGCCGTGTGTGTGCATGTGCAGTTTGTGCATGCCAATGAGTGCGTGCGCACCCGTATATTGGTGCGTGCATGTACGCATGCGTAACTGCTGACACCCAAAGTTGGCAAAGAGAAGCGAGACAGAAAGAGAGAGGGATTTAGAACAGTTTAACAGTTTAATTCGGTGTGCCTTGTCAATTCTGTGATACTCGCCACAATCGGCCAAATCTGTAATTGGATTCTCAGTGTTGGTGGTGCATATACGTTGTCATGCTTCCTCTTGACATGAGACATACTGAAAGCGGTGATGTTCTCTTACACTGAAGAAGAAAATAAGAGAAATTCCTTGACTTTATAATAATGTGGTCGTCATTAAAAAACAATAATGTTTTAGAAACAAAGGGTCCCTCAAAAAGTCAATGGCATATCATCTTACACCGAGAAAAATCACAGGTAGCACCTATATGGAAAGGACAATGGTTACGAGAAGTTTTTTCGTGGGTCGAACCAAGTGGCTTTGATTACTGAGGCTGAGCTATTTTCCTCGATAAATTACATCAAAAGTCACGTCACTATCCGCGCGTGAATCGGGCCTCCAGTCATACATCGCAACACTGCGATAACGCCTACCGATAAATTAGGTGTCCTCCTACTAGTAAACGAGCAGACCACTGCAAATATCTCTGTATACACGTTCTGATGGACGCTTTCTCCCAAAAAATACTCAAGGCTACTCTAAATTGCATTTGACGACGCTGAGGTACTCAAGGCACTGCAACAATTTTGCGCGAGGCGAGCATGGATAATCAAGATTAACGGCGTTTCCACTCCCGGTATTTGACGACTCCCTGGTGGTACCTTTCCATATGACGATGACACAGATGTATCACAAGAACAAAACAAATGCTGTTCCATGAGATGGATAGACCTTTTCACGGAATTAGTTCTTCGACAAATACTCAAGATTGATTCAGCAGATCATCTTTTTTTGCGAAAGAAAAAAAAACAAGCGCGAGGCACCCATCAAAAATCACGATTAGTGGCGTGTCACGTCACCTCCCTGACTACTCCCTGGTTCGAACAAACCAAAAAAAACTACTGGGCTTATGCGCGGGTATGGGCTTATACGCGGGTACCGGGTGGGCTTATCCGCGGGATTCTACGGTATAAGGCCACCCTTTCTTTTTTCGTTGTTTAACGTCCGCGCCCGCGTACCTTTTTGCCTCCGACCGGAAAAAACCCAAGAAAGTAGTACAATGTAGTAGATCTACCAATAATATGCGAAGTTGTAAATACATGATTGTGTAGTTATAATATATCGTACGGTGTGTGTCCTAAAAATCCAGATGTAATGAATTCATGACATGCTAACTCCATGCTATGTACCTGTTTTGTTGGATTCATCAGGCATGTGCTCCAATGTACCATCAAAGAGTGTTGTTCTATGCCTGCAAGTGCCGTTAGACCCAGAAATATTATCACTTTACTGGTCAAAATGTTTGATTGGGGTTTCCAGTTTTTGGAATGGGCTTTTGTTTTTTTCGCCCTCCCGCGTACCTTTTCGCAAAAAAAGGACGTTAAACAATGAATTAACAAAGGGTGGGTAACCATGGTAACCAAGAGTAGAAAAACAAGAGTGTGCAACTCCGGATGGGTAGGCTCACGGCGGAATTTTTTGTTGACGTAATCTTTTCGACGACGCACGCGCGCGCTGCGAGTCTTTCGGAAAGTTTTCCCTCGTGCTCTTGGCCGGCTTCAATTCACACTACAAGGTCGGTGCCCAGCACGTGCTCTCACACTGCTCTGCGGCGAAATCCGCGTTCTTCTGAAAAAAGGTGACGTCAACAAAAAATTCCGCCGTGGGCGGGGCTATCTGCAGATTGTGCAGGAGAGATCCGGAGTTGCACACTCTTGTTTATCTACTCTTGATAACTTCTAAGAACGCAGCCAGATTGCTGAAAGATAAGAACGTCCCAGGCTAACCCCTTTTTAATACTTGGAAACAAAATTCTTGGGCAAGCGACTCTACTGTATCTAGACATCCAAAAGACAGCATAAAAATCCTGGGGTGGGGCTGTGTGATCGTCGCCATTCCCATGCTACAATGCATTGCATACACATACATGTACGGACGCGAGCGCGCAAACACATACCAAGTGAGAGATCAGTCTGCATTTTTATTTCGGACCGAGGATAATACCACAGTACAACAGCATATCAATGCACATCACACCACACACAACGTACATCACACAAAAGAGCATAAAAAACACGATGAGTGAGTCATTCTTGATGATGTGATGAATGATGATGCCGATGACCTTAGGCTTGAGCTGCCTCTTTGGGGTTGGTCTGGTGAGCCTTGAGAACTTCGACAGCCTCGTCAATCTTGGCCTGCAGAGACTCTTGCGACTCAATCATGTGCACAATCTCAGCATTGTCGATCTCCAAGAGCATTCCAGTGATCTTGCCTGCTTGCTCTGGCTGCACCTTGAAGATGAGAGGGAACAGGTACTCTCCTAAGATCTGCTTCTGCTCATCAGAGTTGGCACTAGATAGAGCCTTCATGTCCAGAGGGATATCAGTGTCGGACTTGGCTGGGGCAGGAGCAGCAGCTGCTGCAGCATTAGGTACAGCACCAGCTTGAGCAGAAGCCGTACTTGGTCCCTGAGGGCGACCGGCAGGAGCAGCACCAGCAGCAGCCCCGGCAGCATTGTAGGTCATTGGCCGGCTTTTAGCAGCTGGCCCACCAGCACGTGGGACATTGGCGCCACGAGCTGGAGGCTGAGCTTGACCACCCTGAGGTTGACCCTGCACCGATCTGTTGCTAGGGAAACGGCCACGGGCATTGCCACCTGGTCTGTTGTGCATGTTGCCACCAAAACCGCTTGCTGGCATCATGCCCTGGTTGCGAGGTCCCATCTGCTGGAATCTACCTTGCTGAGGGCGCATGCCAGAAGCTTGCGGGATGAAGGCAGCACGCTGACCCTAAAAACAAAAGCAAAAAAACAGCCTCCAATAAACAAACATGAATTTAACTGTGACATCAAACCACACACGTCGCATGTGCATCAAATTAAAAAAAATCACGGTCTGAGCGAGACTTGGTTTATCTATATAGAGGCCCAGTTTTCCGAATCCGTAGGAATGCCACCACCCTTCAAGGATCAATGCGCAGATGCAGCTCCTAAAGCGGTGGGAGGTGAGTAGATCAGCTCACCAGCATGTGGTCAAAGACCTGCATCAAGGATGACCAATATTACAATACAGCATATCAACACAGAAATGAGGGACACCATTCTAACCCCTATTTTCACCTTCCTCTAGCTAATGAAGATCTGCAAATGATACACCCGCCCACAATGTAAAGGTAAAACGCCCCAACCACAACATGACTTACCGCTGCTGGTGGCATGGGCATGTACATTGGAGCCTGGAACATCTGCATCTGGTGACCCTGAATCAACAACATAATCAAAAAATACCCGGTGAGATTCTGGCTTAGTGTTACTAGTACATTTTCAAGTTATTTCTATGTTTCGCGTCACCGCGAACCTTTTCGAATTGTTGGCAAGAAAAAAATCAACCAGACGAGTCAATTGATCTGTTCTAGCCAGTACGGCAGATCAGAGGTCATCAGTTTCTTGACAATGTTGCATTCGTCGAAAGTGTGAGCGATTTCTATTTCTCCAAGTCGTACAGTAGGGCCTGCTCACCAAGCGAACGGAGATTCCAGGTGTCAAGGACACCGGCATTTTCCAGGACCGTGATTACACAAATGAGCAGGGAAGTAACTACAAAACCTACCTGCTGCATGCGCATTGGCTGTGATCGAACCTGCATGTACTGTTGAGATAACTGAGCCTTTCGGTCCTCCTTGCGTTGAGCAAGGGCAACGTAAAGTGGCTTAGTGCCGATCATCCGCCCATTCATTTCAGTCACAGCCTTAGTAGCTTCCTCGGGAGATGAGAAGCAGACAAAACCGAATCCCTTGCTGTGGGCCTTGTCATCTCTCATGACCTGTAGAAGGAAATGGTAAAAGGGAGCCAGAAATAACAAATATACAAATAACAAATTAGGCACATCCAGATCTTTGCATTTAAACATCCACCATCGAAACAGATTTGAAGGGAGCTGGAAACTAAATCACATTTTCACATAGGCCCGAATATGTTTGATCTGATGTATGCAGTATCTTCAGCTTGGCTGAGAGAATCAAAATGGAAAAAAAGAGCAGATGGTCACCATCAACACTGTGGAGTACCGTATTTTCCGGAGCATAAACCTCACAAAAAAGTAGGTGCGGTGCATACTACGACTGTCAAATGAACGGTGAAACACAGGGCTGATGGTTGTGCTTGGTAGGGTCTAGCATCAGGATTGTGAAGGGCTAAAAAAATCACGTTCTTCGTTTGGAGATGGTTGGTGGTCAGTGGATGCTTTAACCCTTTGGAACTGCACTGATCACACGACGTCAGGAGATAGCTGCAATTGCAAGTATATTCGTTCCAATTTCCATCATAACGCTGGTTCTACTTCACCGATTTTGACGATCTTGGGCTCGTTGGAATGCTCTTTGAACGAGGATAACAGCGAGCCCAAACTCATTCAGGAGAGCGATTGCTGACTGCTACTGAATGCCAGGAACGCCAGCTGAATACCAAATCCAAAACGGTAAGTCCTTGTCTCGCCATTTCACTCGTGCTAGCTCAAAATCATTCATTTTTTTCTAACAGCCTCACAAAAGCCGTGACAAAAAGCACTGGGAGTGATGTCACACGCTGCGTAGGCAGGAAGAGGGAAAAATCCCACTTTTGAACGAAATTTGCACTTCACTGACGCATGAGAAATCGAGCGAACGTTCGAGCACTTGCCGCTCTGTTATACTAGCTCGGATCGACCCCGGAGTTTTTCGAGCCGTAGGTATTTCGATTGTTGAATTCGGTTGAGATTTGACTGAGTTGTGACTCGTTGAGTGCACTTGCACACATGACATTCGAATTCGAACGATCAGCTCCAAAGGGTCAAGGTGGCTAAATCGAGAACTACAGTCCATTCACAAAAAGATGGGCCCTGGCTCGAGCGAGCTCCCGTATTTGGCGATTTTAAGATTTCATCGTACACAGTGCTGCGAAATTTGAAATTTGAAAAAGGGTCCAAAATGGGTACCGTAGAATCCTGCGGATAAGCCCATGGGCTTATCTGTTTCACAAGGACATTTCGGTGGGCTTATACAAGAACATGGGCTTATACGCGGGCATGGGCTTATACGCGGGCATGGGCTTATACGCGGGCACCAACATTGTGCTATTGAAAAGTGCCAATGAAGTGAGAAGTACATTGCTGAAAGCCACTGTGCAAACAAAAACAACCAATGATCGTGTTGAAATGTACAAAAAAACAAAAAAAACCCTAAACACTCGTACTACGTACATGTACAATCATCATACATGTACATGGTACGACCAAGAGTCCATAATTAAATTTTATGGACTTGTAGCGACCTGACTCACTGAGTATTACGTCATTCTACAAACGCATGCGCAAGAAATAAAATCATTCTCTTTGGTCACAACTTCTTCGTTGTCCGGTTGGCCAAAGTAGCCGTCGTCTAGGGCCCGACGTAAAACCCTAAATTGGTGACCCCAGACGCTGCGCTCTTCGGAGTTTTGAGCATGCCATCCCTGAGCTCGGCCCGCCGCAGTTTCCTGCTCGCCTCAACTCTCGGGATCCCGTCAATCGCCGGCTGTTGACGTAAAACTTGAGCCTCACCACCACTGGATCCGCCTCGGAGCTGCTGTGGCCCCTGCCACCCTCCCCGGCCCACCTGGATACCCCGCTATCCTGCCACGGCATCGTCCAGTCGTCGTCGTCCGCATTCGTCCTGGCCTCAAGCTGGAAATTGGCCACCTCCACCCGTCGTACCAGCTCACTCACTGAGGAGTCTGTGCACGCACTCAGGCACACGCCCGGCACCGGACCCCATGGAGCTGCGCTCGCCTCCATCTGTCCCCGCCTCAGTCGGCACCGGCCTCGCCCCAGTGCAGCGCTCCTGCTGGTATCCCGCCAAGCCTGCAACATGCAGCCGCCTCTGACATGATAATACTCCTCTGTCACGCGTACATTTCCTTTCTTTCCGCCTCTGACACGATAACACTCCTCTGTCACGCGTACATTTCCTCTTTTCTTTCTTTCTGCCTCGGACATGCTCTCCACCTCTGTCACGTTAACACCTCTCTGACATGTTAAACCGCCTCTGTCATGCATCTCTCTCATTTCTGCTTTCTGTACTGTTTTTGATTTTGTTTCGGCCTTTGTTGCCACGTCACAAACAAATTTCATACACGCAGCGCTCTCGCTTGTACATATGTATCATATTCTTATAGTTTTGTCTTTCCGCCTTGTACATGCTGCGCTTCCTTTCTCTTCTCTTGTTTCTTGTTTATCGTGCTTCGCTCCTCCCGACCTCACCACTGGCGGGGGAGTACTGTAGCGACCTGACTCACTGAGTATTACGTCATTCTACAAACGCATGCGCAAGAAATAAAATCATTCTCTTTGGTCACAACTTCTTCGTTGTCCGGTTGGCCAAAGTAGCCGTCGTCTAGGGCCCGACGTAAAACCCTAAAGACTCATGGTACAGTCAGACCTCGCTTAACCGGACACATCTGTTTTCTACAAAAACATCAGGATAGGCGAGGTAACCGGATAACTGAACACACATACTGTATATGCATGTGGCATGTCAAAAGCAGTGACATCATACATACATGTAGACAGGTCCTATGCAGTACAACTAGCGTGCCCAGTATGTAAAACAAGCGAGAAAAATGACAAGTGCATGCAACTGAGTGCTGTCCGCACACACCCAGCAGGTCAAGGACCTCAATTGCTTGTACAACTCCTTGATACTAGCTTCTGCAAGCGCTAGCCAGCCACATGCAACCGGATACGACGAAGCATTTTGTACACATTTTAACCAGTTTGTACACAAAATCATGCACCGGTATGCGGACCGCGAAGTGAATGTTGAATGTTGTATGCATAAGGGAGCATCTCATAAGTTCGCATTTTGTTTCTAAACGTAACGCATTTCGAAACGGGGGTAGGGGGGTAGCGGCCATTTCGAATAGAAAAATGACTGTTCGCACATTTTCTGGAACTGTACAATCTACTGTACTACTAGTACTAGTGCTAGATCCCTGCAGCAAATGAGTGTGTTTAGGTGGAGATCTACCTGTGTTTGCAGATCAGCTACATGCATGCAGGCTACTCAGAGGTGTCAAATGTCACACCAGCCTGATCAAACTGTGTACCTGGCCAGCGTTTACAGCAGTACAGTTGTTGTGGAGGAACTATGCTTATTTGCGGGTACATGTCATTGATTGTACTTTGTACTCAGTATTAAAATGCGGTACTACTGTATGCCATTCACGACCGCTCTAGCAAAACATTCGTGTACATGTACATGACTGATTGTACAATCATGTACATAAGCGCATACCATAGCATGGGGCATGGATGTGTACAGTAGATAAACACAGAAAATGTGCGATAAGACTTTCGAATAGAGGGGGGAGGTAGGGGGGTAAAGTCTATTCGAAATGCGTTACGTTTGCAAAATAAATGCGAACTTATGAGATGCTCCCTAACATATGCTGCACATCGGTAACCAGCGATTTTCTTCCGGATGGCGAGGGATCCGGATAAACGAGGTCTGACTGCACAATATTTAGGCCCATGGGCTTGTGCGACGAAGCCTTGTGATGTTCGAACTTTCCCTGGGCTTTTGCGCGGGCATGGGCTTATATGCGGGTGGGCTTATCCGCGGGATTCTGAGGCACCTGAACTGGGGTTCGAGCCGCACAATGCACTGTTGCAGGCAGGGTCAAACGGACTGGATTTTTATGGTTTTTCCCAATCCAGTGCTATTGGGGCAAAACCTGGCCGATATCCTATTCTTGCTACGGCTTGCTTTTTGGAGAAATAGACGTCAGAAACATAATCGGAAGAGGATTGCATAGGGATTGCAGAAAAAAATTCTAAAAAACTCAATGTTTGACCCATTTATGACCAAAAGCCAGAAGTCCATCTTTTTCTGAATGGACTGTAGTCCTTCGAGCACCCTGCTGAGCAGGTTTGGAGTAAAATATTATGAAATATTATTACTTTTTGCCCCTCACGGGTTCGAACAAGGGAGTAGTAAAATACAGGGAGGTGACACGAGCATGTACGGCCAGTTTGACGATTGCCTCAGCACCGTTTTCACCCTGCGGGTGAGATTGGGGTACTATGGGTACCTAAGTGTGCAGACACGCGCGCGGATCAGGATTCTCTCGATCAGGGAGTAGTAAAATACCTACCGCCAAAGAGACTCCAACTGCAGCCTGTAGAAACTCAGCGCTGAGAATTTCCAACAATTGTCTGCCATCACAAAGTTTGGTAGTCGACCAAACTACCACTATGTCAGGATAGAAGTCCAGCAAGAGTGGTATCACTGTGGGAGGTATCCCTGCGTGCCGTAGATTTTCCTGTATCGATACAAGCTGTTTACGACGACGTAGCCCGCATGTCAATCCTTGACAAACTTAGGAACATTATTTTCATTCCGAAAAGTGAACTCCCGAATCTCTAGCACACCATAATATGAAATGCTCATCATCACAAAGAAGGTAGAGAAGTACTGGTTGATCACAACTGAGGAGAAATTAGTGCCGATCGTGTGGTGTCTTAGAGATTTTTTCGACTTCGAAATCGGTGCACTCGCTTTTTATCTCTAATCGTACACGTATTGTTCTCGATCAGGACGAATTTCGGAAGGGTGGTACCTTTCCATATGACGATGACACAGATGTATCACAAGAGCAAAACAAATGCTGTTCCATGAGATGGATAGACCTTTTTCTAGGAATTAGTTCTCCAACAAATACTTAAGATTGATTCAGCAGATCATCTTTTTTTGCGAAAGAAAAAAACAAGCACGAGGCACCCATCAAAAATCACGATTAGTGGTGTGTCACCTCCCTGTATTTTACTACTCCCTGGTTCGAACCTCCCCGGTAAAAACATTTTTTCTAATTTTTCGGTAGTGGTTTTGACAAGAATAACCTCAAGACATTAGTATGTTCTGGTGGCTACAGCAACATGAAACTTGGCAGGCACTTTTCAATCAATGGAACAAATAATTAATTAATTAATTTAAAGGAAATCCATAAAGCAGTTTCAAATTATTTGATGGCAGTAATATGTAAATTTACCCCCAAATCGACAAATTGATAGCACTTGACAAAGTATGCTTCTGGTAGCTGCAGGGGGCTATAACTTTGCAGACTCTTCACAACTATAGTGAAGTATATCTCTACAAAATTAGAAAGAAATCTATTGGGCGATTGTGTTTGACTATAATGATTGCAAACGTCAGCCAACATAGGATTCAGTAAACCGTGCTCCAATTTCGGGAAGCACCCCGCCGAGTACCGATATTTGCGTTCCAAACCGAATGAGATTGTTAGTATGGGCAGCCAAGAACCCTGAAAAGAAAGCCCAGCCACCCTATTTGGCTCGGCTTGACTGCAGAAATCACCACTCAGATACCTGAAAAGAAAACTACAACACTTACTTATACAATACAACAGTAGAGGCAAAATGCTGGGATGTGTTTTTGTGCAAAAAGCTCCAAAATACCAGAAATTTTAGAGAGGTTCCGAGGTACAATTTTCTGTGCCAAAATCCGTGTGGGCGCTACGGATTTTTTCCAGGCGTGCTCCATACGATTTTTCGGCACGGAGAATCCGTGTGGGCTGGCTTTCATAGGCTGTGTTTACATGAGGCGTTTCAACCCGGGTTGAGTTCGACTCGGGTCAGATTTCAACCCGCCATGCACACAAAATGAATGGCGTGTTTACATGACGCATTGCGCTTGACCCAGGTTGATTTCAACCCGGGTCAAAGATAGCGTAATACGTACTTCTGTGCGCATCTCGCGCCTGGTTTGAACAGCACTCTGCACATGCAAATTTCGCGCGAAAGGATTCACGTGACCATACAAGTGGAATTTTGGTGGCATATCAGTATTTGACCCGGGTCAACCGTCTGCATGTAAACGCTCACCTATTTTGTCTATCGTACAGACTTTCAACCCGGGCTGAAATTTAACGAACCGTGTTTCGTATGGATATTTTGAGTCATCAGGTGCAGAAAGATTTTTCGCGTACAAATTTGGTACGAGAAACATCGATTTTCCGCGGGAAGTTTTGATTTCGGTACAATTTTTCAAAATAAAAATGCGGGAATGTGCGATCGTAACCTCGGCAATGACGGCAAACACATAAGTTCCGTTCTCCGGAACATTTCACTGCTCGAAAACGACGTATAAAAAATCCGTAGCGCCTCTACGGATTTTGCCACGAAAAATCGCACTCCGGAACCTCTCTATTATTGTGTTTGAAAACATTTCGCGTTTCCTGAATTACTGGTAGTATCGGGCTACTATACACCGGACCCAAGCGCGCACAGGCAGGTAAAACGTCATCAAAAAACGGGGAGAACGACCGCGGTACCGCGAATGGCGAGTGTCAGTGGAACCGCGCTGCTCCGCTGCATGCAGCCCAGTGCCGCGGAGCAGCAGAGACGCAGTGAAACCTGGCCCCAAGGGCAAGATAAAGACATTCGCCTTGTCACAATATACTACTAGTATTCAACAGAAGCAAATGCACAAATCTACACCATACCTTGGCAGAGGTGATGCTTCCATAGGAAGAGAATTCCTTCTGCAGACGCTCGTCGTCAATATTGTCATCGATGTTCTTGATGTAAAGGTTGACACCCTGGTATGTTCTGCTACGCTGTTCCTTCAGCTTGGCGAACTTAGCACGGAGCTCAGCTTCACGTTCGTACTTCTTCTGGGCACGTCCAACATACAGAGTCTTGCCCTCTACTGTTTTCTCGTTCATCTCATTTCTGGCCTATGATCAGGAAAGCAAGAGAAAAGATGCAAACATTCAATTAACTGAAGGCCATGGCTTGGTCACCACAATAATGCACATTAGAAAAGCGAACGTAAGGGGCCATCCGTAAATATAGATATTTATTTAGAAACGAAAACTAGTCGTTTAGGGGGGAGGGGGTTAAGCGCCTGTTCGTTTCTCGAAAAATATCGATGTATATCGATGTATATTTTGCATGCGTGAGCATGTCCAGAAAAAAAGACCAAAAATATCGATATACTATGTAGCATTTGTATGTGTCTGGAGGGGGGGGGGGGGGGGGGGGGGGGGGTTGAAGAGAAGCGCCTAGTTTTCGTTTCTAAATAAATATCGGTATTTACGAAATGCCCCGAAGGTGGCTCAAACTGGGTGATACACAGATATTATTATGTACTTTCGTAGGCAAGCACAGCATATATTTATAGAATCTAAAACTAATATAATGGAATAAGGGCTGTCGAGCTCCAAATTAAGACACTGTGTGTAGCAAAAATAAAAGCTTGGAACAAAATCGGACATCAAAAAGGCTCCACGCTACGTAGAGTTGAGCAACTTTCGTTAGTGGGGAGGAAAAACCCGTGAATTCGAGAGTTCGGCACTCCACCTACGGAAAGTTGTGTACGGAGAGTACGTAAATGGAGCTCCACTAACGGGGGTACTCCATAATTGGATCGGGGTATAAGTTAACGCCTTTTTGGGGTCGTAATGAACTTTTCGCTCTCATGGAATCCTCAATTAGGATATACAGTACAGATGATATCCATGCATTCTCATTAAAACCTACCTTCTCGGCATCAGCTGGTAGCTCAAAGCTGCAGAAGCCAAAGCCACGGGACTTTCCGCTATTGTCAGTCATGACCTTGGCACTGACAATTTTACCAAACTCTGAGAACATTGCCTCGAGTTTCTCGTCACTATCGACCTCATCTGGGAAGTTCTTGATGTAGATGTTGGTAAATTGCTGTGGTGTGGTGCCGAGCTTCTCGAGACGTTCACGGCGTGACATGAACCGACCAACAAACCTACACCAAACACAAAAGCAGTCAATGATCTTAATACATTGGCATACAGATAACAGTGCAAATGCAACCAAGAGAAAGTGAACATCAGGCAAATTCGAGCTATTAACCGTTTCCGGGTTTATGACGAGTATATACTCGTCATGCAGACCCCACCGGGCCTGGGCAATGCCAAGTATACTTGCGCTATACTTTTTGTATAGTGCACATGCTGTAAGCACTGGACAGATCACTGTACAAACAGCCATAACTCTGGAACGGAATATCGCATCGCCATGATCAATAGCTCATTGGAACGGTCTTGGAAAGGGCTTTTAGGGTTTTTTCGGTGTGGTGACAGCTCACCAAATGATCGAGCGGGGATAAATTGAACGCGCAATTTTCTTACTTTCTGTCCGGCGATTTTTTGCGACTTTCAAGGCATTCACGGGGATTTACCAATGACGTGCCAAAGGCAAAATAACGTAAGAGTACATCGTTTGAATGGCTTGAATCTCGCGAGTTCGGTGCAGTTTGAATCGTAGTTCTAGGTTGAGTATGAGCACCGAACTGAAGGAAATTGTTGTGCGTGGGGCGTCCTTGGGGTGCTGTATCTGTCCCCTTGGAAAAACACGATTCTGCGGCTGCGGCAATTTTCCGCGGAAATCACGGAATCCACACTTTTGCCCGCGGAATCTGATTTTTTTAATGGTAAATTACTAAAATTACTACTCAGAAAGCAGCAGAAAAATTTACTTTGCGATCTGTTTGAGCACATTGCTCTTGCCAGTGTAGGTGAGTGCATGTCTCTCCAAAATTCTTCACTCTAATTCAGTTCGTGAACGCAAAGGATAGTGTGAAAAGTACTCCTTCATGCAACTAGTTGTCATAATTATCCTCTACAAGGACTTGAAGGAGGGTGAAAACTTGCAGAAAATGCCACAGATTTTTTTACTGCAGAAAATGGCGCAGAAAACACCCCTTTTCTCCGCGGGATTTTGAATTCTTGGCCGCGTTTTTTCCAAAAGGACAGCTGTATGCTCTGAAAGCACGTGGAAGATGACGAGCCGGAAAGAGCTTTCCCGTAAGCCATAGATTGTGAAAATCCGTTGAGAAACAATAATGTACTGACAATGTGTTTGTTGCTATCTCCCCAATAGTACAGATGCACTGAATTACAGTGCCCAGACGCAGTAAATGCACTGTGACCCTGAAAGGGTGAACAAGTTTTCCTCTGGCAACTAGGCTTTGAGCGCATTCACTCTCCTTTCAATCTTTACGTACACATTGCCGGGAAAAATCTATCGCAAACTTGGATTTCAACGATCTATGGCGTATAGGAAAGGTATGAGCCAACCGAAGACACTTTGGCAGCTCTCAGCTCCATAGACTTGCCAAGGTCACATATACGTGCTCAAAAAGCTGCCCTTTCAAGTCTCAGGCTGTGTTTACATGAGGCGTTTCCACGGGGATGAGTTCGACCCGGGTCAGATTTCAACCCGCTATGTACACAAAATGAATGGCGCGTTTACATGACGCATTGCGCTGGACCCGGTTGAAATTTCGCCCCGGGTTGATTTCAACCCTACCCCCAAGGGAGGGTTGAAATCAACCCGGGGTGAGAAAATCGTACTAACGTACTTCTATGCGTATCTTGCGCCAGGTTTGAATAGCAGTGCACAGGCAAATTTTGCGTGAAAGTATTCACGTGACCATACAGGACTCTAGAAGTGGACTTTTGGCGGCATATCAGTATTTGACCCAGGTCAACTGCCTTCATGTAAACGCTCACGTATTTTGTCTACCGTACAGACTTTCAACCCGGGCTGAAAATTCTCATGTAACCACAGCCTCAGAAACGAAAACAATTTCAAATCACATTTTTGTTCGCAATCTCTCCCAAACTCAACCGATCTTCATGCTTTAAACTGCGCTGCAAAGCTGATATCTAAGCGCTTTGATTGATGTCCAACACGCATGCGAAGAAGCCGAGGGAAGCCCCCCAGGAATATAGGAGTCAGGAGCGAAAAAGTATGAAATGATGGTTAGATAAAACGTGATATAGAACAAAGATGCCAACATAATACCATGTGATTTGAAATTGTTTTCCGTGATTACATCATTTTAGTGATGTAGATGTGAGCCTGTGAAAATCGGTGCGAGCGAGCGACTTTTTATTTTATTTCCCACATTTTTTTATTTCCAAAGATAGGGCCACACATACATGTATGTACATGGTCACATGTTCATAATTATATTCAGGCCAGGGAGTAGAAAAATACCGGTATTTTACTACTCCCTGATTCATGCCTTTCGCCAAGAGTACATGAAAACCAGAGTGTGCAGCTTGGGGCCTTCTCTGCTATGGCTGTCTGTCACGGCGGAATTCCGTGATTACATCATTTTGGTGCAGATCTGAGGCGGGAAATGGCGTAGTGCGTACAACTGAGCTGCAGTTGTGCAGAAAGAGATCTGCTTGAATCCTGCTTGTACGCACTACATCACTAAAATGATGTAATCACGGAATTTCGCCGTGACAGCAACCCATCCGAGCTGCACACTCTAGTTTTCATGTACTCTTGCTTTCGCATTGACCGTTTTGATGCACGCATATGAACGCATAGAATTTAAAAAATTCGTCAGTGCGCCGCCAAAAATCGAAGCGCGCGTACTTGAGAATCAAAGATAATTTTCACCATGGCCTAAGTAACTGGGTTGTAGTCTTCGGGGTGCGGAGTCAAATGGTCTTGGTCCGAGGAAGCTGAGACGCTCCCTTCCTCCTTTATTCCCAATCGAACTTGCGCACTTTAACCAAAACTGGGTGACTGCGCCCAACGAGATGGGGATTTGTATGCAAAAAGTCACTAAAAAGTAAAAGCGCTGTTTCGTTCTTAGGCCCTCTTCAGACTAGGTACAAAACAGCCTATGTCACATGTACATAGAAGTTTCCAAGACAACAACAATAATCTGGCGGGTCCTGCATTTATCGTACTTTCACCAGGCAGTCGTACAAACGGACAAACTTTGTGCCCGGATACGACTGCCGCCTGCTTTCACGCATCCCAGGCCCCTTGCGCAAGTGTGTAGGGTCAAAGATTGCCTGTATATTGCATGTAAAATGTGAAGTCTGAATGCAGGCGTGGAAAAATGTTGCCCTTTAGGTTTTATGTGATTTTGTACTGGATGTTCTATGTACGTAGTCTGCAGAGGGCGGTCACGTGCTCATGTGTACACCAGTCACCTGGTCACCATGCCCGCAGGCTACAACTTACAGCCCATTTGAGCGCGTTCCTGTCACTCGAGTTGAACCTTTTAGTTGAACCTTGGTGTGAAAGTTGTCGCCTGCAGGCACCATGACCAGGCGACTGGCATACGCACGAGCACGTGACCACTTCCTCAACCGTGTTTGATTGGGAATAAGGGCTCCATGGGCCCTGCTTTAGCCTCTCGAATAAGGGCCGAACGCTGGATCGCAGCCTTTTCGGACCAAAACCAGTCGACTCAGCGTCCAAAAGACTACAACATATGGACCAATCGTGGTCATACGTGCTTTTCTAAGAAGGAAACGGCGCTCTTAGTGACTTTTTGCATACAAATCCCCATATACAGTTGGGCTCTGTGAAATCCGACCCAGAGTGCACATTTGGCGCCTCTTTTTGCACGGCCCTTGACGCCCTCGGAGTGGCACGAATGCGGCTGGACGTACACATGTACAGATACGATGATGTAATCAAAACTGGTACAGGGCGCCAGTTTTGCACGTTGGATTTCACCGAGCGCAACTGGTAGGGCGCAGTCACCCAGTTTCGGTGGAAGTGGGAATAAAGGAGGAAGGGAGCGCCTCAGTTCCCTCAGACCAAGACCAGTCGACTCAGCACCCCGCAGACTACAACTGGTGAACATTTGATTTTAGGTTATACTTCCCCTTTACAGAGAGAGGTTCCGCACTATGTAAAGTTGAGCAACATAACGTTAGTAGGCGGGAAAAACCCGTGAATTCGCGAGTTTGCACTCCACTTACGGAGAGTTGTCTACGTAGAGTACGTAGATAGGGCTCTGATAATGTGGCTGGTCCGTACGTGGATTGGGGTACAAATTTATGACTCCCTCCCCAGGTCGATCCGGTCGTACACTGCCGCGTTCGGAGTTGCCAAGGGCAGCTACGTGATTTGAAAACTCCGTTATGCGGAACACAGATGCGCATGCAGTTAACGTAAAACTTTCCGTAGATAGACTACCTTTTTAATAACGTAATTACGTTATGCGGAACCTCTCTAATCTCTACTCTACAATACCTAAATGGGCATCTTGAACTATGGTGAAACCTGTTGAAGGCGACAGCTCAAGGGACTTTAGAAATGTAGTCCCGTGTACAGGTGGTCTCCCTATGCAGGGTCATTTGACTGGAAATAACATCCATTGGTCCTGGTTGTAGTAAGTGGTTCTCTGGGACAGGTGGTCGCCTTATCATGTTTTACTATAATAGCAGAATACTGCAGTCCAATCTGTACAGTTCAGAAAATAAATGATATACAAATTACAAAACTTACACCTTGCGGTCATTCAGCAGCATCCCATTGACTTTGTCAATAGCTTGTTGGGCAGCTTCATCAGTCTCAAAATGAACAAAGCCGTATCCCTTGGACTGGCCCTTATCGTCAGTAGCCACCTTGCATGACATAATTGCTCCAAAAGCATTAAATGTGTCAAACAGAGCCTTGTTATCAATGCCCTTGTCCAAGTTCTTGATGAAGATGTTACCAACTCCAGATCGGCGAACTGCAGGATCCCGCTGTGACCACATTATGCGCATTGGACGGTGCTTCATTGGCTCGAAGTTCAACGAGTCCATGCACCTTTCGGCTGCACAGGAAACAAAGGTGTTCAGGCATCGCACAGGAACTTTAATAACAGATGAATCTCACAGTAGGGGCCTTCCGTAAATACCGATATTTATTTAGAAACTCGGATGTTGAGCCAACAACAAATGTAGAAATGAATAAGACATATCGATACGAGTAACTGTCCACCACTTTAACCCTTTGTGTACCAGCCCCATCTCGAACCGTACCATATGGTACGGTTCGCTGCACTCCAATCAAGCGCGCCGTTCCCCGCCGCCGTAGCTCCGATCGACTCGCGGTTTTTTGCGCTTGACAGCTGAGATCCCACTGAAAATTTTGATGTATGACATGGGTAGGTTGCCATTTGAAAGTATGGAGAACGAACGCGTTCAAAAGTATGCTTTTCAGCGCAAACAATTGTCGCTGTTTCGATCGTGTTCTCGCTCAGTTTCTCTGCTTGTAGCGAAGATGTAGCTTGTTCTAGGTCATGTCGACGTCTTCTAGACGTGGTGGACGATTGGAGAGATCGGCTGTGGCGATATCATCGCGGAATGCGACTCGAAATTGAAAATTTGTATCGCTGATCCCATCGCAGTATTCGCTCTCAAAACAGGAGCGAGAGAGAGGGCAGCGATGGCCTAAAATCGTCAAGGCAGGCGTAATTCACCAGCCAGCGACTGCTTCTTGTCTTCTCTTTCACTTACCTGACGCTGGATGTGAGTAGATGAAGAAAAATATAGATTTCGAATCTGAGACAAGAATTCAAAATTTGCAATTTTGAACCAATTGTTTTACCTCAAATGTGTGAAAATATGACCATTTCCCTGGTGTGTTGTTACTCTTCATGCACTGAGACAACGCTTATGAGGTTGTTTTGTCCCTATGTTCCCAGTACACGAGCACAAACTAATTCTCAGTCTATTTGTTTGTGATACCCTGGTTGGTCAGAAATATGCACAATTGGCGTGTATCTTTGGTATTCCACCTATGGCCTTCATATACTACTGCATACTGTACCAATATCCATGCTTACCTGGGTGCAGTGATACATATGGAGTCAGGAAAACACAACTTGCATATACAAAAGTTGTCTAGATTTCATACCATGGTTGCTTCTTTGGCTGCGATAGCCCCTTACATACATTAGATGGCTGGTACATAAAGGGTTAACTAGATACCGTGCTTTCCGGAGTAAAAGCCACACTTTGAACACTCAAAATTCACCCAAAAGGGGCGGAGTGTGTCTTATACTCTGATGATCAAAGTAACGGTGATAAGAGGCCGTCCATAAATACATGTACTTACTTAGAGACGTCTAACAGGCGTTTTTTGACCCACCCACCCCCAGAAAACGCCCCCAAAAATGCAGATAATACCATTCATAATGAACACCATGCTATGCACACATATACAGTACAGTCGACTCCACTTATAACGAACGCGCATATAGCGAAGTTTGTGATATAGCGCACCCTTGTCCATGTCCCTGTTTATTATCATCATCATTATTATTATTATTATTATGAAATGACCCAAAGGCGATATGCCTATCGAGGGGTTCATTTGAACCCAACAGAATTGACCCTTCATAGCGAACAGATTTCGAATATAACGAACCAAATCACACCTACAAGTCGTTTCTGAGAGTACAGAGTATGTGTCCCTGTCTACTCTGCCGTGACTAGCGCAGCGTAGTGCGTCTCAACGCCTACCTGTACTAGCTGTAGCAGTGCTACATCATGTACACGCTCACGGTATGGTATGCATGCACTCCAAAATGTATTTTTTAGAAACGCCTTGCAGGCGAACCCACCCACCAGAAACGCCCCTAAATAGGATTGATGTCTGTATTTCGTGGCAAAAAAATGGGGGGGGGGGGCTTATGTTCCAGTGCGGCTTATACTCCAGAAAATACGGTACTATACAATCGGATAGTGCAACAACTAGGCACTAACTGACATAGTACAGAAACATTCGACAACCGAACACCTAGCTCCAACACATCTCCGGAGCGTTAGTTATAGCACTGTCTGACTGTATTATACTAGTATCTTGCTACTCTTCACCCGTCTCCACACGTCCCTTTCCTTTCTACATTTATTTATAAACGAAAACTACTCATTTCTCTTCCACCCCTAAGACCACGTTTGTTTTTTGTCTACTTGGTATAGTAGAGTAGAGCGGATGTCGGAAGAAGAGAAGACGGAAGATGGTAGTCTGTGGACGCAGATCTACCCATTTCGAGAGAGCGTTGATTTTACAGTGTAACATATATTTTGGGAAAACCAGCCCTCATGGCCACACAAGCACACGAATATCCTACCTCTACCAACTTCTAAAGGCTTCTACCAGCCTCAAACCTGGTAGAGCCGGTGGACGAATGTAGAATTTACCGTTTGGGGAAGAAAAATGGATAAATCTACCGAAGAAGAAATTTCTACACAAACCTGTAGATCAAAACCGAGCGCCTCCAAATACCGTATTTCCCCGATTATAGGTGGCGCTCGATTATAAGTCGCACCCCCCATTTCCAGGTTTGAGCAATATTGTTTTGATAAATTGACTTCAGTAGTAAGTCATGCTCGATTGTAAGTCGCACCCCCTTTTTCACCCTTCATTTTTAGTGTAAAAGGGTGCGACCTATAATCGGGGAAATACGGTACAGCAAAGCCTTAGACTTGGTAACTACTGTCTTACTTTGTTGTTCCCTCACACAGATCTCTTCTTGTTACAGGTACAATTACCAAGCCATCTGTAACTATGAAAAATAGACGGAGGCTCGTTTTCATTCGATGTGTGTGTTAACATGTACCACTTGCAGAAGCTTCTTCCTGCTAGGGGATGGATGAGTAGGAATCAACAGAAATCAAATCTTCTCATTTCTCAAAATAGGTAATTGTGGAAGTTCTTCTTAGCTGAGGGTGTAGACCCTTTTCATTTACACATCTTCGGCCGAGTTCTCCGGTGTATGGATCCAGTGGAGACCCGGGAATCTGGTGGTGGTGGGGGTGCATTTTCTGTCTACGCAAAATATGCGTCTGTACATGCATGAAGCTGTTCTCTAGCACAAACAGCCTGAACAATGATTTGAGAAAAATTCAAATGAATGAAAACGATGTCCTGCAAGACTTGTTTTACATTCAATTAAATTAAGATAATAGGTTGTTGATACGTTTCGCTTATTATTTGCAACAATACGTTGAATCCCCCAAAAATTAATTTCAATGGCCTATTGCACGAACGTAAAACATCAAAATTTTTACTAAGTACGCACGCATGCCTACAAATGGGCAAATGAAATTAGCTTAACTTTTCTGATCATCATAATTAGAATTTGTTTGCATGGGGTTTGGACTACAATAAAAGGGGTGTCGTATCTCCTCCAGGAATTGCAGAAAATGACTGTCGAATCACGGGTGCCACAAGGACAGTCACAATACACAATTCACACAAATTGGGTCACATTACACTTACCGTCTGCTGGATTCTGAAAGTTGACGTAGGCATACCCGAGAGAACGGCGTGTGACAACATCGCGACAAACGCGGATAGACAGCACTGGTCCCAGGGCACTGAACTTTTCGAAGAGCATAGCTTCTGTGATATCAGGATGAAGGTCTCCGACATAGAGAGAAGCTGGAGTCACTTGCTGACCAGCAAAGTTAGGTGTTGACGGATTCATCTTCGGTCTTCAAGTTTTCTGCCAGAAGCAGCAACACAACTGGGCTAAGTTTTACGATTTTTTTGGTCTTTTTCTAATGAAGAGCAAGAGATATCACCCTCCGATTGGAGAGCAACACCAACACTCGAAAGAACAACGCAAGAAAGGATTGGAGAGGCAGAGGCAAAGCTCTGTACTTTGCTTATATACAACGAGCGTTCTGTTGCATGCACTGGCAACGGCAGCAGCACTGCCATGCACAGTCAGCGCTGATTAGTTGTACCCGGTTGCGTGGTAACAGATATGAGGGCTAGGGGTCAAGCGCACTTCGTACACATCATACATGACTGTACTTTTTTTTTTGTAGTTCATACTGATTACTACAGCAGTACAGACTACAGACACAGTACAGTCAGTGATCAGTCATGTCTGTACTATTCTATAAATCAGTAGACCTACGATTCAGTAGCTAGCTGACGCGTAGACCTACATACAGCCGAGCCGCACATATCCAGCCGAGTTCAGACTTGAGCTGAACTGGCTGAATAAGAAGCCCCGCAAAGGGCCGCATGCGTGTAGATCTACGATCCGTGCAGCGCGCGGTACCACGACCCGAGCGCAAGTCGTAGCACAGACGTGACCTTGCGCTTGCAGCTTGGTGAGCTGAGCGTCGTGAGCGATCGACCAAGCACGTGACGTAGATATACTAGTATCTACACGTTATTTCAGAAATTTTAGGTTCTCAATATTTTCGGTATGAGGGCAAAAGGCCAGGTTAGGTGAACAGAAATTTTAGGTACAGAGAAGTATATTTGTAGTTCTCTATTGCCGTATTGGATAATGTGTGTAAGTGTTTGTTCGGTGTAATGAAATTTTAGGTATGAAACAGATGCACCGAAAGTACCGAAAATAAAAGTACACCGAAAATTTGTGAAATTACAGTAGATCTACAGTCATCATGGTCATGTAGAAGTCTACGAGTAGCAAGAAGTAATACTATAACTCTTTTTTTCGTTACTATGCAAGTATTATAATTGTTGTAGTTGCATAGTTTGGAGAGTTGAGAAGCGAAGTTTCCTAAAATATTGTATGCTAATCAATATCACTGTTTTGGGGCTGTTTTCATTGAAAAGCCATTCAAGTTCGTGACTCTAGATGGGTCAGAAAAGTGCCCGCAGACGGACGTGCGTGGGAAATCCTGATCTGGGGAGTTTTACTGTAGTACTGTAAGACATGTATATAACGAGGAAGTAAATATTTAATTTAACGTTCTAACGGATGCCGACATAAATGTACATTTACATGTATCTTCGAGACCGTACTGCTTCATACATGTATGACCAGGATCATTGGGCCAGGTCCTGTGATAATCCAGCCTGATGACCACGGTATCCTACATGTATGAGTACAACTCAGTCATGGCTTTGACTGTGCACGTGGCAGTGTTGCTGCCGGCTGCTAGTTGGACCATGCAATAGAATACTTGGCAAAGTATAAAGGTTTTATTAGTCATGATAAAGGAACGCATTAACAAAACCAGGCTACAGAGGAGTTACACCATTCTCATTCAACAAAAACCATTCAGAAAAAAGACTTGACTTTGGTGGCTTGGCTCGGCTAAAAAGGCTGATTGGAAATGTGCGGTATTCACCGTACCACTCTTTGCCCCAGTTACCCCATGGATCAATAAAATGCACTGACCTGGGCTCTAAATTTCCAAACATTTTGGATAAGCCGCCCGTGACTCCCCCACGAGTAAATTGTACTTGAGATGGCTGACTGTAGCACACTAAAATGCCTTCCAACACCCCTGCATGTACTGATTACTAGGAACCAAGGGACCCCCCCCCCCCCCCCGGCCCCAAGCATCCCAATGTAACTTGTATCAGCTTGCTTATAGTATACACAGTGATCTTACCTTTCAAATGTTTTTTTGTTGTTTTTTTGTTTCTGTTCTCTGTTTCTGTTCTCTGGCCAGCCCGGCGAATTTTAGAAAATGTACACCTACATTGTTGATCACAGCAAATGGTATAACATAAGAACATCACAATTTTTAACATACCGTATTATCTCTAATATAAGCACGGTCTTTTATTTTTTCAATGTACCTCCGCCCCGTGCTATTAATGGAGACGTTTCTTTATTGGAGACTGTTCCATTATTATTTCAACGTCATTTCAGAGGCATGTTGCCATGCCAAATTCATGTCAGACACACACATTTCTGGGTTTTTTCGCCGGTACAGATAATGAATTTACACAGTGTGCTTATAATGGAGACTGAGCACTTTATTTTTTGAATGCCGCCCCAAGGTGTTCTATTATTGGAGACGTGCTATTATTGGAGACTGTGCTTATATTAGAGATAATACGGTATACATGTACATGTCGCTGAATGTCTTTCTTTTTTTTTTTAATTTAGCGACTCAATGGTGGCAAAGGCCTTTGCATAGAAGAACCGTAAAAAAACGCCTGTGAGATGCGCACCCCGCTGCCACTTACTAGCACAGTCAGACCTCGCTTATCCGGTCCTCGTTTATCCGGATCCCTCGCCATCCGGAAGAAAATAGTTGGTTACAAATGTACAGCATATGCCATGCTTACATACAGTATGTGTGTTCGATTATCCGGTTCCCTCTCCTATCCGGATATTTTTGTGGAAAACGGATGTGTGCGGTTATGCGAGGTCTGACTGTAGTGAAATACATGTACTAAGTAGCAGGCTGAACTACTATGATCCTGGGCTGAAACATGCGAACACGCATTGCTCAACTTACTCAATCCCGCCTGCTGGCCCAGCTTTAGCCTCTCGAGATCTTGCATTTGAATTTACATGTATGTATTGCCTGAGTTTGAATATTTTAGAACAGTGTGCCAGTAAAGATCATAGCTCACACACAATCCACAGACAGAAGTCTTTCTCCTTTGTTTTAACAGCGCAAGGCGTAGCACACCCAGGCTGAGTACAATCAACATCATAACTTCATAAGACAAGTACATGTACTGTAAACATGTAATTTTAGGTGCCTTAGAAATTCGGTGACAGGGACCTGCCAGGTTTCAGGTGTAATTTAGAATTAGGTGACCAGCGTTCCCTTCACATACAGTGCATACTCTAGTGCCTTTTAGGTGTAATTTATTTAATTTAAGTGCTGGTTTCTCTACCAAAATCACCGAAATTAGTTACACCGAAAATTATTGCGTTCATGAACTGTTCTGTGGGTTTGCAAACTCCACAGTGTCACTACAATGGCAACTAGTGCCCTGAATACAAAAGCAACATGCATGCTGCACACGACCAGGCGCACTGTTCCAGTCAGTCATGACGTTTCTTTCTTCTATTATATCTGAAAAGAGCCCTACGGACGGTGCTGTACTGATGAATACGCTAGTATCAGACATTTTGTCTTTGTAAATGCAAGCAGAGTAGTGTAAGCATGTACAGTATGGAATTGCATGGTTTTTTCCCCCAATTCAGTGCTTTGGGGGCAACTTGAAAAGCTGGCCGAAATCCTATTGTTGTTATGGCTTGCTCTTTGGAGAAATCAGTAGACTTCAAAAACAAAGGAAGAACATTCCATGATGCGCCGTGGATGGGGGATTGCCAAACAAATTGTGAAATCATGTACAGTGCGTATCGGTTATTATAGTGTGGTCGCCGGTATACAAGAATATACTGCTTACAAGAATGAACACTCATTTTTTCACAATCATAACACATATTTTAATGTGTATATTTATTCTTACAAGCAGTATTATCGCATAGTAGAATATATCGGCCCTAAGAATGGATTTTGTGTAGCAAAATATTCCAGATTAGTGCAAAGTGTATCGCCTGTAGTAATAACATCTGTGCTCTGTGCATACTCAATACAATAATATTCAACACAAAAAGAGAGTCATGTCCAAGGGAGCATTGGAGAATCACTTTTTCTGTCCAGTCGGACTCTTTCTTCCGACTTCTCTCGTATCCACTGCACCAGAGTCGCCTAGCATGACCGCGAGTCTGATTGATCCGTGTGTATCATGTGTACGTGTCCACATGCCAAACGTGCGCGCATATGATATGTCACACGTGCATATGATATGTCACACGTGATTTATCGTGTGTAAGAAATATCGGCAATAAGAATCAAATGTCGTTTTTCAAACACCCACGCTATAACCGATACCTACTGTACAATGTACAGTGCACGCCATGCCCATGCCATGGCCATGGTGTAGATATCTACGGTCGGTTCCCTTCAGTCAGATGGTCAATCGCAAGACCGGCACTATGTAGTTGAGTACTACTACTGTAGTACTACATCTTGTAGATGTCGACTGAGTGACAGATATGCGACACTCTTCTCAACACCGGTGCATCGTGTGTCCTCCGCCTTGTTGTTACTACATGTAGCACTACAGACTAGACAGTCTAGACTACAGAGTACAGTCTACATTGTACTGTACTACAGACACAGTGCTGGCAACTGAAATCCGATCCCCCGAGCGGTGCACTCACATCGCAAAGATCCAACACGGGATGGTAAAACTACGAAACATGAACCCACCGCTCAGAGGGTCGGATTTCAGTTGCCAGCACTGTAATACACCCACTAGACTACAGACTAGTACAGTGCGGTACGCGGTATCTATCTACCGTCGACCGTAAACTGTTACCGTTACAGGCAAAACAGAAAAATTAATGATAGAGCACTTACTGGTTGTCTTTTTTTTTCGCTGACGTGATGAGCACTGCCTGTCCTGGTTGCAGTATCTCCTTGCTCGACTTTCTCCGCTCTGCCTTTCGTTCAGACTCGGTAGGTTCCTCGCAGCTTTTTTATAATTTTTTTGGGCTGACCACTTCCACACTCAGACGACCTAGCAAGAAGAAGACATGAATGTCTGTATTTCCTACTGAGACATAAGTCTACAAGTAATATTTTTCTTGTTTATAGCTTGGCAGAAACAGGAAAGAACAGCGAAACCTAGGAATGCTGACTCTTTTACCAGTGCTGCAGTGATCGTGAATCGTATCTGGCTGCTAGCTGCTCGCGTTGCTCGCTCGCAGGCTGCTATGCCTACAAGTGTAAGCCTAAGGAGTAAGGTTTTACGTGGCACTAGGCAATGATATGAACCCACGCTGTGGGCTTTCTCTTTAGTTTCGCCTTGTACTAGCATGCAGCAAACCAAGGTCAAGGAGTTACTGTTTGTGCGACTCCCCACTGATATCTGTGTCAGTAGTGGAAGTGATCAACGCCTTCACAGTAGTCAGTACAGTAACTGTCGCGTTTAGCGTAGTGTCTCCAGTGCACTCATTGTCGAATACTACAGTACTCAGACTACGGGGTCGGAGCCGATTATGTGGTTCAGAAAGGCTGACGTCTGAGACCGATCCCACTGGTTAGTAGATCTACTGTAGCGTAGTTCTTTGCCGGTGTAGACCTACCCTCTCTCAAGAATCTAGTAACGAGGGAGGAGGAGGTTACGTAACCGTTACTAGTCCTTACCAGCACAGCTAGCAGCATAGCAGTGCGGAGTGTTCGTTGCTCCATCACGGGACTGACGTGCACTCATACTACTACTGAGTACTAGTACAACTACTCTTTGAGTATCTCCTTGGCCACTGCGTCTGTCCTGGCATAAGGCTGCTTACTGTTGGTACGTGGTGATGATGGTCATTGCCATTGGCTAGTCTGGTGAGCAGGTTTGGGTAGTGCCCACAGAGTACCCACAGAGTGACTTCATGCTTACATGTGCTTGCACTGTCTTGCTACCCTTGACCTTTTAATTAATACAATCATTCATTATCCACACGCCACCAATCATCCACACAACCTGGTTCTCAGTTCTACTGCCCTGCACAGCAGTTGAAACTTGAAAGAGGATGCTGGACAGACGGAGCAGAGTGATTGCGGCCATCAACATTGCCTCTGCAGTGGATAGCGCTGATGGAGCTTTACTGCCGGCCGTGTATGGTGCCTTGGAGAGTGAGCTGGAAATGGGGCCGGGTGTGCTTGGGCAGCTGGCACTCTACTCCAGCCTGGCAGCCACGCTCTCTTTGCCCATTTGGGGCCAGGTGGCCGACCAGCGACGCAGTGTTGGCGGACGCGTGCAGTTACTGATCGGCGGTTGCGTTGCCTGGGCGGTGTTGACCGCGCTGACCGGACTGACGTCCTCTTTCTGGGATCTGTGTCTGCTGCGCTCCTTGAACGCAGTAGCACTGGCAATGATCAATCCTGTCGCCGGATCGTTGATTGCGGACCTGCATCCGGCAGAGCAGCGTGGCCGGGCATTCGGCATCAATGAGGTGTGTAAGTCGACTGGTTCCATTATTGGCGCCTACTTGGCCGGCAAGTCCGGAGCAATGCTGGGCAGCTGGAGGTATGCATTTTTTGGATTTGGCATCGTGGCCTTGTGTGCAGCGCTATGCATTCGGTGCCTGGCATATGACTCGATGGCGCACACCAGCGATGCTCCAGAAAGCGGCCGTTCTGTGGCACCACGAGTAGGTGTCGGGCGTGCACTGCAAGTGGTGTGCTCCTCGGCAACGTTCCGCTTGATCGTTCTGCACGGTGTGTTTGGCTCCATTCCGTACCACTCGCTGGGCTTCCTGGCACTGTGGTTCCAGTCGGGTGGAGTCAAGGATGCAGGTCTAGCTGCTGCGCTGGGCTCAAGCCTACGTGTGGGTGGCATCGTTGGCAACATCCTTGGCGGTAAGCTGGGTGACATGGCCGCGCATCGGTCACCGCTGCATGGCCGTGTGTACGTTGCTCAGCTCGCCGATGTGCTTCGCCTGCCTCTCGTTTATCTCATCTTTCACGTTGGCGTGCAGAATGGCAGTGGGTCAATGGCAGCCGCTCTCCTATTCCTTATTGGTTGTATTGCGCCTTGGGTCAATGTCGGTGCCAATCGGCCAATTCTATCCGAAATCATCTCTCCGTCGCTCCGAGCGCGCATATTTGGCTACCAGCTTGGACTCGAGGGCATCTCGGCCAGCTTGTTTGGTGCACCACTGGTCGGCCATCTCGCCGAGCGTGTCTATGGCTACCATCGTCCGGCTAAGGGTGAGGCATGGAGGCATAGTGATCACGTGGCACTAGGCAACGCAATGTTTGTCTGTGTCATGGGCCCCTGGATGTTCTGCGCCTTTCTTTTTACGCTAATTCACTTCACGTACCCGCACGAAGCGCAGCGCGGGCAGAAAATCGGTGAGAAAGAAGTTGAGGAGGTGGTGTGATGATGGTGTACAGTGTACTTTTGTTGTGTTTTCATATGGCATACATGTGGACATCAGCACTGGGCTGGTATATTACTATCTCAGGTTTGACCTGGAAGAAGTCTTGAGTTGAATTGATGCTAGAATGAGTAGAACGAGTCTGTGTAATGCATCCTGGTAGCTTGATTATATTGAAAATAAACTACTTAAAGTACATCAGTCCGGAGAGAGTGTGTGAGACAGAGATGCAACTCCCCGCAATCTGAATCATAATTATAATGTAGTTTTCGGTTCAACTATGGCACATGCACACACGGCTGCAGTGCAGTGGGGTAGGAAGATGTTTTTGGTTTGGGGGTGGGGGCTGACTTCCACGCATTGACCTGCGCATTTCTACACCCGCGACTTGCTGGCCGTAGCCTGTAGTACGTGTACTAAAAGAACATGACTCACTTGGCCACTGCTTATAGGTCAGCTCTGAGCCTCTGACTACTATCAAGCTGATCAGTTGAGCTGATCGGAGTGCAGTGCACTGGTGGATCTGCGTGACTTGCGCGCGTGCAAAGACAAGACTAGAGAGGTTAAGATGCACGTTATTTTAGACGTGATGCGCAATTTCACATCAAATTTGGCGTAAAACTCCAAATCTCGACGTGAGCTGCAGGTCACTGGTGCTGTTTTTCGGAGCGCGAGCCAAATAACACGAGCTGTGTTTTCGCGTCACGTCAGAAATAACGTGCATCATAACCTCTCTAATTACTGTACAAACATGTTCACTGAGTTTCGGCCCTACATATACGGTAATAATGATTTGTGCTCAGCTACCATGGCTACGCTTGGGAGTTGGCACCGTGACTGCAGAGAGTGCAGTGAGCTGAGCAAGCTCCATTCCGAACACAACATCATTCTTCCACAGAAATCAGAGGACACAAGGACAGGACAGGAAGCACGTCAGCAGAAAGATTAAAATTAATTGTCATGTAGCTTGTTTGTTGTCCGAATGTTGCCGTGTATGGACTCTTGTGATATTCATGTGGCACATCATATGTATTAGTTATCTAACTACAGCTGTATCTTCTTCTTGGTTCTGTTTGTCCGCTTATTTTTATATATTTTTCTTTTCTCTTATTATCAGTCGGACCATTGTCATTAGGTTTAGGCCTGTTTTGGAACTCCACTTTAAATAAAGCCAAACAACAACAACTTCACTAGGTGTGAAATCATACATACATGTACTACATGTACATGAATCATTGTATGGGTCCCATGCAGTACAGCAATCCTGCATATGGTGCAAAGCAAGCGAGAAAAATGACAAGTTCATGCTACTGAGTGCCATCCGCATGCTGCCAGCAGTTCAAGGAGTCATACTGACCTCATTTTTTTGTATAAATCCCTGATGGTAACTTTTGCAAGCCACGTGAAACAGGATACGATGAAGCTTTGTTTTGTACCAAATCGAAACATGCACCGGTATGCGCATCGCGAGGTCCGGTTTTGTTGTATATGTATTTAACGTACGCTGTAAATCGGTAACCAGCGATTTTCTTCCGGATGGCGAGGGATCCGGATAAAAAAAGGATCGGATAAGCGAGGTCGAACTGTAACTACCGGTATGCATGCAGGAAATCATCTCGGAACCATGACGTCATGCCCAAAGCATACACGGTGTCTGATGGACATGCGATGACACGATAGTGTATACAGCAGAGCCTGTTCAAATGGCGAGGACACTGCTGTGAATTCCATGCTGGCCAGAGGACCTGCTCCCATATCCCGTACCACACACGAAAGCAACCAAACTTGCATCACATTACAGAAGGCTTGTTCAACTTTCCTGCCCACAGCGGAATAAATCATGCGCTATGGAGTGCGCAAGTCTTTTATCTGATCATCATGAGTTAAAAAATTGCACCACCTTTGAGAAGATTTGCATAACTTTCCCACACATGGCGGAATAATTCCTGCATCGTGGCCAACATAAGTCTTTCATGTTAACCAAGGGACACAGCAAACGACCTGGCGATTGAAAACAGCCACACGCTGCCATGGTCATAGTCTCTAGAAAAGACAAGTAAGTTGTCTGCCAAGAGAGTATTAAAGGAAGAAAGAAAACTCTACTTCAGTATGTACAAGTTAGTTCAGCGTTTATATTATGTACAATGTTTGCATGAGAGAAAACGATAGCGTGAAACTAGTAAGAAAGGTTACTACTGTACATCCTACGTGCTGCAGACACAATTATCTATCACCTTCTCGCCTTGGCTCTCGATTTTACACCAGTTGCACCGCCTTTTCCAGCCGCCTTTGCCAAGCCTTTGTACACTCCAGCTGCCTTGGCTCGTTTCCTACAAGGAATGCAAACACAGCAGACTATCAAGTGGGGGTGGCAACAAAACATGGCCGGGCACTACAATGTGTTCAAATGCTATGAAACTAGCGTACGTATGGTTCCAACTTCTACTACTCCTGCTCCATGGCACCTTGTATTGGTGTTGATAGTGTGTGGTTCACTCACATGCTGAGCTTGTCATGTTGTCATCCTATCTGTCAATTTTTCCATGCATACACCGAGTAGGAACAGCACGAAAACTACAATACGCTTACCGTCTATTCAGCATGTTGAAGCTAAGTGGCAGATAGGCATACGGGTCATGCTTGTCCTTCTTCTTTATGTCACCGCCAGCCTTCTGCAGGAGCACGCCACAATGGAGAGGAAAGGAGATGCAAGGTTACACCACTACTAGTATTCATTTCTAACTCAACCCATGACATCATCAAAGACAACCATGAGCTGTATGTTGACAATGCAGAAAGACCTGGGCAATGTCACATACACCCTAGCCATCTACATGCCATGATACAGTTAAGCCATGAGACCTCAGTACCAGAAAACAATTCATTCCTTTGCAAAAGGTAATACTGACTGCCCCAAATCAGCATCGGCGTCATGCAAATCTACCTTGCTACTGAAGAGCTTGACAAAGATGATAATGAATGTACATAGTAAAACACACACGCACGCACGCACGCGCACACACACGCACGCACACACACACACACACACACACACACACACACACACACACACACACACACACACACACACACACACACACACACAGACTAGATGCACACTATACCGACTACAGAGCGCCTGTACTCTTACCTTAGCTCTATACTCTTTACCAGAGCTAGTACCAGGGGCAGAGTCTTTGCCACGCTTGGCAGGCATACGTCGGTGAATACCGCTGCCACCTACAAAAGCAGCATCAACATAAACAACAGGCTCAACAATGCTGCCGATGCATTCACATCGTTTCCTTGGTAAATGATTGTAAAAGTAGTCGTGGACATTGAGATCCATTGAAGGGGGGGGGGGGGGGGCACCCCTACTGCCTTAGCGCGTGCATGGACTGTAGTTCACGTGCACACTGCTAGATGGACCAGCAGTGCTCACGGCTGCAAGGCTAGCGCCCAGTGGCCGCTTGACTTCTCTACAGATTTCAATGTCCACAACAGCATAACACTAACGTTAGCAAATAGCACCATGGAATACCCATCACAACAGTCTACCTATGCAGTGTGTTGGGAACTCTCCTACAGTTACAAGTATTATGGTATGCCAGCCCATGCCCTTCGTACTGGTGCTGTGACACCAGCCATTGGTTGATGACTAGACCACACGCCGCAAAGGGATTGTTATCATAAGAAAGAACACACTTGGCAGCAATCTGTAATATGCAGGCAGACAAGGCAAAGCAAAACGCTCCCTTCTCCTCCCTGTGAGCTTTGTCCGCCAAGCAGCACCAAGCACCTCTAGAACACAGAAAGTGATGACTGGTCAGACTAGTCAGAGAAACGTCCAAGAGTCAGACGCGAAAGAAAACGTAACACATCACGACCAGTTGCGTACCCCCTCGGACGGCATCATCTTCATCATCCTCATCCATATCTTCATCCTTGTTGCGACGACGCTTCGTTCCCTGGACAACAAACATGAAAAGAAAGGACAATCCAAGCGTATACATCATCTTGTAGGTCTACTGTACTTATCAAACACTCCTCCAATGATGTCGTTTTGGACAGTAAAGCTTGTGTTCTTGTAGCACAGAGCAGCCGCTAGTAACCAACCCCTCGCCACCCAAGTACTACAGCCCTGGCCCTGCACACAAAGCCATTTAACGGTGCTTGCTGCGACCACTGACTCATGGTTGGCTAACTGGCTTACCTTTGCTGCACCCCATGGGCTCGTCTCAAGACCTGGCAGAGGACACACAAACACACAACAGCAGTACATCAGCGGCGCAGGTTACCACCATAGCAAAAGGGGGAGGCATGATTTTTTTTGTTTTTTTTTCCAAGGGCCGGCATGTTCGGGCTCTTCGCCTTCTCCATGAAATAATCAGCATGATGATCAGGACTACAGTTGAAACTGATGACGGAACAGTTCAGTTAGATAGCACACTCAGTCTGCAAACATAGATGTATATAGCGGTTGAATCCACATGCAGACAAAATTATCAGTAAAAGCATCCACAAATGGATCACCAGTATACCATAGTAGTAATTACTTTGGTTTGCAAACACATCTCTGCATACCACAGGCATATATAGCTGCATGGTAAACCGTGTGTATGGTAAACAGTGTATGGCATCGGGATAGTGAAGCATCTCATGAAAATGCATGCCATAGCACGTATGTGGTTGTTAAATCAATATAGATGTACCGGTGCTGCTGCTGCCTCAGCTTAGCACATGCATTCAAACTCACTGTCTGCTCCTTCACCATCCATAGCAGGCTGGCCACCATCATCGTCATCATCAATCACCATCTTTCCGTCTTGAACCTCGAATGGCAGTCCTGCTTTCTCTTGACGGCGTGGGACGTGTGGCTTTGTTGCTGTACGCATAAGTGAATTTCATCACAGAAAAAGATCATTTATATTTATTCGTCAAAAACTAAAATTGTGTGTTGCTCCGGGTACATACTGATAAAGTTCAGCAACACCTGGCACCCTCCCTTACCTACCCCCGTGACTGTACAAATGTAGGTTCTGGAAGGAGATACAGCATTCCTGAAGAGTGAAGATCCAGAGTATATTCGCAACCCAAAACGTAACCAACAAGCAAACTTCATCCTTCAGCCATGAACGGAAACTTGACATGTGAATACAAATCGCTTCATCGCCCAGCCCCCTGCAGACTTACCCAGAACCTTTCGACTGGATGACGGGTCAAGCAAGTCCAGTGGGTCATCATCGCCACCTTCATGAATCCAAGCTTTCCGGCGAGTGGATGCTCCACTGTTGCGATCAGACTGCAGACAACAAGAATTGGTGATCCGCGTGAGATGACAGAATTTTTTTGTATGAGCTCAGGCAGAGCAAGCACCACAAACAAAGCAAACAGACAAAAGCGAACTTGGACAGCACCCCTTCTATGATTGCGATGCCATCTGCTACAGAGGACAGCAGCATGGACAATGGCATCGTCCTACTTCATTCTTCAAAGAACATGATTATAGTATACATGTACTCTGAAAGTAATGAAACAGGATTATGATGTCAGCCATGGAGTGGGTGGTGGCTCTTGGTCAATGAAAAGCATGATTGTACATCAGAGCTGGTAAACACACATGCTCCAGTCAAACACGGCCAACATTTCCAACTCACTATATCCATATCCATGGTTTGGTCACCTTCATCATCACTACTGAACAGGCCATCATCGCTGTCATCCTCGTCCTTCTTCGACTTCCTGCAGTCAGCCAAACAAGCAAGATAATCATACCCACGTTATTTCAAATTCTTCGCATCTTTTGACGGAGAAGACAAGTGTCAAGATGTTACTTTTCCTGAACATGGGTGAAAAAACGCAGTCCAGGAAAAGATAACACGTGCACAAACAATTAAAGCTGCCCAGAGTACGTGATGAACACATCCAACTACTCCATTGTCTTGTGGGAACTGTGGCAACACGCCCAGTGAGAAGGCAGGTATTGCCTGTGACTATGGTGAAGTAAAAATAAAGATCAACAAACAAACTGGGAAGAGTAGCACACATGCCGTAGAACATTGTGTCCCAGCACTTCAATAAGGACGTTTAGCAACGCGAAACTTCGAAAGAAAAATCCGAGTCTGAGGAATGAGTACAAAAAAAAGCTCGAAACTTCGAAAACTGGGACGCGAAGTTGCAGTGATTTGCGAAAGTAACTTTCTCTTTTCTCGGTACGCTTTTGACTACAGGGAGTAGCAATTGTACAGCCCCCTGCTTGAGACTGAGCTGCATATACGGTACGGTACTATAAGATTCAAATTACTTCGAGAAAAAGTCATTTCGCATTGCTAAACCTCACAAGTTTTCTTTTTCGAAATAGATTTTCGCGAAACATCACCACCACCAAAAGTGCGAATTTTCGCATTGCTAAACGTCCTTAATAACGTAAACCAACAAGAAAACCAAACCAATACATGCAATATAAGGCCTAAACAAAAAATAGGCTTGTTTCCGGTCGGCAACCCCTCAAAAAGGAGACTCGGTCGGCCGGAATGAAACTTTTTTTGGATACTTTTTTTGGTTCCTCAATCATTGTGGTATTGATGGACAAGAGCACCTACACATGTACATGTACATTGTACATATATCATGGCAAGGATCAATGTCAAAGTTGACTGACTCACTGTTCTTGTACAGCATGGGGTGTATTCCTGTTTTCGTACATTCTGAGAAATCAAGCAAACAGTTCGAGTCCTTCCAGCTCTGTTATTCTAGCTCGTATCGACCCCGGAGGTTTTCGAGCAGACAGCTGAGAATCTCTGCTACCTTGTAGGTGTTTCGATTGTGGCATTCGGTTGAGATTTGACTGAGTTATGACTCGTTGAGTGCACTTGCACACATGGCATTGCCACCGTTTGTATACATTTGGGACCAAAAAAAAGTTTCAGAATTTGGGAAAAAGTGGCCCGGTCGGGCGACCGGAAACAAGGCCATTATTTGTTTTGGCCTAATAGGAAACATACTTTTTCGAGGAAGCACCCTCAGTAGCTGCATCCTACATAAAGAAGCAAAGCAAGAGACACAAAGCAACAAACATGAACATGACAAAATGTGTAGAAATACCAGTAAGAGGACATGCGCAAATGAGACCTATGACACACGGAAAAAGCCTGGCAAGCCTAATGCTACAGGAAGCAGACATTGGCGCCAACGAGTACGACCAATCTCCACCGCATATTCAAGGAGCCATGTAGCCTTGTCAGGGTTCAACATAGTACGCTGTAGTCGGTACCCAAGTAGATAATAATACAAAATGACCTCAGTACGCTGCACAGAGGTTTCAACAAACAATACGCACCCGCTTCTCTGCCTTCTTCCGCTTTGCACGCTCTGCAGTCTTGCGGATGTTGGTAATGAGCTTGGCGTGCTTAGCTGGAACGTACCTGGCCACGTCAGGATAGCTAGATATGAACAACACCGCACAAGAAACATGTCATCTTACTTTGTGTGCGGAAGCTACACAAAGATGTCCATCATTGTTCAGCACTAGGTGCACTGTACAATGTACTTGAAGCACAGTGCTGCTCAGTGACATCCAATCCCGTGAGTCAAGTTGGCGCCCTGGCCTGCACCAGCTCACATCCCAGTGCTTGCAGGTCTAGGGCTGCACAGCGCCCAGTGACTCGCTTGATCGGATTTCACTGAGCAGCACCGTACACGTGCTGCACACTCCAGCAGAGAGGTATGGACTCTTGCATTGATACCTCTACCACTACAAATATCCGAGATGCTTCACTTTCACATGATATGAGTTGTGTAGAATTTTATAGGAAGCACTAGTGAAGTCCCAAACCAATGGATTGCCACCGGCTATTGTCCGTGCAGACAAGACAAAACAACACTTTACGCACGCACGCACACACACACACACACACACACACACACACACACACACACACACACACACACACACACACACACACACACACACACACACACACACACACACACACACACACACACACACACACACACACACACACACACACACATGTGTACAGAAAGTCAAGCAAAAGGACACTAACCCAAACTTGCGTGTCAGCCGCTCGAAGACGATCTTCGCCTTCATGCGGAAGTGGCTCTGGCTCTCCGAGCTCCAACCCAGCAGCGTTGTGATCTAAGCAAACAAACAACACAGGTGCATGACAAGGTTAGGCAACAACGCATGGACAGCATACCAGATACAGTAAAACCTGGTGTAAGCGACCTCTGGGTTTAGCGACCACCTGCTCTTAACGACCGTCTTTCCATGCACCGACAGTTCTACGCAGACACTGTGGGACCTGGTTCTAAAGACCACCTGGCTTTAACGACCGCTTTTGCTTGCACCGTGGGGTGGTCGCTTAAACCAGGTTTTACTGTATTTAGCTGTTGCTATACTACCACACAAGTGACGATGATTGCTGTTTGCCTATGGCCTACAGTCCATTTCAAAACTATAGACGCGTACCTAGGCAAAAACCGTTATGCCAGCATCTATACCACATAAAATCTGTGATCACTTTGTGCATAAATTTTTCAAAATTGGGCGTCTGTTATCCAATCGTTTAGAAACTATAATGAGAGTAATTGTGGAGCGGTCCTGAGCAATATTCCGAAAACTATTCTCAAAAAGTCCCAGCCAAATTTGAAATATTCCAAAAACCCTACGCGTCTATAGTTTTGAAATGGACTGTAGCTAGGTTCTTTGCCTTCATCTAAGTTATACACCGTAGCGCTCCTTGCCCCTTAAAATATACTACTCCATTGCAACGCAGGTCACACCTCCAGTCCATTGGTGTTCGGCTACAACAGTTCTACCACCCGCAGCAGTACATGGTGAGAACACCTATCAGTCTGTAGAGGAGAGGAGCAATCAAGGAAAACCCTGCGAACTACTACATGTGACGTTACAGTGAGAACCCATTTAACTGTACACACTTGCTCTCCACAGTGATATCCGGGCGGGTAATGGAATCGGATACTCTTCAGTAGCCCAAAAGCTGTTTACCTTGCAGTCAATGCAGCTTATGCGAAATCGCTCCAACATATTTTCCCACTGGTTTGGCAGGAATAGGATAAAAGATTAGCAGATGGGCCAGATCTGACCGTATCCCCAACCAGCAATTGCAAAAAACACCCCTTGGGAATGAGTGCAACTTACCAGTGTCTGAAGATGTTCCCTGAGCTGGTCCCGCTCCACAACACCAATCAACACCTAAACACAAACACACACACAAACACACATACACACACACAACACACATCAATACTGTGTAAAATACCCCACAGCATTTAGTGAGAACATTTAAAAAACCAAGCAAACAACGAGGTAAGGAGAGGATAGGTAGGAAAAAGAGAGGCATTGCTCATAGATCAGTGTGCACAAAGGGGAGACGAACAATTGTATTACACACAGCGACAAGGTTGCCATACGAAATTTGTTGATACAGCTGTACTGGATTCATACCTTGACCAGGATAAGAGTGGACTTGACTACTTCACGATGGCGACTCATCAGCAGTGTTGGCAACAAATCAAGTAGCCGCTCCAAAAGGCCACTTTCAACGTGGTCTGAAAGCAAAGAAGAACAAGGACAGGCCCAGATCACACGAGTTGAAACGTGGAAACAATGAAAATCGTCATGGTATGGCAAGAGCTGGAAATTTTTTAGAAGATACAAGGCATGCAAGTATACCACACGGGCGAGTTCCAGTCATAGAACTTCGACACGCATGTTGCCGCTCGGCGGCAAACACTTACGGCGAAACTGCACGACCAGCTTGGAAATGGCATTGACCGTAGCACTCGTCATGTGCGGCGAACCTGCCAGGCCTCCGCTCATCATGACCAGAAAGTCTTCCGTGCTGTCTGCAACCATAGAACAAGAGGTTTGACAGTGACAGTTCACGGTCAGTAAGGACAGAAGCAAAGGAAATAAACTGTACACATTATGACTGCAACAAATTGAATAAGACAATATGAATACTAGAGTGACTTCAATGGAACATTAACACAGCAAAAGGTAAGACTGGAAACCGGGGAGAGCGACATGCATTATAGACGTATAGCCATGCAAACTCCCAATCATGAGCAAGTGTAGCACACCAGCCCATCACAATGTGCTTTGCACAAACAAGGTGGCCAGATTCCTGCCCCGCACTTGCAGAAAGCAGCTAACACACTATACATCATGGTCAGCAAGACCCTCACCTTCTAGCGATTTATTCGTGACGCGCTGCACCGCTTTAGCCATTTCGTTGAGAACGCTGTGACCGAGCAACCTGGTCTTTTCGTTAACCTCCTTAGTGGACAGAATGACCTCGGGCAGCAGGGCTGTTAGGAACTGCTCTCCGCCCGTCGTCACCTTTCCAGCAACGTGGCGGATGCACTTGAGACGCGGCTATACACACACACACACACACACACACGTGCGCGCGCACACACACACAAAGAGTACAGAGCCTTGTAGCAAGCACACAACAGCAGAGAATTCCAAAGTACCAGCGCATAATTCCATTCACCTGTGCGTGTGACGGAAAACTAGTACAGGGACCGAATGGAGAAAGATGGATAAACACGTAGTGGCAATACAAACTAAGATGTTACTTCGAAGTACAATTTTGGCGCTACCATTTGACATCTGCCCCGAGAGCGTGTCCCTGTTGTCATCCTGGTAAATCGGTGGCAAGCCTCTATGCATCACTGTTGTCAACACAGGCCATAGGTAGTCAGGCGCGTACGCAGGGTCACCTCTAGGGGGGTTTCCATCCGAATCGCAAACAGTGACTCGTTTTAATTAATTAACCCTTTCTAAAGAGCCCTAGCCTAGGAATTTTTCAAAATTATGCATTTTTTCGTGTTCTTTGGATCATAACGTCAGTTCTACTCACTCAATCAATCTTCATTATCTTTAGTCCGTGAGCCAAAACTCAAAATCACAAGTGCCGTTGCACTCTCGGATGGACAAATCGCCGCTTACAGTGTTGGTCAAGGACATCACAAAGGATACGTTTTCGCTTGTTGGACGTTCCAGAACCGATCCAGAGACCTTCGCGAGGGCTTCTTTTCTCGACCAAATTCCACCGTGAGAACAAATATTTTTACGCGAGTGGTGAGGTGTGCGTCGTATGAGCAAGCGCAAAACACGAGTTCGCGTGGAGTGAGGAAAAATAATTTATTTTTTAGAAGATGACGACGTTGACGACAATATCGACTTGGGATATTGTGATCACTTTATTGAAGTTTATTCCTTTCGTGTACATTGATGTTGTTTTGACAACAATGGAAGAAGAGGAAGACGTTTCTAGTGGCAGCGAGGTGCTGGATGAGGCAGCTGACGGCAACGAAGTGGCAAATGACAGCCCAGCGGAGTAATATTGCTGGAATTTTGTGTCTGTGTCACAGCGCCCAATTTAGTAAAAACGAGACTTAGGCTTCCTGGAAGTGGAAAGGTACCAGGGCCAGGGAGGGAATGAGGTCGACCATGATAGCCAGGATCTAAGACACAGTACAGTCATGTACATGTCCAGCGCTATAATGCTAGCTGTAGAGTGCAGCGACGGTGCGAAAAAATGCCCCAAACTGGGCCAAAGGCCCAAACGCGCGTACTGCTAGCATGCTCCAGCGATTTCGTTTTTCTTGATCGCAGAGTTTCGATTTTTTGCTGCGTACGACTCGTACTCTTGAAAATATCACAAGTGAAGCCCCTAGGCCCTGCAAGTGTGAGCAAGTCAGCGTGACGAAAAGTCTCAAATTCTCCATACTCGAGTCGCGCTGTGTGCTTTCGAAATTGCGAGATCGTGGCTCAACTTACGAACGATGTATCTCAAGAGACATTGCTCGCAGCGCATCGCAAATTGTTTCAACCGACAGCTGAGAGTTTTGTATTCGACCTGGATATTTGGATTGTTGGATTTGAGCAAGATTTGACTGAGTTACGATCTGTTGAAGTTTTGCATTCTTGCCAGATCGATTGTGCGCCCTACCAAAATATGCCCAAAAACGTTGCTCGTTTGGAACATTTGGGGGGTTTCCGGGCAACGGGAAACCCCCCTGCGTACGCGCCTGGGTATTCGGGCAAGCCTACATAGACACACCTTGCTGAGGATATTTTTTCAGCTCGCTGATGCGCCATGAGTGTTGAGCGTGGACCTTCGCTCGTGGCATAGGTTCTGCCCTTTCCCGTCTCAATCTACTCTCCAAAAACGGTAGCACCTCAAGTCCATCATTCACAGGCTGATCGCTATTGAGGCTTCAGGCTAGTCTTCCTGTGAATACATGTACATAATTATTGTCCTGCAAGACCGAATGGTGATAGAGCTTACCCGCTTAGCACCAGCTGACGTGACTGCCTGCGAATCTACAAGAAGACGCTGAATTGTTTCAACATTTGTGTTGATGAACTCCTCGCCACACTCGGCACACATCACCTCCAGTAACTGGAACGCCTTCTTCTGCATTGCTGCACTGAGAGCATTCTGCAGGCAAGCAAAACACAAACATACATGTACAAACATAACCATGATGTGTTTATAAAATATAAATGCCCCCCCCCCCCCCACCATATGCACATACCATGTACCATGTACCATGCACACACACACGCACCCACTTACTTACACACAGGTGTGTGAGCATGCTACAATGCATACAGATACACAGCCACACTACAGGGCATACCTCACATTCCGCAACAGTCCAGGATTACAGGCAACCCCCCTCCTGTAGTATATACTTTCCATACACATACCTGTAGGTGCGGCATTCCCACTTGGAAGAAAACGGAGATGACGTTGGGTGGTGCATGCGCTGCCAATGCGATGGCCAGATCCATAAGGGCTTGTCTGAGAAAGGAACACGCAGAAGACACACACCACAATAGCCATCGGTTAGCACAGCACAATACACAGTACCAGGAGTCCGGCCTCGTCACCTCGTCAATCATGCAGAGCCGCATTCACTGCGCCCTCAGTGTTTCTAGCGCTACGATCATGTAGCCCCATGCGGCTACATGATCGTAGGGCTAGACACACTGAGGGTGCTAGAAACCTGTAGGATGCGTACTGTATGGCAAGTACTGGTACTAGTATCCCACCTAGGTCATCATGTACAGATACTGCGTGATGAAACATTTGGCCATACAAGGCATTGCATAAATGTAACTAGGTTACATTACAATCATTGTACTATAGTACAGTAGTGGCCAATGACATATGGACTCTCGTACGCCGGGCACGGTGCCCCGATTTCTCTGTGCAACAGTCGCACATGGCCACTAGGTTGCACACTGAGGGAATGCATTCAGCTGTGTCAGAATTCTGCAAGTGCTGTGATGGCTACGACTTACTTCACCCGTCCAGGCTGCTCCTCTTGGCTCAGTTTCTTGCAAATATTATCACCAAACGTTTTCAGAAGCTGCATATTGAACAACACACGGGAATGGTAAAGACAACACATGAGCTGGAAAGGGGCAATACTAGGGAAAGACGAGTGTGGCCAAGACGGGTACCGTGAACGCATAGGCACATGAACATGAGGCGCAATTCACAAGACGATGTTTGCTCCACTGCAGTCTGGTTACAAGAGCCTAGTCTGGGACAGTCAGAGCTTAGAACATACATGTACTGCAATTATAGTACCTATACGTTATATTCCCAACAGCGGCAGAGACAGAACACAGGCACACTCGTACCTGAGGAGGGGCTACGGACGAGTATGCACGGATACAGTCCAGCACAGCTTGGCGGTACGTCTCATTGCGAGGTGCAGCCGCTTCGTTTTCTGCCATGCCCCGAGTCGCCAGGCCAAACAGGATTGGTATGAAGTTTTTCGCCATATCGGCCACCTCTGCCTTCACCTCATCTGGACATCACACAAGTTGCAGGATAAGAAAAAGAACACAGTACGGCAAAGAATGAATGGACAAATTCACAATTGACTTAGTAGAACATTATAATACATGTACATGTACAGTTCCTGGGCCCGGAGAACATTTTCTATAGATGCCCATATATGCACACACCCATTCACACATACACAGAAATTGTAAAGTTGGGCTGTAGCATGCTTACAGGATAGTGCATTCAGTTGAGCTGTAGCATGCGTACAGGATAGTGCATTAAGTTCAGCTGTAGCATGCTTACAGGATAGTGCATTCAGTTCAGCAATGTAGGGTCGTTTCACTATCTTTGCAGTTCAACCTTTCATACCAAATCTTACAGACTGTAAAGTACTGTTGATATGACCTCCCTGACAATTTTCTGTCAGTGAAGCGACTTTCCAATTACTGTCCCTGGTGTAACACCAGCTGGGAAGCGACACGGTGTGTGTGTGTGTGTGTGTGTGTGTGTGTGTGTGCGTGTGCATGTGTGTGTGCGTGTGCATGTGTGTGTGTGTGTGTGTGTGTGTGTGTGTGTGTGCGTGTGTGTGTGTGTGTGTGTTTGTGTGTATTGGTGAATCAACTGTACTTCACAGTACACAAAGGACAAAACAGCTCTGTCCGCAGGCGGAGTGCACACGCAGAAAGCTCACCCGTCTTACTCGCCGTGTCAACAACATGCCTCAACGCCGTGCAGATATTGGGCACCAGGTCATCCTGCTGCTGCAGAGCCTTGCCCAGAATGCGTGCGATCGAACGGAAAGACTACATGCAACAACACCCAGACAGAGCAGATAACACCAGATACAACACAATGCAGATGCAGCCAGATGCAACATGGTAAGCGGAGGTTGGCCAAAACTGGAGAAAGTAGATATGGTGTAGGGACGGGGAAGTAAACAGCACTGGTTCAACTCATATTGTATTGTGGCTTGGACTACCATCAGTTGACCCTGCACTGTATGTTGTGATTAACATTGGTTTCGAGTAGAGCATAGCATTTTGTTACTAGCTGACAACCAGGTGGGGAAACGAGAGAGCTTGGAAGCTCAGGGCCCTACGCTATGCTTTTTTGCCTTGATGACCTAGACAAAAAAAAGCATAGGGATGTTATAAATTCTTTAAAAAAATCCTCTTTTTTTTAGACATAACCTGGGATTCGAACCCGCACTATCGCGCGCCCTGCATGCATCCCCCGATACACTTCGCATACATACTAATTCTTCCAAGTTGTTTCACATTGTGATCTTGCATTTGACAGCCCTATTTGAATATGCATTGTGGCCAGCCGTCTTTGATGGCACGGTACGGTAGGGATAGGTACGGGACAGGTACGATCGAGGGTAATGCGACACCGTCTCCCGTACCGTACCGTACCATCAAACACAGCTGGCCACATACAGCTGCCCGCAATATTCAAATAGGGCTTTCAAACGCAAGATAATAACGTGAAGCAACTTGGAAGAATGGGTATGAATGCGAAGTGTATGGGGGAATGCATGTAGGGCGATAGTTCGGGTTCGAATCCCAGGATATGCCTGAAAAAAAAATAGGACAATTGAAAATTTATAACATCCTATGCTTTTTTGCCGTCAGATACGGATAGCGCCAGGCGTGACACAAACACACAAACAAACAAATACCAAACGAGAGAGCTTGGAAGCTCAGGGCCCTACGCTAACTAGTTATGCTTTGTTACTTAGCTCATCGTGCATGTTGTGGGAACTGATGGAAATGTTTCCTGGAACGGCGCTGACTCTGCCGAGCACGCGCGTTCTGGAGTCGACGGGATCTCTCTGCCGACGTTTCCTGTGACCGGCGCTGACTCGCCCGTTCACGCCTATTTTGGAGACGACGGGATGTCTCTTCCAAAGTATGTTTTTACTGACGCATCCTATCACCTATTCGGCAACTAACATCCATTCTAATTTCATTTCCTCCTCGTCTCCCTATTTCTTTCCAGAAAGTCTCTCTATACATCAGGGAGTCGTACTGTATTGGCAGCTACCCTAACGGGTCACGCCGCGCTCACCACCCAAGCATGGGTATGATGAGGGACAGTGGCAACAGAAACAAAAAAACAGCAAGCAGGGAGAGAAAGCAAGAGAAAGACGGCGATAGTAGTACATCTGGTGTGCGACGTATAGAAAAGAGAGATGACAAGAGATGCGCACAAAATAGGAAACAATAATTATTTTTGCAGTTCCGAAACAATCAACCAGGTGATGGAGTGTGGGCACCCGAAGTCCCACCTGGACTCCACTGGAAGAACATCCCACGCAGGGATATCAGCGATAGGCCAAGCGTTGAAAAACAGCCATGAGGACACATCGTCTAGAAGTCCACCGCGCTCGAACTGAAATTGCAGGTTCAAACAATTTCCCACGCGGCGTCAGGCAGCGTAACTCTTCTCCCTGCATCACCATCCATCTCCAGCAACCGTCTCCACTCACAGCTCATGCCTCTGCCACCACTGTACTCCTCCGAGCTTTGCAGTTTGAAACCATTCGGGGGTCAGCTACACCACCGCGAATGGAGAGACGAGGACGACAACGGCCGTGACTGAAAAGACACTGCCTTGGCGACCGCGTCGCGGAACCCTCGCCCCAGCAAATTCAGAAATACGCCAGGGGCAACTCTGGTGGACCCAGAGCCACCCCCTTGGCAAGACTAGTAAGAGGAACGACTGAAAACTCAGATTAAACGGAGCTACGAAAAGTGCAACCGTCCCCTTAAAGCACAGTTGCAACACACAGGGAGTCGTATACATGTACATGTACATAATATTGTGGCCAGCTGTTTGTAGCCAGCTGTGTTTGATGGTACGGTACGGTACGGGACAGATACGGGAGCCAGCAAATGGCCAGCTGTGCGATACGGTACGGGACAGATACGGGATAGCGCCAGGCGTGACACAAACAAACAAACAAACAAACACCAAATTAAAGCTGTGTGGACCCTGGCTAGCGCCAGACGTTACTGAAGTAACGTCTTCTGCATAGCTACGGGAATTAAAGCTGTGTGGACCCTGGCTAGCGCCAGACGTTACTGAAGTAACGTCTTCTGCATAGCTACGGGAATAACTACCATGGCTATCACTCTGTGGGATCAGGCCACACAGCCAATGCCCAATCTGCCTTCAAATGAGCCTCACACTCCAACGTAGAGTAGAGCGCAATGCATGACACCAGTGCCATGCAATGTTTTCCAGCACTATGGCAAATGTGAAACCAGTATGTGCTGTTCCACACAGACCGTATCCACAATCATATCGATGACACTCGATACTAGTATAAATTGCAGTGGTGAAACGAATATACCGAATGTTCGAATATTCGTTCGGTTTGACACATTCGAACGAATATTTCTCATGGCGAATATTCGTTAACCCGGTATGCAGAATCAACCGGGCGACTTCAAACTTTCGTAACTTCGTGAATACTTGACCGAATCACTTCATTGAAAGATCTATCGGCATTAGCAAACTCTCAGCTGTTGTTTAGAAGCCACCCGAACGCAATCCGAGGTCCTGGAGGGGAGGTATGGCGCTCAAACGAAAATCACGTCTCAAGCTCAAGCTGTTTTTTGAGCCTGTGAAAGGCACTTCAGCTGGGGATTTTTGTGAAAAATGACCTAGAAATGATGGAGAAATATATGCCTTCGTTCGTCATGCCTAATAATAGTGACAATATCCAATAAAATGACTGAGAGGAGGGCATGTGATGTCATCCGTGTTAACGAAAGAATATTCGTTTGTTCGTTCGTTAAGCCGAAGAATATTCGGCTACTGGGTTTTGATATTCGTTTCACCACTAATAAATTGGCTACACACCTGCCATCACATGTCAGTAAAACAGGGCACATGAAATGGCGAAGTACAAAAACCAGACCATAAAACCACACGCTGCTCTCGATACTCACCGTTTTCAGATCGGTGGCATTAGTGCAGAAACCAGGCAACAAGTCCCAGATCTACAAGGAAAAGAAGCAAATCATGGAAAGAGAACAACTTGACATGCAAGTAGAGCTGCAAAAATATTCGGAATTTGCCGCGAGAGTCATAGTATAGCGATAACACTGCATCATTACCTGCCGCGAAACAAGACCTCATGTGCAAAAACTAGCCAACAGGTTTTGGATCAAGAACTGGGACCAAAGAGTGTTATTCATGATGAGCAGAAAATGCAGTACTGTAAAAGCAGAAATTTTCGGTGGTGTTATATTTTCGGTATTAAACTTCGGTGCCAACAATTTTTACCGAAAATAAAACGCACCGAAATTTTCGGTACAACCAATACTGTATACATGTAGTACCAAGAGTACATAACCCCCCAGAGTGTGCAACGCCGATCCAGCTCTGCATAGGGTCTTGGTCGAGCGGAATCGGATCTTCTGATGTCATGCGTACACTCCACACCAGCGCAAGGCCGGTCTCGAGGCAGGGCACCATTGTTTTTGATCCAAGAGTACCCGCGACTCCCCGGGTTCCCCTCAGATGTGTACGGTATTATGACGCAAAGATCCGATTCCGCTCGACCAAGACCCTATGCAGAGCTGGATCAGGCGTTGCACACTCTGGGGGGTTATGTACTCTTGGTAGTACTAGTACACTTACACCTGGAAAACGGGTTTTACCGAAAATTTCCCTCCACCGAACCGCCGATTTTGGAGAATACCGAAAATATTACACCATCGAAAATTTCTGCTTTTACAGTAATCAGATGGGGGTACTGCTATCCATGTGGAAGTTGATGTCTTTAAGATTAAAGCACTGGCCAGAATACGATGTGCAGCTAGTATGCACATGCACTGTCATACAGCAGCGCCATAGTCTATACCATACCTGAGACTGCAATGTAATGTAAAGAGATGCCTCCAAGGGCTTGCTGTCTTCGGTCAGCTTCGTTGCTGAACATCACAGAGTAGGAATATGAATATGAACATCAACATCAACACCTTCACCAGCAGCAGCAGCAGCGCCGGCAGGAGCTACATGTATATACTTGTAACTATAAGCAGCAAGAAAGCAACAATGGTAGAACAGTTGTAAACTTGTATCCGCCGTGTTTCCCCTGCTTCTTCATGTCAATACATTAACATGCGAGCTGTTAGAACAAACAGAACAGATAATAGTTTTGTTCCGGATCTTGGGGTCTCGGAATAACGGGGTTTCACAGTATTGCAATACAAACCCTAACAGTAGATCCAGTGCAGGAATGCAGAAAGTCCAAAAAAGAGAGAAGAGATGCCTTGACTAAACCCAGTGCATAGTCCACTGAGGGAGACATCTCATAGAGCTTACCCGTTGCACGCAACCTAGCTGCCAGTGGCAGGAAATAGCTGGTGAAGTACTCCAGCTCAGTGTTCATGATGGCTGTCTTGAAAACAGGCAACAACCAGGCGCGAGGGAATTCCACCATGACTCTGTAGAATAGCGTAAGCAAACATATAGGCTATCATCTTGAAGAGCAGCACGATGAAGAAAATGCCAATAGGCTGTGTAGTGTGTACAACACAAGCTTAATGTCATATGCTCAGTGCCACCAGAAAACATTACCAGCATGGTAGAGCCAAGTCCAAAAGCGGGGAACATCTTGTGTGCCATGTGGATGACAATACAGAAGTCATGTTTTCCAGAATACATGCACCTGTTGCTTCCTTTGACAGGGAGACACCAGCAAATGCACAGTCAGTGCTGGTATGCACAAAGGAGAGAAAAACCGATCCGGGGGTGAGGTGCTGCGTCACAATAGAGGTTTTTCATGGGTACAGAAAGTGACCATTGGTGAACAGGTGGTTGAACCTATAGATCATGGACATCACAGAAAACTGTACTATGTACAGTAACAGTAGGTGTGGTGTACCCGTGTACATCGTACATATTTGCACTCTCATGTTTCTTATTGTGCTACTGCATCTCCTTGCATGGACGTGCGTACAACCTTACAGCATACTACTCATACTATGCATGCATGTGTGTACTCCGTGCCCATAATCGACAGTGCATGTCTCTTGTTGCTGGTCAGTCTTTCCTTGGTAGTTTCCTGACGAGTCGTCCTCTCTCAGTCCTTCGTTGCATTATTCTATTTCAATATAACTAATCATCACATAGACTTGATGATACCACATGGCGCAGTGAACTTGTTTTAGTAGCAGTTTCCATTAGTCTTTCTCAGTCCTGGGTCTTGCTAGTACCTCTGGCGTTTCGTCTCTCAAATATAGTGAAATAATTATTTGAAATTTCCGTTTCGGCATGGCGGAATCAGACACACCAGTACTCAGCCCTGACATTGCTGCCCTCACCCAGCTCATGAGACAGCAGATGGAGACCGCCGCCACCCGCGAGCACCACCTGACACAGCTCGTGGAGCGAACTTTGAGGAGCATTTCTCAACCTCCACCACCGCAACGTCCACCCCCAGCCCCACCGGCACGAGATCATGTACCTGCGGCGAGACCAGTTTCGGTCGATCGCCCTATGTTACTTGCCTCTGCCTCTCTCGCAGAGTTTGCCGCATGGGAAGGTCTTTGGCGGGACTACGCCCGGTGCCAGCACCTGGATTCCCAGGACAATGCCACCAGAGTGGCAACGGTTCGTCAGTGCCTGGACGAGGACCTCCGGAGATTTCTTCGTGAGGGCACAATTCCTCTGGCTGACAACCACGACGACGACGATCTCATCAAGGCTGTACAGGCATACATTCGCGGCCAGCGTAACCCTCTGCTGGACCGGATCGCCTTCTATGCCCGCCAACAGCAGCATGGAGAGTCCTTCGATCAGTACCTGACTACCCTCAGGGAGATCCACAATTGCTGCGATTTCAGCGAAGCTGCACTCTGCAATTTCTGTTCAAGCCGAGTATGCCGCCAATGCCAGCAGGGACAGCGTACCAGGTACGACGAGACCATGCGTGATCGCCTGGTTACTGGCATTCTCGACACGGAGACACGCCATAAGCTCCTTGCCACTACCGATCTAACGTTGGAGAAAGTCATTAAATTGTGTCGAGCGGAGGAGGCAGCCTCTCGGACGAGCAGCAGTATCCCCGGCACTAGCTCCGTCAATGCTGCTCGGAAAACAAATTATCAGCGGTCAAAACACGGCAATAACCCGCGACAGCAACAGGCGTCCGCCACGCCATCGCAATGTCCGAATTGTGGTCGCACTCCCCATGCCAGCAAGTCGCAGTGTCCTGCACATGGCAAAAAGTGTAGCGGCTGCAAGATTATTGGACATTTCCAAGCGGTGTGCAGAAAATCCCGCAAACCGGCTGACCAGTCCTCGCAGCGCACGCTGGGACGACTACAGCTCCGCCGCGCTCAGTGTGATGCATCTCCTACGGTGCCAGTCGACACGCAATTGTGCACTGAAGCTGACGCTACCTCCCTGGAATGGATCCCCGATACGGGAAGTGACATTGACGCTATTGGCGTCGATCAGTTAGCGCATCTCGGTGGTTTTGTGGAGAATCTGGCCACAGACCATGATAATGTGCATGCTGCCAATGGTGAACGTCTCGTTTCAGCTGGCAAGATCTCTGCCACCCTCACCATTGGCTCGCTCAAGCATGATAGCACCATCCATGTGTACCGTGGACTGCGTGAACCCCTGTTGTCACGCCAATCGCTATACGCCTTAGGCCTCTTACCAGACGGCTGGCCCAAGCAAGTTGCGCGTGTTTGTACCAGCAGCACACCACCTCCAACGGCTCCCGTTGTGACGACCGGTCTCGTGAACAGACCTGACCCTAGCAAGCTGGCGCAGATCCGTGCTGACCTACTGCGAGAGTTCGCAGACGTCTTCGACGACACGACATTGAAACCCATGTGTGGCAAGCCAATGGACATCATTCTCGAAGATGATGCGAAACCTCACCGAGTCTACACAGCTCGTCCTATCGCACATGCCTACCGTGAGCAGGTGAAAACCCAGCTCGACAATATGGTTGAGGAAGGCATCATCGAGACAGTGTCAGAGCCGTGCGACTGGTGCCACCCCATTGTTGTAGTCGACAAGAAGAATTCTAGTGAGAAACGTCTGACTGTGGACCTTCAGTCTCTCAACCGACAAGTGAAGCGTCCCACCCACCCCATGCAGAACGCACGTGATGCTCTCTCTGGCATCGGCACAGCCCGGTGGTTCACCAAGTTTGACGCCCGTCATGGCTATTGGCAGGTGCCCCTGTCTGAGTCTGCCAAGTCTCTCACTACGTTCATCACGCCGTGGGGTAGATACCGATTCTGCCGGAATCCACAAGGTCTTGTGTCCGCCGGCGATGAGTACAACCGCCGCACCGACGCAGCTTTCGACCGTTTGACCCATCTCATCAAGGTGGTGGACGACGGCCTCGTTCACGATGAGTCATTCTCGGACCATGTCGCTCACGTCCGTGCCGTTCTGACCCGTGCACGCGAACACGGAATTACTCTCAGTCAAAAGAAGTTTGTCTTCGCCGCTGCTGAAGTCGAATTCTGTGGGTTTCATGTGTCGTCCAACGGATACACCGTGCCAGCTGACAAGACATCCGCTCTTCAGCACTTCAACCTACCCACCAATCGTACCGACCTCCGTTCCTTCCTCGGTCTGGTGAATCAGTGTGGAGAATTCACCCCACGGATATCCGAGCTCGCAGCTCCGCTACGTCCGTTATTGAAGACCACGAATGAGTTCATGTGGGATGATGTCCACACCGCGGCTTTCAACGCCACAAAGTCTGAACTGATATCGCCGCCGACTCTCTCGTACTACCGTGCTGGTGACGACCTTCGGCTAGAGACCGACGCCTCTGCCCTGAACGGACTTGGGTTCGTGTTATGGCAACGCCAAGATATCCAGTGGCGCATGCTGCAGTGTGGCAGCCGCTTTCTCACCGACGCAGAGACACGTTATGCCGTCATAGAACTGGAGTTACTTGCTGTGGTTTGGGCTGTCCACAAGTGCTCCCTCTTTCTGTCCGGCAGCCGATTCGATTTGTTCACTGACCACCGTTCATTGGTCCCGATTCTGAACAAGTACACCCTGGATCAGATAGAAAATCCACGTCTGCTACGCCTCGCACTGAAACTCCGGTCGTTTCAACTCGTCGCGCACTGGCGCAAGGGCAAAGAGAATGCGTTTGCTGATGCACTGTCCCGTAACCCGGTCGACAAGCCGACCAGTGAGGAAGAATTCGGTGAAAGCTCAACGCTCTCAGCACCAGCCATCAGAGCATGTCTCCGCCAGGACGAGGATGGCCGAATTGCAGACCTCCGGCACTGCGAGCTCTTGGACGCTGCCCGTGCCGATGATGACTATCAGGCCCTTCTCCAAGCCGTTCGTGAAGGTTTCCCTGATGATCAGCGCGCCGTCCACTCAGCTGTGAAACCGTACTTCACTATCCGCGAGCATCTTTCAGTCGACGGTGATCTTGTCCTGAAAGGCCAACGTGTTGTGGTCCCGCGTACCCTCCGCCCACGTGTGCTCCAGGATCTTCATGCCTCCCACCAAGGCCTCAACCGCACACAGCGTCGAGCTCGACAAGTCGTATACTGGCCACATTTGTCTAATGACATCGCCCAAGTCGTTCGCAGTTGCGAACAGTGTCGCTTGCACGCTCCGTCTCAGTGTAAGGAACCGATGCGTGTCACCGCTGACCGCCGTCCCACCCTGCCATTCCAGTCAACCAGTGCCGACTTATTTTCCTGTCAAGGCTGGGAATACCTGGTTTACGTCGACCGTCACACTGGCTGGCCTTGCATTGCCAAGATCGGCCGCACTGCATCTTCTGCCGATGTGATCCGTGTGTTCCGTGGCTGGTTCGCCGACGTCGGTGTCCCCAGCATCCTCACCACTGATGGTGGTCCGCAATTTTCATCACGTCGCTTTGCTGAATTTTGCACCCGATGGCAAGTTCAGCACTCCACGTCTTCACCTCATTATCCTCAATCTAATGGCCATGCCGAAGCCGCCGTGAAAGCGATGAAATCACTTGTGTTGAAGACCACGTCCGACGGTAACTTGGACGTCGATGAGTTCAGACGCGCATTGTTAGAATGGCGCAACACCCCCCGAGAAAATGGTCAGAGCCCAGCCCAAGCACTGTTTGGTCGACCATTGTCCTCCTTTGTGACAGCTCATCATCTCAGCTTTGCTCCTGATTGGCAAGCCAAAGCCACCGATGTTGACAAGCGCTCTGCCGCTCAGTCTGCCACCCAAGAACAGCATTATGATGAGTCTGCCCGATCACTGTCCCCACTTCGCATTGGCATGCGGGTTGACATCCAAGATCCGCGCACCAAACTCTGGCGCACCACCGGCGTGGTCGTCGCCATTGGTCGCAACCGGGACTATATGGTGAAGTTACCCAGCGGCCGTGTTTACTGGCGCAACCGTCGTCTTCTCAAGCCTGCCCCTGCCGTAGCCCCTCCCGCTCCGCCTGCAGACACCTCCCCGGCTGAGCCCGCAGCACCGCAGCAGCCTTGTGTGCAGCAGCCTCGTCGTAGCCAACGGTCTCGCCAGGCACCAGAGCGTTTGAACATTTCGTCCACAGCATCTAAGTCCTATGCTTGACTCTACATACCTGTACCTCACACTCTTGCTACAAGTAGTTGGTATTGGTATCACGCTTCATTAGTGTTTACTTTCTTTTCTGTCACTTCTGTTTTTTCCTTCTCATTTATGTGAGATAAACAGCTCCGATTTTCCGCTTGTTTATCTCAGAAGGGGCGTGTGGTGTACCCGTGTACATCGTACATATTTGCACTCTCATGTTTCTTATTGTGCTACTGCATCTCCTTGCATGGACGTGCGTACAACCTTACAGCATACTACTCATACTATGCATGCATGTGTGTACTCCGTGCCCATAATCGACAGTGCATGTCTCTTGTTGCTGGTCAGTCTTTCCTTGGTAGTTTCCTGACGAGTCGTCCTCTCTCAGTCCTTCGTTGCATTATTCTATTTCAATATAACTAATCATCACATAGACTTGATGATACCACAGTAGGTACGTGATGGACAGGTCACATGACCTTTTTTGTAGCACCATGAAACATTTGCAGACAAATAGAAGAGTTTATCATGAAAAAGCTCTAAAGGTAATCATGGGACATGAGCTTGTGGCAAAGACAAAGTCACCAAGCTACAACTCTCTTCTCGGGTAACTACTAACTACCAGTATTCTAACTTACTCTTGTTCCTCGAAGCCAAGCGGCACAGCTTCCAGGAATATCCTGCAAAGGACAGACAACGACCACCAATGAGTGACGTGATATAGATAAGATTGCATGCATAGCATGCCTGGCTAAAGACCGACAATGTATGAGTACAGTGTACTATTGTAGTATCCCTGCCTGGCTAATACGGAAGTAATACGGAACTTTACCTGATGTTTATTTAGTGTATTTCCGTATGTAAGCGTATGTGGTCTGTTGCATAAAAGCTGCTTGCCATTTCGGTTATCATTAGATTTTATAGCAACGACAAAGCCGAGAAGAAGGAGTATTCAACCTCCAGGTGTGCACCGGAGAGAAAGTTCTATGTATTTGCCGCTTCTTCTTTTACTTGTGATATATCCCAGGCGTGTACCTGAGAGAAGAATAAAAGCTAACTCGTGTTGATTGCACCCTGCCTCCACTCGGCTACCATTACATTGGTGGCAGCGGTGGGATTCGAATCTGGCAAAGTTAACTTTAACCACCGCTGCCACCAATGTAATGGTAGCCGAATGGAGTAAAAGAAGAAGCGGCAAATAAATATTAAGTAGAACTTTCTCTCCGGTGCACACCTGGAGGTGGAATACTCCTTCTTCTCGGCTTTGTCGTTGTGTAATTACGTTGACCAGAGGACAGTGTCTTACTTGCATAGGCGATGGGATGTTCTGCACCATCGGGGCCGATTTGCGAAAGGACCGCACCACTGGCATGATCACTAGCATCTGTATCCAGAATGAAGGACTTATTGGCATCAGGATAGGCAAGGACGGGTGCTGAGCTGAGGTGTTGGCGGAGCTGATCGAAGGCATTCTGTGCCGCGGGTGGCCAGGCGAATGTTGAGTGCTTCCTTGTTAGCGCATGCAGAGGTGTCGCAATCTTAGCAAAGTCATGGATGAATCTCCTGTAGTATGACGCAAAGCCGAGGAACTGGCGCACACCCGTGATGGACGTAGGTTGCTTCCAGGTGGAAACAGCCTTAACTTTGGCGGGATCAGGGCGAACACCATCAGCAGAGAACACATGACCATGATATCCAACAGATGAGTTGACTAGAGAGCATTTAGACGGCTTCACTTTGAGGCGAGCCTCACGGAGACGGTCGAGGACAGAACGTAACCGAGGTGTTCCTTGAACGTCCTTGAGAAGACAATGATATCATCCAGATATACAAGACACGTGGATGGAATAAGATCTCCCAGAACAGCATTCATCAGGCGCTGAAACGTAGCAGGTGCATTGCATAAGCCGAAAGGCATGCAGGTCCACTCATAGAAGCCAAATGGAGTGACGAAGGCAGACTTACGCCGGGCATCTTTATCCATGCCGACTTGCCAGTAGCCAGAAGCGAGGTCAATAGTTGTGCAGCTCCGTGCGACGAATCAAGATGAGAATCATGTGTCTTGCCTTCCTGGGCTTGGCCCTGCTTCTTAGCCTACAGCGCAGCTCACGAGAGCGAAGGATCAATAATTTACTTAGTACCTAGACGAATACAATGGATTTCGTTTGTAACCGGAACGCAAACTGGCTGTACGTTGTTGTCCGGTTACAGGGACCTCGACCGTACCAGGAGGATGCGACGGTAGCGCATTTGGACATCCTAATACCGGACTCCCCTGCTTCTCTCATCACGTTTGGTGTGTTTGACGGGCATGGAGGGGCAGCCGTGTCGCGAATACTGTCGCGAGATGTTCCTGTCAGGGTGTGCGACAGACTATCCCGACATGGGTTAAATCAGATGGGCCATAGCCTACGAGAGGCATTTCACGACTCAGACGATTGCCTGCAGCAGAGACATTTTGATAAATGGAGGACGCAAGGCAGCACTGGTTGTTTCGCTGCTTCAATGGGTGACCAACTTGTGGTGGCCAACAGTGGCGACTCTCGGGCTATCATGAGTGTCAATGGTCAAACACACCCCCTGTCCCACGATCAGAAGGTGGACACCCCAGCCGAAAAAGCACGGATGGACCAGTTGGGAGCAAAGTATCACGTGAAGAAAGGCGCAAACAACACGCAATGCAGTTACGTTGTGTCTCCAGAAGCTAACAGTAACTATAGAGTGAACGTTGCACGTGAATTCGGTGATGGGCGATTCAAGCCGGGGCCGCATCGCAACCAATATATAATTCCAGTGCAACCCGAGATCACAACGGGTCTGGTGAATCCAGACGTCGAATTTATTGTCCTGGCTGCCGTCTACCTCCCTCCGCACTAGCCAAGCTGTGGATCCCTCGATTTCTCTAGTGATGAAGTGGGTGACGTCACAGCAACGACCACCCAAGGGATCAGTTGAGTTAGCTGCTGTTCATCCTGATGTGCACCAACTCTGGACGCAGTTCAATCGTCTCATTGTCCAAGATGGTGTTCTCTACCGAAGGTATGAGTCTACTGATGATCTGTCCTCGTATCTTCAATTGGTCCTGCCTGCGTCACAACGTCCTACTGTTGTCAGATCACTGCATGCCGGTATTGGATCTGGCCATCTTGGCGTCACCCGCACCATCGACAAGGCCCGTGCATGGTTCTACTGGCCCCACATGGCTGCTGACATCGAACAGTGTGTTAGAACCTGCCCGGAGTGCCAAAAAACGGAAAGCACCTCAGCCCAAACCGAAAGCACCTCTGCAATCGCAAACATCATCCTATCCAAGTCAGCGTGTCGCCATGGACATCATGGGCCCCCTTCCATCACTGATCGAGGGAATCGGTACGTATTAGTCATAATGGATTACTTCTCCAAGTGGGTCGAGGTTTTCCCCATGCCCAACATGCTCGCCTCTACTGTCGCCGGTTTGTTCTTCAATGGTTGGATCTGTCAATATGGTGCACCTGCTGCCTTGCACACTGATCAAGGTTCCCAGTTTGAGAGTCGCTTGTTTCGAAGCCTGTGCACTATGCTTGATATCACCAAGACCAGAACCACACCCTACCACTCACAAAGTGATGGCATGGTTGAAAGATTCAACCGGGCACTAGAAGCTATGATTGCAACATCCATCTCTGATCACCGAGACTGGGACTTGCATCTCCAACCCACGGCGCTAGCATACCGCACTAGTGTACATGCATCGACTGGCTATTCTCCATTCCGCCTCCAGTTTGGTTATGAGCCGGTTCTGCCTCTCGATGTGATGTATGGTTTACCCTGTAACACACCACCACCATCTTACCCTGAATTCGTCTCTTCTATTCGTACTTCAACTGAGACTGCCTTTGAGCGTGCCCGCCAGCACGGCCTTAAATCACACCAGCACCAGAAGAAGGGTTACGATGGTATATCTCGCCCGCCACCCAAGTTCACGAAGGATCAGCTTGTTCTCCTACATTCACCCGTGGTCCCGCAGAATGAATCCCCCAAGTTTCACCGATTCTGGACAGGACCATATGTCATCCAGAAGGTGATCGATGATGTCACAGTCCGCATTCGTTCGTTGTCGGATCACCAGAGGCTTTCAATTGTTCATGTAAATCGCCTGAAGCCATATCATCAAGTAACCGACGTACGTCCTGCAACACCACTGACATACAATCCCGAGATACACACCACCCCAGCACACCCACCACTACCTCAACTCCAACCACCCGCTCCGCCGCCTCCTGCACCTCCGTACAACCTCCGGCCACGACAGAACATTCATCCACCTGCCTACTTTTGAAAATCACGAGGGCATGATTATCTGTAGGAAGGGAGGGTGTAGTATCCCTGCCTGGCTAATACGGAAGTAATACGGAACTTTACCTGATGTATATAATGGTGTATCTCCGTATGTAAGCGTATGTGGTCTGTTGCATAAAAGCTGCTTGCCATTTCGGTTTTCATTAGATTTTATAGCAACGACAAAGCCAAGAAGAAGGAGTATTCAACCTCCAGGTGTGCACCGGAGAGAAAGTTCTATTTATTTGCCGCTTCTTCTTTTACTTATAATATATCCCAGGTGTGTACCTGAGAGAAGAAGAATAAAAGCTAACTCGTGTTGATTGCACCGCGCCTCCACTCGGCTACCATTACACTATGAACACTAGATGGTTGGACACACACTAATAGCTATAGTGTCAGTATTCGGTAGGAGACCGAACCTGAATATAGTCACGAAAAAGAAAGGCCTACAAAGTACTTAAATAAATTGGTGTGTGGTGTGTACGTACCGAGGACCAATAGTGGATACTGCTGCTGCAACAGCGGCTTGCAGCTGCCTTTTGTACGGGAAGTTTGGAATGCCGTAGTGGTCACAGAGTGAGCGGATGCCCTGTACACAAGCAAAGACAGGCAGGGAGAAGAACGCTTGGCAACGTAGGTACAAAGATACAAAGCAGTGGCATAAATACACACAACTGGACTCAGCTGCAGGAGCTAGCATAAGCAAAAACAAGTGCACTTTTAAAGCAGTCAAAGGAACACTTGAACTCTTCCCCGGCGACAAAAACTAACTAACTTGAGTGGAACGTTTGCGCAGATGGAACACAACATAGATCACAGACACATGACATACCTTGGCCATGACTGAGTGAAGTTCTTTGCCCAAAACCTGCAGGAAGTACAGAAGAGGACAACACAGTCACTACAAATCTGCAAGTACTCACTATCATCATGAGGTGCAAACATTTAGCAGGAAGACTGAGACAACCCTTGCTAGGAAATTTATTGTTTCGTGAAAATGGAAAAAAGTGCATTGTGTGCTATTGTTTTGATCCCAAATATGACTCGTAGAACATGTATGTTCAGCACTACTTTTGGGAGAACAAAAGATAGCATACAGTGCAATGTACATGTACTCGGAAAGATCTGATGGGCAAAGCAAGTCAGGAAATCAAGGCGATACTGAAGCATACCTCAAAGGCCACGCCGAGAACTTGCAACGTTAGGTCCCATGCGGCATGGTAGCGATGCTGCAGACCGGCTTCAAAGCACCTATGGCAGCAGCAGCAGCAGCGATGGACACAAAGCAACAAGTGCAAAGCACACAGGTACTCGTATGGACAACGGCAAAGACACGGCTAAAGGCACATGTCACAACAGTCAGCGGTTTGTTGAAAATACTATTGAAGCACAAGCAGTAAAGTCCACGAGACAAAGGGATGCTGGAACATCAGTACATGGCAACATGTCAACAAAAGTCACATGAACTGGAGAAGGTTGAGACACGCTCGGCGAAGCAAGCTACTAGTGATAGGATACATACTTGAAGAGACGATGCGCCTGGGTTGCAGTGCCAGCTGGCGCTGTGCTGAGGTGTGATGCCATGACGGGGACACATACTGACGCAGACTGCCGCAAAAGCAGCTGCAAGGACACATTGAGAAGAGAAGAACTGTACTGAGAAATCAAAGGTGTTGTGTTACGGTTGGCTCAACAAGGACTGATCCACACACCACAGGAGCAAGAGTACTAGTAGATCGGAGTGAACCTTCAGAACACTATCACAAGCATTATTGACTGGCACCCACATATACAGTCAACTTTGCGTATAACGACACTCGGCCGGGCATCAGAAAAATGTCCTTATTCGCGAAGTGTCGTTACACCCAAAGCTTCATTATATGTATACAGGTAGTATGGACTTTGCTCTGGACATGGAAAGTCTGTCGTTATTTGCGAATTGTCGTTATGTCCACAGTCGTTATTAGCGAAGTTGACTGTAGAATAATAAAAAGATTTCACAAGTGCAAGAAGCCCGGCATCATTGAATAGCCACCTCGCCGGGCAGTGTAAGGGGCATCTACGGGACACACACACACACACCACTGTTAGATTCAATGGAACACAGCAAAGAGCTTCCACGTGACCACTAGAAAGTACTGAAAGAAACATGAGGCAAAGGTCGATACACCAGCCCAAACCAACCACTACCCGTACTTACCACAAGGAATTCAGCAGCACCTTGGCGCACCAAGTTCTTTTCTGACAGCAAGAACTGGTATGCGGCAACACAAACGCGCTGCAAGTGACTCGTACAAAGTCTGGCATCCAACCTGGAGCACACAAACACGGATGACGTTGATTGCTCACATCACTCAGGCAGGATTCTAACACTCACTGTAGGTTTTCAAGGCTTCAGGAACACAAAACTCTCCGCCACCCATCTTCCTCAAGTCGTTCACACTGCAATACATGTACTGCATGTGGCTCAAAGTGATGGTACATACGTGTTCGGCTTCATCGTATACTGCATAATGTTTAATAGTGGGCACTGGGCATCATTGCTCTGAGTCAATCGTTCAATGTGGGTGATCTTGAGGTACAGTCTAGCTTTATGCCCTAATTACTGTTACACTGACTGTGCATGTGCAGACTCATTCGGTCTGTGTTTGTGCTACGTACCCGTCGCTACTAGGGGTTACCATAGAGAATGTGTCTACCCCGTGTTCACTACTTCACAATACAGCGCTAGCAAATACTAGTACACAACGGTATACGTGTGGTCGTGTACAGCCAGCTATAGCCTCCCACTTACTGTGCAAGACTGGAATGAGCGGCTTGCATGACGGCCAGCCACGCCAGACACGGCTGCACATCATTCACATGCGGCTGATACTCATACAGAGACTGTAGTACAACAGGACAAAGAATGCAACAGCAGCCAATCTTGGTCAGCCAGCAGCTCACTAGCATGATTATGTATTACACTGTACCACATAAATCACCAAACGAAACATTATACAATGTAAAGTCGGAGGCTAAACCGCACGAACTGCAAGTCACAGCTCCTTACCAGAAAAGACACACCAAACAGCATGTAGAGTGTCAGTGAGACCACATGACTATGTTGTCTGCACAGAATGTGCCTATTCCCACAGAAACAGTTGAAGAAAAATAAAAAAGGATCAAGGAGTCCAAACAGTTGAAGTACTGTATTTCCTCGATTATAAGTCGCAGCCCATTCTCACGTCCGAACCAAATCGTCTCAATGCATTCACATAAGTAAGAAGTCACAGTCGATTGTAAGTCGCACCCCCTTCTTTGCCCTTGAAGTTTAAAAGTTTAATGTAAAAAGGTGCGACTTACAATCGGGGAAATACGGTATACAAACATGCATAATTCTAGGGCATTTCCGTACTATTCGGCACTGTTCGTACTGGACGGGATATACTGAACGGGATACTTCTCTTCTACTATGCACATTAAATGTATACTCTGGGATACACGGGCATGTGAGCATACACCTATCAATTGGCAAGGGTGCATATTGCTGGGGGCAGTTTGTCCCTTACCGTGATGAGCTGGCCGTTCAGCTGAGCAGAAAGGGTCGCAGCCTTCGGCGAGCACGCAAACAGTCCATGCAGGGTGTGCATAGATTGGGATGTCATGATCTGCATTAATAGTGCAAACAGTCAACGAAACAATAGATATACAGTAACACGTCACAACACTTTGACTCATGAACAGTTGAATAGTGTGCATGTGATGCAATCAAAGCATGCACCACCGCTTCCATGGCAGCTTTGCCAACGGAGTAGAAGGAAACAATGATCCCACCATTTTCAAAATTTACCGACGTTCGTTCCAGAGGAGATTGTCCAGTACAGATGGAAATAAGTTCAAATAACCCATACTACGAGTGACGGAGTCACAAGTTTGAAAGCAAAATGTGTTGGCACTACTTTTTATACTACACAAGGACTCACCGCATCTCCCACTGTCATGAGACGCAGGATATGTTCACACAAACTCTTGACACTCTGAAAACAAAAACAAAAGAGAGAACAATACCAAGTTCTGAGATCCTCCAAAACAGACAACAATTGTATCGAAAAATACCGACACGCACGCACATATACACAAACATAATCACATACACGCACACGAAACAGTTCTGTCCGCAGATTGAGTATACGTACAATCACGTACTAGCATACACACACATACACACACATACACACACACACACACACACACACATAAATGTACGCGCGCGCGCGCGCTCACACACACACACACACACATACAACGCAGCAAATATTCATACTTTCAGCATTTGCTAATCAGAGCGAGCGAGGATCTGCTACGACACTGCTTACCTGTATTGGTAGAAGGCCAAGGAGGTCTCGTAGAAGACGGAGAACATGAAGCGATGGTGTTGAGCCAGCTGTTCCTGCAATAACACGTGGATAATGAATGAACAGTGAATGACAACCTTCACAAAGTGTGCGCAGGAAAAAGAACATGTCCTATAACAAGCGGCCAGCACAGAACGAATGGAATCGTTACCTCATTATTTTATGTGACAGGCATTGAATTAATTGAAATGACAGTAGTAACTGGCTCTCAAGAAAGAGCCACGAAAGATCGCACATTTTCAAAGGCAGCTACTTGGGTCCAAAGAAGGTCCAGTGACAGATTCACAGCCCGAATAGGGGATTGATATACTCCTTACGATCAACGTTTCGTTGCTGACTTGTAGGCAATGGCAGTACTGGGCACTGAGCGTACGCTACTATGACACCGACCCTACTCATGACATCACATGCGCAATTGCCCCTGCCCCCCCCCCCCCCCCCCCCCAACACACAGGCACACACACACAGACATGCTGCCACATATGCATACCTCTCGAGTCTTCTAAGACTTGTGAGCAGAATTTGGCCAGAGACGAGCAGCCAGGGTGGAAGGGTGGCTGGGTGGTACCGGCAAACTCATTCTTCATAATCTTGACCACCCACTCCTGTGCACCCTTGCGTACCTACGCACACAGGATGACATTGATAGAACCAAGAGCAAAATACAATGTGTACTCAATTGAGCCAGCGGGGTGGCAGCATCATTTCCTACATTTCAGGCAGGTTTGCTGCATTCAGCAAATGCTGCAGACATTATAAAGGTGCACACAAAATAACTGGAAATAAATAAAGTAAACCCAAGCACCAACATGCTAGCCATGTATGCCAAACCATTTGCAAAACACCACCATCACAAGGACACTTTCGTTGAAGAATTCCTAAACCCAGACCCTTTACAATGGCCATGTCTGTCTCAACTTCTCCTCATGGTAACCGGAATGGAAGAATATTTAGTGTACCCGTACACCTGGTACACTGCAGCTTCACTGTACATGGCTGAAGGGCGATCTGCTAATCAACTAACAGAAGCTTGTTCTAAACAAGAGAGAGAATCGGTATCTTTGTACCTAAGTGATTACTAGTATTCACAATATAACAGGATATCATCGCTTCATTCAATTCAACATTTTTAAACCCAGGCATGCAGAAACACCAGAGAAATGGAATACTGGCCTCAGCATTCAAGGTAGTTGTAAATTTATAATACTACGTGCCACCCATTGTTGTTCTTGCCCGTTCAGGGACTTTAGAATTTGGTGATCTACCTACAAGCAGACAACATAATTCTCCCATAGCACCTCATCTCACATCCATCTCCCTATACAACCGCAACTGAACATTACAATCACACACTGCTTATGCGACTGGTATCTACTCAAGAGCACGGTGCATTTTCTATGAGTTAGCACATCCAGTGGCAAGAAATGCGTTCCTCGACAACATGGAAGTGTTTCACACTCAACACTGGCATTGAGCGCTAACTGAACATGTGCACAAAACAAGTGTGTGTAGCGATTGTTTACAGCTTGCCTTAGGCCGGGCATCAGCAGAATAGATGAGCAGCAGCCGAAAGACGGCCTGTGTAGAGGAGTTTGACCACACGGCGGCCTCTTGTGCTCGGAGAAGTACGCCTAAACAACGCACCACCTGTGAGAGAGAGAGAGAGAGAGAGAGAGAGAGAGAGAGAGAGAGAGAGAGAGAGAGAGAGAGAGAGAGAGAGAGAGAGAGAGAGAGAGAGAGAATGCTTTCTGTGGTATTCAGGAAAGGCGGCGCTCATGGGTGGTTCAGACTACTAGAAGCAGGAAAGACAGCAAACTGAACAAGCTGCTGCTAGCAAATAACAGAAATGGCACATGATTACCTAGACAGCACAATTCCTTACTGCTCTGTGAAATGCTGAAGATCCCGACTCGGAGTGCTGATTAGCTGCAGACATGAAGACTTGAGATGCCAGGGAGAACTTCGCCTTGATGATGTTCTCTGGCACCCTGCACACAAAGAGAGCAATCAGTCATGACAATGTCATGAGAGGAAGACACACTGGGATGCAGCATGTACCAGTGATTGCCTTATAGCAGAACCTTGCCCTGAAGGCTTCAAGCATATAGAGCTGCTAGTTGAAAAAAAGCATTCTATAATGAGCATAACTTGTCAAGCTCCCAAACAGTTTCTTCAACGCAAAAAACTGACCTACATTTCACCAAATTTCCACAGCCCATCTGGCATCACCAGGATGAAAAACTAAAGAAACGGATGACAAAAGGTACTTATGCAAGTATGGTGAGAACCAAACACTGCGAAGACTAGCACCTATGTGTGTGAATATGGGAGCCGAGGTGAACTAAGTATGTAAGCATAGACAATGTGTACCATCACTGTACTGAGCAGTAATGGCGACAGAATTACACATGTATAGTCTACACAATACAACCGTGTAGAGTCTATGCAAGAAGAAAAAAGAGGCCAGGCGTCGAAAACAGAAGACTATGCCATATATCAGTAAGACTGAAAACAGCACATGCGCACTTCACACCTTGTCTAGAAGCCTCCAGCCAGCCATCCGTGAAGCAATGTACATTAGCGATAGGTACCCGTCTGTAAACAGGCACTGTGACTGGAAGCTTCCGGACACTCCAGCCCACAAAATAAGAACTATCACGTTATGCCGTAGGCATTTGCTGGCATGCAAAGCTCTAGTTTCGCCACAAACACATCTTGGTTCAGCGGTACCACAAAGTTGAAGAACATGTCAACCACTGGTTGGCCAGTGCAAATAATAATTGAAATACAGTATAACGTTACATGTACATGGTCAGTGCATCCAGTCTATAAAGATAAGCAATACTAGTACTAGCATTGCAGAAGTACTTACTTTTCAATAATCAGGCTGAGGAGGTAAGCGATGGCAGCCACACTGTCGGAATCTGCTGTGTTCTCCAATGCAGTCATCTGAACATGAATGAAACGTAATGCGTGTTCAAAAGGGCTGGAATGTAAAGTACCGCACGGAAGTCCCTAGACAATGCAGTCCTCCTGATAGCCAATAACAAAGCATCCCAGACCAGCAAGTGCAGGAGCAATATGCAGCATGCTACTAGTATGCTGCAACAAAGCACGGCATAACAACACCTTCATCTGTGCCCAGTACAGGAGCGAACTCCGTAGAGCTCTTCACACTCACCAGTGCGGCAAAGTACTCCGTCTCGACTACCTCTCCTGTCTTGGATGACGACACAACCTGTGCAGGCCAATGATACAGACACACATGCCATCCTAAACTTCGACTAGGGTCTAGCCAAATCTTAGAAGTAGAACACAACACAGACAATCGACCAGAACACAGTTGCCTATTTACTAAGTATTCAGTATTTTGCAAGCACCACTTTCACACACATGTAGGGGAGAGTGAGCTCTTGAATAGAAAGGCATGGTAGAGCACATGATGGAAGAGCTTGCTCAATACAGGTGGAATCCTGATAATTCGAATATGGCTTAATTCGAACATACCGCTTAGTTAGAAGTTTTTCCAGGACCGATTTCTATCAATACGAGTTCCACATAAAAAATTCTGGTAATTCAAACCTCGAACTGGATATGTCCGGTTAATTCGAAGTCCCACAGATTCCACTTACATAGAAAAAGTGTGGGATTTGTGCTGATAATTCGAAGTTCACTGTACATTGTACTGGTCAGTTCAGTTTGCATGAGCAGGCTGTGCCGGTCAGTTCAGTATCTGCGAAATCTGTGTCTAAGGTCCATAGCGCAACTCTGCGTGACCATAAGAGCATTTTGACATACATATTGTGTTGTGGGTTCATGTTTGGATAATTAGAATGTCCGGATAATTAGAAGTTTTTTTCCTGGCATTTTGAGGTTCGAATTATCAGGATTCCACCTGTACAAGAAATGCGCCCAGCTAGCTACTGCTGATCCTATGTATACTATCACCGCCAGTTGTTCAGTCTAAAGCCATCACAAGCACCGCTATGATAGCTGACTAACAGTGTAGTCGAAGCAGCTTTGAAGGAATCTTGTGAATAAGTATGATAGAATTGAATAGGATCGTGCATAAAGCAAGAGGTTTCCAAGGCGAGTGCTGTGCCATATCTTACTTACCTCACTGATTGCAGCCAATACAGCACAGGCCTAAACACACACAGTGACCATACCACCGCACAGAAAACCCGAAGACACAACAGATCAGAAACAAAACTGCTATCTTCGCCTCACTGTGAGGAGAATAAACCGTGCTGAAGCTGTAAATTGGCTTGGCCTATTCGTTTCCCCGTCATTACCAACAATAATGCTCCGCCGTGATAGCCCTCCCAGCATGCCTTCAAGTTGCACTGTACATGTGTAAGCAAGCTTGCATGAGCAACTACGGAAGTTCTCAACATACAGGTACCAAGTTAAAAGTGCATGTACATGTCAGGAATGCCGCACAAACGACTAGATCAGAGCTCTCACAGATGACAACTGAGCCACACCACATGCACCACTACAAAACCTTGCTAGCGCATTACAAATGCCCTAGAATTTCCGACTGCCGAACTTCAATCCAATACGGAAAAGTATAAGAGAGAGAGAGAGAGAGAGAGAGAGAGAGAGAGAGAGAGAGAGAGAGAGAGAGAGAGAGAGAGAGAGAGAGAGAGAGAGAGATGTGTGTGTGTGTGTATGTGTTTGTGCGTGTGTGTGTGCATGTGTGCAGTGAGTGTTGTATTGTATTGTGTGCATGAGTGTGCTTCCCCTCAAGTTGGCTTATTCAGGCTTGGCTAATGCCAATGGTACAGCGGGACAAATTTGAATGTGAACATGCTGATACAGGTAAATAACTTGAGAAAGTACTACATCCTTTCTTCTGGGCGAATAGAGTTACATGCTGCTGGTTCACCTTCACAGCACACCAGCACACATACAAGTATGCTGTGGAAACGTTGAAATGTACACGTAATACTTCCACAATAGCACTGTTTTACTGGGAAAACATACCTCCCGGTGGCTTGCGTGTGGCGAATTCCACTTTTGCTGCACTTGCTCAAACACAGTGCCATCGAAAGAGCAGGACATGAGAGAGGCACACGACAATCCACCAGTTGATCTGCTATCAATAGGCTGCTCATCATCAGAGTCTGCGATGTCTTTATTGAACTGACTAAGTGCAGACACCGTTAGTGCCGACTGGGGCTGTCCCTGGTTTCCTGAAGCATGAAAGCCAGTTCTAGCAGCAGCACGGTGCTTCTTCGTCTCTGGATTACTGCTACTACTGCCACCTTTGGCCCATCTCTTGCCCTTGCCTTTCCGCGCACGGACGGAGGAAGGCATGGCTGAAAGCAGGAAACAGTCAGATAAAAGTTGGCCAATGTAGATCTGCTCTTAGGATTTCATTTCTCCTTCAGCTTTTGTCCATGAGTTGATCAACGCCAAACTGATTTTTCAAGATGAAAAACAGAACAAACGAATTTGTTAGCTACACGAAAAAATTAATATTCTCCAAAAAATATTTTCGGAGGTGCATGTGCGAAATTCATCGCCATTTTCGTCATGGTTACTATGCCCGCTGAGACACTCCGCCGAACACGTGCAGGGAAATACGAAATCACTTTCAAATCGATCTCTCTCAGAAAGAGTCAGAGTCTCTGACTGTACTCTGCATCTGTAGAGTGTGGTGTGTTGTAGGTAGATATCTATGATCGGACGGCGTTGGAAGCATAGATCATGAATTTATGGTGTGTTGAGTTCTCTGAAACACGTGCTGGACTTGTAGATGTACCAGTACTGCAGACTGGTGTGCAGTAGTAGCAGTACTGCTGTGCAATCACATAGGAACTGCATAATGATGGATTCCATGGCTGGAGAATTTGCTGTCCTGTTCCGGCGTTTTGCTTGTTGCGTTTTGGTAAGTATTCACTGAAAGGATAAATCCACGTACTAGTCCATATGCAGTACTTGGGACATAGAAGAAGCACATGGAAAGAAAAAGAGAAGAATTTGCAAATATGTTTGCGTAATAAAGTTTATTACGCAAACATATTTGCAAATTCTTCTCTTTTATTAAACGTGCTGCCAAGCACATAGAGTTAGCAGGAATTCCCTGGCAGTGTGGCTATCCACACACATGAGCTCGTATTGTGAATGATGTTTGAAGTTTTCAAACTGTACTAGAGAGTGAACAGGTGTAGTGATGTGACTCACATTTTCAAGTTTGAAGTTTTCAAACTATACTAGAGAGTGAACAGGTGTAGTGATGTGACTCACATTTTCACTCAATTCTTTGTCAAGCCATATTGTGGAAGCATGGCAACTGCAAACACGAAATGCTTGTACCATAATTATTAAAGGACAATAATTATTAATTATACATTCCACGAAGCACACACTACAATTCATTAATCTGTTCTCAATGCTTAAAAAAGGTAGATGCTGTACATGAAAATCTACGAAACCAGTTTCCAAAAATTCAATAAAGTTAATAATTATCTACGATGAACTTTTCTAAGTACTCGCTGACTCCTCTCTACGACGAACAAATGACTTTTGAAAACTTCAAAACATCATTCACAATACGAGCTCATGTGTGCCCGAGGGCCTGTGGCCTTTGCTAGGTAGGAATAATACTTGTCTTAATCAACTAGGGCTCAACTCTGCCGATGTGCCACTTTCAAGGCAGGATTGTGTGTGGTGTGCTTCATCTTCTCTCTTTGGAGCTGGATGACGACGAGGTGGTGCGGTCACGAGCTGTTGCCGTTGTCTTGCCAGCGCCGTGCTGCTGCTGTGGGTGGTGGCGTCGGTCTCCGCCTGTCCGCTGTGGCACGTCCTTTCCACTAGCGTGTGCCTGGCGCTCCTGCTCTCGTGCCGCCCTCTCCGTTGCCTTCTTGTATTTCGCCAGTTCCTGCGAAACACAGCGAACACCATCGTGACTTTATACTCGGACTGCTGTGTTTGTGTAATGTTGAGCACAAATCGATTGGATGGTGGCCAACACACAGCGAATACCATTGTGACTTAAAAACTCCCGTGTTTGTGCAATTCTGAGCACAAATCATTGCAAGTAGTTGGCCAAGTGCATTCGTTTGTACACACGTACGCCTACATGTACTTCGAAGCACATACAATGTTTTGAGCACATAATCGCACGTGATTTTACTACTGTAAATAACTTTTAAAAAGCCAGGCGTTCCCCCTTATTTAAGCATTGTACCACCACCCATGCAACTACAAGTGGTGCATTGCCCTGTTCAATACAGTCAGTCACACATGATCATGTGAACGGTGTGCCCCAATGTGGAGGCTAGCTCACCAAGTCCTTTTGTGTTCTCATCTCATCGACAATGGCCTCTGCATATTGTGGATCAGCCGCCGGGTCTCCGTCCTTGTCCTCACCTTCCTTTGCCTTTGAGAGCAGGTAGTGCAAGAGAAGTAACACACCAAATCAAGAGCCAGGCCAACAAGAGCAGTAGAGTGCCATACGTTGGGTGCATACGACCAGACTCACCCAAAAAGCACAGGGACTTTATAGGTGCACCATGTTCACTTAGCATTGCTGACTATCATCTGCCTGTCTGAGGAATCTCACAGCTTCGAAGTTAGCAAATCTGGTGCGGTGCTGGCTGATAACGTTGCTAGCTGATAACATTTTTTTAATCGTTAAACCTACTTTTAGTTCGTATGTACAATTATTAGATTCTTACCGCTGGCGGGAAGAATCCTGCGAACGTGTTCTTCCAGAGCTCAACTGGTTTCCTGCACATGTACAATAACACAGTGATTACCGGTACTGTCAAATGGTAAGGTAGGGAATGCTCATCAGACCACTGTAGTGTCACTCATACTCTGTCATAGTCGCTGACCAAACATAACAGTATCTACAACGACTTGTCTTGCATTCAGCAGGCATGTGCCGCTCACACAGTGAGTCGGTGTGCCTCACCTTGCATGGATCTTCATTCCGCCGTCTTGCATCGGCGGTGGGCCTGTGTAATACAGATCAAGACGCTCCTGTTAGATCAGACCGAATGCAATTGCCCATGTGGTGCATGATGTACTCTTGGTACAAAGCATAGTGGCGAAGACCTAGAATTAACCTACCGTAAAGTCTTGTATAAAAGCGGCTTCTATGACTTTCTTGGTGAAATTTTGCAGGCTTCTATACAAGACAGGTATTTCTATGTATGTCAACACTAAAACCAGGCTTATGTGTGATTTGATGGGCCCAAAATTGCGGCTTCTATTCGAGGGTGGCTTCTATTCAAGTGCGGCTTTTATACAAGACTTTACGGTATGTTGATGTCGCATGTGGTAAAATGTCTTGTAAAACTCTAAGGGGCTACATGTATGATGTATGTGTCAAGCCATTGAATGTCTCGGTAGCCCTGTCAGTTCCGTGCCTTGTTGCAATATCTGACTGTAAAATACTAAGGGCTTCAATTCTTCAGCAGAGTTGCTCTTCCAGTACCGTACCCAAGGAATCATACACTGTACCCTCACTTATCCTCCCCCATTCGGGAAGGGATCCACACGATAAAGCTGCGGATATTCTAAGCTAGGATGCACTCTACATGTATTTCTGCCAAGCGCAATTACGTGTAATACACGAGCACAGGCTGTTAGCTGACTGCCACTCCATAGGCCAGTCCACAATAACCTTGATAACGGCTGCTGTCTTACCGATAGCGCCCAGTGAATCTGCTCCTGCTGGTGCTATTAGTGGCTTGGAGTCATCCAGCAATACTGTACGACTGAACAGTTAGCAAGAGCAGCACATCGCAACACTTCTGCAGCTACCCATGCAAGACAGCACATCACAATACAGTTCCAGACTACCAGGCAGCTACCCATGCATGACCGCACCAATACAATCAACGCGAGAGGTTGCATTTGATGGGGAAACTTTCCCTCGCACATGCAGCAGCGACTGGCTGTGCTCACTAAATCCCTGTACATTGTCCATGCCAGCTTCAGGTCGCAGTTTTTCGAAGTCAAAATTTACGAAAGATTGCTGCTTAGAATTTGAAGGCCGCAGTAATTACCAAGGTTGTATGCTTAAGACAATTAATTGAATATTTGAAGTACTTCCCTTTGAACTACTTCAGAAGTAGAAGACATGGTGTACGTGACTTGTACACTGGCGCATTCTCACCTTTCCTGGGTACCAAACGCCATGGAACACAGCAGGGCACGAGTGCGGATCATCAGATTTTCCGACGTGGTGGCACAATACTGCAGACACATGTAGTATCACAGAGAAGAAGGATGAACAGAGAGTGGGACTCTAATCATTATGTGCACATGTGACATGCAGTGCCAGCAGCTTATAGCAACATCTACAACCAAAATGTCACAACGAGGACATTCTATTCTAAGAGTGTGGCTGCAATGCTTAGCCATCATTGCCGTAAGATGAAACTTTGAAACACAGCATCTTTGGACCTTTAGCATGTTTACACAATTGATATGCTAGACCATGAAACCATTCCAGGCAGAGCACCTCATTGATGTGCCCATAGTACATGTACGGTGTAGACCAGGCTGAATAGTGACGGTCAATTCTTCAGCCTTGCAAGCTGTTGAATGGTGCAATCCCAGCACAAGTTAGTATGGCTTCTGCCGTAGCATTGCTATCATCACCTCCAGCGATGGGCGTCAAAGGTCAGGTCAGGTCAGTACATGTACCACACTAAAACCAGTCCGCTGGCCTGTACTCGACACATCCTACGCAGTTAACTAGTTGCTGACATCAATGATGTCATGAAGATGGGTCATATTGAATGAAGTTACAAACTTCTGATGGAATGACTAGATGCCACCTACCATCAGTGATGCACCATTGATATGCGCAAGAAACCGTAGTGTGCTTGAAACGACCCGCTGCTTTTCTGCGTCCACTGTTTTCTGTCAGACAACACCACATTTACATCCAACTTTAGGCAGAGAACTGACATAGGTTATCGGGTAAGAAAGATTGTCAAAGTGCTGATTGGGTATTATGCCTGCAGCTGCATTGCATCAATCAAACCGGGGGCCCAAATCATGGCCACGCTGTGCAGGGAGCCCTACACATACCATAATGGTATATGTACTTGTAGGGCTCCCTGATGCTGTGCATATGTGCTGTGGATCAAGCAGAACAGACAAAGATGCCGGCATCGATCTGTGAACACCTGGACGTGTCGGCACACGTGGCTTACCCGGAATATGTCGTACTTCATTCCAATGATGGCGATGGGAACTTGCAACGGGTTGAGCAACTCGGTGTCCTAGAAACAGCCATTCGGAGAATAAAACCAGTACAGGTAGCTTTCTCATCATGTATACCAGATTCTACCCTGCACAGTGTATCAGGAAGCGTTATACAGATCGAACATACAGAAGCAGCACTGGAATTCTCTCGGTGTGCCGTGCAGTGGACCTACCGGGTGGTTCTTTCCGAACTTTGCCCAGCCCACGCGTTGTGCTTCAGTGTGTCCAGAGCCTCTCTGCACAAGATGTCACGAGGTGCATAGCTTGGCAATGTTACAATGGGAAGTACAAGTACAATAGCATTGTACATGTTTGACAAGCGATACTAGTACACGTACATAATGGCATCTTACACAGCAGAATTATTTTGCCTGGGGATCCTGAGGAGGGTGAAAACTCCAGTTGCAAGAAAACCTCTGCCTTCTTTGTGATGTCACCTTGTATCAGTTCTATAGATCTAGGCATGCACCAATCACTGCTTACTTCGCGTGTTGCTGCTTCAACTGAGACACCACCGACTTCACAGCTTCCCGTAGCTAAAAACGTGGAAGGGAGGCAATAGAAACAAGGCAACATACATGCCATGTACACAACACTGCATGCATCGCCAGTCAACGGGACCCCGGGTGTGCTTCAAAGTAACATACTGTATATACTGGCACCGACACACTCACGTTAGCCTCGGATTGGGATCTGCAATGGCACTCATGTACATTTTTTTTAAATATGGACAAGCCCCATGTACCATAGTTGAGGTTATGCTCTTTCTAGCAGCAGGCAGACTACAGCTAGTGCTAGCGATTGTCCTATACATGCGATTCAGTGCACCGCTTGTGAGGGTGACTGTGTGGACCGCAGTTCTGCATTGGGATAGAAATTGATTCGGCACTGGTATGACTGTCGCTGTACCTTAGCCATGAGCTCCTCAAAAACTGTCCAGAGGTTGTTAGGCTCAGACAGGTCCAGCACCATCACCACAGACAGGTTCCTGCACGAGAACACAACAAACGGAGAAAATACATGTGGACTACATCGCTGCATGTACAGTAGTAGGCTGGCAAGTGTGTCCCGATACACAAACAAGTGGGATGTCTCTTGACTGTACGGACAGTATTCATTGACAATAGGCAACAGCTTGATCATACAGCATAGAAGAGAGCCTATGTTGCCTGGACCCTCGTGCTCGGCTTGAAAGCATGTACACCAGTCGGAGCAGCAATGAATCTTCCTCTCCTCTCGACTGCATATCTGCCCTAGTGCACGGACTGTGTAAGCCGCCAAGACGTCTGAAATTGCGGTGGAAGCATGATCTACCACTCACGCACATCTCCCTGGTCCGACTGCATGCCCATGCTTACGTGTCTCTCGCATCGCCGCAAGAGTCCTCCACTGCCTAATGCCTATCCGTTTCGACCCTTGAAGTGGCTCAATCTCTATCCGGTTTCTCATGCACGGTGAATTTTCAATGCCGCGCTATATTTGCAGACTGAGCTGCGGAGATACAATTGAAAAAATCCCTGAGCCTTCACTGCGGTATGTAGTGGTTGTATAGGGAGGGGAGTACAATACTAATTGTGACGTGTTCCTGATGACTTATTTACATTACTACTGGTTCTTTGTGAAGGAAACTCTCAGCCACAGTGCCATGCCGGCCAAATACGCTTGAAAGTAAATGATTACGATAATACAGGCAAACCCCCCAGATCCGGACACCCCTAATCCGGGCACATCCGTCTACCTGGCACCTTTCCGACCTATTTAGAGTCACAAAAAGGGGCTTTTCAATGAAAAATGGCCCCAAAAACCATTGATTGGTTTACTTACAATTATGTACGTTTTGAGTTTCGGGCAATTCTTAGTTACGGGCAGTGCTCGGTCCGAACCTGCCCGGATCCGCCCGTGGGGACGGTTTTACTGCCGCTGAATGGCAATGGAATGCGATTCAATCAACATACTATTATTCCCGTAGCTATGCAGAAGACGTTACTTCAGTAACATCTGGCGCTAGCCAGGGTCCACACAGCTTTAATTTGGTGTTTGTGTGTTTGTTTGTGTCACGGCAAAAAAGCATAAGATGTTATAAATTTTTCAATTCTCCTTTTTTTCAGGCATATCCTGGGATTCGAACCCGCACTATCGCCCTACATGCATTCCCCCATACACTTCGCATTTATACCCATTCTTCCAAGTTGCTTTACGTTATTATCTTGCGTTTGAAAGCCCTATTTGAATATTGCGGGCAGCTGTATGTGGCCAGCTGTGTTTGATGGTACGGTACGGTACGGTACGGGAGACGGTGTCGTATTACCCTCGATCGTACCTGTCGCGTACCTATCCCCTACCGTACCGTGCCATCAAAGACGGCTGGCCACAATGCATATTCAAATAGGGCTTTCAAATGCAAGATCACAATGTAAAGCAACTTGGAAGAATTAGTATGTATGCGAAGTGTATCGGGGGATGCATGCAGAGCGCGCGATAGTGCGGGTTCGAATCCCAGGTTATGTCTTGAAAAAAAAGAGGAATTTTTTAAAGAATTTATAACATCCCTATGCTTCTTTTTTTGTCTAGGTCATCAAGGCAAAAAAGCATAGCGTAGGGCCCTGAGCTTCCAAGCTCTCTCGTTATGTTGATTGAATCGCATTCCCATGCCAGTGGACTGGTAAGTTAGGTGAAGAGAGCGGCATGTGCACACAACTTTTTTAGAGCTACATGTATCATGGTGTGACTTACAAGATAATGTTTGGCTTCACCACAACCTCAAGGAGGTCCGCCAGTGAGCTACCTCCACCCAGCTCCCATAGGTGAACAACATCCTTGCCCTACAAGTGTGAAGGAGCAGCCAAACGAATGCACACAATGAATCACAAGCAAGCACAACGAAAACAAGCAGTGCACAAACTGGTTCGGATTTCTGGGGCCACAAGACCTGGGACTGAGATGGAGTGAGGGAGAGGGCGGGGGGGGGGGGGGGAGAGAGGTAGGGGGGGGGGGGAGAGAGAAAGAAAGAAAGATAGATAGAGAGAGAGAGGGAGACAGCGAGACATAGAGAAAGAGAGCTACACAAAGGCATTCAGGAAGGAAAACAGGCAGAACGGGAGAGAGAGAGGGAGCTCATGCGCACCGGTATGTAGGTTCCTACCAACTTATGCCACGGTAAACAGTGAAAGTGAGTCATGAAAATGTTTGCACTTACCAGGTTCTGAAGGTTTTGCTTTCGGTAGAATGTGTATTCAAGTCCCGTCGCAGGTCTTCGTTCATCAGTTCTACATGTAATCAAACACATTACAATCAACAATGCATGCTCTAGTAAGATGTAGTAGACTGCCACATGCCTGCATTGTACGTACAGTCAACTTCACTATACATGTGCAGGTCATCTCAGACCTCCCCCCCCCCCCCCCCCCCGGCCCACCTTACCTGGCAGCACAATATTATGTACCTGCTAGTCGTAGGCAGAACTATTATGCTTTCATACAGCTGCCTGTAATAGGCAGCAGTTAATCAGGAATTGTCCAGAAAACAGGTCGAGTACAGGGACTCTAAACGAAAAATGCCCCAGCTGGAAAACAGAATATCGTGGATTGGTTAGATTCCCTCCAGCATCCTAACTTACCTTTCTGCAAAGCGCGAGATGATAGTTGACTTACCCTGCAAGTATCCAGGAGAAGGGCACAGCACATATACACACATCGAAATGGGATCAATGCTTGGGATTTGCTGCACAAAATACTGCGGCCAGTTGCATGGCCCTCAATTACGTAAACGTGGAACCAGAATGGGCGCCCCTCCACCACAATTCAGTCATGTCTAACTAAAGTATAGGCCCGGCGATACTTACACCATTCTTGCTGCCAATTACCAGCAAAACACTTTCCTTTGGCCGACTACGGGCTGCAGCACACACATCACATCAGAACAGCAAAGAAGAATCTACAGTGTACCCGAAGCTGGCTTTTTGTGCTTGCTGCCAATAATATGCAGTGGATGGATGCATTTCTGCAATGCTCAGTTTGTGATTCAGCTACCATCCACACACCTTGCCATGAGGACCTTGCATGGCTGGGATAGACCGGCACATGTGGCCTTGCTATTCGCGTGTGGGGAGCAAACACCTTTCCTAGGCTTCACTAGAGTTTCGTTGCTCCTAGCATACTCTCAATGTTTGAACGCATGAAGTTTGTATGTCACTAGTAGTGGATCCTTCAAACTCCTTCCGGAACTGGGCAATATCAGCGATTTGACATCAGTGCAGTTTTACTGTGACCAAGTGTTATATTTCGGACATCACCAGGGATCATTGTTTTGAACTGCAATGCACCCCCATGCGATGCATGGCCACACGATCTTCCGCTTTTCAGTAATACACATGTGTGATGGAGACATTCTACACTACCCTATGCAGCATTTGCAGCCTTACTTGATACTGATAGTTTTTGCCAGGCATATGCGGTGATGAGAGCATAGCACAAGGCGGAGGACATACATGTACAATCATGGTATTAGATGCTGTCAAACCAACAACATGTACAATCATGTACTCCACGATCACTGTTTCCATACCATGCATACGGTGTGGCCTCCGTCTTGTGCTATTGTCATCATCATACTATGCAGCACCATAGCCATAGGCATAGGGCATACACGTACCTGCTTCTTTCGCCTGGTGCTCCGTGGCCGCAACGTCCCATATCAGCTTTTGGGCCATTCTTGCCAACTGTTGGAGACGTCGAACGTACCTATGAATGACTGCACCCCGACACACGTATATCTACGACTGTGCTGGAAGTCAATACTCAATACGACAGTAGCGGTCCATGGCTGGTCACAACGCTACTGTAGCTTGGGAGCGCTCAGTAGAGCTGTAGAATAGACTCGATTGGCAGTTCGGGCGCTCGAACCACAGCCAGGCACAAGGAATAAGAAGCCAGAGATGGCCAAATGAATTCAAGTTTTCTCTCCTCACAGTAAAAATCGAGAAGGATAGTCGCGCTTGATGTCGACGCGCGCACTGCTGTCTCCAGTCTGGTCTCTTTGCCAACCAAACGCTGTCCTGCCTGCATGCATGTTACAGGTCTGCTCTCGATATAACAACTCTCACTTGTACATAAACCTCGTTAGTACATAAAAAAGTCAAATCCCGCGCCGAAACAGCATCACTCCCATACAAATGTTGTTCTACACAACATAATTCTACATTACATAAACCTCGACATAACACACGCTACGGCGGTCCCCGACGTGCGCACTCTCGATACAACATAAATTCACGTGCACAGTGTGATCAAGCGGTAGCTGTAGCTAGGCAGTTTAGGCCAGTTTAGTCCTACATAACGTAAACCTCGGCATAACGCACCCTACGGCGCAGTCCCCGACGTTTACACTCTCGATACAACGTAGATTCACGTGCGCGGCACAATCAAGCTGTAGCCGTAGCTAGCCAGTTTATTCCTATGTGCATATAATTATTCTGCGGCATTGATGGTATCTGATGTCGATGGTGGTACAGTGTGTATATGTTTGCACGGTTGAACCCGTCTTGTAATACCCTTCATTTTGAGGTGCATCTTGTATTTTACACACGGTTTTCTACATAACATAACTCTCGATATAACATAATGTTTGCGTGGTCCCAGAGATTACGTTATATGGAGAGTAGACCTGTAGCATGTACATGATGATGTACATGTAGCTGTCGGGCGCGGGTACGGGTAGGCCTACTATACGAGGGCTTGTCACCCTCGGGAAAGACACTCGCTCATATGCAGTCCGCGCTATGACCGACCTGACGAGGTTATCCGTAGCGCTAGCAGCTAGCGGCCGACTTGTGCACTTGCAAAAGGGGTTTCCCTCGCGATCCTGGCCTTGCCTTTACTGTTTACTTTGAACTGGAGAAAAATGTGCGAACACTGAAAATAGCAGAAGAAAGTATTTGCCTGCTGTGTTGTCTGTGGAGCGTCCTCTCAGTTGTTATTGTCAGCTAAGTTGGTTTCTAGTTTCTTACACAGTCGGGAACATTTGAGAGGGTTTGTGGTGCTTGAAAATGTTTGGACGACTTGCGTCCTTCGTCCAGCAAGCGGCAGAGGTGGTAAGCTATCTTTCCCTACGCCCCTTCATTGTCCTCGATTCCATAATTATGTATCATGCATTTGTGACTGATTGGAGTTTGTTCATCTGTTCAGCGGCCTCCAAACCCTGATCTAAAACACTGGTGCTGTGTAATATTGTAATTCTGTAGTTGGCACCGTCAGCGCCCCTGCAAGATGATTTCATTCACCACTGGAAAGCTGTGACCCACCAGTTGCTGGCACCAAGAGGTAAAGCAAACTTGCGTCAGTGAATTCTCAAATGTCTCTTGCGTATACCGGTACCATACAAGACAAAAAAAGCAGCCTCGCCTGCTGTAAAAATTGCGGGTGTTGCCTATTTTTAGTTGGGTGCAAATTGGTTTTTTTCGCCCAGTGTCAGTTATCTCTCAGCATTTCATTACACATAGACCATGCAGATTTAGATCACAATTCTAGTGTATTGGTTTAATTAAATTTTTGAAATGCTAATACAAGCCGTGTACCTGGAAGGTTTTCTACTGTACTAGTAGTAATAGGTTTTCAGTTGACCCGACGAGACCACACGACGCTTGCAGACAACAGCACAAACTATTCACCAGCCACACTCCACTCGCTTTATGGACGAAACGAGACTTGTCAGGAGTAACGTTACTTGCTATCGTGCAGTGTGGCTAGTGAACTGCTCGTGCTGTCGTCTGCAAGCGTCGTGTGGTCTCGTCGGGTCGAATGAAAACCTATCACTACATGTGTATGTACAATAAATTGACGGACCCATTGAAGATGGCAACAAAGAATTATTGTACTAAGGGGTCATCCGGCATTATTCATCATTTTCAAGAAACGAAAAAAGTTTAGTTAACCCTTTACCGGCAGCCCCATACTTGAATGCGTCGTAAACGACGCATTTGACATGCATACTAAAACCATGCCTGGTATGACAGGAAGCATCAGCCCACGGGGATTTCCCGTGGCCCTCACACAGCCTAGGTATGATCCTATCCGTAGCTGAAGAGATCTACGCGTGTCCCATTTGATTTCATTGAGAACTGCGCGATCGAAAATTTACGGAAATACACGCGCGCCGACAATGCCGTCTGCCTCCGTCAAAACGTCGTCAGGTGCATTTCCTCTTGCGCAGTGAGTTCCTTTCGTCCTCAGATGACTTCTCCGACGAGGACCTAGCAGAGCTTCGCTCTGGGACCCACGACAGATAGATAAATACTTCGTTCCAGCCGCCGATGCAAGCGAATTTCAAATTGCGGAGCGGAGCGCACGCCAAGTAAATTCTCACGCAAATATCGGGAGCTCCAGCCGCTGAAGACGATGTCGTCGTAATGTACCTGGAAGAATCTGATGGTGCTTATGGTGTGGAAGCCATGGAGAGTGATCCCCGTGTCGACAGTCTTCCAGAGACGGAATTTTAGGCCATCGACTTTTCTACGTACCTGAGTGACGGCAGCGCTGCGCGACTTGCGCACGACCTTACGGAGCCATCGGACAGCGATTTTGGGGCGATGCTGCTCTCAATAGGGCTTGAAAGTGATGATGTCAAAACGGCCAGGGAGTAGTAAGTTGACATCAGATTTCTATTTTTGGATCCACTAAGGTGTGACTTTGCTATTGCCTAAGTATGTGGGTGCATAGCAACCCACTCATGTCGCATGCAGGTGTGACTTTTATTTCGCCACCAGTTGTAACCCCGCCCCCAGTAGCCAAATCAGTCAGTTTCACTGGTTACATCACCTTGCTGAGAGTAAGACGGCTTGAAATGTGCTTGGATCCATACAAAAACTGGATCCAAGTGGATCCAATTTTTGAAATTGTTGCTATGCTGTGACGTAGCACTTTCAAGCCCTATTGCGAGCGAGGCACGGCCACTGAAGTCTGTGATGGCTATGGCGTTCGTTTCCACTCTGAAGTCGACTTGTTTTGGCAGTTTCATGTCAATGTCGGAATCTGACGATTTGCATTGTGTACAATTTCCGTGTTTAGACGTATAGGTGCCAATTTAGTAGCGTATGTGTGTGGTATGTGAAAATAATTTTTTCCATCGTCAAGAAGAAGTACCAGACTTCCAAGAAAACATAACTTGCACATACAAAATGTGCCCTCGTTGTGAGTTATTGGCATCCTTCTCAATGTTATGGATTTCATATACAAAATGCACTTGCCGGTAAAGGGTTAAGACCCTCCCCCACCCACCCAACCCCCCCCCCGAACTTTAAAATAGATTGACTTGACAGCTGGAATGCATTGTTGTCTCACGTATCAATATTTTTCGAAACGAAACTCTACTTGACCCACCTACCCATAAACGAAACTTTTTTTCTTTTTGTGTAAAAGATCGATAATTATGGCTAAGAGTGTCGTCAGACTTCTTCATCTTTTATTGAGAGTCTAGCCATATGGTTAGATGAGAAGGCAGAAATGCCTATGTATCTGGTGAAGTAAAATAAAAACAAAGAAACAAACTTTGAAATTTCACCTTCTATAGAGCCGTTCACCTTTCTGTCATGCACCGCACACTACAGTATAGTCACTATAGGCATACGGCACATGAGAACGGTATACATGTGTTGCAATGTGCAGGTTTACACCTTGCTCCCTGCAGCTGTACATGATTATGGTACTGGGGAGGGGATGAGTTGTGATCTACCACACGACGTGCATGTGACTCATTCTCCATTGTATTGCAGCATACGTGTAGATATTGGGATAGTCTCCAGTTCATGGTTACCCCACATATAGTCGTCAGCATTTGTCTGCTGTACCTGCGTCTTTATAGATGAACACCAGCCAGTCGAGGCGACGAATGTGCCCGATCATCTCACCAATATGGTGGAGCTCCTGAATCAGGAAGAAATGGAAAGCGATGGAACTACGGTCAGTCTATGCAATAATCTCGTTGTCATTTCTCTTTGCTCTCTCTATGTCCCTCTGCCTCTGTCTCTCTCTGTCTGTCTCTCTCTCTGTCTGTATGTCTGTCTCTCTGTCTCTCTGTCTCTCTGTCTCTCTGTCTCTCTCTCTCTCTCTCTCTGTCTCTCTCTCTCTGTCTCTCTCTCTCTGTCTGTCTCTGTCTCTCTCTCTCTCTCTCTCTCTCTCTCTCTCTCTCTCTCTCTCTCTCTCTCTCTCTCTCTCTCTCTCTCTCTCTCTCTCTCTCTCTCTCTCTCTCTCTCTCTCGCTCTCGCTCTCGCTCTCGCTCTCGCTCTCGCTCTCGCTCTCTCTCTCTCTCTCTCTCTCTCTCTCTCTCTCTCTCTCTCTCTCTCGCTCGCTCTCGCTCTCTCTCTCTCTCTCTCTCTCTCTCTCTCTCTCTCTCTCTCTCTCTCTCTCTCTCTCTCTCTCTCTCTCTCTCTCTCTCTCTCTCTCGTGCATGCGCACCTCCCCCCCCCCCCGCACACTGCTCTGCTGTTGCTCTTCTATCCTCTGCTTTGGTATTTCTGTGGATTACTGGCATACCATGCTCATACCATAAATCTTTCCATGTTGGAGACTTTACCTTGCTTTGTGAAGTTTTTGAACACTTTTTTGCCGCCGTGTTGCTCGTTCAGGTAATAACAGTTAGTAGTCTGGTATTCCATAGCTGCTGGTAGTTCTACAAGGTAATACTGAACTCTTGCTTGTGTCTTATGTGCCTGTGAACAGGGACCTTGTATGGAGTATCTATTGCAGCACAAGATCTTGGAGACGCTTCTTGCACTTGGAAGAGCTGATGTGAGTGCAGTGTAGCGGGTAGTTCACTCTGTGCGCCATCTTGGGCTACGTTATGTTACAACTCACACAGCTGTCTTCCGTGAAGTGTGTTTGCAGTTTGTGTGCGTGTGTGACACCTGAGCAATTATCTCTCTGCTGCAGCAAAAGGATTGTGTTCGAATTCATGAATGCCTCTCTATTTATGTGTTGATCCGACACTGAATCGCTGGGTCAGTCCCCTAATGTGAAACGAGGATCTCTTTTCCCCTAGCTGAAATGCATGTAGCTGCAAACACGATACAGTCATCACCCAATAGGTTCCATGGTGCTTAACGGGACTTTATTGTTCATGTATTTCTCTTGTGCCTGCACAGAGTCCTCCTGGCATGAAGCAGCAAGTTCTCAAGTTCTTTACGTCTGTCATTGGCCGTGCACAGCAGCCGCTCTTGCCCCATATCCATGTCCATAAGCCTGTCTTGGTAAGAGCGTCACGGTGTGTGTGCATGCGTGCGTGCGTGTACATGTACTGTGTATATATATGTGGATTGTTGGGTGGTGAATATAAGTTAGCCTGCAATATCTCACTTTCTTAGACAGGAGAAGACACACATGTGTTGCTCACTTACAATGTAATGCATGTATATGCTTACTATTGCTTTGTACATGTTACATTGTACTATAGTAAGAAAGCTGCCAATTTCATCGCTCACTCAACTCTAAACATTTTCGAAAAGCTTTTCGACCCATTCTCATTAGTGGATACATGGGAATGAATTGCAGCAAGTCAAGCTGTTCTAAACTCTTTACCTGAAGTGGCAAAATGATGAGACTTCATGTATCAACCCAGACCTTTGTCTGCTGTACTCAAACAGGCGCCATTTCTCTCTCCCTCATACTTCCTTATGTACGATATCTAATAGGTTCTTGATACTAGCCGTTAGCGCTAAATCTCATCACGCGCCTTTCTATTCCAGTATATACTGCATAGTTCGACTTGCTGTACTTCATTACCGTGTATCTAATGATGAGAATGGGTCGAAAAGGTTTTGGAAAGGGTTTTGAGTTGATTGAGTGATGAATTAATTGGGCAACCTTGTTGCTATGTGTGATAAAACAAATTGTCTTCTAAATCCCACACGCTCTCTTCCATTAACACTGCAATAATTCAACTCATTTCACAATATTACGTTTCGGCAAATTGCCTTCACCAGGTTCACATAACATGTACTGTAGTTTCTTAGCCCTCTCAAAGTGCATGTTTACATGTGTATTTCCTTCTAGTGTCAGTGAGTTATCATTGATGTCTTCCGAGAGCTGCCCATCGTCGAATGCATGAACACATGGGTTTTCTGGTATTTGCAGGACAAAAACATATAACATATTTCACTTGTGCTCCCGGGATGTACCTCCGCGGTTCTATTTGGAGCTTGGTGATGTCTCCTGTCATCTATGTCATTCTCACTGGCATTATTAACATTGGATTGCTGTTGTTGCTGCTGCTGCTGCTGCTGTGGGTGCTGTTGGTGGCATTGTTGCATCTACTATCTGTTGTGATCAGCGTTTGATCCACTGTTGTGCTGAAAGCCGCGCCAGTCCTACGGAAGGTGATGAGGTGCATTTCTTGTGCACGGTGGCCAGCAGTCTGCAACGACACCCTCATCTTGCCAATGTCTTCCTGGAGGTAAGTTACCGTTCAACTCAGCATGTTGCCATCATTGCGTCTTGTGTTTTTTTCATGGCTGCCTTGTTATAGGGCAAGCCATTGTGTATGGCTACTACTGTTCACTCTTCTGAGTCTTCTCTCTGTGTTTACTAGGAGGATGGTACTGGGTCAGCACAATAAGTAGATTGTATTACTCATGTGTGCATGGTGTTGCCCCGAAATGTGCTCCTAATTTTGACTGACAAGCACTGTGTACTAATTATGTACTGTGGCCGCTTTGTGTTGTATCCTTGCCTCAGCAACGGCCAACATCGACCGCGGCTGAACCCACCAGTGCAGCTTCGACAAAATCGCCTCGCCCTCAAGCCTACACCATCGACCCCGACCATTCGAAATTCCACCTTCTTGCTGCGTTGCTAGAGCTGAGCAAAAGTGAGGTGAGCCCATTGATATCATTGACTACTGGCTATGATGTCTGTGACTGTAGAAGCCTTGATGCCAGCTATGGTGTTTCATTGCTATTTCTGCAGAAACATGTGCTGAACAGTGGCAATTTGCTCACTGCCTGTTAACACTGTGAAGGGAGCTCCCACCAACTACCGGTACATCAGGATATTCAACTAGAACATGTGGACTATAGTATGTGTGTATTCTCCCATGGCTAGCTCTGCAGTCATGCTGTGTGTTTGATGAGTACTTCAAAATAAGTAGATACACCATCCTCATGGGCTTGCTCGGCCTTGTACATTTACATAGCTGTGCTGATGAGGCCACCTGAGAGGTGAGAACGAACATCTCATGTCTCTGATTCTATCTGGCACTTTCTCTCCCTGTGCATGTGTCCGTGTCTGGAATCTGTGCTTTTGTGTAGGACCGACGTGTATCACTGAAGGCATGCGAAGGCATGTTACTGTGTGCATCGCTGGACAACGAGAGTACTGCCCGGTCCATAGCCAACAACTCGCCCTTCTGTCAGATTCTTGTGAGTGGGTATTCTCACACACTGTGATCGTGATTTCGAGGGGGGGGGGGGGGGAGGAATTTGGGACCGTTCTTAGTACTTCTTACCAATACATGTACCAGCTTATGTAGTTCACAAGGCCTGGATCAAGCCACACTATTTACTGGTGTTTCCCTCCTCTGTATTTGTTAGCTATTGCTATTGGTATTGCTACTGATCTTGTCCGTTGTCTGGCATGGCCATAGCAATCAAGTGCCCGTCTGGTATTTTTTGCAGTTTGCCGTGAGGGTACCAGGTTCAAGTCCTGCTTGGAAGCGGAAGGATTTTTTTCCAGCCGTACTGCGACCCACAGTTAATTGGGAACTCGTGGCCTGGCACGAGGGAAACATGGATGCAGTGAATGGGATTTTCGGTCTTTGACCACTTTGTGGTGGGTCTGATCTACTCACCTCCCACCGTTTAGGAGCTGCATCTGCACCTTGATCCAAGAGGGTGGTGGCGGTCCTGCGGATGCAGAAAACTGGGCCTTTGGCCGAGTCTCACGTGAACCGTGAATTTTTTTTGCCGCGAGTGGTTTTCTCATACACCGTGTACTCTTTTCTGTGCTATCATCCTCTGTTTTCAACTCACCACTAGGCCGACCGTGTTCAGAGCACATTCGCGTCCATTCCTCTCGACTTGCCGGCGCAGAAGGTGCTATCCTGCTCAGCTAAATGGGGGTGAGTGGCTGCCAAAACGCCGACTATTATTAAAGTTTCCCCAGGAAGCACGATGGCCACTTGACTATGTGCCAATGTTTGTGGCGAGTATGACCTCATTGTATATCTACTGTCGTGCGGTGCATGTGTGCTAGTACTTGTATTGTGCCAGGAGCTGTATCCCAGGAGTTCACAGCAAAGTCACTGATGCGAGGCTGTCATGTCGTGGGATTGATTGGCCACTGTGCTGTGTGCGCTCCCATCTGCTGTACTTCTCTTACTTCTCCTGTACCGGTGCTGTGTTGGTGTCTGTGTGGCACAGTATGGAAGGTGGTACAGACGAGGAACCGGCGTACGAAGGTCGGACGGAGCTGCGTGCATGGCTATCATGCCTGGACTACTTCGACCGATTGGTATTGTCGTCTCATTCGGTGAGCCAGTAGCACACTTTTGTAGCCTGTTTGTAAAGTTGTTTTTGGTAAAAGAAAGAAAAACTTGAAGAGAGCAAATTCTGTGAATTTTCATGGTTCAAGGGTAAATTCTACCAGATTCGCAAAAGTGTTTTTTTCCATTTACGGTAGTGCTGTCATAAATGCAACTATTGTTCTTGCCGTGGTGGTGTTCTTGAAGTTGGAAGTTCATGTGCATGTATGACTGTACTATTCTTTTGTACTTTGCGCACGTCCCACTGAATATTACACCTGCCTCATCTCTGAACACCCCAAGGCGCGGAGTTTTTTATCCCTATTTGCTGTTATTTTGCGTTTTATTTTTCTATCTGATCAGGAAACCTATCGAATTTCGTAATAATTAATTATTGTACCTATTGACATTCAGTGCTTTACAGTTTTCAATGTGTAATGTATGCCGGGTATCCAATAGTTGCCGGTGAAGATATTGCTGTAGAGATCTTGTGTTCTTGTTGTTACATGCAGATCATTGCCAGTGCTCTGTTACAGAGCTTGGACGAGCGTTTCTTCAAGCCTCAGCTCCAACCCCGTCTTGCGCAGATGTAAGGCAGTGCAGACTGTACGGAGTGTGCCCATCCTACGTGAACTCTTGTGGTACTGTTACCGTGTTACGTATGTATGCTATCTTTTCCGTTGTGTCTGTTGCTCACTGTTTCATGTCTTTGCTAGCTTTACAGTAAAACCTGTCAAGGCGACCACCTGTCCTAGAAGACCATTGAAACCAGGACCAAGGGGTGCTATTTTCAGTCAAATGACCCTGGATAAGGAGACCACCTGGTAACAGAGGCCACGTGTTGAGGGTCCTATGATCGGTCGTCTTAGACAGCTGTTTCACTGTATTTTTATTGTGTGTGTGGTGCCGTGTGGTATTGAGTCATTGCTGTGCTGTGTTGCTATCATCAGGTCGGAACATGGTTTGGTTGTGACGACGTGTCTGGTCACTAAGCTGGTTGAAGTCGTGACGGCGCCACTACTAGTGCACGGTATGTCTGTGTTGATCATTGCTTTCTCTGTGTAGAATGTCCCCATTTGAGGGGTGATGTCAGCAGGTCCGCAGTTATGACCGTATTCTCCGGGATAAAGCTCTCTCCTTCTTTCTATTGGACTGGAAGTGTCACAGTCAAACTTGTATTTGTTTGGGCTGAATGGTGGATTTCTGGCCTATTTTTGTTAGAAATACGCAAACGCCTTTGACCCTGGAAAGATGGTATAAACTGTGGATGTGGTGACGTAGATAAATTGACCAGTTCACAATTTTTTTCTTGACTTTGGAGCGGCTAGGCTTCTTGTAGGTGACCCGTTTTCATTCTCTTGCTTTCTCTAATTCTCTCACTCCATTCCTGTCGGGTCCTGTGTGTTTAGGTCTGATCCTTCTCTTGATTGGCCCTGGATCACAATCAGACTCAGACTCGGACTCGGTAGATCAAGTCGAGCTGTGCCAACACTTGATATCTCGCTGTGATCACGTCAACGAAGAGGTTAGTGCTTTATGCTATTGAGTGCAGCAATTCATGCCGACACCTTGCAGAGTGCTACATGTGGTGCGCCCTGCCTTTGCCACACTCGAGCACTCTTAGCACACTGGGTGCACCCTTCTGTGTACAATTAATGCTGTGTATACGATGAGAACAAGCTCTACAAACGGATGCCCCTCACAAGGACTTACAATTCAGTTGTGCATAATGGCTGTTTGTTCTAGGTGTGCCACCAACCACACCTTTACAGCTAGACATTGGGAAGTAGTCGAATTATTGTTCATCATTTTATTCTCTTTGTGTATTTTCATTCCACAGCTGAGCCTCGTCTCTCTACAGTTATTCAACTTGCTTCTGCAGAAAAATGACCCTCTCGTCATCCATCGTCTTGTCTTGCATTATCTGGCTGATGATCTTCACTTGAAGCCGGAGGCACGGGAGAATGGTGGTGATCAGCGAGGCACGGCAGAAAGTACGCGACCAGCCAGTGGCGATGGTGGTGGCGAGGGAAAGAACTCGACATTAACGCCTGGTGCACATGTGTCCGCGCTTGCAGAGCAAGCTGACAGTGCAGCAGCATCGGAGTCTGAATCGCAGTCAGGCACACAGTCTCCCGGTGACCTCAGCTCTCAGGTATCAAGCTCATCGGTGGACAGCTCCAGGCCGGAAACACCGTCATCGGAAAACCGGCCGGCAGAAAGTTCGCTTGCAACATCCTCCACAACAGCGAGTGCAGAGCAGCCCAACACGCCCACATCACCGGCACCTGTGCCCTTGACTTCCACTACGCCTGGCGCACCCACTGCTAGTGCACCGCAGAGTCTAGCATTTGCCAGTGGTGGTGATTCGTCAGCAGCCAGGGGTCGAGTGGCATCTCCATCATCGGATATAGAGCCCTTGGTTCAGCAGCTGTTTGCAGAGCGGAATCACTCCGAGCTGATTATCAACACGTATGTACTCAATGAAAACTTGTTTGTTCTGCGAATGTGTACATGATTGTAGTGTTAATACTTAATAGTTATGGTCATGTAGGATTTGGCATAGCATAGCTCTTCACTGCTATTGCAATGAATATTTATAGCAGAATGTTTGGTTTCGTGCTTGAGTTTGTGTGTGTGTGTGTGTGTGTGTGTGTGTGTGTGTGTGTGTGTGTGTGTGTGTGTGTGTGTGTGTGTGTATGCTGTGGTGGTCTCTTGTTGCTGTAGAATATTGACCATGCTGCCCGAGACTGTGAAAACCTCCTTGCACATGCCTACGTCTGGCTATGACGAGTATGTACGCGATGCACAGAATCAGGTATGCACTGTAGCTAGGCATGCGCATTGCAATGTTTCTACTGTATCTGGTTTGGTTTGGAGCGGGCCTTGTCTTGATCTCTACTTCAAATCTTCAATACTTCAAAGTAGCTATGCAAGCATACATTGGCGATTCATCGATATTGACAACAGAGCATGTTTGGTAGCTGGAGGCGGATTACCGGTAGTGGCCATCCAGAGCTACCAATTTCTTTCTTCTTTTCCATTACGAGTTTAGTGTTTGTTGGGTCCCACCCTACCTCCTGTCCACAAGGATATAAAATTGCAGACTTGAGTCGTCCACAGCATGCACTTATACAGTCAGACCTCGCATAACCGCACACATCCGTTTTCCAGAAAAATATCCGGATAGGTGAGGGAACCGGATAATCGGACACGCATACTGTATGTGTACATGGCTTGTGCTGTAAATCGGTAACCAACGATGTTCTTCCGGATGGCGAGGGATCTGGATAAACGAGGAACGGATAAGCGAGGTCTGACTGTACCATGCATTTGAGGGTTTTTTTTTGTGCACTCGCGATGACCTTTTTGTAGCACAAGCACTGGCATCGTCACCTGTCCTCCATCTTGGTCTTGGTTGGTGTTTGTCTTGTAACTTACTACAGGTGGCTCGGTGCTTTACTGCCTGTCAGAAGTGGTCATCAACACCCCTGTACATACCACCTGAACACGGTAAATTACCTCAGTAGCTGCTGGCCTATTGGGCTTTTTTTCTAGAAGTCACTCACCGACACCGATGCATGAGGCGTGTACGGACTTCAGAAGAACGCAGATGGTGACAGTTCCGAAACTCCCATTCCTTGTCAAGTTGTCATGTCAACGTGTTGCCATATTTCTGCCACTGGATATCCTGAGGTGTTGGGGGAATCTTGGAAGTACCCACTTCTTGCCCGTTTCTCTGGTTTACTGTGTGCCCTTTCACTGTGACCCACCAAGCCGCATGATGTTCTGAAACATGTTATAGCGGTGCTTTGGCCCTGAACCTACGGTATGACGGTTTATTCCTTGACTATGATAACCGAAACAAAACAAACTTCACTGTGGGAGTGCCTTTATGCAGCATAATTATTTGTGGAGTTGCACAATCTAGTTTTTGTACACTTGTGGCCAGGAATGCCTAGAACTGCTATATTTTTCAACAACATTAGGGGAATGTCCCCTCACGCCCCACTCGGCCAGACCTAGTCTCAACCCAATGCTAAGGGCCTGATATAGCCTCATAGGTACATAGAGTGGGTGTTCTGTTGTGTCGGCTAGGCATGTGATGATCGCTGTGTGGCCTTTGTCTGACTGTCCAGGTCAGTTCACCGAAGGTCCGTTCCTGCGGTTACTGTTCAACAAGCTGCAGCGTAGTCTTGATCAGGTGAGATTGATCGGTCCAGCAGCACACTGGAACTGACACTGTTGTCTGTGTCCACTTGCATAATGGACCATGCATTCTTTGCTTTTTGTGCCGATTGCTCACTTTCCGTGGTGTCCTCTTGTGTGTGAGTGGGAAGGGGGGGGGGGGGGGAGGGGGGGGGGGGGGGGTGCTTGTACTCGCATGTGTGGGCTGGTGTGGGTGTGAATGCTCTCTGGAGAACTGTCAGTGTAGCCTTCTCTACAGTAAAGTTCATTTCCAAATGCATGATTCCTCCTCCTCCTCATTATGTAGTACTTGAAGGATGTGTATATTATCATATTTAATACTATCAAATGTACATGAAACCAAGAGTACAGCCCCCCCCCCCCCCCCCCCCCCCCACTGTGTGCAACTCCCACATACCCTGCTGTCCCGACAGAATTTCAAGTTGACATCATTATTTATGGCGCAATGCTCCATGCACCAGTGATTTACAACAATATGTACGGGTGTCAACGCGTCACACGTTTTTCTTTGCAATAATTTGTACAGGATCGATTGGCAGGTTCCGGATTCGTCTGATAATCTGTGTACAGTGCGCATTGCATCATCAAAATGACGTCAACTTGAAATTCTGTCGGTATAGCACACATAGTGGAGATGCACACTCTGGGGGGTAATGTACTCTTGACAGCACCCATAGTGGAGATGCACACTCTGGGGGGTTATGTACTCTTGATAGCACCCATAGTGGAGATGCACACTCTGGGGGGTTATGTACTCTTGATGAAACCAAGAGTGTGTAGTTCGAGTGGATTCCTGGATTACATCACCTTGGTGACGTACGAGTAGTGCCTACAAGCAGCATTCAAGTAGGTCTCCTGAGGCACAACTGTAGCTCAGTTGCACGCACTACGTCACTTCCCGGTGCTTATCTGCACCAACTACGATGTAATCCCCGTAGTTCACCATGACAGACGCCCATGCAGAAAGGTCAGAGGCTTGCACACTCTTGGCTTCATGTACTCCTGGTATTATGAGTTGATCACTTGCACTGTTACCCGAGTACAGTGTGCTTCTTCAACCGCTATCATTCATGATGTGTTGCGTTCTCTCTTGTGTATTTCAGCCGTACGAGATCAACTTGACGGTGACTGGTTTGTTGACTCGCCTTGCCTACTTCCCACATCGCAATCTGCATGCCTATTTGCTGGATCCGTTCATCCCGCTTAGTGATAACGTGCGCTCTCTGCACTCAGTGTTACGACAGGTATGGGTGGTGTGTTCCTCTTCCACAGTTTGTATGTATTTATAGTGTCATGTCCACTGTGTGTGCGACTGTGCGTGTTTGTTTGTTCTTTTATCCAGACCTCACAGCTACGTACATTCCCCTTTGTGTGTGTGTGTGTGTGTGCCTATGTGTGTGTGTGTGTGTGTGTGTACGTGTGTGTACGTGTGCACGCTCGTTTAGATTTCTGCAGAGCTGTCTATTCGAGCGCAGCGCACGCCTGACTTCCAAGGAAATGTGCTTGCCGCACGAAAGCGCCTGAGCGGCACGTCAAACTTTGAAACTGCAACGTAAGCTGAACAATCTATGATGGCCTAGGCTTAGCAAGCTACATGTAACACCACTTACTTCCTAGTTCCTGCAATAGAATGTATTGTTGATCTCGTCAGTTTGAGAGGTACATACTGTGTAAAGTGAGTCACTGACTTGCTTTTGAATTATAGTGACCTTGATTGTGAGCAAAATTTCAGTACTTATCAATTTTGACAAGCCTGTAGTGTAGGACAGTAAATTATCCTGGTGTAAGGAACATGTCCTCTTGCCATCGTGCCTGGTGTACTTGTGCTTGCACACTGATGTTTACATGAGAACCTGCCGTGGTTGGTGGGTGGAAACAGGCTGCTTTCTGTATGTTCCTGCTTGCAGAAGTCAGACTAATCACCTATACGAAGCAGTTGTTGTCCTGGAAGAGTTCTGCAAGGTAAAATGTATGCATGTACACACACACACACACACACACACACACACACACACACACACACACACACACACACACACACACACACATAGCATTGTTTAAAAAAATAGTTTGTGAGTTCGTCGAATGAAGCGTACAGTTTGACAGAATGTTTCGTTTGCCTCTATTGGGGTTCATTTCAGGCCTAGAAATAATCAAAAAGTAAATCAAGGCTTTGACAGAATTGGAGTGAGCATTCGTGCAGTTGTTGCATCAAGGCTATGGTGGCATGCAGGTACACAACACGAAACAATCGCCCGTATGCTCGAAAAGTAGGTACAGAGTTGGGAGTTGTTTGCGACATGCGATCACGAGTCTATGCAACACATGATCGCATTCGAGGCTGTGGCCTGCTAGCATGTCCCAAACCAACACTGATGTACAGTGAGCACATACATGTACACTGGTACTGGTAGATGAATCCTGCCACACTGAGCCACTGAGAGCGGCATGTCTGGGTATGGGACCTGAGTGTGTCCCTGGATGCTGCAACTCCTGGTAGAGATGTATGCTACAGTGCAAGCCAGCTGTTTGCTGGACCCCAAATCATGGCCTGGATACGAAATTGTCCTCTCTTTCTTCTTTTTTTTGTCATTCTTGAACTTCTGGACTGTTGCAGGAGCTGGCAGCTATTGCTTTTGTCAAGTCTGCTGCCTACTCAACAGTGCAGTCTCGCATAGAACTCACCTGTGTGCCTCGTCTCGTGAAAGCCTGGAGTTTGTTGTCTTGTCTATAACATGTGTGTGTGTGTGTGTGCGCAGGCGTGTGCGTGTGTGCTGTACATAGCCGGTGTGCTTCATCCAAATTGCTGTGTTTGAATGCATTGTGCTTTGCTGTTTTGTGCTGCAAAATTTTAACTGCTTTTTGTGAAAGAGTCGGAGAGACATATACCAGTCCCACCTACCCCCTCCCCTATAGTCCCTGTGCACTCGTGTCAATCAGATTTGCTCTATTCCGTTTAGTCATTTTATGATATTCTCGATTTTATTCACACTGCTAGGCATGTGCAAGTGCTGGGAGTTGCACGATTCTACTTGAATAAACTTATTCTTGTGAATTTGTGATGCTTCCCCTGGCCCTCGAGTGACTATTATTGTAGGGAAGAGCCCCGAGCAGCATGCTACCAGGCATGCTACGCACAGACTGTGACAGAGGTTTGTTTGTCACGCATCGGTTCGTTCATGTCCCGTGGCCACTGTGCTGGCCAGTGCTGGTGTACATTGCACATGTCAGCACATGGTGGCTACTATACTCTATCCTGCAAATATTTTTTTATTAAAAAAAATACTTAAAAAAGTAAAACTGAAATGGATTGGTGAAAGTAAAGTGATGGTCAAAAATCAAGGAAAGCTAGGAATCTAGGAAGCTAGTAAAGATGAAAGTGAAATTTTTCAATCCATGTTGAACTGCCAGCAGTCAATGTACATGTTGTTGAATAATATAGAATCTGATGTGAACTGTGTAACGTTTCATGGTAACGTCATAGTCATAGCATTTTATTCAAGACTATTACCAGGGAAAACCTTTTTCAGGATGTGTAGATGGTACTGCATGCAGCCAATTCATGTTTACGAAAATACGTCATCAAATAGGGTCTCTGGACTGCAAGGTAAAAAAAATGAAAACATTTCTCAATCGACTTGTAGGGAAATTGATAAAGGAATAAAATATGTTTTAAAAGAATGAATCCAATTTTGAGTTGGATGATACTACTCAAAGGTTAACAACTTCAGCACCTGGTGGGATGGATGGTCTGTATGTATGGCTATGTCTGTGCATTGATAATGGGAGGGCCTGCTCCGATACTGTCTGAAAAATAATGGTGCCAATGAGTCCATGTGTGTGTGTGCGCTGTATGCTGATCGAGTTGGGTTACGCCTCGGCGAAAGAAACGGACGCGTGCTTGTGTTCAGCCTGCGCAATCTCCCTCGCGGCTTCAGGGTTGGGTGATGCCGGTGAAACAAAGCTGTCCTGCTCAAAGTATGTCACGCTACACACGCAAAGCAAAGGAATAATGACATAACTCATGTACTAGTACTCATGATAATATAATTATTGTGTTTGCGTGCCAGATGGCGATTTTCTTTACCAGGGTATGGACTCCGGTGAGTGCCAGCTGCACACACACACCCAATCCGAAATACAGGTTGAACAGCACAGGAGCCATGAAACACCCCTGCCGCAAACCATTTTGTACAGAGATCGGATCGGTATAACCACCAGCAACACGAACAGACGCCGACATGTCCGTGTGGAACGACTTCACGAGAGCCACAGCCTGAGGGGGGACACCGAGCCGAAGCAATGCCTGCCACAGAGCCTCACGAGTCGTATGCTTTGCGGAGGTCCACAAAGACGCAAAACAGCTTCGATCACACACGCACGCACGCACACTTGGGGAGGGGTTATGGACTCGCGGTGCTGTGCTGTACTTACTCAAGGGTCACTAGGCTTTCAGAAGAGTTCCAGGCCTGCTGTAAACGCTCGTAGCCATTGCTGCCAATTTGAGACCAGCCCAGTCTGCGAGAGCAAATGCACAAAATTGTACATCAGAGTATGGGTACAGGTTCATGAGACTTTCTAATTACCCACACCATGTCACCGTAGGAAGAAAAAACAGTAGGCCTTGCTTGAGTTGCACATTATGCCTGGTGTTAGGCACTCCTGGCTTTGACAGGCAGTACTGCATGTACAGTGCTGCTCAATGAAATCCAGCCGTGTCACTCAAGTATGCGCCTGGCATTGCACACCCTAGACCTGCACAGGGCTGCGAAATGGTGCAGGGTGCCAACTTGAGAGACGTGATTGGATTTCATTGAGCAGCACTGTAGTCACAGAGCACTGTTATGTTGCTAGCTACAACAATGCTCAGATTGAGCTGCGAGACACAGGGGAACACAGTGACGGCAAGGACACGGCAATGGTGGTGGTGCCAACCGGCTACTTACAGTAGTGATGTCAGCGTACTGTTGCGCATCAGTCCGTCCGCCAAGAAGATGGCGCCCTGGTCACCAATGTCATGGTTTTGAATGCTGTGGGAGATAGCAGATAGCAGTGCACCATGTACGGTTAGTTCAAGGCACGGTGCTTCTGGTCAAGAGTCTAGACATGCAGTTCTGCCTCAGAGAGGTGGACAGCAGCCAGCACTATTATAGAGGAACCTCTTACGTCTCAACTTTGGATACCCTAGTGAGCAGACAAAGGTGTCCGTCCTGTAAAGGTAGTCGTGGGGAACTTCTGGGTACAGCCTGCATTCGAGGTCATAGCAACGCACACGCCCTATTTCCCTGAATACAAGTCGTAATCCTTTTTTTTTAATTATTTCCAATGTTGAAGAAGTTGAATGTGACTTTTTCCTCAAATGAACACACTGAAACTGCACGACAGCGACCTGAAAGCGGTGGTGCGACTTAGAGTTCGATTAAGTAGTTCATTTGAGAGAGCGAGATTTGTCAAACAAATCATAACTCAAACTACACCGCACAAATGCATAGGGCGGTGAACACATTCCGAAGACACGCGTCGTCCAGGGCACATTTGCCATGCACTTGGGGAGGACGAAGGGCTACGGCATGACTAGCAAATGTGTGCTTCAGAAACAGAATCAAAGTTTTGCGACAGCTCTTACAGAGCGACTGGGCACAGTTGGGACTGGAGGCATGTGCCCCTGCAACTAATTGTTACGGTGGTACATAGGTTAGTCATTCAAATCACGAATTGTACTCACTCAAGACACAGAAGGCATTTGTTGGCTTGCAGCATCATCGAAAGGGATTGTGCACTTTCGTTGGTGATGGCAGTCCTGCAGGGCGAACAGTAAGAACCATGCAGCAGCAGCAGCAGCAGCAGCAGGTGCGTCGTACATTTCTCAAACAATACTAATCACAAGGACATTGAAATGGTAACACATTACGCAATAGAGTGTGGGCGCATTGGTAGCACCAAGTGCAGCGAAAGTTCACATTGCGCGACTAGAATTCTTATCAAATGCCAGGGGAGTGATGGAGAGTGGCAAAAGCAGATTTCAGGGGCGACAGCAGCAACATGTCCGTCTCATTTCAGAGTGAAGTCAAGTGTAGCTGGACAAGAGTACAGTGTTTCTGCTTAGCTCCTAAAAGGCTACGTACTGTCCTGGCTCTGGTACGGCTGACTGTACATCTTTCATGGCCTTTGATAGCCTGTGTGTTGACACATACACATACACACACGTATGCACACGCACACACACACACACACACACACACACACACACGTACACACACACACATGCACACACGTACATGCACACACGTACACACACGTACACACACACATGCACACACACATGCACACACACAAAGCCCAACGGTATCTACAAAAACATTCCTGTAAGAGTACATGCACACTACATGGCATGGGTGAGATTTTCCAAACAAAATCTTTTGCAAATACGAGCACACCACGAAAAGTATTGCTCAACTCCTTGTTGCAACATTGGCGAGTCACGCTACTTGAATCATGGAATGTGAATGTCCCATTAGACATTACTCTACTGGACCAGTAAACTTGATTGCAAGCTATGCACTTTGACTATATGTGAGCTCAGTGGAGTATCAGTATGGTGGTAACAGTCAGCCAATCATGCAACCAATATGGCTGCATGCTAGCAAGAACATGCACTGCGGCAGTTGGCTGTTCTTGAAGGAAATTAGCTTACCGGTAGTTGTACACAAGGCCGCTGACTAGAAAATAAAAGCAGTGCCGTGGTCACACTCACCGTAATGTTTTCAGGGTACGGTTGCGCTGCAGTGACTGGGCCAGGTGCTTGACGGCTCCGTCACCGATATACCTAACCGGCGAGAGGCTGCACAGACATGGTGTAACGGTCGGAACAGGCATAGTCAAGCAATACTTAGCGCAGGATAGAATCAAGGATGCCAAGGCATGTGCTAATTCAATGCATTTCGTTCATTGAAACCATACACCATGTAAGCACATGTGCTGCTGCACACAATCTCAAAGAAATAATGTACACGTACAATTTAAAAGGACAGTGGCAAGCATCAATGCGAGTGCCACTTTCGGTAGCTTGAAGATGTGCACTCAGATGCCCAGCTGTGTGACCAGCTGAGCACATTCAGAGGTTATTGAAAAACAGTTCGTACAGTTTAAACGGTTCAAATGTGTGACTTACTCAAGCTGCTCCAGTACACAGTAGGGTGATTCAAGGTGCCGTGCTAGGTACTTGATACCCTCCACTGTCATTGCACTGCCCGGTAAGCTACAGACAAGGACAACACAACACAGAGAACACACTGCAACATTGCAAAACATGTACAGATTCAGGGTACAGAACATGTGCATTGTATAGTCGGTGGTAATGTGGATGGCACTTAGAGAGCAATGTTGGCTTTGAGTTAGTCTCAAGCCAGAGTGGTATGGTACATGTGACCTTGTTGTAGTTTTAAACACCTCAGTGCCAGCACTTCACACAACATAATATTGCACTATACACTGAGCATACAGCACGAAGAAGCATGGCTTACCACAGTGACGTAAGTGTGGTGTTCAGCTCCAGAGCGGCAGCAAGGCGCCTGACGCCGTGATCGCTGAGCAAATCCTCCGGCACGGCATACGGTGCTAGGTTGCATAGCCTGTGCGCATAGATACGAGGGCAGAACATGCAACGTCGTGAACTGAAGGTACTGCAGGAACCCTTGCACCATTCAACATTGTGAACTGAAGGTATTGTACATACCTGCCAACTCAGAGCAAGACTATTATTATTATTATTATTATTTATTATAAGCACTATCGCGATGTAAGCGGGGATGCCTACTTCACTTGTGCCATTCAGGATGATGATAAAGAGAAAGACAAACAGAAAGCTCAGAATCTTGAGGAACAATGCTGTAGAGCAGAATAGCTGTGATCGATTGGATGCACTACAGAAAGGTGAACATTATTAGTTAATTGATAATAGCTGGTGAGTTGTCTCGTCATTTCTGAATATTCGAGCAAGACTATGTACTTAGTATTTAGTTGCTGTCAGATACGCTGTGTTCAAGTGGATGCAAGAGAACACACATTATGCTGTATCCTTTTGCAGCATTTAAAAACACTTTATTTCACACAATTACGTACAAGAAATCGTAGGCACCCTGTAACATGGAACACATTATGTGGGGATTGCAGTACATCTAGTAACAAAATATACAATACAATAGTGACACTGGCAATCATCCTGTTTCCAGTGCAAGCAGGAGTAAACATGATAGGAGTGCCGATGCAGTGCAGAGTGCCTAAGCAAGCAAACAGAGACTCGGGCCGAGTACATACGTGAGATGCTGCACGGATGCGTTGACTTTGAGACCGAAGGCCAGGTCCTGTACAACATTGTCCGTCAGCGATGTCAGTGCAATCCTGTCAGGTCAGTGAAGAGATGCATCAGAAACATAACTCATGAGCCACATACATGTAACGTTACATGAAACATACAGGCACGCATGTAAACCAATCCCCAACTATCAATAATACATGGACCCTAGGCAAAGACACTAGACGACCGAGTGACATGAGATTTTCATTTGCGACTATATCCGCTGCTTACTTTAGCTGTGAAATGGCACACGATGGCCTCTGCAGTGCTTTCCCGATGGCCGTGCACTGGCCAATGGCAGTTTTGTTGTTGCGATGCTGCCAGTTGTGCCAGCTGAACCTGCGGTTCACATCAGATAAGCAAGCAAGGAAAGAAGCACAATTAGACTGGTTACGATGGTCATCCACTGTAACTACTGCTAGTTTGGACTGTCAGACTGTGATGTACAGGGAGCTAAGCTGGAACCAAACTGACATACATAATCTCAAATGTGCGCACAAATGTGCTTCAGCATCACCAAGAGGATGATACGAAAATACGAGTCCAGAGCCAACTGCCTACGCATTTTTACCTGACAACTTTCAGGCCTTTGGCGCCAAGGAACTTGTGGACGGCGGCGTCGTCAGCCGATGGCCCTGCCTCCACTGCAATGTGACCAACACGTACGCTGCAGTGATGCAGGTAGTAAGCCAGGGCACACAGGTCTGCTCCACTCAGGCCAAGCGAGCTGTCAAAGGCATGCAGCTGTAGGACAATAACACATTCAAACACACACACACACACACACACACACACACACACACACACACACACACACACACACACACACACACACATACACACACACACACACACACACACACACACACACACACACACACACACACACCGACGAAGAAGGCCACAGATAACTTAAAAACATTATCGCCACAGTTCACACCATGTAAGTCGCAGGGATAAGCAAGGAGACTCGATAGCACACTGTACAGTAAAACCTGTAACTAACGACCACCCCTTGGTGCCCGGAAAAGTGGTCGTTAGTGGCAGGTGGTCTTTAGTTAGAGGTTTGCACCGCGCGACCATATATGGATCCCAGTATATGATATGTATGTCAAAATGCAGATAATACAATCCCCCACCACTTGCGCACTGACATTCTTCTTTCAGATCATACAACACTTGGAGGGAGAGAAAATCAAGTTTTTTATACACCGGAAGCGATACGACCTTTTGTCTTGACACGTAAGTCGACTCACCGGGTTTCCAGAGCAGCGCTGGCCTGGCCAGGCAGTGCACTAGTCACTATCGACTCGATCCTCATCTGTGTGCGACTACACTGGCAACTGGTATCAGTGTGTTGATCTACAGTGGAAACTCAGTCGCTCCGACTTGGATGTAGTGTAGCGTAAACTGTACTAGTGAGTAGTGTGTACCAGTACGTGAAGCGGCGATGTTGCGAGTTTTCGCACCTTTCACTGTAGACTATTATCCGCCATCGTATCCTGGCCTGTGTTCCGTACAGGTGAGTACATAATAGTACCGTAGCATGCTAGCTAGCTAGCACAGACTGTCAGTGTGACCTGGTGTAGTGGTGAGTCTGGTGAGTGAGCTGTGTGATTGCTCTTCGACAGAGAGCCGCTCAGTCTTAGTTTCTCCTTCGAGTAGTAACATCGATCAAAGAGCGCTTTGGATGCGCTCTCCAAGACGTTTCCTATCACGTTTGTTCTTGACAGCACTTGAAATTATGACAGGTCTAGTGCAATCCACACTGATTCCACAGTAAAAATGAGACTGCGCTCATTTGTCCAGCTGTGGTATCGAAACGACCATGGAAAATCATCAACATTTCGAGAAGGAGCTTCAAGCAATGCTTGATTTGCTACATCGCGGTCGCTAGTTACGGGTCAAAATTCGACATTGGGACAAGAAAAGGCGGTCGCTGGTCGCGTTCAGCAGGTAGTCGCTAGTCACAGTGCATTTTGAATGTGAGACCGTCCGTGCCTGACAAAGTGGTCGGTAGTACCAGGCCGGTCGCTAGTCACGGTGGTCGTTAGTTACAGGTTTTACTGTATATCTACAGTCACCTACCAGCAACAGATTAAATGTTATACATTATGGACTTATCGTGCACATGAAAGCACATTCGGACTAATACATGACACAGACATCAGGTAGCCATCTCTTACCCTGATTGGGTTACCGAGTATCTGCGAGACAAGATCACACAGGTCACCGCTAGCCGTGCACTCATAGAGACAGTGCAGAACTAGCACAGTGAAGTCCATACGCGTCACCTGCAAACAACACAGTGGCAATGGCAATAGCAACAGCAGCCAGCAGACACGGAAAAAGAACTTAGAGCGCACATAACACAGCACAGCAAAACACACCACACAACATAAGTTTTCAGATTCAGTGCAAAAAATCTCTCCAAAGGACGAACAGCAAACTGAACCGGATGGCCATCCATGCAATGGTTAGCATACCTCCGAATCACATTTCTGCACTTTGTGATTGAGTGCAGTGATGAGGCGCACTGCCTTGCTCTCCGGCACCAGGCTGCAGGCGATGCGATAGACCATGTTGAACTGACTGATGTTGCTCTCCAGGCAGTGGCTGAACGTCAGACGCTCGTGATCAGAGTCCGGTGCGGACATCACGCGGCTAAACTGACTCGAGTCGTCCAGTAGCGGACGCTTGCACGTCTCGACGTACGGGTCAAACGACAGCCACATAGCAGCAACATAGTCTGCAATGGACTGGATGCACGGTAAAGAGCGGGAGACACAACAAGGGTACAGGATGTCGCTCACATCCACGAAACAGCTCAAGGCCTGAAGTAACAGCTAGTTGTGACATGCCTTCTATGGACTCTAATACGCCCAACTGTGTGTATTCGCAAAGTTACATGATAATATCATGTAACTTTGCGAATACACACAGCATTTTGTATATTATACAAAATGCTACACATGCACAGCATGATTATTCTGTGGCAGCCCAGCTACCATGACAAGAAATTGACCGACAGCAACAGGAAGACCCTGGGAACATCCAAGTATGATGACACCACAATCCCGTGGAAGAAAATTGGTAACAGTAAGTTACATTGTATGGCCATCAGTCAGCGGGTACTAGTACATACCTTGTGAAGGAAAGCGTAGATGTGGCCAGTCTTGCCCTGCATGGATATCATGCGCTTCCTCAGCAGACCAAGCTGCAGCAGCTCTGGTGGCCAGGTACACCATGCCTCCACGGCCACGGCATCGCAAGTCAGCTTCTGCGACTCTAGGCACGTGACCGCCAACTGGCCGAGCTTGCGCAGACCGTCGGCAACGGGCACGGGAATGTCGTCGTCGGTTTGCACCTCCTGAAAGCCACGGTAGTAGACACGCTCCACCTGTATCTGGATAGTGTACTGGAGTAGTGCTGCTACCGTCGGCGGGACGTCACCCAAGCGCTTCCAGGCGGCACACGCCATCATGAACGTGAACGGTGCACTGGCCAGCTCGCTGATGAACGGGTTCTCCTGCAGATCATCGCGTGAACACGACGGAGAACAATCCAGGGTGATACGGTTCATCAACACACCACTCATTCGCACCAACAAGAAATTGTGTCACACGCAAGCAATGAAATTCAGAATTGGTTACAGGATACGATAGGATTTAGTGCTACACAATATGTAAGTGCGGAAATCACACAGAAACTAAGTAGTTCATAAAGCTTTGAATTTCTGACAGAAAGAAGAAGTTTCTAATCTCCGTTTGGTGCCGGAGTTCTGGAGTAAGATGTGATTACTGATTCATCACTCACATGGATCTGCTTTACACATTGCTGAACATCCCGTGAATCTGCAGGTAAGGCAAATTGCATGGCAGCTAGCTGTTTCTGCTCGTCCACGGACAGCTCGGCAATCTGCAGCCGCCTGGTGATCTGGTGAAACGGAACCGGCATCTCGCAGTTGTCGCTGCACGTCGTGACCATGTTGGCGTGCGGCAGCGCATCCTCGTGCCGCTGGAAGAGCAGGTTCAGCTGTGACATTCTCAGTGACTGGACGCAGTGGAGATTGTCAAGCAGGACCAGTACCTGTGCACAAACACAACATTGCACAAGCATACTAAGTACCACCTACTTTGAAGTAGCATAGTTACTAAGTTAGGATCAATGTCACAAAAGTGAGCCAACAATGGGCGCTTTCCTGTGTACATGAACGTGTACTTCTATGCTCTTCACACCCAGTAATTTTGCACTTATGTAGGCAATGGAGAGACACGTGAAAGCGAAGTTTATCTCATCGGTACTCTACGCTACGTTGTGTGTGTAGCATTAATGTAAGCTGATCGGCATGGGCTATGACTGAGAGCTGCCTACGGCCGGTAGATAAGGAGATACAGTGCGAGCTAGGTGTGTGAAAGTAGTACCCTATGGCACAGGGTGCATTGTCACGAACGCTGCCCGTTTGACAGTCCTGCACAGCACATAAGAAGCACAAACCTTTTGCTCGCTGTCCTGTAAGTGTCGCCAGATACGGCCAACTCTCACTAAGCTATCGTTAGAGACGAGTTGAGTGCGGATAAGATCCTTGATGCTTTCCTCTTCCCCATTGGCATTGAGCAGCTCCATGTCAAGCAGCAGGACAAACTCATATTGAGAAACCCACTTCAGGTGATTCGGCACAGCCTGATGACCCTTATTATCGCCCTTGCTGTCGGTATAGGCGCTATCCGCTCTCAGAAGGGCCCATGCAAGAGCAAGCTGATGTAGCACGGTGCTCTTTCCAGAGCCATTACCGCCGACAATGGAGACCAGGGACGGCGACTGTTCAGCGCGAATCATCGAGTACAGGCTGACCTCTTCCTTCTCGGTTGGCCCAACAACCTTGACAACCTGCATGGAGCAGCAGCAATGCAGAGTGGCAATGTATGAAAAAGTCGATGTTTAAAGTCTACAATATACGAGTATCCAGAAAGAATGCAAGTCCTCTAGTAGATATTGCACATTCCTATTGTCGCATTTATTTCTCCACAATGCATAACGACTGTACAGATGTACAGGCAGAGCCTCCAGCAGAGACCCATGCTCATACTAGCCATCTCACATAACAAAAAGCATCAGTGCAGTTGAAAGGTGGCTTCACCAGCTACATGTATACACATGTACATGTACAACAGCCAGCAACACTGACAGTATGGCATGTACTTTCCTGGAAATGAGAATTGATGGAGATTGATCAGCAGGTGCGGGCGGGTGCCAGTTTGAGCACCCCCTTCACACACACACATGCACGTATACACACCCGCCCCACTACCTATACCACATGTACTTTGAGAAGTATTCAGCTCCCTCGCATCACATCTCATACTACACTGCCGTGTCTTTACTCCTCAAAAACGCCTTACCTGGCTGACCCGTTTCTTGACCTTCCTGGTCGCCAGTAAGCGAGGCTTGACTAGAAGCGGGCTGACTGGCTCAAGATTATCATTCAACGGGTAGACACTGGTCAACGCCAGGCTTTCCCGATAACCGCTAGCAAGCATGGACTGGAACTCTGACACCTCGTCAAACTCCATGACAACGCCGGCCTTGCGGCGAGTCCTTGGTAGTTGACCTGTGCAAATACACACACATACACACACACACACATGCGCACACACATGCGCACACACACACACACACACACACACACACACACACACACACACACAAGCACACACACAAGCACATGCATCATACCAGGCATTAGCAAACAGTGGCACATTGAAAGTACAATGTCATCTACGTGTACATAGTGTGTTACTCTAAGAGAAGGCTGTCCACTTGGTATAATGACCACTACACACCACACTTCCCCCCCCCCCCCCCAACACACACATACATGTATGCACAGGTTGAGCTTTCCACTCTCCACATATTTCCTGTCTTAGTGTTGGCAAATTACTGCATGTCATTTGCCATCCTGGGCTGGCAAGCTGGCACTCAAAGCCTGCTAAGGCAGAAGTCAATCCCTCCCTTGGCCAGTAATTGCATTGTGTAATTGGTCAATTGCAGACGTTTCGCAAAAGTAGTCAGTACCCAGTCGAATGAGTTTGGTCTTGTATGCCACAAAAACATTCCAGCACATCACCCTTGCCAGGGTTCCATACACAGGGCAATGTTTAAATGTATGTCCCTGGAACATCCGGCCGATCAAGCAGTCAGGCCATATCCCTCTTCTCACTGTTTCAGTAACCCATCATTCATGAAGGGTTTGACACGCACTACATGTACTACATGTACTTGGGGACTTGATGCTTGCACTGGGAAATGTTCCGTACAATCCTCATGTGCTTGCTCACTGGACATTTGATTAGCACATGGAGTAAGTTTTTAGCACACAGAGAGAGTTTTTCTTCAATGCATGTGTTTCCATCTGCTAGCAGCAGATCGACTTGCTTTGGCTGATTTTGCACACAGCAGCTACCTGCATAACCGACGGATTCCAAGGTGATTTCTGGACAGTATGGCAAATGCATTCCCTACTGAGTAACTGTATTGGAGTCGTCAGTCAAGACATGGTCATGGGAAGTGCACAATGCACAAGCAGTAATGACATGGGCGTGCCTGTACTAGTGCTGTATACATGTATGTAGCCTATTGTAGGCCCAAACACATCACTGGAATCCTTGCCATGACCGCGTACCACGATTCGCCTTTGCGCTATGCGTTCTACATCAACAAAATTTGGTCCATCATTGCCCATCACATCAACAATCATGGAGGGGCAGGGATACCGCGCTTGGCGTCCCCAACCGCGATACAGACACGTAGATCGACACTTAGTAGATCTACTAGAAGTACAGAGTCAGTACCGGTAGTTGTGACCGAGAAAGGGCCTACGCTACTGTACTCAACTCCTAGTCCTAATTATTTCAATGACCTGCTCAGAACGAAATGAAGTGATCACCACAACAGGCTGGCAAGTACTTAGAGTAAGAGTGAGAAATTAGCGTGCGACGTCCTCACTCAGAAAGACATCATTGGGACTAATGCCAGTAATGGCACCAAACACAATGTCCTTTTTAGTGGTGTAATATTCATCAATGACGATAGCGGAAATCCATCATCTGGAACTACACAGGCATCGTGAAGAACCTACCGGACTCAACGCCTTCCATAGTGCCTAGAGGGATTTAGCGATCGTTATCTCCACCGCGCGCTATCTCAAGCCACTTGGACAAGACGCTGCTACATTCAATGATCACCTCCAAGTAGGCTTGCCTTGAGTTTCGAATGGTCAACTTCAATGCATATTTCGCTTCTAAAGTGACTTGCTTCTCGCTCGCAAGCCCTACAATCTAGCAATCTTGCTGAGTAAATAAGCTGTAAGCTCTGAGTCTCAGCTCATATCAGGCTGAACCATGTGAACAGACTCCATGTTCACCCGCTTCTAATTCTACTGCTGATCACCAAATCCAAAGCATTACATGTGACAGACAGCAGTGTCAGTCACTGCGGCAGCGCGGAACGTCGAGCAGACTTTCTATGATCTACGTCCTTCGCGATCGCGTAAGCCTTAGTCACCTACCACAGAGTCAGTCAAACAGATCGTAGATCTACGCGTAGGTAGTGTGTGACCGAGACTGTACTGGGCATGGGCGGACTTCGCGCCCGGACGAACAGGGACGCACATGATGTCAATAAGCACGTGTGACTTTGCGGCTATGACAGCTAGCACTGCAGTAGCAAGGACGCGAAGAGCCTTACCATGACATTGTGAGCTAGCTGTCGATGTAGTCTACAAGTACAATGCCACGGACGGTGGCTACGGCTCGAAGTCGTCTCCATGTCTCTTGCCCTGTCTACTCCCCATATCTCGTGCTTCGCTTTGGCTACCAGCGGCGGTAACAAACCTGCCAGTGTTGACGACGGAGGACCTCTCGTGCAGCCAGGGGTATCTCTCCACGTTGATTTCAGGTACCACAAGGTCATAGTTGCAAGCTGGAACACTAACTAAAGTGCTATCTTTCACCTGAGCGATTACGCCCCTATCGCTAGCACCAAGAGTAAATAAGCTCTCAGCTTATTTACACTTGCTACATTGTAGCACCTTGCAATTGTGCCCGTAATTGCTCGTTCAAGTCTGCAACAAGACACTGTGTAGGATTTCTGGGTCTTTCGGAATAGAGCATGGCTCATTATCTGACTTCAGCTAGAATACAACTAGCATTTATAGGCACTACACACTGACACTGACACTCATCTTCTACCCCATCACTTTCACGTGGCACTCTCAAGTGACTGTGCGACATCTCATTCATGAGTAATCAGAGAGTTGTTCCTCCTCGACCTCGAAGCTTATAAATTGCATAAATACATACATGTACCGGACTCAGCACTGTAGTGTGCATAGTCATTGTAGGACGACGTGCTGCGTAGTCATTCCCAGTCGGCATTTCTGATACGGAGTAGTAATAATCATCTGGGGGAGTATGGTGCTAATTCACGCCAGGTATGGGAACAGAACTGACAGTCTGTGCATGTGGACACAATAGAGTGCTCTTCGGTGCTCACAATCAAGGACGAGCGCTAACGGGGATACACTCCATAATAATAAAATTAGCTTATTGGCATAACATGTTTTTTCTTGACTAGTTTGAGGGAAAGCTCTCAGCTTATTTACACTTGCTAGCAAGCACCTTGCGATTGTGCCCGTAATTGCTCGTTCAAGTCTGCAACAAGACACTGTGCAGGATTTCTGGGTCTTTCGGAATAGAGCTCATTTCTGGGTCTTTCGGAATAGAGCATGGCTCATTATCACATTAGGCTCTGCACTAGCCCAAACTAGGAATACTGTACTGTATAGGCTGTAGACTTACTTTCGTGTCGGTACATGTACTATGAAAAAGACGCTATTGTTACTTACTAGTAGTACTACATGTAGTACAGCCTCTCCGCGTACCCCCTGCTGATATCAAGCCATTGGGGCAAAACTTTTTGACTCCAAAGCCAATAAGTAAACGACGATTGGTTAAACCAACGTCAGATCAAAGTTCTAGCTTGAGAAAAACTGTTCTTGTTGTGCCTAAATGCCCTAAACACTTACTCTGGTCGCACGGATCTTCCATGAAAACCGATTCGTAGTCGTACGACGGCGGAGGATCAGCGAGAGTCAATCGCCCGTCCAGTCCCGGCGATGGATCAGTACAAATGTAGCCGTCGAAAGTGACGGATCGGTCCTTCAGCTTTCTGCGCGAGAGTAAATCCATATCCCACTTCAGTGTGCTATGCACAGATAGGCACGAGTCACTATAGTGTAGCCCCTAGTCGCGCTTGTTGCCGCCAGACGACGCTAACTGCAGAATGCCAGAATCCGAGATTGAAGATAGATAGCGAAGGTTTTTTGCACACAACAATGTGCATGTAGTCAGTCAGTAACATTTACCGCAAATGTAGCGGTGAGTGTACGAATGAAGTTAGTTTGTACGAACGAAGATAGTTCCGCTTTCCTGCCTCTATGAACGAAGCAGGTTTCTTCTGACCAGGGAATGTCAGCATCATTCAATGAAATACACTGCCAATTTATTAGACGAACTAAATCCCCGCCCCGTTTCGTGCAATAAGCAGCGTGCTGCGGTCTCGCGAATCTTGGCTCGAATCACAGTGTCGTTGATTTCGGACGAAACCGTATTTGTATGGGCTGTGTCCGAGATTGAGATTGGGATGAATCGACTCACTTCCTGACACTATCTCCATTGACTGTAAGATAGCAGCGTCGCTAGATTGGTCAATACTGAAATACAGGCTGCACTGGTATTACCGGTACTGGTACTAGCATTGGCTTTACTTTAGTTTAGTGACGGTCGGTCTGCATTCGGCTATGGCCCGGCCCGGCGGTCAGCGCTGATGATAAATACTGTATTGAGTGAATGAGTTTGTAGTGTTGAGTCTGCAGTGTACAGTCATGTAGTACTAGTAGTCTTGCTACTCATCGCGAGCTTGCCCAAGCCACTTATCTCAATCAATCGCAATCCGGCCCGGGGGCGATACACCAGAACGCGGTATTCTGAAAGCCTTCGTCAATGAACGCTGGACGTTTATGCAGCAGCAGACCAGCATGCAGGGCGTCGGCTGAGACTGTGAGAGACCGAGGTCCGTGGACTACTAAAATTGTAGTATGCTGCGAATCACTGCCTTACCTTTTTTTCTTGGCTAAAATGCATGTACATGTATGTACCCAGTTTGTGCCACATGATGACGACTACAGACTCGGTACAATCATGTAGGTGCGCTGTCTATTCTAAAAGTCTATGATTCTTCCTCCATACCAATTATATTTTGAACTATTAAAATTACTTGGGCGAACTGGGAAAATTGTCCTCCGCCCACTCTAGCACATTTTGCCTGTCTGATCTCTTCTGCGGTTATGGCTTGGACATGGACCATGGCATGATGGACGTCATGTACCACGAGTATCAGTCCTACAACTATAGTAACTAACGTCTCATTGTATATGTACTGAGTCTGTGCATGGAGTCTGCTACTCTTTTTGTTGTGTCGCACCAAACAAGCATGACTGGTACATAATTGTACTCACATGTACATGATTGTATTGTACAATTATTATGTAGCTTGACCAAGCTGGTCACGCTGATCACCACTGTCTCTGACACCAGTCCAGTACAGGAGACTAGAGCCATGATGTACATGACATTGCAGTCATTATGCCAGTCCACCTTACATAGCGGGGAGCAGTCAAAAGCAGCTGGTGAGCTGATAAAAATACTGTACAGCTGCACATGTAATACAGTGTGCCAGTGAATTCCTCTGCGACGCCGATTCTGACAACATGACACATGTGCAGGCCACCATGTCTCATGCATGACAAGTGGACATGTCAACTCAACCGACTGAGCCTGTGAAAGGAATTGCATCGCTGTGAAAGCAGAACAGTAGTGTGACGTCAACACCAGCTTTTTGGACCCAGTTTGTGATTAGACTGTCGAACTGGCTGATGATAACATTGCTATCACCAAGCGTCCAGACCCTAGCTACTAGCATGCCATTAGCAAGATCAGTGTTTGCGACCTCGACCGCCCACTGAGAGCAGAATGTGTCTGTGCCCGGTCAGTGCCCGCACACTCACAGGCACAAACAAGTACAACAACAATGTCTCGAACGGACTGACAGTGCACCCCGGCACAGTGAGTTACTTTGACCAGACGCCAGTGATACCGTACTGCAGTCTATCCTGGCTTACAGTGTCAGTGGATTGTAGTTGCTACAGCAGTGTAACTCTTGTCAACAGCCCTCTACTCTCCTCCCCAACTATTCCTCCATTGACAGGCAGCTTCCACGTGTCTCCCAACCTATTATGACCATTGTTTAGCCATTGTTTTCGTCTTTCCAATCAACACTATGCTATGAACTGCCACATCTTCCATTATCCATTGTACTTTGCTCCCATGTGAGCTAGAGATCGATAGTAGAGTTGTACTTGTTGGTCAACTGAAGCATAATAACTGTACTGATGTTTTGGTGTTGACGGCTGCTACCCGCATGCAGCACAGTCCACACTCGTGCAATGGCCATGAACTCACATAACTGGCATCATTCTAGTATTTGAATCACTAGTCTCATGAGAGGTGCTAGCATGCTTGCTTGCAGAAAACCTACTTGGGTGACCCAACTTGAAGTACAATGATGATGGTTTTTTTTAATACCATGCATTGTAAACAGCCTCTTTTACGGGCAAAGTAAGTAGTAAAGTTTGCACGTCCGCGTTACAACCGGCTATACAATTGCGTTGAGAAACACAACCAGCTTAGGAAGTTTCGCTCGTGCCAGGCCACCACCATGCCTGTGATACCAGGGTGGCAGACGCAGCGCCTAACGGCGAGGGTGAGGTGGTAACTCTCACAACCAATGCCCGACAAGGGGACGAACCTCGTTAGCTGCATCCATGTTATCCTCGCTCCGAGTAGTGAGTACCCAGCTGACCATGGGTGTCGGCGCAGTTCCCTGCACGTATAGTGGTTCACGCATGCATCACCGCACTTGTTAGCACAGCACACGCTCCCTGCTCTCAGCGCGGGTCTCGAACTCGGGACCTTGTGATTCGCAGGCAAGCCCACAACCACTCGGCCAAAGCGCTGATCACGGGCAAAAGCGACACAATATGATGAGAAACTAGGGTATGATAGGAAGAAAATAACACAAACGCAATACAAAACTGCAGAAGAAATCAGGAAAATAATGCATGTGTAAAATAAAGATTTTCAAACGCAAACCAGAAGAATGATGGTGAGCCAAGGAAACTTCAAATCAGAACTTTATTTAATTTTTTTAATTTCAACGAACTCAATCAATGAACTCAAAGAAGAAAAACAAACAAACAAAACAAAAACAAAAATTCTTAGCTCAGTGGTAAGAGCATCGCTGGCCTCAAGCGAAGGCCCCTGGTTCGAATCCTAGTGGTGACAGTCAATTTTCTCTTCAGACTTTCCCGTTTGTGTCTTTCCCTCAAACCAGTGAAGAAACATTGTATGAATTAATAAGAACACTAATAGAGAGTCGAATGTCGAGCCAATAGTAATGTGTAAAGAGAAAAGGATCTATAAGTTGCCAATTATGACTAACAGTCCACCAAGGTAACGAGATAATATAGAGTCAGATAGTGCGACAACAAGGCACAATCGACGACCTGACACCTAGTTCCAACACATCTACGAAGCGCAAACCAACAACCTTCAAACTTGGAAGGCTCAGGTGCGGAAAGTTCCAATGAGGGGAAGGGAGGGCTGCACCTGAGCCTTCCAAGTTGGAAGGGTTTTGTCAGATCTTGACCAAACTTTGGTAGTAGATGCTGTGGACTCTTGAGTATTGACTATGCAGTGCTAACTTCAAAGTGCCAATCTTGAACCCTGGATGTGGTAACGTCTTAGTGCTAGCTTATGACTTGCTGCAAACAACATGTACATGTAGTAGTGTGAATTCTGTCCCTGTACTGTCCTTTACAGTGGAACTCGGATCAGATGTACCCCCTCGGGGAGTGGAAAAAAGTACGTACTATCCAAGTTACTTCTTATCCAGAGTTGACTCCTGCGGACCCACTAATACGGTACATGAGCAGTATGTCAAAATGCTCGAAATTATTTATTGCACTCAGAAATGTACATGTTAAGTGCCACCAAACTAGGCTTCCCTGGCTGGAAACATCCTCCTTTGTGCTTTGTCAACACGCTGAAGTACCTGTCAAGCGAACCTGTCATTTGTAAAGGTACATGTACATTGTACATTTGTATATGAAAACACCCAAAAGTGCATAGTATGCGAGGCTAGCTCTGGTGAGACCTGCTGAAAAGTCTGTCATACACGAGTTGTATCTTATCAGGGTATGTCGTAACCGCACAAATTTGTAGCATGAGCCTATGGGAGGAAAATCCGTACGACAAAAAAAGGACCTTACTAAGCAGGTGTACGTCTTAGGGGCCGATTATATGAGAAAAATAAGCCCGGGATTATTCTCCTCTGGCTTATATTTTCAACTGTTTACATGACGGTTGTACGGGGCCGAGTCCAGGTGAGTGACTGTGAGTTCTGCACGCATTTTATTTTTTCAAATTGCACATGAACGCAGTGGTAAATGTTTGTGTGTGATGAAATTTGGATCAAGAAGTGCCGGCTCACGCTTCTACTGCCTTTCCGATTGTTACTTATTTTCGAGAAAATGAAGAACCTTCCACTAAACGAAAAATCAGAAGAAAAATGGCCAAGAAAGAAACAAAAGAGACGCACTACCCACAGCGACATTCTCTCGCTTATAGGCCTAGGGCTTATTTTCTTGACTGTTTGCATGACAAAATAAGCCCGAGGGGGGGGGGGGGGGGGGGTCAAGCAAGCCCGCCTCACCATGTAAACGCGCACTCTAAAATGACTGGGTGATAGATCAAGGCGGACTTATCGTAAGTCTAAGGTTGAATAAGCCAGAGCTTATTTTTTTCATGTAAACAGGCCTTTACCCGGGTACGTACTATGTCAGTCCCACTGTATTAGCCATGCATACAATGTACATTATTGTACATTATATTTGTATCTTCTCCTACATTTGTATATCCCTGATGATGCCTTCCTGGGTGAAAACGGATACAATCGATTTGCGTGATGTAGCCAAGGCCTGTCTGTGTGTTGTGGGTTGGACGTTAATTTAAAATTAAAAAGTTCATTTTTTATAAATAACACTCACCTTGTCTTCAGCTTCCATCCAAGTTCGCTTGTTGGCAGAGGCCAGAACGGCCCATCTTCCATGTCATGTAGTAATGGTGCCGATCCACGCCACCCTGCTTGTGTGCCCCTTGCCAGCTAGTCAGCCAGGGGCATGTTCGCCTGCTTTCAAGTAAGTGGTCACAGCATTTTGTTCATAATTATTATTTATCTACAACTAAAAATTGCCAGTGAATACTGTGTACTTGACCACATGCACACAAACCGACATCGACACGTACATCGTCATGTACATAGATCTGCATATGCTGCACATGCCACATGGCATGACACACGTGACACCATGTAAACGCCTCGGCGGCTCAGGGCCCAGTTTTTGAAAAAGACGCGAAAACTCTGAGGACACGTTTTGCAAAAACTGATGGTTTATGAGCATTGCATATTGCTGTACATGTACATACTCAATTCATTTCAATAAAATAATACTTTCCTCCCAGTTGACAAAAGCTTGAGAGCTAGCTCCGCTGTGTTTGGTAGACTATAAGCTCAGCAACTGGAAAGCTTCGTTATGTCGGAACCCGAGACGCAACCGACGCAGGATGTCTTCTTTCTGAATACGGAGGAGTACGACGATGATGAGGTCGATGGTCCCACAGAAGATCCGGTCTGGGCTCGACTCTTTGCCACTGGCAACCACAATTACCCTTCACTGGGTGAGTGATGAAAGTATGCATGCAAGAGTAGTGTCACTTTTGAAGATTTAGCTAGTGCAAGTGCTGTTGAGAGCGCTTACTTACATTCGTGTACGTCTGTGCACACGTACCTCAGTAGGCTGTGACTGCACCAGTAGTGCCAGATAATGTTGCAAAATCCATGGAAGTACTGATATTTGTGCGCGAATACTCACACCATGTCCCATCCAGCCCGAGAAGAGCAGCACAGCCGATGGTTGAAATGCAGCAATCTCTCTACTATTATCAAGAGTATAATAACCCCCCAAGAGCGTGCAACTCCTGATACCCTTTCTAGTATGGGTTCGCCGACGGCGAAAACTCACATTACGCGTGGTGCAGTGTCCCAGTTGTACGTTTCCAGCCCGTTTCTAGCGAGCAGCAGAGTAATAATAAAAGCACTCCCTGGCAGAAACTCACTACGCGTATGCAACTCGCCAGCATAATCATGGCAGTTTTTCGGATTGCGCGCACGCTATCCTAGTTGTACGTAGTACGAAGCGTTTCTGAGACACGTGATATGACTATGAGCCAGACAGGGATTGAAATGATAGTCAATATGGTTATTTATAAAGTAAAAAGGACCAAGGAACTACAAGTTACACTATAATGTCCACTAACACCACCAGCTACTAAACAATCAGCTCATGCGATAACATTGCACGACACTGACCGACGGTACTGACGTTCTGCAACTAACTGGCTAACAGCTCTAGCACATCTTGGATGCGCACTCCAACAGCCTTCCAACTTGGAAGGTTCTAAGTTATAGAAATAACATAAGGAGGGGAAGGTGAGCGCAACCAAGATAAGCACGAGCTGAAAGTTTCAGCTGTGAAGGATGTTGGCGGATGTTCATGCGTGTTGTAGAACGTCAGTACCGTCGGTCAGTGTCGTGCAATGTTATCGCATGAACTGATTGTTTAGTAACTGGTGGTGTTAGTGGACATTATAGTGTAACTTGTAGTTCCTTGGTCCTTTTTACTTTTTATAAATAATTAGTGTTTAAACCGAACACGGATTCTTCGAACGAATAATCTATCGAATAATTTCGCCCTCCATCGAACGAATAATCTATATTCTATCATACGCATGATGGCATTTTTGAACACTTTTTCAGCACTTTTTAAAGGGGAAGTATACCCTAAAATCAAATTTTCACCAGTTGTAGTCTTCTGGGTGCTGGGTCGAATGGTCTTGGTCCGAGGAAGCTGCGACGCTCCCTTCCTACTTGAATCCCAATCGAACTCGCGCACTTCCACCGAAACTGGGTGACTGCGCCCTACTAGATGGGGATTTGTATGCAAAATGTCACTAAAAGCGCCATTTCGTTCTTATAAAAGCACGGATGACCGCGATTGGCCCATATGTTGTAGTCTTTTGGACGCTGCGTCGACTGGTTTTGGTCCGAAAAGGCTGCGATGCAGCGTTCCTCCTTTATTCCCAATCGAACATGGTTGAACAAGCGGTCACGTGCTCCTGGATGCCCAAATCACCTGGTCACCACGCCAGCAGGCGACAAATTTCACACCAAGGTTCAACTCGAGTTCAACTCGAGTGACAGGAGTGCACCCAAAAAAGGTCAAACAGGCTAGTAAGTTGTACCCTGCAGGCACGGTGACCAGGTGACTGGTGTACGCAGGAGCACGTGACCGCTTGTTCAACCATGTTCGATTGAGAATAAAGGAGGAACGCTACATCGCAGCCTTTTCGGACCAAAACCAGTCGACTCAGCGTCCAAAAGACTACAACATATGGGCCAATCGCGGTCATCCGTGCTTTTATAAGAACGAAATGGCGCTTTTAGTGACATTTTGCATACAAATCCCCATCTAGTAGGGCGCAGTCACCCAGTTTCGGTGGAAGTGCGCGAGTTCGATTGGGATTCAAGTAGGAAGGGAGCGTCTCAGCTTCCTCGGACCAAGACCATTCGACTCAGCACCCCGAAGACTACAACTGGTGAAAATTTGATTTTAGGGTATACTTCCCCTTTAAGTAGTTTTTAAAATATTTTTTTGCTGATTTAATATCGGATTTTGTTATGTGGGGGTGCAAAACCGGTTAACCTGTACCGCCAAGAGTACATAACCCCCCAGAGTGTGCAACGCTTGATCCAGCTCTGCATAGGGTCTTGGTCGAAAGTGGTCAAAGACCGAAAATCACATTCACTGCATCCATGTTTCCCTCGTATGGAAAGAACAGAAGTACATGTACATGTACATGTATTACTAGATACCGATAGGAGATTAAAAACCTTGGAGGAGAAGTGATTGAGAAGAAATACTACGAGCAGATCTACGCAGTGCAAATATCAGTAGGGTCAGCACTGAGCATAGATCGTTTTTTTTTTTTTTTTTTTTTTTTTTTTTTTTTTTTCGATTTCTGATAATTCCTACGACTATTCGATTATTCGTTCACCCCACGAATATTCTAAATTATTCGATTATTCGATTATTCGTTTCAACACTATAAATAATCCTTGCCTCTCCATCCAAGTTCAATATGGTTATGTGGAAGTTTGTAGATAGTACATTTCTAGATGTGCACGATCGGATGTCTGTTTGATCTTGTGTCTCTGTTTTTTGTGTATCTATATGAATGTACACTTTCAGAGCTGAAAGAGGATGAATATACGATTGGCCGCCATCGAACATGCGCTTACGTGTTGGAGGACAAGACCTACACACATTATCCGTCTTTTTCCAACTGCCATTGCCGCATCTTTAGAGTAGGTGTCATAGGAAATCCAGCTAGTTTCTGTGTGTGTACAAGCGTGTGTGTGTGTGTGTGTGTGTGTGTGTGTGTTGGAAGAAGGGAAGAGCTGTCCCTAGGCTGGTTTCTCCATGATCATGAAGTATAATAAAATATTGCTACAGAGCTTCCGGCCATAGACCACTTTGGTGGTGACGGGTGGAGGATGTAGAATGTGGTATCATGAAGTAGGTTTGTACATTGTGCAATCCTGCATCGTGTTGTGTGCACGGGCTCAACAAAGTGGTATGGGGGCGTCGGGCTCTAGTGACATGGATCAATGCACTATAGACTGCAGCAGATGCATCATAGTTTGTATACTCGTTCTTTTCTCTTTCTTTTTTTTTTTTTTGTCTGCGCAGGAGCATGGAAAGACTGGCTACACCGTGTTCCTGGAGGACAAAAGGTGACTTTCCGGGTTTTTGCTTTTGTTTTGGATTGTTCATTACAGCCATGCCCCTTGAATTGTTCATTACAGCCATGCCCCTTGAATTGCATGCAGTGAAAGTCGGTTTCTACGGTAGTGTCAGATGCTGAAGAATGGGGGGGGGGGGGGGGGGGGCAGAGTTGTACTTCAAAGTAGGCAAGTCCGTTCTTGTTTTTCATGTACTGCAGTCTATGTGCAGTGGAGTCACCACCGTGTACATACCGGTGTATTGTACATGCAGCTTGTGGAAATCCTTGCCTGCTCGTTCTTGGGTGCTCGGCAATGTAGCTACCCTCTTCTGGCCGCATCTGCACCATGTTCCTAGTTCGAGTGAATTAGTTTATGTGCCTACTGATGTCTTAGTGTGCTTGCAAGGACTGTACGTATGTTGTACAGCGCTGTGTCGTCCTTTGTGGACGCATTGGCACAGAGCAGAGAAACGAGGCTAAACCTGGCAGCCATAAAAAAATCCCCAAGCTATTACGGATCGTGCTTCACCTAGTGCAACTGTATCTATTTGCAGAGAACATTAATTTTTACTGACGTTTTACTATAAAATGATTTATGATGTCATTTTGTTTTTCTATTTTCCTTGTCTAAACTCAGTGCGAATGGAACATTTGTGAACGGTGACAAGATCGGTAAGGCTGACGGTAGAGTGTCCAGTGGAGCAGCAGAGTCGCGCTTGTGTTGCTCGGCTCCATGATGACACTGCCTAATTTCTGCTAGCATTTGCCTTGAGTTGTTCGGCAATTGTTTGTCTGCATGGCTGGCACATGGCAAGGTGGTGTCGTCTTGTTGCAAGCCACTCTTTGTCCAGAGGAGTTTGCTACCTGCAGTGAGCTTCACCGGCATATTACAAGACTTCACGATGTTTGAAAAAATAAATTTATTTTTGTCAAACCTCGTGAAGTCTTGTAATATGCCGGTATTATAGTTTGAAAAATGTTTCCAATCGGTGCCGGTTCTCCACTGAAGATTGTCACAAGAAAACGAAGAATTCCTTTTGACTACGTTGCTCTGTGTGTGTGTGTGTGCTGGAATGACGGCACAAATGATATTATTCATAGCCTTACGAATAATGCTGTAATCAGTTTACTGCTTCGGTCTTCCTTCAAGTGTGCTGATGATTCCTGATGTTTGTAACATGAAAGCGAGCGAGCGAGTCGATGTCTATCTCTCCTTTGTAAGCATGGTACTGTAAAAGCAGAAATTTGGTGGTGTAATATTTTCGGTATTCTCCAAAATCGGCGGTTCGGCGGAGGGAAATTTTCGGTAAACCCGCGCTTCAGGTAAGTGTACTAGTACTATACCGACATTTTCGGTGTGTTTTATTTCGGTAAAAATTTCGGCACAGAAGTTACCGAAAATAAAACACCACCGAAATGTTCTGCTTTTACAGTATGTGTTTATGCTTTGATAATAACCAACCCCCCAATACAATGAGAAGAAGGAGAAATACAACTAACGTGTACCGTTACAATGCCCACCAGCACAGAAACCTAATGGAATCGCAGGCAATCCTCACAGCATTTTGAAACACTTGTAACCGCCCAAAACGCATGTGCATCATAATGGTAGGTTCTCATCATGTGTAATATACTCCATCTGGTGATCTCAAGGTCTGTGTGTTCCCTTTTGTGCTGTTGCCGTACAGGGAAGGGAAGGAAACAAGTTTTGAATGGTGGTGACGACATTGCATTTTCGCTGAAAGAGAACAAAAGTAAGGCCAGTTGGATCGGCTTTGGCCTCTGTATTCGAGCGAAAATTGGTGCCATTTGATGCTGCTTTGTATTCATGAACAGGATGTGTTCTTAGGAATGACCAGTTGTATGGAATTTGACTTTTAAAAGTGACTTTGTGCCATCCTTGTTTGCTCTGTGGAAACTTGACCGGGTGAAAATTAATGCCAGTGTGGCGGTAGTATTGGTGGCCTGTGTGCTGTGAACACTAGTTGGAACATGAGTATTGTGCTTCGGTTATATTGTGCTTCTGGACAAGCGTCCTACATTGGTATTGTTCTTTCAGTACCGAAAAGTACTGGTGTCCAGTTTTCAAGCCAGTTCTGCATTGAATGGAATGCTGCTGATTCGATGTATCCGTGCCTGGTGATATTTGTGCGTTTTGGCACTCGGCCACTGATATGCATGGCGAATGTCATCCCCATATGTTTGACTTGCATCCAGTGTTTATTTTCCATGATATGGCTGAGAAAGAAGGAGCACTCAAATTGCCCGAGGTAAGAGGCCAATGCATGCACATGTGTCTGGGAGTTGTGATACTACAAATTGTAGTAAGTGTCTGACTTATTGTTTCTATGCGCTTTCCGGTGGTTCTGTTGTTGCTGGAATTTCTTGCTTGATTTGTGTGTTGGCTGCACTCTTGGTCTGTCAGTGCTTTGCCCGTTCCGCTCCTTATTGTCCCGAAACAAGTTTACAATACACGTAGGAGCAAATGTACTTGTATCGGCTAGAAACAGTACAAACTTCAGGCTCTAAAGTCTCAACCGCCAGCTTTAGGACTCAAGAATTTCACAACCCATGTTTTTGCACTTTCTTATCAAGTGATGTGCAGACAACTAGAACCAATGAAGTGTAGGAAATAATAGCAACACAACGGTGGTAACCTTTACAACAACGTGATGAATTAGGTGAAGAAATAGGAAAGAAAAAGCATGCGAAATATGAAAGGGGGAATAAGTGAATGGTGAGAGGTGAGGCTAATGAGGCAAAAAATACATGGTACAAAGTCAAACACCTAAGGCACACTACGTAAAGCGGTGGTAACTACTTCAGAGGTATAACATTTTTCTTTTGTTTACATGGTGATGATGTTTGCGCAGAGTAAATATGTACAGCTACTAACACTTTTGAATGAGTATTGTACTTGTATTGCAGTTTAATCACTTCTTCTGTCCTGGTGTGTGTCTACCTGTGCTTATCATTTTGATACTCATTCACTGTTGGTTGCCTAGGATGTACCATGTCTTATTGTTTTGACTCTTGTCCTATGTATGCCGGTTCTGCCAATTTGACTCTTTTCCACTACCAAATTACCACTGCGGATCCGATCATTCAAATGTGACTTCTTCATGTTGGTCTGGTCTGCAGGAAATGTCAAAGCAATACGTGCTCTCCAAGACGCTTGGCCGGTAAGTTCTGTTGCTTGCTTGGCTTGTGCCAGTTAAATCTTCTTCCTTCTCTCTCTCTCTCTCTCTCTCTCTCTCTCTCTCTCTCTCTCTCTCTCTCTCTCTCTCTCTCTCTCTCTCTCTCCCTCTCTCTCTCTCCCCCTCCCCTCCCCCTCCCTCTCCTTTCCTTCAGTCCTTGAGGAATGGTCTGCTTCGTTGCTCACTTTGTTCTTGTAGTGGTGCTTGCGGAGAAGTGAAGCTGGCGTTTGATAAGTCATCCGGACGAAAGTCGGCTGTCAAGATCCTGAGCAAACGGAAGTTTTCGATCGGGGTGAGCTGGCTGGGCTGCACATTCTCTCTGTCTCTCTCTCTTTCTCCTCTCTTCACTCTCTCTCTCTCCCTCTTTCTTTCTCTCTCTCTCTCACTCTCACTCTCTCTCGCTCGCTCGAAATAGGAAACAAAACCAAAATTACTCTCTGACCGATAAACACTAAAAGTCGATGTTGTGAAGGAGAATGGAATGTCATTTGTTTGAACTTTGCTGAATGAGTTTGCGCCTGGCTGCTGTTTTGAGTGACAGTCTAGGAAATATAAAACAGAGGCTGTGCAGGTAGAGTGGGGTGGCATTGTCTTCCAAAGTTGGTTTGTTTGTAGACATCGGTGAATGTTTGGTCAAAATACATTTGAATTCGCATTTGAAGGTCAGTGAGACTATCATACTTTCGTGAGCGTCACAAATTTAAAACATAATGAACAGGTCAATATTTGTGTGCTAGCAACAAAGACCATTTTTAAATATGTCAAATGCGAAAGTGCTTCTTTGTCTCCCCTCTTTTTCAGCCATCAGTGCCAGCAAATCTAACAGAAGAGGTGCGCATCATTCAGCGTCTTGACAACGTAAGTTCTTTTCTTTTTTTTCAAAGTGAAGCATTGGTTGGCCATAGGTGCCATGAAAGTGTTCTCAGGATTTGCTTTACGCCATAAGCTTTTTGTTTGGAGGGAGGGAGGGAGGAGAGAGTTATCCTACTAATGAGTGCAGCCTGTACTGTAGGCGAGCCAGTTGTGACGAGGGGGGCCGCAGGGTCTTTGGTCCGGGGAATCCTTCTGTCTGAGGGATAGTGTGAAAGCATGTCAGGATGACTTTCTGCATGACCAGCAGCCATGTTGTAACTTACTGTTCAATGTTACTTCTGTTTGTTCTGTTTGCTTGCAGCCTGGTGTAATCCGTGTGGAGAACATGTTTGAAACGGACAATCAGCTGTTCATTGTGCTTGAGCTGTGAGTTCATTTCTGTAGATTGGTGGTTAGCAGAGCATAATTCAGAGTTCACTGTACATTGTACAAGTCAGTTCAGTGTGCATGAGCAGGCTGTACTGGCCAGTTCAGTGTCCGCGAAATCTGTGTCTGAGGTGCGTAGCGCAACTCTGCGTGAGAACGCGAGCAGTTTGACATACGCAATGTGTTGTGGAAGCATATTTGGATAATCAGAATATCCGGATGATTAGAAATTTTTCCCTGGCATTTTGGGGTTCGACTTATTAGGATTTGACCTGTATTACGAAGGTTAAGCAAGACAAATTTCGCGTTCGTGTTCGAACTGCAATGAAAGTTGAACTCTGTGAGGAAATTCACTTTTTATGATGAGGATTAGCTTTTTATGTTGAGGGTAAGCAAATAGAATTCGCACTTGCATGACGTTGACAGGCTGTACTTGTGTGCAGACAGTACAGCGTAGTAAATTTATGACTGTCCTGACACGATTCCGCGATTCGTGTTTCGACTGCTTTTCCGAACGAAAAATGCGAGAGTTCGAAATCCAGTTCGCAAACCGAAAAATGTTAGCAAACTCGAACGTGAACTTTGTGATGCTAAAACTCCATATTGGCTGCCGCATTGTCTGATGGTGGTCAAGCTTGCTTTGTCCGTTAATTATAAAAAAAGTGCTTACCGACCTTCTGAATCCAAAGGTCCTATTGTATGGCGCTAGCAAGTCTTCAACAGGATTTCACCCGAGTTTGTCATGCTCTGTTGTGTTTACTACTGTTCACTCTCTTCCGCGTGCAGGATGGAGGGCGGTGAGCTTTTCGACAGGGTTGTGAACACAGGTCGCTTTGAAGAGCCGTTGTCCAAGCTATGCTTCTACCAGATGGCCATGGCTGTACAGGTAGGACCGGGTGACAGAAGAGTTTAGGATGTTATAAGCCTTGTAGTGAATTTTCACATTGCAGGCATTGTTTCCCAAATGACCATCCAGGTGATGACTTGCACGTGGCCTCGCCCAATTCGCGTCTCCAGCCCAGTACACGTGTATGGACGTTGTGTTGTTCTGGCAGTGTATCACTATTACCATGAGTACAACAGCAGCAAACCGTGTACTGTCCTGGGGACGCCAAGTTGCTTGCACCATTGTCAGGTGTCTATGATATCACACTTTGACGGCCTTTGGCAGATATAATTTTGTCCTAGTCAGTAGTCACACGTAGACATCAAACTGAAGGGATAGAATGTGAAGCGTGAGAATGTTCACATTCTATACACTCACTAGGTGGAATTCCTGCTAGTCTGTCGACATAGATCTGTTCGATTCAGATTGGTTCGATTTCTTCCTCTTGCCAAGCCTTTGTGTGTCTTGCTTGAATTGAAATGATCTGGATGTGACGGCATCAGTGCCCCACTGCACGCACCATGACCCATGCCCGTGCTGGCTACTCAATACTCTTGGAAATTGACATTAATTGTATTGCATGCTTGCCAAATCACCATGCCAATTCCCATCTGTTCTATGTGGTCTCAAGTCCACGAGCTGTGACTCATGTAGTTATTATTATAGGTGTATGACTTGCAATTTCAAATTTGGGCTGCATTCGATTGTAGAAACTGGATCCCGATCCCCGCCGACCAGATCACTTCGATCTGACGGATACAATCGAATGTGCACAACCGATAATCCGTTTCAAGGCCTTAGCAACCGCGTTGCTACAGCTCATCCCGTAGTATCTGTACGCGTTGCGGTAAACTCTTGACCTAGTGTACGCATATTGCGAGTTTTGAGTAGATACGAGTCGTACTATCGAAATGAATCCGTCGAATCCGTCGAATCCGTCTCTGGGAGGTGGGTTGACTGGATCCGAATCCGTGCTCTCGGGATCCGGATTCGTACAATCGAACATGCACAAATTTGGCGAATCCGGGTCCGGGGCTGATGGATTCGTACAATCGAACATGCCCTTGGACTTCACGGAGAATTTCAAAGTTTTTAGGAAATTAGAGGCCACATGCCACGTACTGCTCTTTTCTCTCCGAAACTCAACACTTGCAAGCCAGATATGAAAGAAAGAAAAAATCATCAGTCACACCACCAGGACTCGAACCAGGGACCTTGCTATTCGCGAGCAATGCTCTAACCAACTGAGCTACAGTATGACTCTTATCCACAGTGATGGTAAATCTATCCTTCTTCGATCAATTCATATCTGGCTTGCATCATGCTGGCAACTCACACCAATCAAGAGGGCCCTCGGCCATTCGCTTGATATCATGGGGAGCGCATCAAACTATGTCCACTGCGAGCAAATACAAATTGCAATTTCAAATTTGGACTTCACGGAGAATTTCAAAGTTTTTAGGAAATTAGAGGCCACATGCCACGTACTGCTCTTTTCTCTCCGAAACTCAACACTTGCAAGCCAGATATGAAAGAAATATGACTTATTGTATCTTCATTGCTTTATGTTGTATCATTACAGTACCTTCACAAGAATGGCATCACCCACAGGGACTTGAAGGTCAGTTCCCGTTAGATTAGCTCACTTGTTGACAAGTGCTTGATGACTGTATGGTGTTTGGGTTTTGTGACCAGTCCGAGAGCAGTCTCATTGAGGTGCCGTTGTCTCGAATTGTTGCTATGGTGAAACACAGCCTTTTCATTCATGTGCTATTCCAAGGCCATAGAACTGTAAATATGGACCGTTGCCACCATTGGAGGACTTTCAGGTCGTACAGAATTGATCCGAAACGAACTATTTTGATTGTGAAAATCGAGAGGAAAACAACACGATTCTGCTTCACTAACCAACAATGTGTAATGGCCTTTTTGTCATGGGGTCGCGATCCACGGCAGCCCTGGAAAGTTTCATTCATAGGCCGGTCACAAATGTCTGAGTCTGGCTTGGGTTATTTGGTTCAATGACGTAGCACGAAATGAGTCACTTTCAGTTCGTCTGTATCAGAAAACCCGGGAGAGAACACGCCACTGATTTCTATGAACCCCATTCGACTCAAGTTGATACCCATATTTATTTTAAAAACCAACTCCACGTAGTACATCTCAAGTCATAAGAACTGAAGACTTTGGACTATCCCCCAGACACACGTCTTTTCTGGGAGTCTGCTATCCGTGGCTGTTGTGCTTCACAACTATTTACTTGTATTCACTGCAGTTCCTGTGATTTCAGCTGACTCCGTGGCGCAACGGTAGCGCGTCTGACTCCAGATCAGAAGGTTGCGTGTTCGAATCACGTCGGGGTCAGGTTCACTTTTTTCTTTCTTTTTTTTCCCGAGCATTAGGCAGAGATGATACAGACCATAGTCGTGAGTCGTTCAGCGGACTCAATTTCTGCGGGCTCGACTTGTAGAATGTCGCAACAGGCTTTAAGGAGGCTCCAACCCTTTGGGGGTGATTTTTTTTCTTCATAAACCCTCTCCTTTTTGTGGATGAGTGTGCTCTATATCATCCCATGTTACTCCACAAAAAAATTCAGGGGGTGTTTCCGCGGAGATAAGGCTGTTTGAGGTGTATTTCTAGGGGTGGGTGTATTTATCGATTTCAGCCTAAATTTGCTTGTTTTGGGGTCATATTTCAGATTTACCAGTTGTCTGGCTTCTCTTTGTGATTGCAAGTCCTTTCACACATCACAGTGAAGCATTTGAGCAAGAACATCTGGCAATCAGCATTGACTACTCAGAAAAATAGTAATTTTGGTACAAAAATGAACTTCGCAGAAATGCCCGTCCGCAAAGTACAATTGGGTGCACAGCTTCATATTTTCTTCATGGACATGCCCTTTTTATTTTATTTTTGGGATCCTCATACTTCATAGAAACTAGAAATATATAATTTTAGGGGGGTTACCGTGCATTTTAGACCTCCAAAAATAAAAATAGGACCGAAAATTGGCCGATTTTCCACCATTCTTGGAATTGCTATTTTTCAGGTAAGGTGATCATTCTATGCATTCCTTGTGGTATTACTCCAATTTTTTGTGTCAAAAGCATTGAATGGTCCCCCAGATTGTTATAGTATACATGGAGACTAGATGAGGCCATGGTTCCTGGGCTTTTTAGCCCTTGATCTGGATATCGGCATGATCCATGCACAACGTTATTCATGATCCAGGCCAAGGCCTACTGACCCTGAGCACAGTTCAGACCAGCTTTGCATCACAACTCTTGCAATAGTTCACTCCTAGTATTTCTCATAAAGCAACAGGCAAAGAGCTTGAGGAGGATAACAATTATTATTATATTCTGGGGGGGGGGGGGGGCAGTTTCATGTTTGTAGTACATGTACAATGTAGATGCAGGTTCAACTCAATATTGGCAATGAACGACTGCTAGTAATCAGTGTAGCACCCATTAGGTATAATCATACACTATTCCCAATAACATGGAACAACCACAAGTGTATGTGGGTGCATGCGCATTGCACACATTGATACATACATGTACGCTTACATGCACATGCTCACAAACAAGTACCCCTTGCACACACAAATACACGTACGTCATATACGCGCACCCGCAATAGCATACACCCACATGCAAAATGCATGCTCTTGAGCTTAGTTACCATATTCTGCTGTCCATGCACTTGTGCACGCGTGCGCGCGCACACACAACATGCACTGCGCGCGCGCGCGCACACACAAACAACATTTAGGCTCACACGCGTGCCTGCGTATGTGCATGCACATAGTGCTTATGGGTAGAGGTGCATGCATTCATCATAATAGAACTGGTGCGAGTAGTGTAGGAATATTTTCAAATCACTGGTGCTGTACAACACAACATTTACAAAATACTTCACACTCTGACAATAGAGAATAGCACTGCAAAACAACATACTCAATTTTCAGTGCTGTATTTTATTCAAGTGGACGCAGGTGATGACTTACTGCTGGCGACGTTGGCAGCTGACAGGTCACAGCTTTCGTAAATAGCCCAAGTCACTGAGCAGTAGTTCACCAACGATTTACCACTCACTCAAGACTGCAATGTTTTCAGCGTAGGAATATATTTCGCCACTTGAGAATTAGAAGTGGATCCACTTACCAGAGTCTGTGCACCCACTTCAGTCTCTCTCTCTCCAAAACGCGCTTACAGTAGGTTTTGGTCCCTGGTGTTACACAGCCATCGAGACGCTTGGCTCCGTTCTCCTTGTTCATTTTTTCGTCAAGCAAAATTATTCAGGATCTCGAGAAATCGAGCTGTAAAGTCAACTTCTTGCTCACACCAGCGATGCTTTTGAAAACATGCCCTGATACCCACTGACACAACGGAGGAAAAAACAACAGGAACCTCGATGGGGCCCAGGGAAGACTACAGGTGAAGAATGAAACAATATTCTCTAATAAGACTGTCGATCGCGGAGTTCAAATTTTAGTAAGTTGAGATGGGAATTTCCCAACTTTTCGCACTTATCGGCAAAAACAAGACTTTTGCCTGCAAAAAACAGAGCGCCAGACCGGCTGCGCAGCGCAGAAGGTTGGAGCCTCCTTAAGGAGGCGTTTACTGGTTTCCTCATGAAGGACAGGAATGCCTCGGGCTATGAGGCTTGTGGCACGCTTCGAACGGTCCAGTTCTTCTGCAACAGCCTCTGCCAGGGACCCTGTCCGTTGGTCTGTGTTTAGAGCATACTGTGTGGTACGCTGTACCCGTACGGTGCTCTCCAGCGAACCGTACTTCCTCTCTAGTTCCGCCATCCTCGATTCGAAAGATGCAAGCTTCTCTCTCAAGCTCAGGTTTTCGGCCATTACGGACTCCAGTTTTGCCGAAATATCACTAAAAATCTCATCCACTTTCTCTCTCTCTCTCTCTCTCTCTCTCTCTCTCTCTCTCTCTCTCTCTCTCTCTCTCTCTCTTTGGTATCCCTCTGCTCCCGCCGAACTTGCTGGAGAAGCGAGGGAACGTCATCACATTGATGGCTGTCAACCTCCTGACGAATGCTGTCTGGAGGGGCGTTTGCAGACGTCTTCCTGCTCTGCCGATCAGGTGTATTCCGCAGTGCCGATCCCAGACCTGCTGATCCTGACTTCCCAATAGAGGTCTTCGTGGCTGAAGGCCCAGGCATAGTACTATGAATGTCGCTCAAAACCAGGACAAAGCTACAAGACGAGCACTTTCTGAAGAGCGGAAAAATATGCAACCTGACCCTGGCAGTGTACTGCACATAATTGGAGTCTAAACGGTTGGAGTGTGGCGGTACCGGACCCTCTCTGCAGAGCCGGCTCGAAGGACCAATGTTTCGGTGAGACCCAAACAGTGCTACCTTGACATGCTAGCTAGAGCACTGACACGACCACGCTCTGGTGGGTGCTTTGCCAGACAGTCCCTTTGCACTGTTTGTTCATGGAACCATGTTGTGTGATGTGAAGCTAACCCTGACATTGCAGCTCTGGATGGAAACGTGCAGGCAAATTGTACACTCTTTTGTACTGAATTCTACCATGCCGGGCCGGAGACAGACTTGCCGCGGCGCCGACTTGTATCAATGGCAGTCCATGGATTTTCAGCTGACTCCGTGGCGCAACGGTAGCGCGTCTGACTCCAGATCAGAAGGTTGCGTGTTCGAATCACGTCGGGGTCAGATTCCTTTTCTTCTTCTTTTTTTCTGCAGTGACATGACTCATGTTTTTTACACATCCACATACATGCACCCACTCAGGACCATGTGCTTTGGATCTATGTGCTCAACGATCGTGCAACACGTCCTCCACATCAATGTGAAATCTTGCCATGGTTCCTTGCATGCGTGTGCTGTATGCTCTGTATTATTTATACTGGAGTGTGCCATGCATGTACTCTTACTGGACATGAATGCCGATGTTGTGTTGGTGTGTTCCCGTCTCCAGTGTGAGAATGTTCTCCTTGCTGACGATCGGAAAGAGACGCTTCTCAAGGTAAGATCACCGGTGAAGTGTCGTTGCAGAACTTGAGAATAACTGGGGCACTGGTACATGTGCCTGTGCTGCCTTGTGGTCATGCATGCTAGTATTTACATGGCTGTACTGTAGATATATGCATGGCACTTTTTGGTATATTTGAGCCACGTGAAGGTCGTTCAAGACTTATACTGAAAGACCAGTAATGTTAACGAACATTTAGTTCTATTAAACGAGTTAACGAAATTGAAAGAATCGTTAACGTTTGAAGTCGTTATATGCAAAACGATATGTGCATGTACAGTCATTTGCCGGTTTTGAGACAGAATTCGTTAGAATTTCACCTCGTTAACCCACAAAAATCCGGAGATTGTTAAGTTTAATTGACGTTAAAATATCTGGTCTTACAGTAGTAGTTCATGAGAAGATGACTTTGTTGTGTACGTACGCGATGGCACTCATTTCACTTTGTTGTTCTCTCTTGACCAGCTGACAGATTTTGGCCTGTCGCGAGTGGTTGGAGAGCAGTCTCTAATGAAGACGCTGTGTGGAACGCCAAGTTACCTTGCTCCTGAAGTACTAACAGACTCTGGCCTGGGCGGCGGGTACAGCAAAGCCGTGGACAATTGGTCCCTGGGTGTGATCCTGTTCATCATGTAAGTCTTTCAATATGCCTGCCACGATTGAAGCGTTATGATGATTGTGGTAAATGGACATTGCTAGCTCTGTTGGTGAACAGGAGTGGGGTTGTTGGCTGTTGATGCTGTGAGTGGTTTATATATTGCTTGTAGAGTTGGGTGTCTGCGTATCAACCATTGTTATGACAAGTAACTGGCAATTTCCAGCAAAGTCGATGGACAGCCGCCACTCAATCTCTGCCTGAAAGATGCATCTGTCAGCTTTTAAAAGTCTCTTTGCTCACGCATGGTTGGCTTGTGGGCCCGGAGATTGACCCAGTTCACTGTGGTCCGAATTACAATGCTGGTACCGGATAAATCGGTTTCGGGACCCGGAGCGTTCTTATTTGACCCTTGTTTTCTTGGAATGTCATCTGTCATGCCTGTCCGTCCCGGTGTGAGTGTCTTGGTCAAGACTCTGATAGGAGTATTTCAGCTGACTCCGTGGCGCAACGGTAGCGCGTCTGACTCCAGATCAGAAGGTTGCGTGTTCGAATCACGTCGGGGTCAGGTTCCTTTTTTTTTCTTTGACTGAATAGAAAAAGCACAGGCTGTGAAACACACTGACTCATGTTGAGTGTGCGCGATCATGTTCTTTCATCTCTTTTATTATTTATTATTGTTATTATTGTGAAAAAGGAGAAGGACAAAATGTTACGAGTTATGACTAACTGTCCACCAACGTAACCAGATCTTATACAGTCAGCTTGGAGAAGTGTTGGAGCTAGGTGTCAGATCACCGAATGTCTCAGTACTCCTTGTCAGTTTTGTGCCATTTTGTCGCACTCGCTTGGCTCGCCATCCGAGTTGAATTATTATTCCCGTAGCTATGCAAAAGACGTTACTTCAGTAACGTCTGGCGCTAGCCAGGGTTCACACAGCTTTAATTCCGTGTTTGTTTGTGCCATCGGCATGCCTACGCTATCCCGTACCGTACCATCAAGGACAGCTGGCCACAATATTCAAATAGGGCTTTCAAATGCAAGATCATAACGTGAAGCAACTTACTTGGAAGAATAAGTATGTATGCAAAGTGTATCGGGGGAATGCATGCAGGGCGATAGTGCGGGTTCGAATCCTAGGTTATGTGTTGAAAAACATAGGAGAAATGAAAATTTATAACATCCCTAAGCTTTTTGTTGCCTAGGTCATCAAGGTGGTAGACGGTGTTGTATTAGGCCGCGGTCACACGTGAAAAGCTTGCATCGCTTTTGCGGAGGAGAAAAGCGTAACTACCGCAGCCGCTTTTGCTGAATACACGATGCAGCGGTCAGACGTACATGCACTGTATTCCTCAACACTCCGCTTTGGCGGAGAGAATGCAAATGCAGCACGTACACGATGTTCTTGTCCGAGTTGAAGCGACCTTCGCTTGTAGATCTATCGTGGATCGCTATCGTGGATCGCTGACAGGCTGCTGAATGTCTCCTGTCAAGTACACTCGTGGATTTGGGGCACGTTCATTGCGCCCCAGTACGGGTGTATTTGAATATTAGTTTAGTTTACATCGATATCAAATTCAAACAGTTGAATAGCAGGGTATCGTTGCCTCCTCCATGCTTGTTGCCTCCTCCAAGCTCGGGGAGCAAAAGTCTCTCTGTCCCATAAGCTTCCACATACATGTACCAACTAAATACAAAACCATGCACTTCACACGAGCTGACTTGCACGAGTGGCCCTTTTCACGAACCCAGACAAAGGGATTGGTCTATTATAACGCATGTACGAAGTCACTAGATTACACCCGCACAACTGTGGCACCAGAGATGAAGGCGACAGCGCCAGACATCGATACGGTGTTGTACGGTATAAGGATGTCGTATAGCATGTCGTACAACAGTACGATGAAATTGTGGGAGAAACCAGCGATCGCTTGGGAACGATGAACATTGTATGTATGTATGTATGTATGTATGTATAACTCATAATCACAAGGTGATCGTAGAGGCATTGATCAGCGAGAGAATTGTGAATGATGTCTCTGAATCCAACTCTATCGTGTGCTGCATGAGAGAGAGCATGCAAGGGAAGACCCGTCCAACTTTTAATGTTAGAAATCCATGATGTCGCGGGCCTTCCTCTCGGTCGAGATCCAGGAGTTCATCATTGCAGGAAGGGCTTGGAGAAAACGTCATGTCTCGTAACATGGCCAAACCACGTCAACTTAACTTTCTTGACTTCGTTCGCTAGCCGCATCCTTGCTCCGATGAACATTACAACAGTCTTATTGTGAGTGATAGTCAGGCCAAGTTTCTGAAGATCAGTAGCGAGTGCTATCCCGAGCATTATGTTAGCATTACGAAAGCATAGACAGGGTGTGTATTATAGGAGACCCAAGTTGCTGAAGATCAGTAGTCATTGCTGATAACGTGCAGAATAACTAAATCCGCAGCCTCTTTTGCCGTCGGACAGGATGCGTATTATAGGAGACTGTAAAGTTATGTATTGTGCTCCACAGGCAACCATGCAATGGCATGCATTCGCCCGTCAGAAACAACAAGCACGCTATCAAGGCAAGGACATTATTGTATTATTGTATCGTATTGTATCAGTATGGAATATATTTTACATCCTTGGCTCAACCAAGTCAATGTATTACTACAAAGAGGCCAGAAAATCCGATTATAAGGAGATAAAAAGGAAAAGAAGGAGCAAACCAAAAGTATATGAAGTGAGAGAAAATAGCAATCCCCAGTAAATTCTGCGATTACTTTTCCCTAACTCATATTCAAACTGATTGAATCGTTTTTGCAATACAGTCTGACCTCGCTTATCCGGTCCTCTTTTATCCGGATCCCTCGCCATCCGGAAGAAAATCGTTGGTTACCGATTTACAGCATATGGCATGCTTACATACAGTATGTGTGTTCGATTATCCTGTTCCCTCGCCTATCCCGATATTTTTGTGGAAAACAGATGTGTGCGGTTAAGCGAGGTCTGACTGTACAATGATGTAGCCAATCAATGGAAAAAAATTCCATCAGTTCTAATAACATGCATGATGAGCTAGGCAAAAAAGCATAGCGTAGGGCCCTGAGCTTCCAAGCTCTCTCGTTATTATCATTTATTCATATTTTACTAGGGCAGTCCCCGCAGTCTTCTTACAGGGTGCCCTAGCCACGTGAAGATAGCGGAGTGGACTGCAGCAGGCAAGGATATGGTGCGAATTGCGGCAGGGAGGGAGTTCCGGCGGTCAGCTCCAAGATAAGATATAGAGTGATAGCCAAGCTACGATCTATGGGGCAGTACCAGGCCGAGCGATTCCTTCGAACAGGTAATTCTAGCAGCGCGGGATGATGAGACAGCACGAGGATTGAGAAGTCAGCAAAGTAGGGGACTAGCACGAGCATTTATGCATCTACTCAGGTGTACAAATAGATCAACTCACACGGCACTGCAGTCTATTGCTCTGAGAGATTGAAGGAAATCCAGGCCAAACTCCCCAGCAGTGAGTTGTCTTACCGGCGGCGAGCGAATCTTGCGGTGATTGAGCAAGACTCGGTGCGGTTTACTGCTGGCGAGCCTTCGTGGCTCGCTTGGCAAGTTGTACGCAAACTGGTCTGCTGAGCACAAGAGTCCCGGTTGATCTTGTCGCCTTCCTCATCCACTCCCCGGAGAAGGATGTTTGTTTCTCGACGGGTCTTGTCCACTTCATCAGCAACCAGCTGTTTGAAATTCAAACTAGAGGTTCATACAGGGTTCTGGTTTACAGACTTTGTACCGTACTATTCTACAGTTGCAAGTCACTCTGCCAGTGCGGCAAGCTTCGTCCTGAGTTTAGCATTTTCGGCCGTTATTGCTTCAAACTTGTTGGAGATGTCGTCCACTAGCCTGTCCATGCCGCTCCGCGTCTCTTTGCTGTTCTTCATCAGCTCGTTGAACATCGTTTGAAGGACATCCGAATCGTAGGCGGAGTTGCCAGTGGCAGCAGTCGAACGCAGAGTGTCCAGGGGTGTTCGTGAGGACAGCAGGGTTTTTCTGCTCGTAGAAGCACTCGAGGATCCAGGTTTGAGATAAGGACCAGACACACTGGGCGGCTTGCCCTTGGTCGGGAGGCTGCTTTTCATCGTTGAAGACGGTACTAGCTAAACAGAGTCTGAAAAATAGGCAAGATGGGTGGAGCGTAAGAACTTGCATCCGACCCACACAAACCTCATGCCTTTTTCTCTTTTGTTTCTTTGAAAACTGCAGAAATTGATAGGTGATCCTGTAGTGCAACATGTCTTGTAATGAACCATGTGCTGTGTGTCCCGTTGATTGGTCTGTAGGCTGGCGGGATATCCTCCCTTTTCTGACGAGATCACGGACATGTCAATGGCGGACCAGATCAAGAAGGGTCGCTACAGCTTTCCACAGCAGTACTGGGGCAATGTGTCACAAGACGGTAGGCTGCGGCTCTTGTCCTACGGTGAACTTGTCATAAGCAGTTATTGGAAGGAAGCTGCTTTGTGTAATCATGTGTATTGCAGCCCCCCCCCCCCCCCTCCCTGCTGGCTTCCTAGGGAGCACTTTTGGAATATGAAGTATTTTTTGTTTTAGAGGCCAAGCTGCAATAACTCTTACCCTGATTCCCCCTTCTCTCTCATTCTCTTTCTCTCCTCTCTCTTTCTCTCTCCCTCACTTTCTCTCCCTCTCTCTCTCTCTCTCTCTCTCTCTCGCTCTCTCTCTCTCTCTCTCTCTCTCTCTCTCTCTCTCTCTCTCTCTCTCTCTCTCTCTCTCTCTCTCTCTGTCTCTCTCTCTCTCTCTGTCTCTCTCTCTCTGTCTCTCTCCGTCTCTCTCTCCGTCTCTCTGTCTGTCTCTCTGTCTGTCTCTCTCTCTGTCTCTCTCTCTCTCTCTCTCTCTCTCTCTCTCTCTCTCTCTCTCTCTCTCTCTCTCTCTCTCTCTCTCTCTCTCTCTCTCTCTCTTTCTTTCTCTCGATGCTCTGTGCTTCTTCTGCAGCAAAAGAACTGATACGCAAGCTGTTGACCGTTGATCCAAAGAAGCGTTTCTCCATTACTGAAGCGTTGGACCATACGTGGACCAAGGTATGAGATTGGGGCTGTGTGGAGTTGTGTGCTGCTTATGGCAGAGCTGTGCATTGACTTTGACAACATCCTTTCAGGACATCACGCATAGCCTCTCCTGTACACACCTATTCAAGTTATTCTTGTTCCGAAAGCTATGCAAAAGACGCCTAGCGCTAGCCAGGGTCCACAGCGCTTTAATTCGCGGTGCGGTCGGTAGGGCCGTCATCACGTGACGGACCATGCCTGGCGCTATCCAGTATATGTCCCGTAACGTATCGGCAAAGACTGCTGGCCACATGTTGAAATAGGACTTTCAACGGCAGGATCACAACGTGAAGCAACTCGGTAGAATGTGTTTGTATGCGAAGTGCATCGAGGGAATGCATGCAAGGCGATAGTGCGGGTTCGAGTCCCACGTTATCTTTTGAAAAATATTGAAAAATGAAGAAAAAAGCTATAAGAAAGTTTCTTTACTCCGGTGCTTGGAACCAGGCAGCAGTATGGTATCAAGAGTCCTTACGGAGCAGTATGGTATCAAGAGTCCGTAATCTCAGGCGAAAGGGCGGCTTTGGGGAGTCTACGGGTTCATCCACACTTGGGCGGTTCTCGGCAAAGTTCAAGGCATGAAATCATGTTCGACTCGAGTGAATTTGACATAAAGCCCAGGGCAAAGCAGAAAATTTACAAGCGCAACGAACGTGTACGTCATGTTTGACGTAATGTTGGAATTCCGCCGCGCGGATCCCCATGTACAGAGTTGCACACTCTTGGGGTTATGGACTCTTAATAATTCTACTGAAGTAACTACTTGGTGGAATGTACGTACCTGTCTGGGAGTTTTGAGTTGTGTATCCATGTGTGTTTATGAGCTAAAGTTCCTTTTTTTTTAGCTCGTGTTCGAGCTGATAGCTGAGAACTTTCCAATGGGAATAGACCTTTCGATTGCTCCATTCTGTGTAGGGAAAGGCGGGTAACCAAATTTTTTTGAGTGCCTGCAGGATGCACTGCACAATCAGGCGGACGAAAATTAGGAACGAGGGGGCTTGAAAGCCCAGGAGCTCTCGCTATCTCTTAATTTGCTAAATCCTATATATAGGATTTTGGTCATATTTTTCAACTCAAATGGGTGTGGCATGAGCATAGGGAAACGTATGTGACCAATTCTTCCGCGTTAGGTCTTAGTCGATATGGAGAGTTGAATAAGATTTTTTTTCAAATACTAACATCTAAGGCTCATCTCCTTGCGCAATATTTCTAAGGCCTGTGCCCTATTTTTCGAATCATATATATAGGATTTGAGATTTTACTGGACCTTGTTTTATCCTTAAAATTGGTAGTTTCACGACGGCATGTGCGATATGTCGTCATGAAACCACCCCGTGCCACACCTGTAATGTTCTTTTGCACATTCACTGCTTCAGTCCTTCCCATGACACCAGCTGAACAATGCTGCTCAAAATTCCAATCCTTGCTCAAAATGGGTATTTATGATGTCCTATGAATCTAAAAAGTAAACATTCATGCCTCAAACATATTTACAGCTTCTAATAAAACCATTATGCTCTTATTTATGGGTCATGAATGACTCACGATGACCAATAACAACGGCATAAAGGTCACGCATTTTCAAATCCTATATATAGGACTTTTGCCCAGCAAATTAAGAGATACTTTGTTTTTTTCAATTAGGCCACCCTTTCTTTTTTCGTTGTTTAACGTCCGCGCCCGCGTACCTTTTTGCCTCCGACCGGAAAAAAAAACAAGGAAGTAGTAGTACCTATAATATGCGAAGTTGTAAATACATGATTGTGTAGTTTCACAGTGTGCCGATCATGACCTTAAACTTATAATCTTGCCTCCCGGGCATGCCTTTGTCTTGTGTTCTTTTTCTTTTTTTGTTGGCTTTTAAATATCGTACGGTTTGTGTCCTAGTAAAAATCCAGATGTAATGAATTCATGACATGCTAACTCCATGCTATGTACCTGTTTTGTTGGATTCATCAGGCATGTGCTCCAATGTACCATCAAAGAGTGTTGTTCTATGCCTGCAAGTGCCGTTAGACCCAGAAATATTGTATATATCACATGCTTTACTGGTCAAAATGTTTGATTGGGGTTTCCAGTTTTTGGAATGGGCTTTTGTTTTTTTTCCGCCCTCCCGCGTACCTTTTCGCGAAAAAAAGGACGTTAAACAATGAATTAACAAAGGGTGGCCTTACCTAGGCCATCATCATGTGTGTTATTCGAACTATCAGTTCGAATAACACACATGATGATGGCCTAGGTAATTGAAAACAAAGCATAGCGAGGGCTCCTGGGCTTTCAAGCCCTCTCGTTTTAAGTCTGAAGAAGGGCTGAGGCTTCCTGCAGCTTCTTGTTTAAATCAAGTTTATATCAGTTTTGGGGATTTGAAATGAAAAAAAAGAGAAAAAAACGAAAACTGACTGCCACCACCGTGACTTGATCCAGGGACCTTTGCTATACTGTAGAACGGGTAATTTTAGCGACTATTAATTTTAGCGTTTTCCCATTGTCAACCGGTTAGCGACGTTTTATTTTAGCGATTTGCAGCGATTTTACTCATGGATCACCAGTGCACTACTCGTAATGTCTCAACCGATTAGCGCCTTGAAACTTTAGCGACAATGAGTCGATCGCTAAATTCGCTAGGGTTTTTACGTCGCTAAAATTACCCGTTCTACAGTAGTACTGTACTGTGAAGGCCAACAATGCTCTACTACTATGCTATGGTATCGCGGGCAAAACCAAGTGTGTGCGTATCTTCATCTGTATCATCCAGCAACGTTCACTGAGAAACTAGCTCTGTGTGAGTCATGACACTATCATAAGCCTGAGGGGCTGAAAAGGGAAAAAAGTCTGAAAAACAAAGACTGTCTCCACCAGGACTCGAACTAGGGACCTTTGCTATTGGCCAGCAATGCTCTAACCACTGAGCTGTGGTGTAGCAAACAACGGTTGTTCAACTTTTTCTTCAGACTTTGAAACTCACACTTCCTGCAAAACTACACAGGCTGGTGGGACGCAGCCCTCACTGTACCCACACACTTGATGCACAAACCAGCACGCGGACACTTTTCGCCGTGTTACTGGACAGTGGCTTTGGTATCTGTATCCAACTCTCTGTTTGCACACTCTGCTTTGTGTGTTTCCTTTGTGCACATCAGGATGAAGGTGTCATTGCCAAGGCGAAGTCTCTGATGTATCCATCAGTTGTGTCTTCAGATGACAATGATAGCTCCCTGTGCACGGCTTCCGGGGCGAGCAAGAGCACGAACAACGGCAGCACAGCAAGTACAGCTACGGTAAGATGACATGCACACATACCTTAACATGCACACACATGCACACATGCACACAGGCCCACGCATGCACACACTTACCTGCTCCTGTTTCTGTTCCACATTGCCTCGAAGGTCACATGTCTCTCGGAAAAGAGAGGGGAAGTCGTTTCGGGAAGACAAAAGAACATTCCTCGTCGCACACACGCACACACACACACACACACACACGCACACAACAGCCGTATCCCGTACACTAGGCTTGGGTTTGCAAGAACACAGAGCCCAGTAACATCCAGCCCAGGAGAACAATAATAATTGGAAAATTGAATCTAAGAACGCCAGTTCAAGGAATAACAACGCAGCATAGAATTTTTAAGAGCAGGCTAGCCTGAACTGAGCTAGCCTGTGCTTGCTTTAAAAATCCTGTTCATGGAAGCCCAGGTCTGTGAACCATGTGCTCTCGTCACTTGAAGCACTGGCAACAGCATTGTTTTCCGTATATCAAGTGCATGGTGCAATGTACAGTAGCGCTGACGAGATAGCACTTCAGTGAAACATTCATCTCAATTACTCTTGCTAGTGTTGGTCGAACACAGCTCTTCAGCTTTCCTGGAGCAGTGCGTTGGGTTGTATGCGAGTGTACTCTTCATCACAGACACTACCTTGCTTTTTAGTGGTCGGGTGATGCGCTGCATCGTGTGTTAGAGCAAGGATTGTTCAACAAGATGTGCCTGGCTGCATGTAGTGTTTCGTCCTGATAGCCATGCCTCACGAATCTGCCCAGCAGTCAGGTAGAGAAGCCAGGTGTGCTGGACCTAGCGGCTTTTGATTTTCGCCTTGCATGCCGTTTACTGGCCCGGGCACAAGCCAGTACATGTACTCCGCAATCCCCAGGTGAGGCGTTTGATTGCACTCTACAGCAAGTCCACATGAAATCCCCGGAAGGATGCATATGTTTGCCAGCAGTTTATACCTATGGTCCCGTTGCTCAACTCCTCTCTACTAGTAAGTTGCATACAGTGATTGGCTGTCACGATGGCCAGAGCCAGACTGCACGTGAATAGTACCAGGTCATACTGTAGTTGAGTATGCTGGGTGGACTTTGATATGATTGTGTGCTCTTGTGTGTTGTTCATTATCATCAGTGTAATGCTGCATGCTCCCTGCTGTATTGTGTGTGCTTTACAGGTGGCAGCCAAGCGTCGGTCTGATCCAGCTGATCCAGCTGATGACGCGGCTGAACCGAGCGCAAAGCGACCCATTACCCAGGCCGAGGGCACAGAATCCCTGTGAGACCTTCACCGCTCATCACATCGCACCGACGATACTCCGAAGTCCAAACGGTACTGACTGGTGCTGGTGCAATCCACAGCACTGTTGCTATGCGTTCAGGAGCCCGCTGGTGATGAAACGCACCCGCACGATCAAGCTCATCTGGCGTCAGGCGATTGATGCAGAGAAGCTACGATGCGCTGCGGTTGCAATATATACAGCTGCCAATACCACACGGAACAGCATGCCGGTGTGAGCACGCTCCTGACAGCTGCATTCAGCAACGGCAGTGTTGATCAACCTGTACATACACGTGCACTCAAACGCCTAGTCTCTTGGTGTTCCGAACAGAATATATCTTCGAACGACCCATCCCTGGATACTTTGTACAATTCTCAGCCTTTGTTTTTCTTGGCGTGAACTTTCTTCAATAGTAACACTAATAGTTTCCATTTTCCTTTACTCTCTTTGCCGAGCTGTAGTTTACTCTCTTTGCCGAGCTGTAGTTTGGCCCGTTTGCCGTAGAAAAGTTACGGTCTTTTTTTCTGTTGTCCGCTCTCAAGGTGGTTTTTAATGCAAGTAAGGATTTGTTTTCTTGGTAGCTGGTCTACCTTGCCAGGGGGTTAGGCTACTTTATATGTACCGTAATCCAAATGTTTTTCCTCTACTCTGTGCGGTATTGTGAGTGGGTTGTATTTTTGAGCTCTTGTCTCCTGTATTCGTTTTGTTGGTGAAGCATTCTGTACTCCGCTTGGCAGGTGTGTTGTGCTGTGCCACTGAACTGTATGCATTGTGTCATATCGCGTGTCGTCCTGAACTGTGCTAACATCATGAAATTGTAGTGAAGCTGAGGACGTGTGCATTGTGTGCATCTTGTGTAATGCAGGGGCGGCGTTATGTGTGTGTGTGTGTGTGTTTTTGTTGTTTTAAATATACGAAATAGTAGTTTTAAATATATATGTAATTAAAATAGAAGAAATCACATGGAAACGAGTTATGAAGCAACTATCCTGCAACGTCACAGACTGTAACAAGATAATAAGCAGTGGGAAAGTGCGATAACAGGGCACCAAACTGACATGCTACTCACTAAGACATTCAATCTGAGACCTAGCTCTCACACACCTCCAGTGGCAAACCAACAGCCTTCCAGCTTGGAAGGTTCAAGGTTATGGACGGGTAGGACCAATGAGGGAAGGTGAGCGCAGCGAAAAAGTGCACAAGCTAAGTCCCACAGCAACAAAGAATGCCGACCGTTACAGGACCATGACGGGAACCGTGACAATGCAGTCTAACTACAATGGCTCAGTATCCGAGTTAAATACATGTATTGGAGTATTTCCCAAAGATTAAATTATGATAGTCTAGAAGGGAGTTCCATTATAATGGGAGGCTGTAGGGACGGTGGAAATAAAAAACAGTGGATGGGTAATGAACAGCGTAGCTCAAGCGAATACCCAGAGCCTCTGGGTAAGCCTTAAAAATAAATAAATACAAAAACACAAACGTTGCAGTTCTGGGTGTGCAGAACAGTTGATTTCCCCTATGTATCCACCATGAGTACTGTTGCACAATGTCATGCAGCACAACATGACCGTATTGTACCCGTGGCTCATGAATTTTGATACAATTTTCATAATCATTGTGTCCTGGCTAGGCTCATTAGTTCAAAAGAAAAGGACATATGGATACGAGTTAAGAGTAACTCTCCATCACTGTAACTGGATACTATATACAGTCAGAAAGTGCAATAACTAGGCACAAAAATGACAGAGTACTGAGACATTCGACGTCCTGACACCTAGCTTCAACACATCTCCGTAGCGCTAACCGACAGCCTTCCAACTTGGAAGGTTCAAGGTTATGAAAAGACCAAAGAGGGGAAGGCAAACGCAACGGAAACAAGCAAAAGCTACAGTCCCACCGGAACAAAAAATGTCGATTGTTACTGGACGATGACGAGACCAGTACGATATTTGACAAAGCGGTCTAACTACAATTCGAAGCAGCAAAGCAGCACACCACCCAACTTGGCCGGTGGGTCATAAATATCAAAGATAAGTAAAGAAAGGGGAAGCTTTGCGAAAACGAATTGTACAAGCCGAAACTTCCAAACTCCTACAGTACTCATCATGCCTGACATTGTGATGGACTAGTTGACTACAATTAGTTCACGAAAATATTAGCATAATCTGTCAAGGCCTACCCAATACTAGTTCAAAACTAGTATTAGATAAACCTTGTTATAGTTCACGCATACTGTTACTAGTGTTAGATTGACAGCATGAAACAAGGTGAGGACACTGTGTTCGGCAGCAGTGACCTTTATACTACAACCTTCCGCGGTTGGCAGAGCCCCGGTCCCTGCGGACCATTTGAACCATAATTTTATGGCCCAAAAAATATGGGTGTTGAACCCGGTTCTGACCCTCATTATGCTAGGAAGGTTGGCGATTACTCCTTACGTCCGTCGTGTATTCTTTGATCGCTCCTGGATGTCGTCCTGGTAGTCATGTAGCTACTTAAACCTCAACTTCTTTTCTTCCAACTTCTGCCCATGGCGTCCTTCTCTCAGCTCGTCAGCTGTCAACAGTTACTGCCACCACCATGACACTGTCGCGAGAAGGTGCTCTCTATAGACGGGGTTGAGAGAAGGACGCCATGGGCAGAAGTTGGGAGAAAAGAAGTTGAGTTTTAAGTAGCTACATGACTACCAGGACGACATCCAGGAGCGATCAAAGAATACACGACGGACGTAAGGAGTAGTCTCCATACCAACCTCCCTAGCATAATGAGGGTCAGAACCGGGTTCAACACCCATAATTATGGTTCAAATGGTCCGCAGGGACCGGGGCTCTGCCAACCGCGGAAGGTTGTGGTCACTGTTTCCGAACACAGTCACAGTGTCCTCCACCTTGTTTCATGCTGTCAATCTGCTTTCATAAGCTTACTTGCAAGGTTAGTTGCAATAAATTACAGTTTACTTGTGAGTCGTGTTCTTCCCCGATCATGCATTGTTACCTTGTAGCCATGGCGTGTCACCGTTGGTTACCTGTGCTGACATAGGGTGTGGACGGGTAAGGCTGTAGCAAGCACAGACTCATGCCATGAGCTCAGTCACTCACTCAGTCTCATGTCATGATAGCTCAGACCAGTCAGTACGAGCGTACAGGCTATAGCCAGGTGGATTTGATTTTGAACTGCATGTGATGTATCAATTATTTATTAATATTATCATTCATGTAGCAGGACAGTAGGTCTACGTGCAGTATCTACATGTACGTCACGTGTCTCCAGTCCGTACCGGTAGGCGTAGGCATGGCAGCCTTGGCAGGGCAGTCATCATGCATGCATGGTCATGTACAGGATGTAGATCTACATACATGATGTAGCTCAACTAACTATGTAACAAAGTATGTATTGTTACTTTTCAAAACATGCTGTCTTCGAAACTTTTTTGAAACTCGTAGTCGTAGAGCAACACTAGCACTGAGTCTGTACTGGCAACAGACTGACAGTGAGTGAGTGACGTGCCTGGCATGGCCGTGGGTGGAGTAAGTCACGGTCGGCAGTCGGCACCATGCCCCATGCCATGGCCGGCCCACTGCACTGCATGCACTACTAATATTATTACTATGGCGCAGTATGCCGCTATGCGTGCAGTGCTAGCGCGCGCCGCAAAGGTAGTGCACATAACGACGTTTCAATGACTGGCCATGCATATTCAACATTTTTCATTTTCTGAAAGCTTCTTGCCACCGAGCTCGTGTGTGTGTGACTTTCTCTCCCGTCTTTCCAAGTTCTATCTCCTCTTCTCTACCGGCAGCAACAGACAACAGGCTGACGCTTCCGCAAGGAATCTCAGAGGCGGAGCGGCTAGTGGCGCTGGCAATGGCGGGAGTGAGCGACAGCAAATGCGTGTTATGCTAGGGAAAGGTTACCAGTATATCTCTCCTCCTCTCTACTACTAGATTGGATAGCGCGGATCGCTGAATGAATCCAGGACACCATGGACCGGGAGGTGAGGGAGTTGCGCTTGAACCGTAGAGGCACGGGTGGCGCTCGACAAGCAGCGGCAAACAACAGGGTGGCACGCGACAGACTGTCGAGCATTCCCTCTCTGCCAGCATTACCTGTAAGTAGAACTAATTACTTCTTTCCAGGCCTACACTGAATGTGTTGTTGCTAGTGTAGCCGTCAATTGGGTGTATTTATTACTACATGTAATTCACAATGGACGAATGTAATTGTTTGAATATAGAAAGGCTACATGTATGCAGGGGCGCAGATCTACGCAGGATCCGGAATGAGGGGGGTGCTCCAACATTTCCCCAAAGAACCGAATAATGCATTATTTGTGTGCGTTTGATACATGGATGGTTGATATCTTGTCTCTTGATGTTTGCTTTTAGTACGCCATTTAACCGTGATTCAAGCATTTACCATGATTTACCAAGTCCAGGGAAAATGTAGGAACTTTTCTGTAGGATGGAGCAACCATGAGGCCTTGAAGTACCCAATCTCAAATATACCCCTCCATTTGGAGGACAAAATGTACTTACTCTGTAAGCTAGGTCCAAGAGTACACTACTCTTGCTAGATCATAATTATCACGAAGCCATTTTCAATTTGACTAATGTACTTTGAAGTACTAGAACAACTTACAATACTTCACACATTGAATGGGGCGAGAAGACAAACTTGAAAGTACCATAACAACTTCTGGCAGGAGTCACGGGCAGAAAAAGTTCCCAGGAGTTTTTATACACTTGCTTCTGGTATGGAGAAATAGAATCAGGTAATAGAGGAACAGGGTTCTAGCCAAAGGGGGGTAGGGGGGCGCAGCGCCCCCCTACTCTGTTTGCGCGCCCCCCCCCCCCCCCCCTGTGAAAAATTGCCGTCCCCCTACTCATTTTCCGATTTTCGTGTTTTTCATGCATAGATGGTTCATAAAGGCACATTTGTCTGGGGTGAAGTCAGGGATTCGCCCCATATACGTTGCATTTGGCGTGGCAAGACAATATTGGAAAGTGGAAAAATGGGATATAGCCTTATAGGGTAACTGTTTCCCATGCCCCCCCCCCCTACTATTTTGACCTGGCTAGAACCCTGGAGGAAGCAAGTGCAATGGATGGTGGTAGCTTCACAAACAGGATACTAGCAGAGGGCTGCCACACTTCTGTTGGTAGAAATCAGAAGCAGTGTCTGAGGTGTTCAATGTCAGGATGGCAAGGGGGCAGCTACCCCTTTAGAGCCATAGCATTTTTAGGATTTCAAGGAACACTAGATGAACGAGGGATGTGAATCATGGGGAGAAAGTACAGGACTAAACTTCTCTCACTTTAACTGTATAAACGGAAGAGGACCACAAAGCTATCGAGAACGGGGGAAAGCAGTATCGTATGTGTACTATCCCTGCCTTGCTAGTAGTAGTGCTGAACTGTATGTGACTGCTACTACTGGACTAAACCTTCATTTGGAAACTTGAAATAAAGATGTGGTTGTTCAATTTGTGCCGTTTGCCACAAAATGAACAACACCTTAGTATAGTGGTGTCTAAGTGGATGTCAGTTTGCATGTGCCCATGTTCTGGTTGGTTGATTCTCTACATGTATGAATGATGAATAATGAACTTGCTGATGGTATGTGTGTATGGGCGTGTGTGTGTGTGTGTGTGTGTGTGTGTGTGTGTGCGTGTGCGTGTGTTTGGTCGATTTCCAATCGAGAGGTTGCGGGTTCAATTCCCGACGATTATGGTCGCACACGTCTTTCTTCTCTTTCTCATTCTCCCAGCTCTTCTTTCATTCTCCTGGGTGGTTACCAGCAGCCAGTATATGCCGGAGTATGTGGTGTGGTGTGTGTAAAAAAAATTTAAAAATGGAAAAAATGGAAAAAAATGAAAAATAGGGATTCACTGGCCAGAAAAAGCCACTTCAATCAGCTGTGTGGTGGATACCAGGCTAAAATTAGTGGCGGTCAATTCATCGGCCTTGCAAGCTGTTGAATGGTGTAATCGCAGCACAAGTTGCTATGTCTAAACATAGCTGTTCGCTATCATCGCTTCTGCGATGGGCAGGTCTGAGGTTTGAGGTGTGTGTGTGTGTGTGTGTGGTGTGTGTGTATGTGTGCGTATGTGTGTGTGTGCGTATGTGTGTGTGTGTGTGTGTGTGTATGTGTGTGTGTGTGTGTGTGTGTGTGTCAGCTAGTTCGGTTGGTGGGTACACTTATGCCAGATAGTGTTGGGCCTGTTGCCAACGGGCTCGGCTGCTTGAAGGTGTATTGTTGTACCTACCACCTTTGTTGGTTTCAGGGTTCATATACTTTCTATTTGAAGTATACATACCTGTTAACCATGGACTACTTCTGGCTAGATTAACTCTTGTGTAATCAATGGTGCTAGTGAAGCTTTTATCAGATCCACTCTGATTTAGCCACCCACAGTAGTAGCAAGTATTACCTTCACTGGGGGCAGGGGTACCTGCAGTTGGATCCTGGGACGGATATCCTGATGCCGTCAATCCTTTTTCTGCACCTTGTCCTCACCCACTTACTGAGGTGTGGTGAGCCCATAAGTGGGATCATTTCAAGTCCACCCTAGTTTGGGGATTTCAGGGGGTGTCGGCCGTTGGGCGGCTCAATAGCCAATTGAGTCATCTTTCCAAGATTCCTTTTGAGTCTCTCTCCCCTCTCCCGGTGAGACCCACGTGACCAGTTTTGGCAGTGAGCAACAAGTACAAGTGTGTGTGTGTGTGTGTGTGTGTGTGTGTGTGTGTGTGTGTGTGTGTGTGTGTGTGTGTGGTGTGTGTATGTGTGTGGTGTGTGTGTGTGTGTGCGTGTGTGCGTGTGTGCGTGTATGTGTGTGTGTGTGTGTGTGTGTGTGTGTGTGTGTGTGTGTGTGTGTGTGTATACAGCCTGGTGGTGCAGTCGTAGGAGTTGTGGGAGGAACGGTGCCCCTGCGCGCCGCTCCCGACCAATGGTTCACGAGCGCCGAACCGATGCCGCACGTCGCACCGGGCGTATCCGACCATGAGAGGCGCAGGGAGCCAACTGGACAGGCACGGAGCTCCAACCGGACTGCAGCAGCAGCGGCGGCGACATCAGACACCACTCGTGAACCACCACCACGTCGACGACAGTGGGAGCATGAGCGACGGCTGCCACCTGTACCACCGCGCGTGTGGAGACGACCGCCCGACATTCCGCTGACCGACAATACGTTTGTGCACAAGTACCCGGAGGACATCATAGGTCGCGACGCCCTGGATGTTGTGCTGGAGTGGAGGGCCCGCCTCGGTTGGAGCACCACGCCCGACGAGGACGCAAGTGAGTATCTACACTCAGTGTCCACTCAACATGACTTGATTGTAATCATTGTCCCCATGCGTGTGATGTGTTTCCTTGTCTACAGTAGTCAATCATCTACAGTTCATTTCAAAACTATAGACGCGTAGGGTTTTTCAAATATTTCAAATTTGGCTGGAGCTTTTTGAGAACAGTTTTCGGAATATTGCTCAGGTCCGCTCCACAATTACTCTCGTTATAGTTTCTAAACGATTGGATAACGGACGCCCAATTTGGAAAAAAATATGCACAAAGTGATCACAGATTTTATGTGGTATAGATGCTGGCATAACGGTTTTTGCCTAGGTACGCGTCTATAGTTTTGAAATGGACTGTACATGTACTTACTTAGCTCCAATGTGTTCCTAGTGACTTGCTACCTCGACTTTTTGTTAGGAGCAAACTTCAATTCACAACAGTAGTAGAAAATTTACATACCTGTGCCGACCCCTACTATGCTCTTGTTTGAGCCGGTGGACTAGTAGCTGCATACGCACATCACCACCATAGCAAGGACAATTCCACTTTAGCCTAATGTTGATATTGCCAGACCTATCGGACAGCCCTTCTTCTTCAGAGTTCTTGAAGGGGGTAGATAATGACTGAATAACAAGTGAAGGAATGGTACTTTTGTAGGGTAGAACTAGTCAAAATCAGCACACTTTCAGCATAGAAAAGTGGCGTGGTCCAGGACACTGAAGCGATAAATGTGATAACAAAGGCGCTCAGTGCTCTGTGCTCTAGCCTTGTCACGTCACTAGTATGGGACCAGTGCTGTATATGTCTGTAGTTGTGTGTGACAACGCTAGTGCTTTCATTGGATTGATTGACTCCATGCACTTTCTTCCATTTCTAGCGCCATGTGTTCTCTAAACGGCTAATTTTAGCGCTGGCGATGTTTTAGCAAATTTAGCGAAAAGGGTGCTCTCGCTCAAGTTTAGTCGCGCCAATCAAACGTTTGCCTTTTGCATAGCATACAATATGCATGCATTCTCTTTTTAACCACCAGTTCCAGAAAAATTGCTGTTAAAGGGGAAGTTAAGGCAAAAATTAAAATTTCACCAGTTGTAGTCTTCGGGGTGCTGAGTCGAATGGTCTTGGTCCGAGAAAGCTGAGACGCTCCCTTCCTACTTGAATCCCAATCGAACTCGCGCACTTCCACCGAAACTGGGTGACTGCGCCCTACTACAGTTGTGGCAAGTGAAATCCGACACTTGCCATAGGGGACAGCGCCTCAAATGGACATCAATGATGTAATGCACTGCACCTAATTTGTACTATAGAGCCGTATGCATCCCAAACAGGTCGAAAGGTCACAGCTTAGATACACACAGTTCACAAACATGGTACACATAAGGAGTATTGGTATCCATTTCCCATTCATTTTGCCAGCACGTTTTGAACCTTGACTGTGATGAGTACGAATTCTGTCATCAGACAGATAAAGTTGTATGCAGCACATGTACTGTACGTATGCAGGGCTGCAGAGGCTGCAGGATGCACGGTGCAGCCCCTTATGCCAAGTGTCGGATTTCACTTGCCACAACTGTAGATGGGGATTTGTATGCAAAATGCCACTAAAAGCGCCATTTCGTTCTTATAAAAGCACGGATGACCGCGATTGGCCCATATGTTGTAGTCTTTTGGACGCTGAGTCGACTGGTTTTGGTCCGAAAAGGCTGCGATGCAGCGTTCCTCCTGTATTCCCAATCGAACATGGTTGAACAAGCGGTCACGTGCTCCTGCGTACACCAGTCAGCTGGTCACTGTGCCTGCAGGGTACAACTTACTAGCCTGTTTGACCTTTTTTGGGTGCAGTCCTGTCACTCGAGTTGAACTCGAGTTGAACCTTGGTGTGAAAGTTGTCGCCTGCTGGCGTGGTGACCAGGTGATTTGGGCACCCAGGAGCACGTGACCGCTTGTTCAACCATGTTCGATTGGGAATAAAGGAGGAACGCTGCATCGCAGCCTTTTCGGACCAAAACCAGTCGACTCAGCGTCCAAAAGACTACAACATATGGGCCAATCGTGGTCATCCGTGCTTTTATAAGAACGAAATGGCGCTTTTAGTGACATTTTGCATACAAATCCCCATCTAGTAGGGCGCAGTCACCCAGTTTCGGTGGAAGTGCGCGAGTTCGATTGGGATTCAAGTAGGAAGGGAGCGTCTCAGCTTTCTCGGACCAAGACCATTCGACTCAGCACCCCGAAGACTACAACTGGTGAAATTTTAATTTTTGCCTTAACTTCCCCTTTAATTTACCTGGAATAAAGGGATTTTGTACACATCCATCACCATCCACTGGAAGCAGCACAACGTTGGTGCGCAAGATTCTTCATCCCCAAAAAGTCAAAATTATTCGAATGCCGCATTAGCGATATTTTAACCACGATATGAAAAATATCAAAAAGTATTCTTTCTAGACCAAAGAGTGGTATATTTGATAAAATTTAATAACATGTAAATAGGCGTCGAGGCGACAATAGTTTTAGAATTGCGATCAACAGAACAAGCTGAACCGACATTTCACAAAGGCTTTTATTGTATTCAAAAAACGAGTGGATACGAAGGCAGTGAAGAACATGGAAGAAAGAAAAAATGTGATATGGAGAAAATGATGAACAAAAAATCGTACTTCGAACTAGTTTTCGCACAACACTCCTCAGGAAGCTACGTTGTACTAATGAAAAACAATCCAGAAAGATACTAATAAAGAGAAATGGAGTGAGAAGAAACAACACCTATGAAAATGATAATCCTAGCCCTAAGGTAATAACAGGAAAAACTGCACGTCAGGCGAAATTACTGGTCAGTCGGCGACACGCATTTTTCACAAAAAATTGCGTTTCACCTGCTGGGAGAGTATGCGTGTACTCGAGTCTCATCCTGAGCACGTTTTTTTCTTTCTTTTTTCAGCTCCAGTATAGCTGTATTTTTCATTGCAAAGCCGTCCTCGATTGTTGTGTTCGTTGTTCAAACGAAGTGGACATTCAATCACGAAGGCAGAGGACATAGGAGCCTGATTGGAGTTTCTCGTGGCATAGGACGGCCACACAGAGACACTTTGGGATTTTCTGAATATAAAATACCGTACGCACGATGCTGAGATCAATTTGTGCGATATCAAATTGTTTGTGATCTACCACATCGAGCAGAACGGGATCCAAACACAAGCTTACCGACGGTTAGGCTGCCGACCTGACTGGACAAATGATCCCTGGCTTCACCAGACGCCAGAAGTCGGACATCATGTCCTTTGCCGCGACGTCCATCTCCAAAAAGAACTCCATCTTCGTCGTCAAAAGGCTTGAAATACTCAATATTCAACCGAGATTCGCGGTCTCACCCTTTCTCAGATCGAATCATTTTTTGTTGTAGCAGTTGCAGGGCAGATCCCCGCCACTACTTCAACAGAAGATGGCTCCAAAGCATGCCTGGAACAAGCCATATCGAGGTTGCAAGCCACCCCTCTCAGCACATTTTTTGAAGAAATTCGAAATTTCAATGGTGGAAGATATACTATGAAGAGAATTTCAAAAAGTATGTTTCGCGGAGCGATCGCTCAACCTACGTCATTCAAACTTTGCAGGATGGTTCAGACGTACATGCTAGGCATGGAACCACAGAAGATGATATCATAGCTGACACACAGAGTCACACACACAGCAGATTCGTGTCCACAGATACTAAATTAGTGGACGTCGTCATCTTCTTCCCACTGATCTCAAATGTACTATGACGTGCTATTTCGCCTGACGAAAGCACTTAACGAACTTGTGAAGACTACTAGTATACTGTGACACAAGATATGACACCATGGCCAACCAGGGCCAAACAGACAGAACAAGCTGCTACTAGAACAATTTCAAACGAATAATGCTGTATACTAGTAGTCTTCACAAGTTCGTTAAGGGACCATCGCAAAAGTTCGCAGAAGCCCCTGAAACGAAGAGCATACGTTTGGGGGGGAGGGAGTCGGTGCGAAAATCGCAAACCGGGCTTCAATTCAAAAAAGTATTGACGACATAACTATAGGAGCTGTAGGATTAGCATGCCATCACAGCCGGCGTAGATCGCTTGCATGTGAAAGCAATAAACACCAATCAACGTTCATTGTAATGCTCAAAGGATACAACTGCATAGCTCTAGCTGTTCTCGTTCTTAGATCACCCACTGCAAGGTGATATCATCGTTGCATTTATAAAGTGCTGTACATTGTTACACACTGATACAACAATGCTTGTGTATTATTATGTGTGAGCATCCAAGTGAAAAAATGAAGCCCATATTGTGACTGTCGTTTCGTTTGAGGGGGGAGGGAGGGGGGTCAGGCTCGAAACTCACAGTCTTCGTTTCGGGGGCTTCTGCGAACTATTGCGATGGTCCCTAAGTGCTTTCGCAGTTTTTCCTGTTATTACCTTAGGGCTAGGATTATCATTTTCATAGGTGTTGTTTCTTCTCACTCCATTTCTCTTTATTAGTATCTTTCTGGATTGTTTTCATTAGTACAACGTAGCTTCCTGAGGAGTGTTGTGCGAAAACTAGTTCGAAGTACGATTTTTTGTTCATCATTTTCTCCATATCACATTTTTTCTTTCTTCCATGTTCTTCACTGCCTTCGTATCCACTCGTTTTTTGAATACAATAAAAGCCTTTGTGAAATGTCGGTTCAGCTCGTTCTGTTGATCGCAATTCTAAAAATTTAATAACGATAGAAATATTTACGATACTTCTCCAGACGTTTCGTTGTTCTGAACTGTTCTGTCGTTGTTCTGAAACGTCTGGAGAAGTATCGTAAATATTTCTATTGTTATTAAATTTTATCAAATATACCACTCTTTGGTCTAGAAAGAATACTTTTTGATATTACAATGAGAGTGGATAATCAACGGCTTGTCCACCAACTCTTTGATATGAAAAATAGCCGAGAATGCAGAGCAGAAACTGGGTAGCCCCCAGTATTTCCTTCACGTATGTGCAAGTGCTGAATTAAAGGAAATTCTACAAGCATGGACGAAAGAAAATTTCAGGCAGACAAACATGTATCATGTGATAACGCAAACGTTGGGCTCAAGTTCAAAGCCAGCTTACTCAAGCATAACAATTTGGCACAGTTTCCAAAAATATATACGTTATGGGGTCTGGGACACACAGGATCCTTGCTACACTGGTTAGGAGGTCGCGAACCTGCTAAAAAATGAAGAAAAAATATTACTGTAAGTCTACAAATTTTCGGCCCATTCGCCTGTATACACTAGGGAGGTTTAGTTCCCACGTAACGGAAACGCGTACGTGGGTGATCCACGTAAAGTGGATGAAGGGCACCCACGTTGCAATGTTGTGTTTAGTCACACGGAACAAACAAAAGCATGAAGTGAAAGGCCCAAACCTGGTCAAAGACGAAGTTACCCGGGCCTAAGAAATTCATCCAATATTTTGATTTCGTGCTTCGGAAACTTCTTCAGCTGAGCACCCTCACAGCTCGCACAATGCGCTCCATTCTGATTTTCATCCACGTTCTGGCGGAACGTGGGTGAGCCTCCATACACGGTATGTCGTGAATCAGAAAACGTCTGTACGTGGGTCACTGAGTATCACGTGGTACACACACGTAAAGTACCCACGGATTACGTAGGACTAAACCTCCTTACTGTCATACTAAACCTTGCAAAACAAAATTTCGGCCGCAACAAATTTTCAGCCAAACATGACCGGGCCGAAAATAGGCGAAAATAAATATACGCCGAATATTTGTTGACTTAGGGGGCGTTCGAATTGTCTTCATCAACTGTTCGAACAATTTTTTTAAAGAGATTAGTTGAAGTGTCCCATTAGAACGGTTTCTATCATTTTTAGAGTTTTTCATTGGAATTGTCATGGCGATGGTGACGTCCGATCAGATCGACCATCTCCATGTACTACGTGACGTAGCTAATCCAAACTCTTCGGAACGAATCCACCTCTCCCATCGGATGAGGTTGTGGAGTTTCGAGGAGGTTCGTTTTTTCTGAAGAGGCCAATAAGGCCACCTCTTCAGAAATACGAAACTCCTCGAAAAGTCAAAGAGTTACAATTCGAACGCGCCCTTACAGTACCAATGTGCTCGAGGATGAGCTAGTGATCTCACTACATTTAGAAGCCACCAGCTTCATACATCACACCTTCTTCTTCTTCTTCTTCTTCTTCTTCTTCTTCTTCTTCTTCTTCATTCTGGTCTTGGATGCCCTTCCGGATCCTCCTGCACTTCTTTCGAGATCTCTTGCCTTTTTCAGAGGTCGTTCTGGCAGCATGGGCTGATCTTCCATGGTCAAGCAACTTGATGACACGCGCAGTATGACTGAAGACCAATGGGCAAGCCCATTTCTTCGATGACATGTGCCACTTCCCTCCATCGTTGAGCCACACCACAGCTAGTGAAACAGCTGTTTTGGCAGTGGCAGCTGACTCAAACCCTGTCTTCGGACACAACTGCCAGACTAGACCATTGAAGCTTTCATCACGATTTTGTGTTGCACCCTTCTGACAACGCTCGCGAAAGAACAGTATTCCGTCATGAGCGCCTTGAGAAAATGTACACCTGCAGTATCGAAGAATAAAATGTTGAATCTGTTGCCTTTTGAACGAGGCTAACGGTAGAGCGGTGATACCACGACTGGCGCAGAAGGTAGCGAAGTCAACCATCCGTCCTGCCTTCTCACTACCATGGCATTCAAAGGCTTTGGAAGTCAACCATTCAGCCTGCCTTCTCACTGCCATGGTGTCCAAAGGCTTTGCATGCAGTCCTGATAAGACGATGGCTCCAGCCTCTTCACTGTTCTTTGCAGCTTCTCCCTCCGCCTACTGCTGTTCTCGTACTCGCGCAGGACAGCGTTGCACTGCTCAGCAAGATCCATCAACATGTGGAGGCCACGACAGTGATTGTTCATCTAGGAGAGCCACGATGCCTTCTCCTGACCAGATAACTGGTCCCAGTCAGGAATCGCTGCCGATAGTACGTCTTGCTGGTACTTGTCGAGGAGTTCGTTGAACTTAGTGTTGACTGCAGCACGGTCTTTCATGGTATTCCGCAGGGAACAGAGTAGCTTTTCGCCTGCGTTTGTTTTGCCGGTGTGTTCGCCAACAGCAGAGGGGCTCGCCGATTACTTTTTCAGACAATATCAGCGTGTGCTCTGCTGAGCCAGAAGTGACGTCACTGACTGACATAGTGAGCTGTCCTTCGCTGCTGCTGAGTTGGAAACCTATGTACTTGTGTCCAAACTTGCTTGTTCCGTCGTAATGCAATGTTGTGCCCTCGGCTGTTGCAGCTACTTCACCAATTTGGGCAGTGCTAACACTTCTGCCCTCTGCATACATCTGCTGAAGTGTTCCGTAGCTAGGAAGCTTGGCGGGACACTTATTAGCCAGCTTCAGCACTTCGGTGATGACGGGATTCACATTATTTATTCCGACATTCAATGCTAGTAGTGACATGCTACATTGCCTCATGTCTATATTTGTATGTATGTATGTAGAACCCAAAACCATTCTGGTTGTAGGGGCGTCATATGTGTCATAAGGCAGCAGCAGCACTGATAAACAAGCTGCCTATACCTATCACGATCAGCAGTAACGAGGGAGAGAATTGTAAGAATCATTGGTCCAGTCTTTGATGTTGGTAAACCAATTGTGACGGGGGCGACCACGGGGTCGTGATCCAGGCACCATTCCATCCAAGAAATGGTGGAAGTAGCTATCCTGATGCCTTGCTACATGTCCAAACCACTTCAACTTGATGCGTTTAACAGTTGGATCAAGGCGTGTGAACGGGCCAATAGCATTCTTGACTTCCTGCAGTACTGACTCATTTGTGCGGTGATGATGGTATTTGATGCCAAGCAGCTTACCCAGATACCTGAGCTCAAAAGCTTTAATTCGATTTAGGCTAGCTTGTGAGATGGTCCAGGTCTGGCAGCCATAGAGCACAGTAGATTTACCATCATAATATGTGTCTATTTCTTCACAGCTGGCAGATTGCAAGACTTCGAGCTGCTCCTCTAGCTCGCTGATAAACTCATCTGTTGCTATCAGCTGCTGCTTCAATTTATCCTGCTCCTTGGGCATTGCCTCATGCTTCGGCTCGTCTTCACTGGCTTTGGCTGATGATCGTCTTCACTGGTTTTGGCTGATGCACGTAAATTTGCAGCACTCTCCTTGTAGCATTTCAGCATTCTCTGAGCTCTTGCGTGACGTACCGTTAGCTCAGTGTGCTTGTCTGTGATCCGCTCAATCTCGGATTCCGCTTCTTTATATTTCTGCTCGTATTCCGTCACGGACTCTTGTCGCTGTTGGCTGGCGTCAGTGACGGCTTGTAGCTCATCCCTCTTGTTGGACAGCAATTTTTTCCCTTCTGTGTAGTTTCTTTTTCACACTGCGCAACTTGTTGTGAGCTTCGGTGATCCGGTCACCCATTGCAGCGAGTTGTATGTCTTCAGTGTATGTGTAACTCTGACATCGCTACTTGATTGAGGCAGTGGCGAAAGATCCGGACGATCAACGTTATCTGGCTGGATGTCGTGCACTTTGTATTGTTGGTAGATTGTCACCAGTCCGCTGTGGCGGAGAATCAGACAAATCTTCAGCGGGCGAAACGCGATCAAAGACAGCCTCAGTCGCCTTACACGTGGCAGCCCCATGAAATTTCCGCTTCTTAGGTCGTCCTGGCCGACCCTCGGCTCTCTTGTTGCCCGTGGCTGTGACAGGGAAGGTGTCAGATCGAAGGAAACAATCAAACAAATTTCCAAATTTGAGATTTGAAACTTGAGATATTTGTGCAAACACAATAACGGTTGCCATAGATACAAAAAATATGTGCAGACAATTTGTTTCAATGCGAAACCGCGTGATCAACCTCTCCCAAAAATTGCAGCCAAATCGAAGCAAGGTCAACGAAGAAAATGTACATAATGCGATTTCCAAAAAATCTGAGAATAATGGCGGAATTAGTTCGTATTGCAATGCAATTGTATACACTTTGCGCAGCTATATCTCCGGATTGAATGGCCGGAATTTTCTCAAGTTTGCGCCACATACTCCTTGAAGTACCTAAAGTATGGTGCCGCAAAGAAAACGCAGAAATTGAAAACTTCATATTTTGACTCTCGAGCCCAGACTGCCACTATTAAGTTTTTACCTGCCATGATTCCGGCCATTACTGAGTATACAGTATGCAAGTCCCAGAACAGAGCATTAAGCACCTTTGTCATCTCACGTATCACTTCAGTTTTGGGGCATGCCACTTTTCTATGCAGAGTGTGTGTTGAATTTCACTGGTTACACCCTACAAAAGCAATATTCCTACACTTGTTATTCAGTCATCATCAACCTTCATTCAAGAACTCTGAGTAAAGCTACCGGAAAGGTCTGGCAATATCAACACTAGGCTAAAGTGGAACTGTCCTTGCTATATTGCAAATGAAGCTACACTGGGTCAAGCAGCATGCAGTACGGAGTGGTGGAGCTACCTAAGGATCTTTCACTGGTCCAGTCTGCCGCTGCATCTGTTCGTATGGTCACTCATAAATGGCTGACTCCATGTAATTCTAGAGTATAACAGGACAGACACCGTGACTCTGTGCATGTTTGTTTTGCAGGTTTTGAAACAGGCATGCCTCTCCGTCCCGAGTACATTGCCGAGCAGATAGCTAAAAAGAAGCGCCCAGACCCTGGCATCAAGGCCAAGGTTGACACGGGTCTCAAGTCGCCAACCGAGCTGAAGTTCGTCAACCAAGCGAGTTACGAGTGCGGCGTGCTGATGACGTGCGTGGCTGCCTTCCCCGATCTCTACACTCTGATTATTACCGATCCGTCTAAACCGCAGCCCAACGACTTCTTTCACGTCACGGTCTTTGGCATCAATCGGGTTAGTATGCGCTGTGTTGTGTGTATGCTGTTTCTGTACAGTCATGTACATTGAATATACATGTAGCACGAGGACTACTTGTGATAATTTTATGAAATGCACAGCTAACTGTTGTTTTTACTTTCATCTCACCAGTACCCTAAAAACTTCGATCTAGGTGTCGGCATGCACATGACCACCATGAATGACATGCACCAGCCATCCTACACATATGCAGCCGTGCACCCCCCCCCCCCCCCCTAAAAGGGGGACCAGCTATGCCCCTACGGTTGAGATGGACCTAGCTGCATGTACATGCACATGCAAGACCTCCGGGAGTCAGCTTGTTCTATGTGGGGTACTGAAGAAGTCAGTTTGATTTTGAGCGTTCGTGTGTGTGTGCCCCCCCCCCCCCCCCCCTCTCTCTCTCTCTCTCTCTCTCTCTCTCCACAGCTAGAACACAAGATAACGGTGGAGTCGTTTCCGATTTTGCGCTTTGCCTGGGAGCGTGCGCGGACAAGGCACTTGCTGGCAATCCCATACTTCAAGTACTTAAGGTATGGTTGTGCGTCTCAACTCTCAAGTCACCACTTCATTTATCCACTCTGTCCAGGCACTCCTATGCACACATAGATTGCAATGAAAGATGAAGATCGAAGCTTTCACAGCATGCACCCCGCTAACTCACATAGTTATTTGGCCTGCTAGTGCAACGTCCTCTGTTGCGTGTGTGTGCACGTACGCGTGTGCACATGTGTGTGTGTGTGTGTGTTTGGTGGGATTTGTCCAGGGCCAGAGTTGTATTCAGAGAGTGGAAGAACTACACACGCGCTCGGAAGCGTCAGGCTGTTAGGTGAGTGTGCGTAGCTCACCAGGACCTCCCAGAATGGATGGATAGGGGTGGAAGTGATGGTGGTGCTTCTGGTGGGGAGAGATGGGGAGGGGAGAGGAGATCATGATATGAATTATCTTCTTTTTAAGACTTTTTAAAACTCTAGGTAGTATGCACGAGCGTGGTACATCCCGGCAGGTTGCAGGGCAGGTGGCAGGACTTCCGTCTTCAATGTGCTGATGTCAGCTTCCGGCTTGATAAGCGACATGGTCTTGTTAGCCTCCGTCGATGATCCAGACATCTCCACCATCCCAGGCTTGTCAGCAGAGAAGTGTAAATTCTGGTATTCCGTGATGTTTTTCACGAGCTTGAAAACGGTGGAAAGGTATGCATCCCACTGTCTCCAATTCCATGAAAACAAAACGGCCTTGTTGAAGGCTGCTGATTTATTTGTTGCATCAGCTAGCTGCTGGAGCATATCGACGTTGGACTTCCTGTAAGTCTGCTTCAGCAGCCCAAAGCCCCATCGACAAAGCATCGAGTGTGCCCAACGCGCATGAAGCACAGGTCGACGGATGCGTTGAACCCCACAATGACTCGCCAGCAGAGGTACCCAATGACTGTTTTATTTTTGTTTTGTCTGCAGCAACTGTCGGCATGGAGACCGATTACTTGTGCGCCCTTGGAATGCTACTGAAGATGGAAGTAAAGGAGTGAGGCCACTGAGTTTGGCCCGTGGCATTTGCTGCCATCTACTCCGATGGTCTCATTTTCGTCAAACAAATAGTTGTGCTGTGCCGGCACAGCCTCCGCTGCAACACCTAAAATCTGGATTCTGCGCGGAACTTTGAAATACAATGCACCTACTTCCTGGGGAAGGTGTGGAATGTGCGCCTGCTGGACAAAGTCGAACGTGAAGTGCTCGCATGCTGGAACTTGCAACTCACTGCTTTGCTGTTCAGCTATGGTATCCTTTGCCTTCGCAATGCAGGCCCTGTAATGACCTTGCGCAACATTCGCCTTCTCCATGTGAGCTTTCAGCTCTTCCACCGTTTTTTTGTCTGGAAATTTCCATTCTCGCTCGGGTGATCTTTGACTGCATGTCTGAACATTCTCCACACACATCTTCCTTCGCAGTCATAATCAAATCAGCTGGGGTGTCTTTCAATCATAATTTCACAAATGTCTGGTAAGAGACAGCGCCTCCTGCATCTTCTGGTGCACCGGCTTCTTTGTAGTGATGCATGGCAAGTAAACGGGTGTTGGAGTGTTGTGCCTCCTGGGTGCAGCAGGTTGTGAGAGACCATTCACCACAGCGTAGTTACGAATGAAGGCACATACCTGCGTTACACCCTCCGCAGACACAGCATGCCAGGGAGAACGACCAACATTCCCATGCTGTGCAGGAGTCAGAACACCTGCATCGAGATGTGCCTGCACTTGATGCAAGTCGTATCGACTGACGGAATCTGCATACATAAATACCGCCTGACACATTTTCACACCACCAACTTTGTACCGGTATGTCACTCGAGATCGTGCAGCATGATGTGCTCCGTGATGTCCTGAATCTACACGATTAGCCAGAGCATCCAGCTTGCCAGAGCATCCAGTTAGCCACTCAAAAATACGTGGCAGTCATCGTCACCAAGAATCTCCGTAGCATTTTGTGCTGACTTTAGAATTTCTGGTGGGACACTCAGGAAACAGGTTTGACTGCCTGTTCAAGAACAGCCAGCGGCCCGGCGTGCTTCAATGTCCTCAGTGGATGACAGCTTGATAGCCGGCTGCTTGTCCTTACCTACAGCGACAGCAGCTAGCGCTGTGGCCGGCTCCAGTTGCCCTGGATCATACTCATCAAGGTTTTCTTCATCGTCGCTGCCGACAGGTAAGTGCGTCGTGTCCAGTGCGATCGTTTCATTCGCGCTATCAGAAGCGCTGGCGTCGCTGGAGGGGATATCAAAGAACGATGCGTCATTGTCGATGAGATTGCGGTTGCCCTCCTCTGTGAATCCAGTTTTTTTTATATTTTTTTACTGAATACCACAGAACCATCAGATGCTGCACAGTGGGGGCAGGGGCATATTGGATGGAAGTGGGGGCGGGGCAAAAGTAACTCCTCCGACCAAAGGTCTCGGATTCATCATTACTCATGTGCGCCGAAGCATAGGAGAAAAGAACATGTGCATCCAAGAAGGGAGGAAGCACCTTTGCAAACGATAATGGGGAGAATTTGAGATTGAGATAGGACATAACAATAGTAAAAGCAGTGCACCGTGGAAATAGGAAGATGGAGAGAATTGATAATCGCATAAGGTACGATGACTGGGGGAGACAAGCTAGGTTTGAGGCTGAGCAAAGGGGATCAGAGATTGGTAGGAGGGAGCTGGAGTGCGGTCAGTATATTAGGCTGGTGTGTTGGCTGTGATAGAGAGATCATTTACCTGTATGTGGCCCACTCCCACTTGCTGCGCCGCAAGTGGTCGTTGACATTTTTCTTGAAGGTGTGCATACCTCTGCGAGAAGGGAGAGACTGCATAAGGGTAGGTGGGAGCTGATTCCACGCTGGATGAGGGAGATTGAATGTCCAAAGAACTCGTCATGCGTGCAGCGCGTGAAATGCGATCAGCTGACGAAGAAGACATGGCGGAAGTCATGCATGACCTGCTGTCATACTTTGGCGATTATATCTGTCCTCTTGGCGTTAAAGGGTTAACCTCTTGATAGGAATTTTGTTTTACGTGCAGAGTACCAAAGCACCTGCGCGATAAACTCTCTTCTCCTGTTTGTGTTGCTGCCATCTCTGGCTGGAAAATTTATTTTGGGTCAAATGTTGAATGATAAACCCCACTGCCACTGTTAATCATGCAATGTCTCCTGTTCTCTCATGCTACCCACTGTTTGCATTCGATCACTATGTCCAGGTCAGCTCTAATGAAGACGACCGTGCCGGGCAATGCAGAGATGCAGGTGGGCTGGGTGAAGGTCCAGACCCTTTGCCAGGCATTCTACCCGAGGCAAGACCGCCTCGCTCCCATGAACAACGCCTGGCTGGAGATGCCGCTGAAAGAGATCTGGAAGAACATGGCCTGCACGTTCCATTCCGTGCATTATGCGTACCGCAAGGACCAGGAAAAGCTACCGTATCCTGCGTTTGGCTGCGTGCACGACAGATTTGTCAGCAATGCAGTTGACGAGGCCATGCCTGTTGAGGAATACTTCAAGTATATCGACACACGGCTGGACCTGTTGGAGAAGAAGCAGCAGGATTTGGAGCGGCAGGTGGTCATTGCCATCCACCAAGTCTGTGTTGTGAGTCGATATTGTGCAAGCTGTCCGAGCCAGCTACATGTACTACAGAAAACCATCTTACGGCAATTTTGGTGATAATAATGTTTTTGCCTAAATTGTTGCTATGGTATGGAAACTTTAATAGTGTGCTCATTCAAACTTTCAAGTTGATTTGACATGCCAAAATATCCGTAACTGCCTATTTCATAATAGCATGTGGGATTTTGCAGCAAACATAATTATGTACACCATGTGCCATGCAACAACCTCTTCTCCCCTCCTCCGTGCGCTCTCAACCTACACATTGCTACCCTCGGTAGCCACTACACACACCACAAATTCCGAACAACGAAGGGGTTATGGGTACGTGTTACATATACCGATATTATTCCTTTTGACAGCCTGCTTTCTTGGGTAAGTTTGCTCAAGTGGAAAGACGTCTAGCGTTCCTTGCAAGGTGTTTTTCTTTGTATCTTGCATGCATTTGTGTGCACGTGTGTGCATGTGCCCGTGCATGTATGTGCGTGTGGTTGCGTTTTTCCACGCTTGTAGGAGACATTGGTCGCCCGGAACTTTCCCGATTTCATTCCAAAAGCACATCGCACCCAGCGGGTCATTGACGCTTGCGACAACTTAGTTCTGGACCCAGGTATGAGGCTGTCCATTAATGATCTCCTTTTGGCTAGCTATGCACTGACCATGCCGAAAACTAAGTACACTCATATCTCACTTATCCGGGCGGTCCGGGACCCGGGCACTGCCCATCATTTTGAAATGTCCCTAAATCTGAATCACCTACGTTTCAATGGTGAAGGGCCAAAGATCGGGCATACGATGTCACTGTTTCCACAACATTTTGCAGAAGATTAGTAATACTTCCACTGCAAATTACCCACACGGTGCCCGGTAGACTGAGGTGCTCGTAACTTTGAAGTCTGGATGAGAGAGATATGAGTGTATGCAGTTGCAAATCAGTTAAAAAGCATGTGTGCCTTAGTGTAACGAAATTCGATTCGCTTATTATTTACGCAGTGCCAACTTCCTTCACCAGTACTCTGCCTTGTACGCATAGAGTACTGGTGAAGGAAGTTGGCACTGCAATGGTTTGAGCTACATTCTTTGTTGTTGGTACTCTGATTATCCGTATTATCCGTATTCACATGGCCTTTGCCATTCATTCAGTATATTAATGTCATCAATAATGATATTCTTGTTTGTATTAGTTTATGTGACACCATTTTCTATTTTTCTTTGCCTGCCTGCCTGCTGGTGGCCTTTTTTCGCATGGTTCGGTGCAAGCGAATTTGGGCGAGCCCATTGACGCGGGAGCACAAATAATAATAATAATAATAATATTATTTACGCATGTTGTCATGTAGGTTCTTGTCTGGTAGAGTCCGACGTCTGATGTCATATGTGATCTAGTGTATGTGTGAGTATGGTGTGATGTGTGATGTGTATGGTATGTGGTGCATGCAAGAGTACGTGTCGTCGGAGAGTGAAAAGCTGTCTCCGTTCGTGTGTGAGTGATTATCATCAAGTGAGTGTCAAGCATGCGTAGTGCTACTTTGGTTTGGGAGCGAGAGTGATGAGTGATTCATCTATGGTCTTATTGTCTTGGTCTTGGTCAAGTGGTTCGTACGTATTGGTCCCTGATTGGCCGTCACAATTCTTCAACACTGTTGTTACTGCTCGGTCTCTGGTTCTTTATTTTTCGTCCTGTGTGTCTGTCTTCGTTCTTTGTTTGCCTTTCTCCTCCTGTGCCCTTTCCAATTATTGTTATAAGGAGTCAGTTATAACTAGCAGATTGTCGCATTGTTGTGTGCCAGAGGCCAGGGGGAGAAGGTAACATGATCTAAAATGAAAGCCACTCCATATATTCCCTTTTATCTACTTTTTGTGTGTGTGTGTGGGTGCATGTGCATGTGTGTGTGTGTGTGTGTGTGTGTGTGTGTGTGTGTGTGTGTGTGTGTGTGTGTGTGTGTGTGTGTGTGTGTGTGTGTGTGTGTATGACTTGCAGTGTTTGATATGCAGATGGGTCGAGAGAACAGGTTCCGAGGTGTGATAAAGGAGCTGCGGGACTTCACGCAATCCGTCGAATGTCAGCTACAGGCGATGCTCAAGTCGGCCGCATTCAGTATTTTCGAGTCGTTTCTTTTCAATTTCCTGCATGCAACCTTCTACGAGGATGGACCACCCGACTTTGCAACTCCTGGCATTGTCACGGGGGACGAATATAAAGAGCTCATCAAGCAGTTCTACGATGACGAGCCCCTGCCGTTATGGGCGTTCACGGTCGTTGATAGCAATGACAAAGTCAGGCACATGCCGTTGGAGAGAGAAGAGATAAAGGTTGAACGACCGTATGGCGGTGACAAGAGAGCGGAGTACCTGAAGAAGGGCACCTTCAAACGCAAGTCCAAGCCAGTTCTGTATGTCGACGAAGGTGAAGGGCCGACATATGTGAGCCCAGGGCCGGACATAGTAGGCTATCACCTGCAGAAGATGATGACGAAGATCACCGATCTGGTGAAGAAGTTCCGCCGGCCCAGTCATTACAATGCACTGCATTCCTACGTGACCATGCCAGAACAGCTGGTGAACCATTTCGAAGACACCGACAAATACCGACCACCGACCAGTGAGAGACTGCTGACGGTCCAGCAGGTAGAGCAGCTAGAAGGCCTTGACGTCATGATGAAGATCATGCACCGTACAGCCGAGACAGCCCTGACCAGAGCCATTAAGCAGCTAGAGGTGAGTAGTGAGTAGTGAGTAGTGAGTAGTGTGTGTGTGTGTGCGTGCGTGTGTGCGTGCTTGCATGCGTGCGTGTGTGTGTGTGTGTGCGTGTGCGTGTGTGCACATGTGTGCGCGTGTGTGCATGTGCACGTGTGTGTGCGTGCGCGCGCGTGCGGCTATAGTGGCCGCTGGAAGTGCTAGTATGATTCAGTGCATGTCTTTGCTGGATAGTGTTGTTAGGTACTCTAAGATGTGATGTAGGTTGGTTGATGTTTGTAACTTTCCCCCCGGACGTGGTAGGTGTTTGAAGATGCCGTGGACATCAGTGATGACATTAATACGCTGTCGGAGGTCGGTGAGCTGACCGCGGAGCATGCGGAAGAGTTCCGTGAACGACTAGCGCGGCACAAAGACCAGGTACTGTGCGATGGCCACGTGTGTAGAGTATTCACTGTTCAACATTGCAGGAAAGATAGGAGATTGGATATGACTGAGCTCGGGATCTATTCCTGGGCGTGGTTTTAGGCTATTGGTTCATGGGAGGGTCATTGGAATGCAGGAGCAAGAAAGCTGAAATGCTACTGTTGGAGTCGGATTAGGATGGTGGGCCCAGTTTCCCAAGTGCAGCAAATGTAGCGGCGCATGCTGCACGTATATGTGTTGCAATCGAAAGACAACCCGTTCTTCAGACTACACTCATTAAAGGCACCAAGATAGGTCGAAGGGATCAATGGTAAATGTGCTCTAAATTCCAGCACAATACCTATAAATATTACTCGCTCAAACCAGCTTTCAAGGACTCGTGTTTGAGAAGCAACCATTTTCTTTACCATGACCTAAGGATGCATCCTAATTGGCAAGCTAGCATATTCTTCAGTTACGCATAGTGGTGGACAAGCAAGTAACAATCACACTCAGTCAAGGTACTTTCTATCAACGATCGAAATCCAGGAAACTGCTAAGAAATCCTTAGTTCATGTTACTAATCTAGCAGCGTGTGTGTTGGGGGGGGGGGGGGCTCAGTCTCGCAGCTGAATAGGTGATTGATATTTCATCATCAAGCACATAATACTATACATGTGCATAGTATTGTTTTACACTGCATGCACACATGTGGGCACACGAATACTTACGATGTATGCCCATCGCTAGAGAAGCAGGCACATCTGGTGTACGTCCACTGATTTTCTCTTGTAGCACCGATAGTGGACAAGATCTGAATGATACAGATCAAGAACATTATACTTACAAGGACACAGACGCAGACACACATACACACATGCATACAATCTGTCTCTCTTTCCATCTTTTTTTCTCTCTTTCTCTCTCTCTCTCTCTCTCTCTCTCTATCTCTATCTCTCTCTCTCTCCAACAGATCAGCGCAGTGGTGAAGGTTCCCAAGTACAAGAGAGTCGGTGCCGTGATGCTGGATGCCCGCCAGCTGCACCAGACAATGCAGCAATGCCCAGAGATCCAGTATGACAAGACACGTGAAGCTCTGCTTGGCGCTGCCATCAAGCAGAACGAGGAAGTGGCAGACACCATCAGGGTAAGTCCAAACAAGAAGCAGGCCTAACATTTAGCAAGAGGGTTGTGCTGTTTTAAGTATCACCTTCACCACCACCACCTTCTTACACTGCAATTTCAACTGTAATTGTCTCCGAATGTTCACCCTTGGGACTTCATCAGGGAGTATATTGGAGAAAGTGCTGTTTGTGTTTTGTGAATTCGTCACCTGTGCTTGTCATGAGCTGCACTAGCCATGAGCACACAGCAGCACTATGCTACATGTTAATTCACAATGAATGTGCTCACGTATTGTTACTGTTCATACTGTTATGTTCTCACGCAGGACTCGTATGTGTCGGTCCGAGATGAACCGCGCAACGTCAACGAGGTTGTGTCAATGTATCGGGTAATTCACCGTCTGATCGAGGGTCTGCCGCGCCTTGAGCAGAGCGTCGAGGCCACCAAGAAACTTTTTGAACTCGTCAAGGACTACGACGTGTCGATTCAGGGCGAAACCATGGCGTCATACCGAAACACTCTCCGTGACTTGGACAAGTATAGGGTGAGTGCACATACATAACGTTACCGTCCACTCTGTGGTCTTTATCTTGGTTTCTGTAACGTATACCCCAGTGTGGATTTGCAAAGTGTGGCAAGGCAATTAGTATAACAGTAGAGATGTCAGAGTGCTTACGTGATCACCCTAAAACCGTGTCGCATGATTCCATAGCAACTAGGGTCATCCGTGGCACACGGCCATGATCCTGCACTAGGCTGAAAAGTTGCGTGGACGTGCAGGCTGCATACTTCCACGGGCTTCTTCTCCAGTCCAAGCATGCTTTTGAAATGTTTGGAGAGGAAGAAAGCGAAGAGGAAAGAGAAAGCCCCTGTTCGGAGTTTGAACTGGCGAACTGCAGTGCTCTGGGCATCGTTGGAAAGCTCACCACAGCCCTCTACGGAGGTATCTCCTTTCCGACAAGCCCTTCGCAGAGGTGTTCCAGGTGTATGGTGAAATGTCAGCGAAGCTTGCTGTCTGGGCTGAAGATGCTGCTGATTTGCTATATGGCAGTGGGCGGCCGTGTAAGTCAGCGACAGTTCACTCCACAACTGACGTGTTCAGCACGCTCTTCAACCCAGCCGATACTGACCTGGCAACACTGGAGCAGCTTCAGCAATTGGCTGCAATGTTCCAGGCGTACATAGCCTGAGTGTGGTCGCCATACCTGCCTGGTGGAGACCTTACTAGCACCGATGCCGCCAGCATGCAAAGTCCGCCTTAGACTAACGTCATCTCGGGGCACGACATCGCTGACCGATTTCTGCGCCATAGCCAAATGTCACTACTCTGGCGATTGAGACCATGACCCTACTCACGAACAACAGAACTATGACCTGGCTAGCAAACGAATCAGATGAAGACAGGACTCAAAAGCAGCTCATGCCTCTCTTCCGCAGCCGCACCAATTGGCCAAGCAACGGAAAGTGGTAATTCATCAACACAGGCAGCACATCGAACAACAGCAGCAGGTCAAGAAGCAGAAGCAGATAGAGAACACCAGGCACAACGTATTAAATCTTCAACAGTGGCGCTCACAAAATACGGAGGCCTGTGGGTGACTGAAGACGACATGCAGGAAAATATGCAAAAGCTTCAGACGCAGTCGTCCCAACGTGAAGCCCTCAAAAGTCAACTCGGGTTCCGCAAGCACGTTATGATGGAGAGCTCAAAGGAAAACGCCTCTCTGTTCGCGTTCTCCAGAGCTGGCACGGTACTCCCTGAAGATATAAGACAAAATGCATAGGCGCCCATCATGCAACAGCATTCCGGCAGCCAGAGGCAGATACGGCTGCAACACTGCCAACTAGCGATGAGGAGTTTGACGATGACGACTTCCAAGAGCATGAGCAGGACAAGGACCGGACCAGTAACATTCATACCCTCCAACACGGCCATCACTCCTGACTATGCACACCTCTGCTCAGTCGGATACTCAGAAAGAAGTATTATTGCGGCCTGGAATATCCTTGATGATATGTGCCAATGCAATGGAATACATGAAGCTTACCTTTAAAAGTTTTAAACATACTTCATTACCACCCACTACCTTCTATTTCCTTTTCATGGGCAGCACAGTTGTTTACAGTAAAGCATCTAGGTAAATGAGTATGGAACTCTATACGTAGTACCACCATTGGGCAGGTTAGAAGATAATGTATTGATAAGGGTGGGCATGGCAAAGTAATCACTTTAATATCAAGTTTTTGAATGTAAGAAAGATCAGTCGTATGTTACATTTGGCACACAGACACGTAACATTAAAAACATGACTGCTGCTTGAGTAGAGGTAGCTATGCCTGGTTTGGGCAACATCTAGTCATTTAGTTGCTGGTGGTATTGCTGTTGTGTGTCTAATTTTCTTTCAGACGGTGCTGAGAGAGCGCGATGCATCTAAGGATCTCATGATGCAAGAGTTCGGCGATTCGCTCGAGCAAGAGCTGCAAACGATGCGTCAGAACATGAGCAATCTCATCCAGGAGACACAGCACCCGGAGCTGCTTGATGACGAGACATCAGAGAAGCAGGCACTCCTCATGATCGGGTCGAGAGAAAGGCAGCACGAGGACCTCACAGCGCTCATCACTCGTTTCGCAGACTACTTGCAGGAGTTTCGCAACTCGGCCACAAGTGCGAGCTCTCGCACTCGCCGCTTTGTCAAGTGAGTCGAATTTTCTGAAGTGCTATCACCACACATTATAGAGAATAATGCCATACTCGACCATAATAAGTCAATATGGCCGGCAAAGGCCACCTTCATCTGTTACCTGCCAGGTTCTGCTTGCCAAAGGGATTATGTCTTGGCCATATAGGCTGCTCTGATCACAAGACTCGGTTACTGAGATATACCGATGGTGTGTTGTTGAGACATACCGATGCTGTGTGCTGTTGATGTGTACCGGTGATGTGTGTGTGTGTGTGTGTGTGTGTTTGTGTGTTTTTTACATATTTGATTCCCTGCCAGTACTGAACACCTTGACAAGAAGCAAGAAATCCTGGACGAGGTGCGAACCTGGCTAAGGAACTGCAAACAGAAGCTCCTGCTCCTCAAACAACTCTGGACTAGTCGACAGCGAGTCAAGGAAGTCTGGGAAAGCGGTGACAGGGTTCCAACACAGGAAGAACTGGAGGACATGCAAACCGAAATTACTCGACTAGCCCAGATCAAGCTTACGCTAGAAAGATGTAAGGAAAAGCAGTGTAATAAGGTAGCTCACTTCTTTTCAGTACATGGAGGACTGTCATTTTGGTTTGTGTCATCAGATTCAGGGCTCACAGCATAGTACAGAAACTGTAGGTGCGCATTTGGCATGTGTACAATGTGTTAGTGCAGTATTGTGTACAATGCATTCAAGCAAACACCTATGGAAGCTTTGAGAGTGGGGCGTATTCAAATGTTTCCTTTGTACAAAAGACTTGATACTCGTGGAACACATTCTCAATACCTGTCCGAACAAAATTTTCTGGAGGTTTTTTTGGAATTCCACCCAGCTTTAATGGTATGAGAGAGTGTCAATGGTCATTGGTCATCTTGTAAGCCAAGTGTCTAGTACCCAGTGATCAGCCCAGTGCAGGTACATGTATAGAGAACTCCTCAAACCAAGATGTGGACTCCTGTCCAAGAAGGTGTGCCTGCTGGTCGAGCATCTGCTGTTCATAGCAGTTTTCAGCGAACTGCTTGGGACGTTTCAGAGTCACGTGGGTGAGCTGCAGCAACTGGTCATAGTTACCTGGCGCTTGCTCGTCCGAGACCATGGGTGGTGCACCTAGAGTGAATGTGGATATCTGCACAGGAATAGCATGTGCCTGGAGATAGGCATGCCAGAACAGATGCTTGTGGGTTGTATCAGCACCCATGGTGCAGGGCAGGGAAAAGCAAAGCCACCAAGTGGAGTGCTTCTCTAGTGGGACAAGAACAGCATCCAGCATTGGCTCTTAACTTCTTATACGTGCACGGTGAAGTGTATAGCTGTGTCTGGCTCCAGCTTGGCTTTGGCTTGGCTTTGGCTTGGGCTGTAGTTACTGCACTGGCACATCAGTTCAGCCATCCACGTATCTCTGATGACAGGTGATGGCCACATTCTGTCAAGTATCCACAGCTGAAGTTCAGCCTATCACCACTGTCGTTCTGGCGCTTCTGAAGGCTAGGCATGATGAGCATGTTGAGTAGCTCTAGTAATAGGGAGTTCAGGCAAAAAAATCAAATTCAGAATTCCCAGGAAAATTCTGTTGGAAATCGAATAAGCACGTCTTTCAAGAGCACACAGAAAATTTCATGTGAAAATCTCAAAGCAAACCTGAGATACAGTCATTTCAATAGACCGATCCCCTTATTATTGTCTGGGTTCGAGCAAGGGGGCAACTCCGCAGTCGCGTGGGATCCTGCTGCACACACGCGACCAACCTCACCTCGGCTGTGCGTGACTTCTCTGCAGAGCACGCGAAATCTACATGCAGTGCAAGCCTGTCTACAAAAAATGTCACATGAAGGACTTTTGATTTGAGCTGTTTTGTTTTTGTTTAGACGTCTTCCTTTTTACGACTTCAGGATGCCTTCTCAGGATCATTGCTGCGTTCCTCACTGTCAGAACAGAAGGACGAAGCAAACAAGTCATTTCACTCCTTTCCTCGTGTGGAGCCACAGCGGCCTGGAGCAAGCGGATCCAGGCTATGCCCCGTGAGGAAGGACGTAGTTTTAGGGTCACTCTGAATATTTGAGTTGCAGCGATCATTTCGATCCCGAAATCGAAATCGTTTTGCCCAGCTCTACAAGGGCAGGATGAGTCCAGGAACCCAAACAGCTGTCCAACGATACCAGGTTTGCTTTACGCAAGAGAGTGGAGTCTGGACGCCCTGCTCCCCATGCTCGCAAAACAGTATTTGCTGAGCCTAGTGCAGTTCGGTCATGGAAGTGCAGCGTCTGCATCACGAGCTCCCCATGCTCCCAAACCAGTATTTTGCTGAGAGGCAACGGTACTTTGAGTTGGAAAGGAACCTGGCTTAGTGCAGTTTGGTCCTGTAATGGAAGTGCAGCATCTGCATCAGGAGCTGGCAGCAAGTGGAGCTCGTGTACAGAGTCTCGTGGAGCAGTTGGACGATGTGAGGACTGGGGTGAAGAAAGCCGAAAAACAGCTTACGTACAATAACATAAAGAAAGACTCTGAGCCGCTCCAGTTTCTGACTGGTTTGCCTTCAGGTGTTTGGACCGCTCTGTGGGACTTCTTTGAGCCTAGCCGAGAAAATGTACTGCGCCACGACAGATCTGCGAAGACGGAAGCTGAGGGACGGCGGATACAGTTGGAGGCGGCCGTAAACCGCCAATGAGCATGTAATAGAGGCTCAGCTGCTATTGGCATTGACGTGTTTAAGCCTGGGCCGAATGGAACAGAAGCTGGCATGCGTGGCACAAGTTAATCATCCGTTTCACGGTATATAACTAGCTGAGCAGGAAAGATGTCTTGTTCCTCCGTTTGGGCATGATCCCCATTTGGGCGAGCTGGCGAGATGTTCAGTCATCAATGCCATGTACCGCAAGACATTCTGCATTGTGGATGAAACAGTTCTATTTTGCCATGCACTTAGGGTTCTCGCACCGGCATGGCACAACAAGACCCAACAGATCCTTGCGCTCTTATTTTCTCTCATGGTAACATTGCTGATCACAACACCCGGTAGCCAGTCGCAGATGCAACCAAATCAACCAGGTTCTCTTACTCTTTCAATATTTGCATCGAATGCAGTGATGATTTCAATACTGTTCACCAATACAATGCATTACCAGACTGGCATATAATCATGATAATATTATCCATTTCGCAATCACTGTCATTGCTTTCTTAGATCTCCAATCATCAATATCCGACCATAAACCGTCTATCATCTTATATTATACTAGCAGCACCGGGCCAGCGTTGCCTGGCCGAACGTGGCATGCGGGTGAAGCAAGTACATGAACAGCACACGTGCTCAGCACGTGGTGGTGGCTACACGATTCGCACGCTTCGCGTGCTCAGTGCTTCTGTGGCTGCTTCCGCTAGCTACACGATTCGCACGCTTCGCGTGCTCAGTGCTTCTGCGGCCGCTAGCTACACTGTTCGCACGCTTCGCGTGCTCAGGGCAGCGCTGCTCCGCAGCGCTTCTGCGTGACACACAGACAAACACACGTCACAGGTGCCTCTTCTTTATAAGTAAAGATCATCATTAGTATCCCGCTACTATCCTCCTCTAACGATGAGCTCGAAGAAACGAAACAGCTGTCTAGAGGCGTAAACAATATCTGTCAACAGAAGTGTCCTTGCTGTGCTGGTGTGTTTATGCTTCGTGCATTAGTTCGGCCAAGAGCGCATGGCGGTGGCGGGTTGAGGATGTACTACAGCGGAGTATGACCGAAAGCTCTGTCACAATGTATTTTATCAGGAACGTATAGAAACAGAAAAAAAACTGTATCTTCATCTTGGGCGTAAACAGCCCGTCTCACATTAAATATACTAGAAAATAGTTCACTCTCAACATGCAGTCTTCCTAAGAGAGAGAGAGAGGGCGGGGGGGGGGGGGGGGTATATTCATAGGTTCGAAAGAACCGCACACACACTTTGCTGCAGACAGCGGCAAGCGTTGACCCTCGTGCTTCGAAGAGGGAGCAATCCACTGCGCTACGCTTGCGATTAACAGCAAGCTTCGACTTTTCAAAGGCACGACTCATCACTGGCTCCGGGGTAATGTTTCTGGAACAAATGCCCCATTGCCGACTGAGGGCCAGGGAGCACGCAATCGGCCTTCCTGGGCGAGAAGTGTTCCAGCACAAGAAGCAGCACGAATACATGCTGACAAAAACCACCATCACCACCAGCTGGCACACAGCACACTGTTCTTCAAACACCATCCACTCCGTCCATGTGTTTGCACTGTCCTCCTTTAGCTCTTCACGCTCAACAAATACCACGCACTGCTCATCGTTTTTTTTTAATGCTTCCTCTGGGTTGGCTAGCCCTTGGACTGGACAAAACAGCGATCACCACTGCTATCGTCACCTCATAGCAGTCGCTTCCACCAGTGGCTTTTCCTGTCTTTGCAAGGTGTCCAAGGATGGCTGCTGTTGTCACTACCGGCGAATCAGAAGTACTTTAGTGGCTGATGTCCCACCAGATCGTTGGAAAATCGATTTTTCCACTTCAGGGCTGCTGATCGCGATCGCGACTTGGTGACTTGGCAGCACCACGGTTACCTTCATAGAAGATGGCTCTGGAGAGGAAAAGGCAGACCAGAAAAAGGTTACTATTATCTTCAGCACCGATCTCAAGGAGAAAGAAATACGGTCTGCTGTAGCCTAGGCACAAAATAAATCTCACAACACGATTCGCGATTCGAATATTTCAACAACAAAAAAACTCACCTCTGGAGTAACTCCTGTTTGTGGCCCGAGATCGTTCCCTCCCGCGCCTTGAAAAAATCCCGCAGCTGCATCACAGTCCATGTCTCTCTCGGAGACTCTGCTCCTACAAGCAGGAGGTTCAGCACCGCTCGAAGCCATCGCAAACCACTTGAACTAAGCAGAAGACATTCCAAAACAAACCTGAAACACACTGTCAAAGATGCTGTCACGTTCAAAAACTAGCTCGATCGCGAGTGAGGTTGCCCCCGTGCTCGAACCCAGTATAATAAGGGGATCGGTCTATTGTGGTGCCAATCATCATAGAATTGTGTTGAATTGTATGTAAACGTGTATAGCACGCATGGCACAAACTGACAAACGGACCCAGGGGAAGTTGACCAGGGGACATAGTGACAAAAACAAAAAGTTCGCTGAAAAGAGCCCAAATGACAGGCCTATATGATAAGCAATAATGTACAAACATTTCTATGTACAACAACTACCTGACGGCACGTCGCCGTGTATTGTTTCCATGGCAACCCCTAGCAACATTGCAGAAACGCAACGAAACATATCAATGATGACAATATGGAGTGAAAACGTTGCACAAGCGTGGTAAAACAAAAATGGAATGTAGGTTAACAGTGTTAACGGGAAATTCTAGCATTGTTACCATAGCAACGGAACAGGAAAAAAGTGAAGAGAACAGTTGGAAGAGGGGAAGACACAAAAAAGACAATAAAAACAGTCAACACAATAACCACAAACTTGTCTTGACCATGTCTTTGACCATGTCTTTGGACAATAAAATTATTCATTTTCAACGCGGAGCCGTTTTGCTGTTGGCTCCAGCTCGCAATCTACATTGTCAGCCGAGGTGGTGGTGTTGGCGGCTGGCTCTGACGAAGCTGCTCGCTGACTGTCCACATCAGCCGGACTGGTGGTGTAAGTGGTTGGCTCCAGGGGAGTTGCGTGCTGACTGCCTGCAACATGAGCCGAGCTGCTGGTGTGGCCGGTTGGGTCAAGCGGAGTTGCTTCCTGACGCTCACCTGACTCCGACTGGCCGGATGATGGAGAGGGTAGTATAAAGGGCTCAGCCAGTAGGACAGCAATCTGATCGCTGGCTTTGTCCTTCAGCAGCCTTGCTCGACGTTGCTGCAGAGAACGGACTCTAGAGGCAAACGTGCCAACAGCAATATCTTTGGTACTGGAACCTATCAGAGAACCAGTCCATTTCAACATATCGTTGAACGAAAACTTCGAGGCATTTTTGAATGTAAGTAGCTCCAGAACGACATCGTTGGTGACAGGAAAATCACTCGTCTTCAAACAGGTAAGAGCTTCGTCTGATTTCAACGCATTTCTCAGTTTGCTTGAATAAATACCAAGCCTCCGACATGCAGGTCCAGGGCTATTCTCCTCCTCATCGGCCATGAAGAATTCAAATATTCAAATTCTCGCTGTAGAGAAATACAGAGCAGACAAATATTCCTTACCGCCTGGAACCGCTGCAAACTAGATGAAGAAAGACGATCGTTCTTACCTAATTTTGGGACGAGGAACACGATGGAAGAATCACCGTCCGTCAACGCTCAAAGGAACAACATCAAAATCGCGTTCAAAGTTTTACGGCAAGACGTGGGAAGTCCCATCTCACGACTGTGACCTCGAGTGAGACACCAAACGAAAGCTAAAAATCTCCTCTGTCAAATGGCTGTCATCTCCTTCTTCAACAAACTACAAGTCTAAAAAAAAATCAATATTTCCACGTGGCACATTTTTGTGCCATGCTCACGTCATAAATGCATGCATGACGCGTGACGAAGATTTTTCACCGTGCTGTCACGTGACTGAACTCCCTACTAGTAAGACTGTCCACTCCCCAGAAATGACCTCATAAGAGGCAATACGTATGTTCTCGCTCCACATATGCTGGCACACACCCAGACATAGACAGCAATAGTGACAACACACAAAGTGAAGAGTAGTTGGCCGCAGCCAGATGTGAACCGGATAATGAGTAAGGTATGGAAGCAAGGACTGAGAACAGAGTGTCTCCAATGGAATAGGTGTGCAAGCGGATAGCAGAAATAGGCCATGATACAGAACCACGTGGGACCGTCAGATTAATTTTCCTGGACCGAGCCAGCCGGGGAAAAAACCCTCGCGCCGATGGACGCAGTAGTGAGGGGAAAAACGGGTGTATATCGGTATATCCCCAATGGCGATTTGGCATCATGTAGGCATGGCAAGCACATCACGGCAAAATTTATAGTAAAAAAAAAGTAATAATAAGATGCACAGAAATGAAGGGTGGGAAGGCAGGGACACTGGTGAGACTCAAAACTGACTGAAGAAGTCAGGAAAAGAAAAGACGATAAAGAACACACCAGATGCCACATTTGCAACCGAAAAATGTTGTGCAAGAAATCATTTCTCGCCTATCTTGCTGCGCTCGGCCGGCGAGAAATGCAACATCTTCTCCGAGATCGAAAAGTGGGAATTCTTCTTTAGAAGGAATCTTGGATTGCGCTTACCAAGTTCAATACATGCCTTGCCGTATTTTTCCCACCACTCCAAGTTCGTATGGATACATGCCCAGCTAGTTTCCACAAGCTCTTGTGGAAGTCAAAGGCCTCCCTCGCTGACGTACATTGCCTTGTAATAGCCTGGTCTCGTCTCTGATGATGCACATAGTCAACCTTATACTGGAGCTGAAACTGGTTGAAGCTGATCATGCTTCCACACTGTCCAAAGCCGTCGACCATAGCGTTACGGAAGACAATGTTGAGGATGTGGGGCTAGACGCCGATAAATACGGTGTTGTTTTGAAAAGCATGCCTAGTCTGGGTGCATGGCCTTTCCTGCTGTCCGACTGGTTGGATGCTTTATCTCTGACTCCGCATATATCTGACACACCATAATATTATATGCAGTTCCGCTTCAATACATGATATCCACAGATGCCTGTTTTTCTCCTCTACCGGACTGCACTAGGGTATTTCCCAACACATACCCGACCAGGCAGGAGCTTGTTTCACACCATGTGTGAACGACAACCATGTGACAGTCTTCACCCTGCTTGTTGCTGTCGTCAGCAAACACATTGCACCTTGTAGCAGCTTCCTTCGAGTTTCTCACACAGCAGAGCTTTGTCGACTTCACCAAGAAACACATTCCATTCGGCCAGTGTGGCCGGCGAAATGGTCGTACCGAGGTCGCCGGGCAGAGAAGAATGCTCAGTGAGTAGACAGTGTGCCAGGGATACGGGCATGGTGGGTTTCCGGTCACTCATAATGCAGGAAAACTTCATTAACCTTGCACATGCCATGAATGCTGGTGTACCCTCTGGCTTGATACCTGGCAGCAGGGCACACTTTACAGGTGTACTCGTCATCTGTAGCACTTTAAATGCAACGGACCATCGAGCCAATGGAAACGGACTGCTCTACCTTTCTAGCATTGCCAGCCTCATGTGGCTTCGGCACCTGCTGCTTTTTTGTTGCGCTTCCCACCGAAGCAGCTTGGATTCTGCTTCCTCTTTGTGGACTTTGCATGGTCCAATCTTTGGTCTGTGTGGCATACTTGATAGTATTCAGTAATTTCTCCCAAGACCTCTCCCATCAAAGCAAACACACACATGCACGCGCACGCACACACACACGCACACACACACACATACACACACACACACGCATGTAACCAGGGAACAATATCTTTTTCTCGAATATGAATTCACATCTCCTCTTGAAATGTGACCAACAGCAGCTCCGCATTCACTAAATACCTATGTTTACACAGCTTGTGTCACACAACCTCCTCCCAACGAACCAGAATCTTCTCTAGTACTGTACGAGTTGAATCTCTAACGGGGCACAGAGTCTAGCGTTTTAACGAGAAAGAATCCATCGTAAACTCAAGAAATGTTACACGTATGTTATTTCATCGCTCCTCCGTACTAGAGAAATGGAAGACAGGTGTGTGATGGCAAGGTCGTTCAACTTTGTGCCTGCTAATTGGGATTTTTTGTGAATCGTTAAACTTTAGACTCGTCACACTTTCATCTCTTACATTCCTACTAATGATAATAGTATTGGATGACCCCTGAAAAACTCTTCTGCCATAGATGTAGGGCCGACGAATCAGCGTAAGAAAGATTAATCCTGGTACACTGTACACCACTGGCACACGCTCTGCACAGCAGTGTGACGCTGTGTGAGGTTGTTTCCATGGTGATCAGTTTCCAATATGTCCTCCTGTGTAATCCATGCTAGCGCATAGTTGCTGTGAGCCGTGAAATTGTGTTAGTAGGATGGAGTTGTAGTAGGTTATGGGTAATGGGTTATGGGTTATTCTATTGCAAAGAACGCTTTACTACGGTAATCCGTATACTGTGTTCAGTGCTCACAACTTACCACTTCCCCTTACCAACCACTTCTGCTATTGCCAAGGTTAAGCATTGTTCTCTGGGCATTGTGGCTTCTGCTGTGGTTATCAGCTTGGCCGGATAGCTCCGCCGTGAAAGCACTGACCGGTGATGTGAACAAACTCAAGGACATTCTGCCGCTCATGGGCCATCTCAGCAACCCGTCGCTGTGTGACCGCCATTGGAAGATGATCGGCGACAAGTGTCCCAGATTGCAGCTCACAGCCAAATGTACTCTCAACGGTGTATTGGCAGCCGGGGTAAGTTAAGTGTACAGGGTATTGCATTACATCATACTCTGGTCATATGATCATAAAACGAGTACTCTGTCACATCAAACCCTACTCATGAGCATGGTCCGTATTCACTTGAGTATTGGAATGTGTTGCCGACGTTGCCAATGTGCTGTACTGCTTTGCTTTACGTGTGTTCATGCTCTTCATGCTACATGGCAATCTGTGTATCGTGTGCTGTTGTTACTGCCATGCAGGATGGAGTCAATGCTGATGTGATCTCGGAGATAGCAATACGGGCCACGCAGGAAGCCGCAGTGTCGACAATGCTGCAAAAGGTATGGTGGTATATCAGGGTGTGCAGAATGAATGACTTCCAGAAAGAACCAAAGTAAATGATTGTGTGCTTTTTGTTAGCATTCATAAGCATGTGGACAGTCCCTGTGTGTTACATGTATGTCTTGTCATCTTACAGAACTTCTTTGCTGTATGGCATTGGCTTCTGTATGCAACGGTGTGGACTAGGTAGCAATGGTCCTCTCTGCCACGGTTATTACTTTTCCATAGCCTCAAAGCTGCTTTAATTACACTAGAAACACGTTGTTCCTGCGCTGCTGTTGTCATCCGTTGCCTTAGATCAAGAAGAGCTCGTATGGTCTGATGTTCACACTTGAAGCTTGCAAGGAGTACGAGCGTTGTACACTGGTGACAGATACCGACATGCTGCTGGTGACACTGGAAGACAACGCTGTGGTGATGCAAGGCCTGGTCACGTCCAAGTTTGGGGCTCACATACGCGTAAGTAACGACAACATGATCAATGGCATGCCGGGTGCTCTATGGCATTCGTAGATCCAAACATGAGCCCCAGCCTGCAGGAATCATAAAACGTGGTTTTCTTGTTAATTTGTTTCCTCCAAAACGATTTACATGATCAACAGGTGAAACTACAAAATTTTGGGGACAATCAGATCAGCAAAAGCAGGAAAGGGTATATTTTCACTCACATAGCAACCGGGTTGTACATGGGGTAGTGGTCTACCAGAACTTGTACTCACAGAATGTACTCAGTATTCCGTCACACCACACTCGCAGCCACACGCTAGCCAAAAACTAGGCCAGAAGTAATAAAGAGCAAGGCGGCCAGCAAGAGATATGTCAGTGCAAGACACGAGCAGAGCAATGTCCTGGTGTGGGTGACTGGCCAGTGGGGGAGCGCCTGAAAATCCGACTCCCTAAATTTCCAGCCACGACCGCTCAACCGGGCTGGGGGAAAAACTCGCCTTGCGGCCAAAAAACCCTTCTACTAATATGGGACCTGCCCCACTGCCAGTCACACCCAAAAGAAAAACCGAAGAGAAACAAGCGGAAAGGAGTAATCATACAACCAAAAAAACCCGAGACCCTCGGGACAGAAACACACAAAAACAAAGCATGCCATGGAAAACCAGTAAAACAGCACCCAATGGAAGCCCAACAACGTACGGGACCCAAGGGAGGGAGGGCGGGAAAACTCCATGCTCTACGAGGAATACAAGACCACGATGGCAGGTGGGGGAGAGTTGCGCAGTGGAAGAGCAGCAGAGCACGACAGAAAAATGGTGAGTGAAAAATACGTTTTTTACACTCTTTCGCTACGCTCAGCCGTGAAAAACAACACTTTTCACTCACATAGCAACCGGGTTGTACATGGGGTAGTGGTCTACCAGAATGTACTCACGAAGCAAAGGATAGTCAGGCAGAAGCAATGGCAGTGGAGACAGAAAGCAAGTCGTGCTGGGAATCCGCGATGTACTTATCCTTGGAGGACGCGGACCTCCTGCCGCCGTGTCGTTGCAGTAGTCTGTCCGCAATGCCCGAGTTAGCTGCGGCCGTCGCACCACCTGATCGGAGGCTGTGGAGACCATATGATGTTGGGTCAGTTTGGGTGCGGCCCACCGCTACTTTCAGGAGTTCCGTGGCTCTGCTGTAGCTCATGGTGCCGCGCACGCCTGGCCCAGAGCGGGCGGAGGTTACCTTGCCCAGTACGTGTTGGTCGGGTGAATGTCCTGCTTGCCGGAGAAATCTCTCTGTTATGCGAACCGGGCATGGCATGGAGCCGGTGAATTGGCGAGCGACCAGAATTACGTCCCCTTGCCTCAGTTGGTCGGTCTTGCGGCTTGGCAGGTGCACGGACATATGTGTCGGGGTAAAGTCCAGCAAGGACACCACAAGGCGCTGAAAGTCGTCCCAGCGCAGTAGGGCGAAGAACCCAAGACAAATCATGGTGGCACATTGCAGGTCCCCCAGTGGTGCCTCCGGTTGGGCCAGGGTGGACATCAGTTGGTGGAACAGGGACGGTGAGATCGGAGTGCGGCGGGAGACGGGACGTGCACAGATACGGCGAGCGGCAACTTGCAGTTGTGTGATGACCGGTGCCGCGATCGGATCTGGGTGACCGGCCTTACGGTGCAGCCAACGTAGAGCCGCGCAGCCTTGTGCGACAGGGGCAAACGTCGTGCCTTGCTGGATCAAACTCGTTAGGTATAGCGCCACGTGGACTGCGCGAGCTGGGAAAGGGGTGAATCCGGCCCCAGAAGCCCATGTACGCCAGCGACCGAATGCTTGCAGATATGCCCTGCCTGTAGAAGGCGCCACGTCACTGAGCAGGACGACCGGTAGCGCGTCGACCAGGTGTTGAACGGCTGGATTCCGTATGGATGCCAGTTCCGTCCAAAAGGGGGAGGATGCTGAATAAGGCACATGCAAAACGCACGCACACACCCACAGACAGGAAAAAGACACACGGGTGATCAGATCTGGACAGACTGTGTGTTGTTCCTGTGAGTTTTATCGGTGTTCAGTCCCGGTATTGTGGGTTTCCGGACTCCCCCACCCGGTGCACCTCCCAGGGGTCTAACCCTCCTCTGCCTCCAACGTCACCGTTACCCCGTGTGAGATGCATGTCGTGTAAATTATGAACAGAGTGAATTGGGTAGGGGACCAGGGGTGACAACCGCTGTCCTGAACGAGCCGGGCCTCATGTCGCCGCAGCTTCACGCCTCATACCAGCATGCACACAGGCAACCATTGCCAACATCACCGCCCATCGGGCTTCTCCCTCCCTCATCATCACTGCCCATCGGGCTTCTCCCTTCCTCATCATCACGGCCCATCGGGCTTCTCCCTCCCTCATCATCACTGCCCATCGGGCTTCTCCCTCCCTCATCATCACTGCCCATCGGGCTTCTCCCTCCCTCATCATCACTGCCCATTGGGCTTCTCCCTCCCTCATCATCACCGCCCATCGGGCTTCTCCCTTCCTCGTCGTCCCTGCCCCTCGGGTGTCTCACTCCACATGGGTATGTGTAAGTTCATTGAATAGGCAATTCACGCAGAAAAAATGCCCTATACTAAAAAACGGCAGGAACAGAACATCATAGGCAGCAAGCGCAAGAAAAAACACTAAGAGACAACAATAAAGGCAACCTCATGGCGGGCGATGGACAGCACAGGGGAGGGGGGGGGGGGGGGGCAAGGTAACCAAAAATTCTAACTGAGGCCGTGTGGTAAGACCCCTAATGAGCACAGTTTCGGAGAGAACAAAAACGGACTGCATGAAAACGGAATGGTGGTGGTTCTGGTCCAAAAAGACAGACCGGTTGGGATGTGTGCCGAAATGAGCCGAAACCGGGCTGGAAGGTTTCTCGGGTAACGGTGAACGGGGTTGCAAGCCCACTTGGGCGCCAGAACGGCCACCATGGTGCTGATGGCCAGTCAGGAAAAACAACAGTGGCATGACACGGTATGGCTCTGAGGAAATGAAACAATTTGCTTAACAAGCGAGGTGGGGGGAGACACCAATTGCTTTCACCTTCCCATGATTGAGTGAAACAGTCAACAGCCGACGAACCTGGGGACCACCAAAGGGAGTTGAAAGTAGGGAGTTGATGGGACAAATGACTCGCAAATCTATCGACAGTATGGGGGCCCCACTTCTTATCAAAATAAACAAACAATACGGCCGAAATAGCCCAGTCATCCATGTCTAGAATCCGTGAGAGATAGTCAGCCGTGGTATTTTCACCCCGGGGGATCCACTGTGCAAACAGTTCAATGTGTTTGCGTTGACAGAAACGGAAAATGTCAACAGCTTCTTGGTGCAGCGTTGGGTTACGGCTACCGTTACACAAAATGGACACCACGTTCTGGTTGTCGGTATTAAGACAAATTGCATGGCCAGACAATCGCGACACTAAAGAGATTAGGGCAAAGCGGGCAGCAAGCAGTTCCCTCAATGTGGAGCTGGTGTGTGCGGCTGACATGGTCCAGGGCCACTCACCCCTTGCAATTTCAACCCCGTTCATCAGGCTGAAACCACCCCACCCGGAGTCACTAGCATCCGTGAATACCAATTGCAGCGTGCGGGGCCCGGCAGACCAGATGGGTCTCCCGTGAAAATGATCAAATTCAGATTGCCAAAAACTTAATTCAGCCTTAGCAGCGTGCTCAAGTGGGATAGCTATCTCCCAGCCTTCTTCTAGGGTTGGGCCCAGACATGCGTGCAAGCTTCTTGTCTGTAAGCGCACCACGCAGCCCAGAGCAAGCCACATAGAGCTGAGCGACCCCGTTAGTTTGGCAAGCAAGCGTGCGGGGACCACAGTGGGGTAAGACATAATCTCAGCTAGCAGCAGTTTAAATTTGGATACGCGGTTTGGGGTGACATGAATGCTGTTGTTGGCCGTGTCCAGGACATGACCCAAGACCGAGGCCACCTGCCGGGGTTGAAAATTACTCTTTTGCTTGTTAATGACAAGACCGCATTTTTCCAAATCTGACCTCACAAGTTGGGCGACCCGCTGCGTCTCCTCCGCGGAGTTTGCGGCTCCAGTTCCGTCATCCAGATACAGGAAAATACGTATGCCTTGGTCACGCCAATGGGTGACCAAAGGCCGCAGCACTTTTGTAAACACAAATGGGGCGGGCTTAAGGCCAAACGGAAGTGCGGCAAACACAAAAAACCGGGCCTGACCCCGGAACTGCCATTGAAAACCTAGGAACTTCCTATGGTCTTGGGCAATCGAGATGTGATGGTAGCTATCCTTCAGATCATAAGTGAACAGGAAACAACCCGGATCGAACAGGTCCGGGATGAGTCTCAGGTCCTCAACGGTAAAATGGGAGTCTGCCAAATGCTTATTGAGGAAGTGGAGGTCTAAAATCAGCCTCAACTTTCCGTTGCCCTTGGGAACCACCCCCAACGGACTAATTCATGGGTAGCGTTTTCCTCTACCATCTCGACTGCCCCCGAACGTAACAGCATACGGATTTGGTCAGACACGAAACTGGAATGATCATTAGAAGACTTTAGGTTACATGCCCGGAACTGGGGTGGGGGAGACAAAACACAAAAAATAGCCATAACGAATAATACGTACAACAAAATCTGAGGCACCAATATTTTCCCAAAATGCAATGCAGTGTAATAACCGCCCATGAACGTTATTGTCACAAGCACTTATCTCGTCAGACTCAAGCGGGTCTGGGCACTCATGCTCCGTCCATTCGTGGACGAGCTCCGGCAGTGGGTTGTGGTTGCTGAGGCCAGTGTGGTTGGCGACTACTGCCTCGGCCGAACTGGGGGCAATGCCTGCTGACGTGACCCAACTGTTGGCAGTTCCAGCAACGTGGGCCGCTTCCAGGGGTTCGGCCACCGTTGGCAAACTGTCCGTGGCCCGATGGTCTCCGCTCAAATTGGGAGTTGTTGCCGAACCTGGGGGCACGAAAATTCCTGCTTGGGTATGGCCTCTCAGTTTCAGGTTTGAAGCGCTCCCTGGGCTGCAGTTGCCTGAGTCGACGAGCAGTGGAGGCCGCGTCCGCGATCCGTTTGTCGTCAGCGAGGCTGTCACCCACACTGCCCTCCTCATAAACTCTCACAGTCTCCCAGTCGAACGAATCTGCTATTTTCAGGTGCTTCTGCCTTTTGCAGATTTCGTGCTTACCCTGCGTCAGGAGTTCCTTGGCCTCGGGTGCGGAGTCCGGGAGCACCGATATGGCGGCATCCACCTTTTGCAACACAGTTTCATTGGTGGCGAACTGGGCCTGCAGCCCTGGTGACTTGAGTTTCGGCTTTGGGGCCTGGTTTATTTGGCTTGTTAGGGACTGCGCTGCTTTGAGTTTTGCCACCTCAGCGCGGGCCGCCGTGGCCTCCTCCTGCACTCCCTTGATTTGTGATGACAGGTTGGTAAATGCGGAGGCGAACCACGACGGCATCTCCTCACCTGCCGAGCTTGGTGTTGGTGGGGCAGGTGAGGTGGCGGAGGTGGCGGCTGGGCGTCGTCTGGCGGTCCTGGCAGGCTCAGGATGAGCTACAGGAGCTGCGGTTCCTTGGCTGCGAGTAGACGGCATAATTTATTATTTTAGATCTCTGGACGTCAAAAAACTCACCGCTCTACGAGGAATACAAGACCACGATGGCAGGTGGGGGAGAGTTGCGCAATGGAAGAGCAGCAGAGCACGACAGAAAAATGGTGAGTGAAAAATACGTTTTTTACACTCTTTCGCTACGCTCAGCCGTGAAAAAACAACACAAAAGACCAAATTTGCCTGACTGGCATAATAAGCAGTAAAGCTTATTCTATGCATAGATCAGCCCAGCCACACAGCACATGCCATCACAGACTTGTTTTTGTTCTGGTCAACACAATTGTCAGCATGCAGTGACAAATTACGCTGGTCAGAGCACTCCGTATTGAGATTATGGTCTAGCATTGAAAAATAACGGCACTGGGACCCTGGGAGGTTGCAACTTTTGGGTGCACATGATCTCACATTATTTTAACTTCTCCGAAGAAAAATACCTGTCATGCTTGTCACCTGCTCTGGCTGATTTAGCATGGGCGGTTCGGCTGCCTTTGTGATGGGAATAATTGTTTCCACCACCATCCGAAAGAATTCCCTGGAGCCAAACCCAGAGAAGACGCCAAACTGATCATGTGCTCTAACTGTTACTGGATAATTCCTCAGGCGCTCTTCATAGTCTCGATGAGGTCCTTGATGTTCTTCAAAGTCTTTACCAAATCAGTGTGCTTCTGGAGGCTGGCAAAGAAGGCGAGATCGTAGCAATTGAGGTTGGGTGATTTTGCTGCGTAATCACCTCGATCCTGAAACCACCTTTCTTGCTGTGACGAGCCCAATAACCTTCATCGATTTAAGTCGTAGGTGGGCACACTCCATCATGCTGGTGAAATAACGTTAATGCACCACCAGCCTTAGAGACTTGCCTGATCCCCACTTGAACCACCTCATCTTACTACGCATTGTGTCGAGCTTCGCAAAGAACTTTCCATGCAAGGTGTCTTAGATTTTGTGGCCCTAGTTTGGAGTTTGTTAACCTCACAATTTTCTCCCAGCGCACCCCAAGTGCTGTGGCTTCTTCAACAAACTCATTCTGATTCCACTACGTTTTCCACACTGGAGTGTAAAGCATTGTTGAACTGCTTGCCTTTCAATTTGTTTACTGGATGATCTACGTGTGCAGCTTCGGTGATGTCATGCAACTTTCCATATACGTCACATCAGTACTGACATCATTCACATCCATAAACACTTGCTTGCACACTTTCGCTCTGAGAATATTGTGTGTGAAAGAATACTCACGCCTCTTGGTCCGTTCCGACATTTCCCACAATGAGGCTGTCAGTTGACCCAACAGGAAAGGCTTTCTCGATTTTCTTGGGATACCCTTGAGACTTTCTAGCAGGGGTAGTAGTTTTTCAGCACACAGTTTGGCAATGCAGGTACTATGCTGATATCCATGGCCACCATCCTTCAAGTCTCGTATCCGCGCCACGAGCTGCCCCTCCTCTGCATCTCCCACATCAGTCACATCAATGTCAGCGAAGCTACTTCGCACCTAGCGCCATAATCGATCCACAGACCTGACTGGATTGGTTTATTTAATGTCGAAGAACAAACCAGCAGTGTTACCTTGTTACATGAGATCGACTACAGGACTAGAACGTGAGTTGAAGACACTTGAAGCTCCTTTTACAATGAAGACAGTCACTCGATCGTAAAGGAATCTTCAAGAGCAAGCTCATTGCACGTCCCTAACTATGACATCACACGTTGATGATTGATATCAAGTACACAAGTGCAGCTGCCAGCCGGGGCTCATGAGATCATGGAACAGGTTTTTTCAGTTTGTAGTGTTGTAGTAGGAAATATAATCATAATATTGTTGTGCGTGACAGGAATTCATTATAATAATTAGCACCCCCCCCCCCCCCCCCCTCCCCACGCACACACACACACACACACACACACACACACACACACTCACACACACCTCAGACCTCAGACATGCCCATCGCGGAAGCGATGATAGCGAATAGCTATGTTAGACATAGTAACACACACACACACACACACACACACACACACACACACACACACACACACACACTCAAAGCAACACTGTGCACCAATCTAACGTTACGTACCACACTGTCACTTTGCTTGCTTTTGCTGCAGGCGGAACTGAAGGAGTTTGAGGTCATCCTGAACCACACCATCCAGGGTGTCACGCAGTGGCTGATGTTTCAGAAGAACTGGCTGTTCCTCATGAGCGTGTTGTCATCGCGTGACGTGCAAAGGTAAGTTACGGGGGGGGGGGGCTAATGTGTATGAACCTTTGTAGTAATGTCCTGTCTTTATTTGCTTCCTTCCGCCGACACTGTCGCAGATGGCGCATTTGCAAATTTCACACGATCAGAACCCCTACTATTTGTATGCTGCCCCCCCCCCCCCCCCCCCACCCAGTGTTTCATGCAGTGTAGTCAAGCTACCATACCAAAGCTATCCAGCAGCACAGGGAAGATCCCCTAAGCTATCCAGCGGCACAGGGAAGATCCCCTCATGCACTGTGCTGCTGAACACCTGTGTTTGATAGAAAAAGTATGTTCGGACAGTAGAGGGTTTATCATCTGTATGCCTTCCATGCCTGGTCCTGGCCAGAGGAATCCGACCTCATGAGTATGATAGCGCCGAGGGCTACGCAGCCCTAGCATCACAGACACCACTAGCTCTGCTCGCTTGAGCACTGTGCTGCTTTATTCATGAGGTGGGATTTCTCTGGCCAGAACTGTATATGTGGGTGGAGTGTGTGGAGATGGGAGGGCAGAGAGGTATACAGTACGCCGTAATTTCCAGCACAATATTGTACGTATGTTCCTGGTAAGCATACAGACTCGTATGGTAGCCAAAATGTCTTTTAAAACTCTTCATGTTTCCTGTCTATCTCAGACAACTGGTCCGCTCATACACGCTTCTCAAGAAGGCCGAGCAGAGATATCAGTTGCTCATGGACAATGTAGCGAATGACCCCTCCGTCGTGAGGCATGCATCTGTGCCATCCGTGATTGAAATGCTGGAAGCGAGCAATGCATCGATGGACAAAGTGTACCGGTCGCTCGCGGTAAGCGCCGAAAATCCCCTCCGCCTTGCGAGCAGTTTTGAGCTCAGTGTTACGTCTATGGTCAGTTCGCAATTTTATAGGCTCTTATTTCTTAGACATGACAAGTACAGTAAAACCTGTAACTAACGACCACCCCTTGGGGCCAGAGAAAGCGGTCTTTAGTGGCAGGTGGTCCTTAGTTAGAGGTTTGCACCGCACAATCATATATGAATGTGAGACCGCCCGTGCCTGGCGAAGTGGTCTTTAGTAGCAGGCTGGTCGCTAGTCACGGTGGTCTTTAGTCACGGTGGTCTTTAGTCACGGTGGTCTTTAGTCACGGTGGTCGCTAGTCACGGTGGTCTTTAGTTACCGGTTTTACTGTACTATGTAAATTCACTATTAAATTGAGAGAAGGACTCTAAGGAAACCTGGTTTTAGTGAAAAGTACAAGAAGCAGAAGACGGAGACCACGCAAGCATCACACAATGAATGTACACACAGTAGTTAACCCGACTGCTGCATGGACGATAAGTGCTGCGAATAGTGATCATGCGCCCTGGCCTGGGTAGCTCGCTTGGCTAATTGAAAGTCTGCCGACCTGGGCCACATTATGTTGCTAAGGCATGCACAACCCCAGTCACAGCGCGCAAGTTGGTTGAGTTTGGCCGTCAGGAGGCCAGCGCAAGGTATCCGGGGCGCGGGTCTGATTCCAGCGAGGGGCAATGTGGTACCCCGCAGCGCAAGGGTAGCGTGATACCCTAAGCCAGCGTGCGTGCTGCATGAGTAGCGTGATACTCGCTGAGCGCTTTTGCTGTTGCCTAGCAACGCGTTTCTGTCTTTCCTGGGCCCCCAACGCATGTTGGGTGGCCCTGCGCATGACTGCACGTTGTCATAGCAACCTTGGAAACCTCAAGCCGGTTACCAACAAGCTAGGAATCAGACCAAGCCGCCGAATGCCCCCGCCGGCCCCCGGCGCTTCATTGCAATTGAATTAATATTTGTCCAGAATAGTGAGCTAGGACAGATCAAGAGGCGTGGGTGGGAGGGAGAAATTGCAAAACAGTTGGATGCACGCAGCAGCACAGCTAGCAAGAGAAAGAGCCGTGGATGGGTTTGTTCCTGTTTTTGATGGCTGTGGCCATCCGTTGGCCCAGCGGTCTCGTGTGAGTACGGTGTTTGTTCGTGCTGCCAGCTCGCGCCCGGCATTTGTTTGCGCTGGCAGCTCGGGCCCGGTGCGCGAGTGAAACCGAACCGTGACAAAGGCTTTCGCTCTTTAGTGCTATTGACTGGCTTTTCATACGATGCCTATTGATGTCTAGAGACATGCTGTCTAGCCTTCCCCTAGTACGCATTCACGGGGCTTTGTTGAAGTTCGTGCCGTGAACTGCCAAAGGGAACTGTTTGAATGGTGCTGGGGCGAGTGCGACATTACGGCGTCCCTGCAGCCGGCCTAATCGCGTTTGTCGCCACAACCGATTTTAACCCGACTGCTGCATGGACGATAAGTGCTGCGAATAGTGATCATGCGCCCTGGCCTGGGTAGCTCGCTTGGCTAATTGAAAGTCTGCCGACCTGGGCCACATTATGTTGCTAAGGCATGCACAACCCCAGTCACAGCGCGCAAGTTGGTTGAGTTTGGCCGTCAGGAGGCCAGCGCAAGGTATCCGGGGCGCGGGTCTGATTCCAGCGAGGGGCAATGTGGTACCCCGCAGCGCAAGGGTAGCGTGATACCCTAAGCCAGCGTGCGTGCTGCATGAGTAGCGTGATACTCGCTGAGCGCTTTTGCTGTTGCCTAGCAACGCGTTTCTGTCTTTCCTGGGCCCCCAACGCATGTTGGGTGGCCCTGCGCATGACTGCACGTTGTCATAGCAACCTTGGAAACCTCAAGCCGGTTACCAACAAGCTAGGAATCAGACCAAGCCGCCGAATGCCCCCAAATTCCGCGTTGGTCAGCCGAATGACCTTAGTGTGGTATTCAAGCGCTTCAGCTACATGTACGTAGTTCAAATGCGTGCCCTTCGCATGTTTGTTTTCCCTTAGTGACACCGAGAAGGGTTTGAATCGCATGTAGTCGGAGCGTGCGTGCACACATGGGGTGTCCCACACCGCCATGGCATGGGGTGTCCCACACCGCCATGGCATGGGGTGTCCCACACCGCCATGGCATGGGGTGTCCCACACCGCCAGGGTCTGGGGTGTCCCACACCGCCATAGCATGGGGTGTCCCACACCGCTAGGTGGGAGCTATAGCACAGCAACAGAGTGGTGCAGATAACTTATCATAAGTATCAGAGGCGTGCGTGCACAGTCAGTGCTAGAACGTGAGTGCATACGTCCGCGAATGGGCGTACCAGCGTGTGCGCAGCGTGTGTACCTGCATGCATGCTTGTGCGGTGTCAGACTGTGGGTGCGTGTACGCGTGCATGCATGTGTGTGTGCATGCGTGGGTGTGTGTGCGTGCGTGTGTATGTGTCTGCAGGTGCGTGTATGTGGGTGTGGCTGTGCGCGCTTGCGCGCCTGCGGACGGCGAACAGTTACTTTCCACAGCGTACATAGTTCTTGTAGCAGGCACTTCGCCATCTGCCGAGTTTCATGATCTCGGATTCGGTGAAGCCGCTCATTGCTCCTGTGGTTGCGGCTCCGGCTCTGAGGCCGTGCAGTGAATACTGGATAGGTGGGTACCCTGCGCTGCTCAGGAGCTGACGGATTAGACGGGTGAGTCTTGGTGCAGTTAGGAACTTGCCACAGCTGTCAACGAACAGTGGTCTATTGGGCAGGTTGGGGCGTCTTGATAGATAGGTATGCATGGCTTTGACCGGGCAAACCGTTGAGTTGGTGGTTGTGAGCCGGACGGAGTGACCCTTGCCGAGTTGGTCGGTCTTGGACTTCTTGATTGTGACCTGTATTGCCTGCGGCGTGATGGAGAGGTCTTCTGTTCGGAGGCCACCGTCTGACATGGTCGTGGCGGTTGTGGAAGTGTACTCACTTGCCCGGAGACACGCAAAGAAGCCCAGGCAAATAGCTGCCCATACCATGGCTCGGTCGGTCGCGTTGAGGTTAGACCGTATCAGGGCCCTGCGCATAGCTGCCATGTGGGGCAGGAGGATTGGCTTACTGGCGTTTTTAGTTCGGTTGGCCTGTGCACGTGCCACTCCTTGAACTGCGAGGTCCACTCTTCGCGACGAGAGATCTTTGCCGTTTTCTTTGGCAATTGCCCGGATCGCCGACACATACAGGCGGACGGTTGACGCGGCATGTTGACGCGCCAGGTAGGCTACAAACGCCAGCATGATGGTGTCTGTAATCACCTTGGTGCCGACTAGTTGGCAGAATTGGTGCAGTCGTTTCCAGGCTGTCGCGTATGTGGCACGTGTGGACGCTGACAGGCCTAGCCACTGGTAGGCCTGACCCTCCAACATCAGAGGGAGTAGGTGCTCTCGGGCACCGGAGATGGCGTGTCTTCTGCTGTGGGTGCCAGTCGGCGAAATCGGGCCATCTGAAACCGAGACAGAGAGTCAGCAATCGCATTGTCAGTGCCGGGGATGTGGGAGACTATGACGTGAAAGTTGTGTCGGGCAGCAATGGCAAACAAAGTGCGTACCAGCGCCATTAAGTCGGGGCACTTTGTGCGTGAGCGGAGCCAGATGTCGCATACGCTACGGTTGTCGCAGTGGAAGCGGATGCGCTTCAGATGCAGCTGCGGTGCCCATGTGGATGCTGCGGCCACGATGGCAAAGAGCTCCATCCACGCGATGGATCTCTGGGATTGGTGCCTCTGCCACCGGTGTTGGAGCCACCGGCCGGCGAAGAAAGCACCATAGCCGATGGCTCTAGATGCGTCCGTGTAGAGGTCCATATCGGCGGCGGCTGACCACGTGGGTTCTAGGAAGAAGGCGACGCCATTCCAGGCAGGGAGGAAGTCAAGCCACCACTGGATGTCTGCTTTGGCGTCTTCTGTGATTCTGATGTAATCGTGTGGATGCGGGACCGTCGTGCTGAGATCAATGAGGCGGCGCAGAAACATGCGGCCCGCAGGGACCGCCTTGCAGGCAAAGCTGAGGTGACCTATCAGGGACAACAATTCAGGCTTGCGGGCGGTAGGGCGGGTATGTTGCCAAGCCTTGAGGGCAATGAGAAGGTCTTCTAACTTGTCGGATGGGAGGCGGATTTCGAAGCGCTCTGTGTCCAGCATGACACCGAGGAATGTCAGGGTTGTACTAGGGCCTTCCACCTTTTTTGGATTGACCGGGAAGCCTAAGTCGTGGCAGGCTACCAGGGCACGGTCGAGCTGGTGCTGTGCGCCGATAGAGTCCGTCGCTCCACCAAGGTAGTCGTCTAAGTAGTGGATGACTGGGGCTACGTCGAAGTTGTGCGACATGACCCACTGGAGGGCGTCTGCGACTTTGTTAAACAGCGACGGTGATGAGCGAAGGCCGAAGGGTAGGCATTTGTCCACGTAATATTGCCCGCGCCAGAACAGGCATAATAGTTCCCAGTCCTCTTTCCGTACTGGACAAATGCGAAATGCGTCTTGGAGGTCGACCTTCCACAGATGGCAGCCACGGCCTAGGGACCGTGCGAGATTTACGCCGTCGTCGACCGAACAGTACTGTACAGAGAATTTGTCGACAGGGATACCATCGTTCACTGAGTGGCCCTGTGGTGCTGACAGATGCATAATCAAGCGCCATTTTTGCACCGACCGTGACTTCTTGGGAACCACACCCAAACCGGAGACCTGTGTAAGTGTGAAGGGGGGCTCTTGGTAGGGACCGGCCATGCGACCTGCGGCAATTTCACGACCGATGGCAGCATCGACAATGTCAGGGTGCTCAATCGCTGATTTGAGATTACGAGAGACTCGGAAGGTACGGGGACCAGCAAACCCAATATCGAACCCGTAAGACAAAGAATGTATTACGAATGAGGCAAAAGCCGGATCAGGATGCTGACACAAAGCGTCCTGCAGGTAAGAAACGTTAATGGGGGTTACAGGCGTGTGCAAATGGATTGGCTCGTGA